GCTTCGTTATTTGCAATATTTGCAATAACGAAATGTTGAATATTGTCTGTGCTAATGTTTTAGTTTTATTTTTATTTTTGTGGCTTTCATTATGCGACCAAAATTCGGCCAACAATTGCTTTTTCGGCCAAATCAATTTTTGACGGCTAACAGCTTTGAAAAACGGTCAGAACTGAGAAATTTGGTCGTTAAAACGGCCAAATGGCAACCCTGGTATAAAATGGTCCTTTTTAAAGCGCTACCGTAACAGCGACAACAACAGCAACAACAACAACAAAAGTAGCAACCGCATTAAAAACTACTTGCGTGCAAAAATTGTCATATTTTTGCAAATAGAATACCATGATAGCCTGTTACTATTTACACTTATTTTTTCAAAGATGGTAATAGCTATCAATAACAAGGCTGGGCCGCAGCTCTGTCTCACTCATCATTCATTCATAAGAAGATTTCTTCATCATATATTGTTTTTATGTTGTATTTTTTCATATAAATACCAACCCAACAAGTTGAATGACTACCCAGTACTTTGACGATCTTGATTCGATAACCATAGAATTTGTTGTATAGTGCATGCACATAACTGCAGAAATTTTTCGGATAAAATTTTAATATTACTAATTGCTCTTCAATTTTTAGAAACTTTTAAAGATTTCCTCGGAGTTGTGGATATAATGATTGGCAAAGACTATAAAGGTTTTGTCTGTATTCCAATTTGACACGAGATTTGAATCCAGGCTTTTAATTTTTAATTGTCAGTGCTGAAGTTAATTGTCAATTCCCCCCGATCCACTAAGAAGTAATCTTTAACGAAAATTATGTCTGGGATTAAAGATAAACAAAACAAATTTGAATATACAACCGGTTTTTTAAAAGGGCAAAATGTTTTGCCTTAGCACCATTGGCAACATATACTTATTCAAAATCTTGTTATGATTCTACACGACATTCTTATCAAATTTAAGTCAAAACCTTCTCTGTTGGATCTGCTTTAAATAAGGTCGTCTAAGAAATTGTTGTTTTCATAAATCAGTTATATAAACTTGAATGATAAATGAATTTTTGCTTTATGTAATATTGATGTGACCGTGGCCAATAATTACTTGAGTGTTGGTTTATAGGATTATACACTTAAATACAGTTTATTTTCAGTATTATAATCAATTTGTGGATTTTCGTGGCAACTATACACCCACCGTTAACCTTGTTAGTGGCATTGTTCTTAGATAAACATTTAAAAAATCATGTATATTCAAATCTTGGATCACCGCTTTTTAATAAAAATTATATTTGGCCATGATAATGAACTGATACATGTGGATGTGGTGTGGTTCTCTGGATTTTCTCTATTTAATTGTTCTTTAAAGGCTCTTGTGCAACCGGCATGCGTTGCAACTGTATTTTCAAAACCGGCCTAATATCCAACTCAATGATCCAACTGCATGAAAATTCAAAACATAATCAATTTCTGAAGATAGCTGCCGCAAAGCATGCCTGTTGCGCAAGAGCTTTTAATTAGACACACTATGAGTAGATTTATATTTCATTAATTAATATTCGAACTATATTCACTATAAATACATTGATTGCACATGATCGCAGTCTTTTTGTAAAAGCGAGTGCACATGAGTAGCATCAACATTCGATCAAAACGACTTAATAGATATGGAAAAATAGAGCACTTTGTGTTTTGTGAATTACAAGCTACCATCTTTAGCGCCATCATCTACACTGCACTCTATACTGTTATTGTGCATGCCATAAGCGACGTCATCACCAGCTTCATCACAATAGCCCCAACAAGCTCCCATGAATAGTTAACAACAATAGCCAAAACCACCACCACGGATCCATCACCGTCAATTCTACCATTGCCAGCTTCATTGCCACCGCCATCACTTTGACCATTGCCACCGCCATCACAACCACCATTTCATTTCACTGTTTAACCATTCCATTTCTCGAAATGAAATAGATCTCTGTCAGTCTGATGTTTTGAATTGAAGAACAGGTAAGACAGAGTCAATGTTTCTTAGTCTTAGTCGTGCTGGTTGTAAATAGCTTGGATAGATATCCAGGTACAAGGCTGTTAGGCCCAATTTCCACTAGGCGGATAATGTTGAAGCGGACAAATTTCCTGCAATCCAATTGGCTAATTGAAATTGTTGCGGCGGGAAAATGTCGACTAGCGAAAAGTTGAAAGTGATCCTACTTTTCGCGGCACGACCTTTTTTCCGCTGGAAAGTAGCTAATGTAATTCGTGCCATTGCAGTCATCCATTATCACTACCACTACCACCATAATCATCATTATCACAACCACCATGGCCGCCACGATTGCCATAAACAATCACCACCATCATTAACACCGTTAACACCAACACGATTGCAAATAAAATCAGCACAACATTTGCCAAAAACAGTTACCGTCACAATAATCACCCTCACCATTACCACCACCCCAAGATAACAAGGGCCCCGCAGATGTTTTTGGCCCGCAGATATTTTGGCCCTTTGCCAAAAATCACTACCACCAGCACCATGTCTATCACCACCACGTCTGCCAGGAAGAAAAACCACCATCATCGCCATTGGCACTACCATCACCACAAACAAGCGCCATTTCATTCATAAAAACCATATCGCGACGACCATCACCACCACTCCCCCCTACAGCCATGATCAACACCATTGCCACTACCAAGAAATCAAATCTGAAAAATTTCTCTTTGATGTGTACTGAAAAAAATTTAGACGTAGGAATTGCACAAGGGGGTCTCGAAACCAGGGTTCGAAGCAGTGCTTCAGGAGATACAAGGCTTATCCCGAGCCAAATATGCAGTGTAGCTGAAAGAGAGTGATTATTTGAATATAAAATCTTTCAAGCACCTGCTAACAAGCGATTCTGAGGCCCAAATTCGTAACAAACAAGATAAAAATCGTTGCACCTTGCGCATTGTTCTTTAGAAGTTGGGATAATACAGTTTCAGGGGAACACGCATCAAACCATTTTTCCTGGAGGAGGCAGTTGACAGGAAATTGACGGGGGTGCGGAAAACCTTTCATGGCACAGTAATGCTAAATATACCTGATCGGAAAGAGAATCTGCACTCTTACGTAACCTTGTTTCACGAATCAAATCAACTCAACTCTTTATTGAATCATTACAATATACATAGCGTAATGTCATGTGACTATTAACTAATGGCGCATGCGTGACATGTGACAGGGAGTGAACCTGTTTCATTATCAATTCGGAGGATATGGTCTTCAGTGACGTCATTGACCCGCATGAAAGACCCCACACTCAGTTTTTTGCTTTGTGGTAGATAATCTCGGCCGTTAATTCAAAATGGTACCGGCAAATTGAGAAATTGCGCATCATACAAAAGGACCTTTCATTTTGAGAGTATCAAACGTTATTTTTTGACCAAAAGGTAACTGAAAATTTTCATTTAGCTATGGCGTGAATCGGACATAACTTGATTGGAAAAGATGCTCTTTTGGCTGGTTCTTGCGCCATTTTTTACTGGCTAAAATGATTATTTTGCAGTTGATTCTGCATAGCTCCAATAGAATCACGCTACTCGCGTACTGCGCTCGTGTTGGATTACATCAGCTACTGTGTCATACATATTTCATCTCCTATCACATTTCTCTATTGATCATTATATAGTTTATAAAAGTATTTAGGCTCAAAACTGATTCAAATAAAAATATGGTCAGGATCTGCCATTTTTACCCGAGCTTTTGTCACCTTCGATGATAAAGTTACAATTTAATCTTTTTAAGTGAACAAGGCACTTCTGTACAAATTTATGTAATGGTGAAAAGTTGAAAAGTCAATGCTTTGAGATTTACGGAGACTAAGTGGCAGGATTATTTGTCTAAACAGATGGCGAAAATTCCATTGCAACATTTATAAAACACACTTTCATAGCTTATCTGAATACAATATTATTAAGACCTCGTGCTGTTCTGGTCATTGCTGTAACAGGTGCGACTACATGCATAGAGCGAGTTTGCCTTCTGTCTGACTTTTTTGACCACTGACAGTTGATAATTACACTGAATCGATTCAAGTCGCTAATCATCACACTTTATAATCGGGTATTCTGTTCGTTAGCCATTTTATCATAAGCAATATTTATTACTGAATAACAGAGCAGTCTTCTTGAGATTTCAAATGTGTCCGGCTGTTGTTTACTATGTATTTGTTTTGCAGGTTTTGTTGCGCATTTATCTCAAAATTTTAATGAGATTAATACGAGACCTCATCATATTCAAAATTTCGAGCATTTGAGATGATGGCAGCTAATAGATTCATAGCTGGGATACAAAGTCGTCTAGTGGAAAATATGTAGCGCTGTCATCCGCCATTGTGTTGCCAATCGCTTTGATATCATGCGCTTGCTGTTGCAACCACCGTTTGCTTGGCAAAGATTTATGTTCAAATAGAGTAAGGATGCATGTACATTGATATAAGGGGAAACAATTCTGTGAAAATAATCAGTTTTGAATTTGCTTCGCTAAAGAATTTCCTGGCATGAATCCGTGATTGCAAATTTTAAAGGATTTTTAACATAAGATATGACGCTAGCAGATTTTCAAAGAAGCGATATACCACCATCATTAACTTGAAAAGAAAAAATAATGACATGGAAAGGCGATCAACATGAATGCAATATTATTTCGTTTTCCTTGTCATGCTGTATTGGTATTAGGAAAACCAGGAAAACCAGGAAAACCAGGAAAACCAGGAAAACCAGGAAAACCAACAGCCTTAAGGTATTAGGAGAATAGCATATGGTCCTTCGACACATGGTCGTTTTCTTGATCTCCATGGTTCAGATTTTCAATTTTTCAATGATTGTGAGATACTCCCATGCTCTGCGAGGCTCGCGCTATCGTTGCGAAATATCGCATTTTTATTTATACTTTATAATGCAGGAAATCTGCTAAAATATTCTTACTTCAGCGATTAAAAAGCTTTAAACCTACCTTGTAGTGACGTTCAACGCAGAGTTTCGTTAGTTCGCCTTGTCTTGATCAAAAGACGTGGTTAGCATCTGTCGTGGAAAATCCTATTTGAAAGACTCAGTAGTACCGTGTGTCAACTTTCTCTCTTGATACTCTACGAAAGCATTGCTTCTTTGCTTTAAATGTTGAATCTCGACCTCATTGTTGCTCGTGTGTTCAGGGGGTACAATAATGATGGAAGTTCTTGGTTTCAGCCAGCGGTAGGTCACGCTGGAAAAATAATACTGCATAATTGATGGGCCGTTTCAAGTCAGCGGCTTCAATGCAAGCTTTCTTGAAGAGCACAACCTCAAAACATGTTAATGGACTCATAGAAAACCCTTAATCCTATGGGAGGTATCTTTGATAGCCAATTGCATTTGGTTTAATTTAAGTAGACTTGCAGCTCATTTTCCCGTCCTTCAGCAGGTAGAGACACTGTTATATTAGGCCTGAGTCTACATACAATGTAATCAAGTAACTAAAAGACGCTAACACCCATTTTATTTTCCAACCAGTCCAGCACCTAATCGAGGCTAAAAATAAGCCTGATTTTTCAAGGTCTTAGAGATAAGCCAACAGACAATGCTTATTTAGTGTCCTTGCAAATGTCTTGCAGATGAACTTAAAAAGCAGATTTCCTGCAATTTTTTGCACTTTCATGCAAGATTATCTCTGCTTTGAGTTTTTCCTAACAACCTCACCTGCTATTGCTTTGACCTTTTTCGCGTCAGGTTATGTCTACTTCACTTAATCGTTTCTTTTCACTTTGCATTACGGCCAGTCAAAATATAGGCCTAAAGCCACTGGTCACCGTTCTTGTTGCCTTTCTTTCATTTAGAATTATAGATGCGTATTATCGTCATCTGAAATGTTGTCTCATACTAATTTTATGAGCACTTTTACCAAAAAACGCCTTTCCTTCAAGATAATGAAAATAATTGTTTATACATTAAGTCATATAGTGCTCGATACTATATGGACAGAGCTGTACACTCCTTGGTTTATAGAAATGAACAATGCTCGGTTGTTCTGGGTTTCATACTTACTGAGATCATCAAGCAACTGTTTTCATAGGAATAATGTGAAATCTAGTCTATCGCTCTAATTTGCTATTCTATTCTGTTTACGAATATGTCTATCTGTCTTGCTATATACTTCTCAGGTAATTTTCCCTCCTTGTTTAAGATTGCACCTGCTTAACACAATATTAATGAGCCTCTTGTGGTTATTCTTTAATGTAATCAGCTAGTTGATCTTTTTCTCATCATTATCTCCAGATAATTTCCCCCCTCTGATTATTAAGATAAAAAGACGAGACGACACAGCACAGTTAGAATCCGTCCTGTTTGGAGAAAAAGGTTGTCGTTTTGATTGCATTATGGCAAATAAAAAAACTTGTTTAAAGTCTTTTTAATTACTATAAGTTATTGTTTTTTATTCAAATGCAGTATGCAAACTATTTCAGTAAACCAACAAAAGTCTTTTAATACAGTAAAACAGCCATACATAAAATGGATGCTCTATTAAGTTATAGGAAATTTGCCTGAATATCATTTCAGCACTGCCTGTAGTAACTTGTATGTGGTCACGGTATTTGGATTTAATCCACCAAGAAAAATTCATGTTACGACTTTATGCAAATGTGGGCAAGAGTAAGCCCTCGGATTTAGGGTTAATGTTTCATAGCTTTCTGGGCGATTTATTTCACTTTGCATCCACCATCCCCCGTACCAAAAAAGACAGATAAATCCCAAAGTCTTTCTCGTATTGGTCTAGAATTAAAAACACGTTTGTCGAAAGACCAGTTTCATTCTTTTAAACTATTATTGTACTGGTGGATAAGCCTTGATTTCATTTTTAAAGACTATTAAAATCTGATAGAAGGCCACTGACCTTGAGAGCCTATTTGAGACAACACATATCACTTTGACACAATACTTAGTTTATTATCAAAATGTGCACGTATTAACACATCCCCGACCTATTAAATCTACTGCCTTGTTTTGCATCAATTCCTCCAAACTTCAGTGCTCGAATACTTTGATCTCAGATTAAGATTCAGTACCTTAATTCTAGCCTGGTTACAATTATTCACTTTGTTTGTCAAGTGGCTCTGCTTGAAGAAGATTTATATTGTCTTATTCTAAATTACTATGTAACAGGCATTTGTTCAAAATGTTGAATTTTTCAAAATTCAAAATTTTTCAACATGATTCAACCTGAATTCAAGCCTTATCTAAGGCTAAAAATATTCATTATGTCGAGTAAGTTCACCATGTTTTGGTTTAATTTTCGAGTTTACCCAATGTTTACCCATGTTTTGGTGAACTTACTCAACAAATGAACTGTGAAGACAAGATAGAGAAAATTCAATGGCTAAATTTTAATAAGAAGTAACAACATTTGGAAGAACATATCAGCATTCTGAGAAGATTTTAGATTTTAAAAAGCAGAGAGAAGAAATCGTAGGGGTGCTTTTGTGGCTAAAATGTAGGATAGATATGATTTATCTAGTCCATGATGTTTGTCTAATAGAAGCTTGAACATTATTATAAACAATGACAAATAATAATTTCTGTTTTTTTCCCAATGCATTTTATCTGTTTTGATGATACAGTCAGATGAAACGTCATGTCATGTACAAGTTAAACACAGTCTGATTTTTATAGTGATGACGTACAACAAAATAACCATTCTTTAGCAGATTTGAGTTCCTTGTTAAAATTACGTTTGTTATACTCAAGGATTCGTACTTAATGTCTTTATTTTAGGCGAAATAAGCAATAATTTTTTTGGAAATATTTGATTTTTATAGATATTTTATATAGATATAGGGATGTTTGTAGAAAGAAATAGAGGAGCTGGCTTTTTTAAAAAACATTATTAAATGTTACAGGAATTGTTGGAGTTTTGAGCATGTTGTTCGTGCCTTTGACAGCATTTGTACACGCCCTTTTTGGGCAATGTGTCCCGTGCCTCGCTTTTTGAGCACGTTAAACTACGATTAAAAGTTGACTGTAGGTGATGATGCGGAGTGTCATAAAAATCAAATCAAGCACAATATCAAACCAGCTCTTTGAAGAAAAGTCCCTCTGAAAACAGATAATTTGAGGTTTCTTTTGAAAAAAGAGAAAAATACACCATTTAACTTCAGAGAAAGTTTGAGATTTTTTCCAAAACATCAGGAATGACACTTTTATGCGAGATGGTTGCTTCTCACTTTGCACCGGTGGGTGTTAGGTAACATAATGGCCATTGTATTTAACATATTTTATCAGTAGCAGTTAGTTTTGATACGATTTTGACCCTGTAACAGTGTGTTCGAGAACTCTAAGCATTACTTTGTGTTTTTTTTCTAGAGCAAGATTTTGGAGCAGCTGCTCAAGGCAGGTGGCTTGTCAAAGGTATGCTAACTAAAGCCGCATTTGCACGAGCAAAGCTTGGCAGTTTTCCTTGACAAGTTTCTTTGCCCTTGTAGATTATAAACAAGTTTTGTTCGACAATTTCCACACATTTCGTGTAGAGAGATAAAAAACTTTGTGTTATGGCAAGCGGAGTTTATAGTTTAGCTACGGTTTTCTGACAGGGCTCGTTTTTCGCTTCGAATTTTCTATCAAAAACTTTCATTCGTGTGTTGGACAGCTGCAGCCCTACTAATATACTATAAATCTAAGGAAAAAAGACAGCGAAAGTGGTGGGTTCAGACTTGAGCGAGCCATCATCGCAGGCAGATCAAAGGATTAGCAGGCAACTTGATTGGAAAACTTGCAGATCTAGGCAGTTTTCAAAAAAATTTTCAGGAAGTCCAACGGTCAAAATTTTGGATTTGGAGTCTTCGAAAATTTCATTAGAAATCTTGACAGGCAACAATATGTCATTGCTGTACCTATTTTGGTAACTGTCTGCTTTTGTATTTCAAAGGCTTTTACGGCTTTTCAGAGCTTCCAAAAGCATTGACGTTTCTCGATCGGTCCAGATTAACCTTGTGGCGGCCATGACAGCTAAGAGCAAGCAATTACTTCCGCGGAAAGAAGGGTCTGGAATTGAGTCAAACTTATCAAGTTTAAAAATGGCTTTGAAAAAAGCAAACATTTTACAACATACTTAAAGCTTTTTCGTCTGACACTCCTCAGAGCATAAAACGTCAGAATAGGTTCCGAAAAACATGTTTTTCGGAACCTATTCTGACGTTTTATGCTCTGAGGAGTGTCAGACGAAAAAGCTTTAAGTATGTTGTAAAATGTTTGCTTTTTTCAAAGCCATTTTCAAATTCTGTACCGCAAAAAAACTGTTATCAAGTTTACTTGTCAAGACAACTAAACGGGCAAGTTTTGCATATGACAATTTTCTACTTGTCAAATGCACTTGCTAAAAAACTGGCACGCCAGCTTTAAACAAGTACACTTGTCAAGTAAAAAATTGCAATTTTTCCTCAATCTACCCCAATCTACACAAGCAAAATAAACTTCTCAAAGAAAATTTGTCAAGGAAAACTTGCTCGTGTAAATGCAGCTTTACAAATGTGGACCTTGCTTATTTCTTTATCAAGATCTAATCGATGTTCTCATTTTTCGTACATAATAAGTAGTTTTTTTTATTTTATCGAGTTAATATACGTCATGAAAACTGCTCTCTGTGCAAGAATTAATGTCTCAAAGGAAACGAGACACTTTCAACAAAATGTTCTGGCGCAAATGGCTGAAATTTGACTTCGTCAGTCGTCTTTTATAACAAATAGCAAGGACAGAGTCTGTTTTTGTGACTTTAGTTTTAACATAAAAAAGTAAACTGACGCACTTTAAAGAATGTTGGCAATACAGTGGCGGACTGGCAAAAGGTTCTGGGATGCACCTGCATCCAAGACCAACCCTTTCACTTGCATTGAGGGGTACTTCATCCTATTTTAAAGTTTATTCATCACTGTACAGCTCCCTCGCAGCAGCTCCCTCGCAGCAGCTCCCTCGCAGCAGCTCCCTCGCAGCAGCTCCCTCGCAGCAGCTCCCTCGCAGCAGCTCCCTCGCAGCAGCTACCTCGCAGCAGCTACCTCGAAGCTTGCAGCACCAGCCCTGTTTATAATTCTCGTCTTTAGTAGAACTGGTCACTGGTTTTACTATTTTCCCATCGGGCGACCATTCCCTCTTCACCGCCTAGTCTCATAAGTCTTTGACGATATAGTTATGACCATGAAATGAATAGAAGGAAACACTCACGCTTTGAAAACTGGATTAGGCTTGAATAGTTGGGTTCACCCAATTTTGTTTTTCACTGAAAATCAAGGATATAAATAAACTCATGTGATTAACGGATTTGCTTGCCTTGCTCACACAAACATTTTAAAAAAAATTGCGAGGGTAAACCAGAATAATAAATAAAGAAATTACGACAAATGTACGATGGCTTGAATGTTTAGCAGTAAATTGGTCAAATTTATCGTCATTTATTAATAATTAACAATCCTTTAATAATCAGAGATCACCATATTTCCTCCCATTCTTTCAATTTGACTTCTCCATGTTTGTCTATACATTACCCAAGTTCTATGAAATCCATTCTTTTTTAAATGAATATTCCTGTTTCTTAGAATATTTCCTTTTAAAGTTGATTTCCTTTGGCTCTGGCTCAGTTCCTTCTTATATGCACACTATTTTAGGAATGTGTCTGGAAATCACATGTTTTGCCTTTTGTCTGTACATCCTATGGGAAGCCTTACAGCTGTCTGTTTTATTTCCAACAAACTTTGCTTTATCAGAATCAATAAGCCAATTGCTTCTATGACGCTGTCACAGTCAAGAAAATATCGTCACTTTAACTCTTCTGTCGCTGCTGGCAATAAGCTCAGTCCGGCACAGCTCATTCGCGCTGGAAAATACAATGACGAGCCACCATTGCTGGAATCATTATGGCCTAGTTCAGGGGTTTAATCCACCTGTCAGTCAACTATTGGCCAATCAATTAGCGACTAGTTGTACCATGCTTCTTGATTGGCTATTGGTTGATAGGCAGATGGCTCAAGCCACTTCAGTATGTGTCGATTGCCTTTAATGAAAATTTCATGCCATCGAAAAAACAAATTAGAATCCTCTTTTCAAATTTATGCTTGACACTGAATTTTCTTGACAAATTCGACGTGATATGCAGACGTGATCTCAACTCAAAGCACACAAAGATTAACGTTTCTTCCTCCCCATAACTGTTAGAGAAGCGGAAAGCGTACGAAGAATCTAGCAGAAATGATAACGAGGAGCCTGAATTTTATCGTATTATGCAGACGCACGATGTGCAGTGCTAACTACGGATAAAGCCACAATACTTCTTTGATAAACACGCTTTTTGTGACTTCTTACCTGTGTCACTTTTGCAGAGGTAAAATACTAAAAAACAGTAGAGCTTCATTTTGAAAAACCATCAAAATATTTCTAAAAACACGATGAAAACCAGGCGAAATCTAAGCATGGTAACTGAAGTCTTCAGTGTCGTTTTTCATTGTCATCAATCATTTAACTACCATCCTTCCTGTACTCTTTTTACACTTTCTACACTCATTAGACTAACTGCAACTATAAGGCCCAGGTAATCGGTTATCAAAGCATGATATGCCAAGGTCCCTCTATAACGGCTTTTGATTAAAAATATAGAAGAGGACTGAAAATTACTGAAATTTGTCTACCAGAAAGATAAAGCTATTTACAAGAAACAAGTCGAGCTTAGACCAGAGACGAACATTGGGTGAAAATGGTTGGAGGGGAGCGTGTGATCGCAGCCCCGCGTGGGAGGCATAGGACCGATTGATCGTAACTTAGTTGTGCAGGCGTTCGCAGCTTTGATTGTCTTATTACGCTGTAAAGTAATTACGGTAATAAATATACATGTTTTCTAGACTAGAGAATCTGCAGAATCTGCAAAAGAATGCTTGGGCCATCTTAAGCATTAAAAAGTTAAAGGACAAAGGGAGTGACAGGCATTACGTAAGGAAGAATTTGCTCTTCCTTAGACCTAAAATGACTTTAACTTTTCTCTATTTTCAAAAGCAAGGGACATTCAACCGTGTCACCTTACGACGGGCCTTAAAAGGTCTTCGAGATTCAAGGTTATGTTGCATAACTCAAATCTAAAGCACCTTTTAAGTACATATAAAGCAAGTTTCGCGGACTTCTATCTTGAGCAGATGTAACTTCCTGGCAAATGCGTGCAAACGGCATTACCTACATACAAATAAGATTATATAAATATTGATACGAGTACAAATTCTTAAGAATAATAACGATTTCTAAAAATTCTCTGCAGTGTCGCAGAGAATGAATGCTAACATCACTTGTCAGAAACTCTTGACATCAGTATTAAATACTTTCGTGGTTATATAAATTTACACTTCTGAGGCAAAATTTTAAACATTTGCTTTGGAAATTGGATGGCTTGAAAACCCAAACAACTGTGACAGTAGCAGATCCCCACAATTACCGCCTGAGCAATAGTCGGTTTTTTAATACTAAATTTGCCATACAAGCCCATTCAACGTTGGAATACACTGTGGAATTACAAGAAAAACAGATATATCGATAAGTTAATCAACAAATTAATGATGAATGAATGGATGAAAGAATAAATGAATAAACGAATGAATAAACTAATTAATGAGCAAATAAATGAATAAATGGTTGTATGAAAAATAAATAAATTGAACTGATGAACATATGAACTGATGAATACGACTGATGAACAAACGAATGAATTAATGAGGGAATGAATGGAATAAACACAGGTACTTTTATTATTAAAAATAAAATTTGCTTTTGAAGGAGGGAGTGGCACATGTTTCTGAAATTTTCATATCCTACGCACTTAGAAGAACAGTTTAAGATCTAAGTAATAAGCTTTTTTTGAATTCAATTGAGTAACAGTAGGTCAACCTCTCTTATTGAATATCGCCGACAAAATTATCATCAAGCTATGATGATTGGTATGCATCTTGTTTTAAGGGAAGGAAATTGTGCAAGACTATCAGTATTAAAGTGCCACTGAATTGAAAAATGTTTTTATTGTTTTTGAATGAAATTGTTTTTATTGTTGATTCTGGTAGACTAATCATCGCTGATTTCGAAACAAAGTTTAATTTTTTAATTTGGGGCCCACAAATAGGGGTTTCTGGGGTTCTTTTGCGAGTAGGTCGTGTGAAAGAGGCTGGGGCGAGTGACGCATTAAGATTTATAAAGTCAATTCAGCCATTGTGAGGGCTGTAAGAAGATAAAAAGTTACAAAATGTGTAAAACATGATACAAGCATGAAACTTGATAGAGATAGGCAGTTTGATACGCAAAAAAAGATAGGGTGTGAATGTGAAAATGAACTTCTTTACTTTTTGAGGCCCCCTGACCACGAGGCCCTGGGGCAATTTATCCCATCTTGACGGCCCTGACAATAACTGATGCTTTGACAGTGGCAACGCAAGTTGGAAAGTGGGAAAAGCGCCGAAAATCTGCAATTTGTGTGATTCTGTAATATATCAAACTTTTCCCTTTTGCTCACTTTTATTTATAATTTGTAAAGCTGTTCGTAAAAGCATTCTTATTCGACACGCTCAATGATTCACAAAAGGTAAATGATCGGCATGAAGTCTTGGTAAAAACTGCACGCAAAAAGTTTGCTTATTTCGTATGGGCTCGAAATTTTTGCAAGAAAATACCTTGCACGTGTCTTGTAGTTAGATAGCTAGTGATATTTGGAGCACAAGTATCGCACTATTTCCATCCACTTCATGTTTTTTTGGTTTTTTATCGCACTCGAAATACAGTTTTCGGTACTGAAGCCCGCATCACTTCCGCGACTTATAAACGTTAATGCGTCACACATTCCTGAAATTCCTCACAGACCGCGCACAAATTTTCGCACAAAAAGTCTTTTGAAAATCGCAACTTTGAAACGTTGTAGCTTCAAAACATTTCACAATTCCGAAAAGCGAACTTCACCATCGGATTCAGGAGCACTGACTTGACTTAAAACATAAATAAAAATTTTTTCAATTTTTCAATTCAGTGGCACTTTGAATGAACTAATATTTTGCCTCGATATGAAGGGTTTCTTCGATTAAAAAAGGAGTAGATAGAAAACTTTTGGCCTAACCACACTACTTCTTTCAGCGGTAGCAAGTTTTTGACAGGATACAACTATGCACGGATTATCTAAGTGGGTCCGGATTTCATTGCTTGTATTAAACCATTGCGAGCCGCGTACGGAAGAAAATAGCCACAACTAGATTCAAGTTGGGAACAGCAGGGATATCCTAAAGCTTATTCTAAATTCAAGACGTGAAAAACTTTGGTTGCTTGCTGTCTTCTTGAAAGACTAGCATGCCCAACTTACGATTTTGCTGTATTGCTCTGGGCTACAATATTTGATCAAACGAAGTTGCATTTTGGTAAATGATGTTATTGCTAAAGATTGATTTCGACAAAAACCTTATAACTTGTAGGAATTCGCCTACCTTGCCCTAGTCAAATCTTGTTCTTGTCGATAAGGAAAGATTTCTGAATAACGTGACCGAGAAAGAACCAACCCCTGGGTGACTATTTGCATTTTAGACTCTCTTTGCTTGTACAAGAAAGCCAGTAAGCAAACGCACAAAGTGGCTGCACTCAGCCTTAATACTTCTAAAAGTGACTATCTTGTCTCAGAAAGATTTTTTGCTTATTAAAGTCATGTCTGCTAAGAATAACTGCTTTGTAACGATTCCTAAAATATCCAAACACAGCTTTATATTGCCAAGAACTCTAAAACAATGTGAAATGTTATTTGAATAAAAATACTTGTAGCAATATTAAACACGAAACACCGAAAACGTTTTTCTGAAAGTCGCATAAAAATGATTTAACGAATTCCGGCACCAGAAACTAGTTTCAAACCTAACTTCTAGGCTTTGCGTAACGGTGCTTAAACAACTGTGTCTGCAAGAATCTGCATCTGTGTAGAAAAGCAGTAATAGCCGTTGGATAATCCACGAGGTTATCCACGTTCAATATTGTCTGAGATGCCTATCAAATTTAAACTTTTGGTTTTAAACTATCTAGACTTCTAATCTCACTAATAGCAAGAACTCTTTATCTTTCCTTTGCTAGCATCCCTCCTTGGGCATTTTTGACGTTTGCTCAACAGGTACATTCTTTGTGATCATAACTGAGATGATTTCAACCAAAGCAGATTTTGATTTCTCAAAATCGATAAAGGAGGCACAATCAGCAATGCTTTATCGAAGAACTGCATAACCTCTTTCTGGTGTTGTGCAGGCATGAGATTAGCAAAACTCACGAAACTTCTTTTGACCGCAAAATTAGCTCCGCACATGGATTGACTTTAAGCAGTGCAGCGATGTTGGTGTTTGGATCCAAACGTCTTTCACCTTGAGATCAAAGCAAAAGAAAGACATGATTATTCCACGATGTGTTAGTAGATATTCTAGCCATGGCAATGTCTCCGCAAGGAAGCGTGTTAGAAACAAGATTAGATACGGTGGTAATGTAGATAACTTTTGCATTAGCTTTTGAAAGGCAAACTTGAAGCAGCGAACTGCTACTGTGATAAACATCTCATAACATATTCAGTTTGAAAAACTCGCTAGAAAAGAAAACAGAGCAAGTAGAGAGTATTTATCAATAACGGATCTCTCTAGGTTGGACTAAGCAATGCAGCAAAATCCTAAAATTTGGTTTAGATAAACAGATATCACTGTAATTTATTGAACGTCAATTTTACCATTTACCATAAACAAGATGGAACTGAGGTATCGCATGCCCGTTGGTTATATTCAAATTTCTACGTGATTGCAAGTATACATGTAGAGTCATTTGAACAGGCCTGTAAATACGGCCTGTGCTTTCTTTCCGTATTGGGTATAATGTGAACGGTTAAGACGAAAATCAATAAAAGCGGTATACCATCAACATAAGTCAGTAACTTTCGTTACTGCCTTCATTAAAGTTTAATGCTAGCCTGTGGAGAGTTACGATAAGCCGATCTGCTTCTTTATCCATAATTCAGAACTCTCCTTATCCAGTACATGTTAGAGTTTGAAAATTTTGAAGAAAATGTAAAAGATAACCTGATTGGTCAAAATAAACTTATCAATCAACAGCGAGCCAATTACATAACATAGAAACAGGCTCAACTAACGGTAACTTCCATTTTTTTTAAATAAGATATACAGAATGTCATACCGATGTTCCCACCACATTCATAGAGACTAAATGTGTAGTTTTCCTCTTTGTCAAGGTTAGAATCACTTCTGCACCTGGATGTTGGAGAATTTACTTTCAAATGACTCGATTCACTATATTCCTTATAGCTATTTTTTCTTTTACTTCGAAATCTAGAAACAATGTCAGCTGCCGTAATGTACTCTGTTAATTGGATGGCCATGCAAGTTTTGTTACACATTGGTGCCTTGACCCGAACTATTGGCACAAAATCGCCCTAAAAGAGGAAAACGAAGAAAAAAAGTTTAATATCATAAATCACTACATATACGCGAGAAAGTGCCAGAGATTATCAGTTTTTTAGTTACCACGGTTTTTATAATGTGGGAAGGAGACAGGGATTTTTATAATGCTTATGGAAGGCAAATTCAAGGAGGCAAAATGAAGTGTATTTTTTGTAGGCTTTGGTCTTTTTCTGTGTCCCGTAAACATCGGAATCAAATCAGATAATAATTGCTTCAGATTTCCTCCTTGACTCTTAATGTGTCATTAAAATAATTAATCTATAATGCATTCAGTGAAAAAGCACGCGCGTGCAAGAAGAGTCAGTAAAAAGCCGTAACAAAAATGGCCTACAGCACTAAATCGTCAAATGTTGTCAGTAACAAGAATAGCGTTTTATTCGATTAAAAACGCAGCGACTTATAATTATTTTCGACAAGTTTTGACCCGGTTTCTAACCGAGGGCAGCTTACAAACGAGGGTGGCTTACAAACGAGGGTGGCTTACAAACGAAGGTGGCTTACATTGTTTTGTCCAGATCCTTATAGGCTTTCCTGCTACCTTGAAACTAAGGGTGATAATGCAGAAGATAAGGAAGTAAAACTTCTCGATGATGTTGATGGTCCCATACTGGATGATGTGGTTGGCGGTTGAAGTTATAACGTCTATTTTACACTTAAGTAGCTTTTGAAGTTGTCGCAGGCGTTGGAGTTTAAATACATAATCAGATTTTTATCAGTTTTGCATCTGACAATTAATCGCTTAATCGCTCAATCGCGAAAGGAGGCTCATAATCGCTTAAATATGGTAAAGAAATGAATAAAAATCATCGCTCACATCGCCATAATCCAACTCATCGCTGCTTCCATAAAATTTCGATTTTGATTGATTGGCGCCAACAGGGCTGGCCTCACTCTTCATTCTTTTTGCAATTATCTTCTTTACCTTCAGTATGGAAGAAAAAATGTTAAGTCATTGTGAGGGTGGGGGTGGGGGGGGGGGTAAATACAATGCGTAATATCAATGCTTCTATAAAAAATTTTGACATTAACGCTATTGCTTTGCATTGTTATTTGGCAATGCTCACTATCTGGAGACTCCCCAATATTGTTGAAATAGGGCTCAGAGGTTGAAACATTGGCTAGTCTGTTCTTCAACACTGAGTTTATTTATGGTGAAACAGTATAATAAACCCTATAATATTTTACTTTTTGTAGACAAATATCGACATTATGTACTTACAGCTTTTGAGTCGCGGCCTTTTGAACCCGCCTCATACACGTACCGTATTTGCGTCACCATAAATCCGGGTACCTGTAAGGACAAACACAATAGGAATCGTGTATTTGGAACCTAAAATCCTATGTAAATACAGACCAACTTTGTCCCCCGTGAATCAAATTGGCTGCATTGCGATTAGACATTAACGTTTTTCATTCAGATACATTTTGCACGTTAACAGGGGGTACTCAAGAGATCAATGTTTAAAATAGATGGTACTGTCAGTGAGTAATAAATTATCGCTGTCATGAATAAGGCGAATTTTCTTCAGTTATTGCCTTGGTCATTTAATGTCCTCATTTTCTTCTCTTACATTTTCACCCTCTATTAATGCAGTAGGAAGAATCCCCTCCCCCCTAAATCATAGCTTTAGGAAGGAATTTCCACTACTTTTTGATCACACAGGCTTCTGAATAGGGTACATGATTCAAACGTTGCCAGAATGATTTAAAGTAAACGTGCGTCATGGTATGGTTATACCTTTGTTTCTGGCAAAGGCGATTTTCTAACAGTTCAGAATCAACGTCAAGACCATGTGACAAAAAAGCCTGAAATCTAGAAGATTGCGGCATAATTAATCAACTGTAAAGCTTTTCTAGACGATTTTCTTTGATATGGTTTAAGAATAATGTTATGATTAGCCAACACGAGAAAATTGTCGATTTTTTTAATTAGCCATGTTTTTATGACATCAAGTACAGGCAATGTATGTTACATCGATAAATCATTGATGTTACAGCATACCGTCCAGATAATGTTTTGATATTTGATAAGCATCCTCATTACATCTGTTGTTGCTGCAGCCTTGTTTATTTCATCTAAATTTGCTCTGTTGCCTCCGCGCATAAACAGATTTGGGGCCATGATCATTGCAACATTGTTCAGTCCCATCCTGTTCACATTTTCTGCGGCAATAACTCTCGTGAGAAATTCTAGTAATTCCTGTGAGAAGAAATTTAACTCAAAAAGCATTCAGAACAGTCTATAAGATATTTTATAAACTCCGAAACAAAGAAATTTTCTAGCCGCACAAATATGCGAAATTCGTTCTTTTGATTTAGCCATTACTGAAATTCTGCCAGATTTGAAGTCTACAAGAAATGACAACGATAAATGGAGTAACGTCCGTAGAGTTCTCAGTAGATTAAAGTGTCCTAAACAGGCATTCAAGCTCTCTTTAGCTTTTCAAAAAAGGTTCTTTGAAAAAGTTTGTCTATTTCTGATTCCAAATTTGATGTTTTCGCTGAATAAGCGATTGCATCTTCTTCGTACAAAGTTATTCACTGTTGTTATGATGATAAAGATGACACACCTGTAAAGTGTCTCGATTCACTGTTGGCAGCAACAATATAAGAAGGTTTAATGCTTGCAGTTGCAGCTTGCGGTCTTTGAGCTCTACGAAAAGGTAATTGAGAATCAATAGAAATCTCTCTCTGCATAATCAAAGGTTTGTCAGAAGTTGCATATATCTTTCGAAAAATTTAATCATCCCGTCCTGTACAGCATCCCCGACCCACTCAACAGAGAAACTGTGTTGCCAGTAAGCTTCTTAAAAGTTTTTAGACTAATAATCAACTAGTGCTGTAATCGCTAACAATAATTAGACCTATTTTTGAAGCTTCTTGGGGCCTGTTTATATGAGGAAATTTATCCCACCTTTTAGCCTATAATCTAGCAGGTGGGATGAAATCATCGAATGTTTACATGCAGATTCTTTCCCACCTTCCAGCTGTAAACGGAGAAAATCATCCCGCCTGTATGCTGACAATGGGACAAAATTTTTTCGCGTTCATATGAACAATTCATCCCATCTTCCAGCTTCATCCCACTTTACAGTGTTTATATGGAAAAAAATCATCCCACCTCAGTGAGATCCCACCTCTCATGCAGTGGGATCTCACTTGACCGGGCTGGCTTGTTTTCCATATTAACGCAAAATGAAAAAAAAAAGAGTCTATACAAAGTGGGATCTCACCTCTCAGATCACGGGCTGGAAGGTGGGACGAATTTTCCCATACAAAATTTGCTGAGCGAATTTGCCGAGCATGTTTCCGTTCAGAGGGAAGCTGTGTTTCGCTGGGAAGTTCAACTTTCACATTTCACTAGCGAATACGCTTATGCCCGGGAGGAATATAAGACATTCCAACCTCTGGCGAATTCGCTGAAGATTTCACTCAATAACAACTGGCCTTAAGACATGCCAATGATTTGATTGGCTGAATACAAACAAAACATCGAAATCTACTTTTGTTGTAGAGAATGAATGGCTTAGCTCAAACCTTGAATATTCTCTGCAATACCTACGTAGTTTTGTAAGGCATTTCGATCTGAATCTACATCACAACAATACTTATGGCAAAATATTGCGGCTTCTTCAGGTGGCTGGGTCACGCCAAAGCAAATATCATAGCGATATAAACTTTGTTTTTGGTACAACGCATAGCTTCCCATTCAAAAAGGTTTTGCATGACAAGAATCCAACTTTTAATTTAAAGACTTCCTCTTAAAACATTCACTGGCTTAGCTTTGTACGTAGGCATAGAGTAAAGAGAAGGTAGGAAGTTCGTAAGTCAAGATTAAGTTTTGTCACCAAAATTATTTCAAGATAGCTCAAAATACCAAAAAATTTTAGAGAAAGACCTGCTAGTTTGGAGTTGGCACGAAGAGTAGGTAAAAGTGAAGAGCAGAAAAACGCTTTAGTGAACATATCAGAGAAATAAGTGTGAGCGAATAGGGTTCGCGCAGGGCAAGGATATGTTTGTATACATATATTAGATATTGAGCAAGCCTTCCATCAGGTGAAGATTTTGATGGCCGAAATGTCTAAAGAGTCTATTTAGCAGCTGATACTTCACAAAATGGCCGGTAATAAATAATTTATGAATCGCAATTGACTAATAGCTCATTTTCCAGATGCCAACAAAATGCGCTAGCACGAAAAATTGCATATTTCGTTGTTCTATCCCATAGGAAATCAACTGTCGCATATTGTCTTTCGATAGATTAACATTATCAAATTTTAATGTTCTTGGCTAAACGTAAACTGTTAGATAGCGTAAAGAGGACTATTTATAACATGATTGCCACGAAATGAACTTGTTTCTCTTCATCAAATCCCGTCAATGACGTCACACAATTTTAGCTAAGCAAGAGCAAGCATTTTTAAAATCAAATCAAATCTGAAATAAGCTAAACTTAACAAAAATTAACAAATTAACACAACGTTATTAACTAAAAACCGTTGCTTATATAATATCTGAATATCAGAATACTTTCATTATCATTAACTCATCATAATATTAGCAGTAGTTAGATCAAATAAGGATGCCTTTAAGCCCCAAGCAGGGCAAACTCAGTTGAAAAGAAACTCTGCTCAAGTTACCGTGTCAAAGAGAACCAGGTTACATTTTCTAGTGTGGCATTTCAGGACCAATATCAAACTGAAACCTAAAAATTACGGCCCACGCAATCCACCTCTCAACCAAACCCATACCGCGCGATATCCCTGAGGGTATCTAAGCTATACAAGTAAAACCTTTACCTGATACAGCTATAAATGTTTCTTGGTAGTTGGGAGTCAGCAACGGAGAAGGAAGTTCTCTACAACAAAACAAGATATCATTTTGATAACCGATTAAAATAGATTTTTCGACTAGCGACGGTTTAGTCTGGGAAAGAACATTCCTGATTCCAAGGGAAAGATCCTTGAGGCAAGGCTATCTTAAAATCGATCACTTTTTCTAATTTAAATTAAGTTCATAACAGGAATAAGTTATTGTCTGATTTTTGCTCCATTTTTCAAGAGTAATTGTATCCAAGCTTACAATGCCTGCCAAAAGTACTTGGAACACCCATCAATTCACGCCGCATTTTATATCTTTCATTCCTTTCATGAAAAAAAATTGCTACTGCCGCCCCCTTCCCCCTCAAACAATGTTGATGATTTAGAGAAATATCATAAAAAAACGCAAAAGAAAGTGCTTCCTAAAATCCTAACCCGTTTGATAGTTAACCAACATTGTTCCGTCCGGGGGAGAGTGGGATGATTGGTTTTGACCTTGGAAATTGATGTCAGTGTTCCAAGACTTTTGGCAGGCATTGTAGATCATATAGGAGAAATGCTCTCGACATTGATCACAACTAATGAGTTGGACTAGAAATTTCTTCACATCTAATTTAACAACTTTGAAAGTAGTAGAATTAGCTTCATTTACAATTTACCTCAAAAACTGTTTTAGCAAGGTCGCGACATCACTTATTCTTCTGTTTTGCCAGCTGAAGAACCCGCCATTGCTATAAGCTTCCTCAATCTCATCTTTCAATGCCTGAAAATAAATAAAGAAAGTAAAATTATTTTGAATCTAACGCCGGTAAGATTTCCGGAGACATCAAAGATACTCTTATACCAGAAGTGAATTATAATAACCAAAATAATATTATCAATTGCAAAAAGGAAAAACAGTAATTTATACTTTGGTTCATTGTTATCTATACAGTAATTTATACTTTGGTTCACAGAATCATTGTTATATTAGACGCGTAATCGCAAAAAGAATAGCAAGCACCCACAAATTGAGATATGGGAAGAAGAAAAGGCCATGCTATGGCACAGCTTTGGCGGTCAATAAAAAATGTCTGTTATTTTTCTTCTGGGTCAATGCAGTTGAATCAAAGGGATTCAAAAATGCTGCGCATCGTCAAGATGAATGGTATAGGGAACAAATCATGAAAAAACATACAATTTCACAATAAAATTATCATGAATTGGAGCACCAATTGTCATCCTTTGAAAACGACAAACCGCCAAAATATCGAACATTAATTATTACTCAAGTCGATTATGCTATCCATATCCGACAACATAGTTGCTACCTGGGATAAATGTGACAATTTGTTTGTCATGAACGAAAGGCCAATAGCCGAAGGATTATTCCTGGAGGGCAGATGTGCAAAGTTACAGGTGCGAAGTTTCCTCTTCTTCTGTTTAGCTTTTCTTTGGAGAATATAAAAAAGGAAAAAAATCTGTCCTCCATTAGTATAGTTCCCATGTACACATTAAGACTCGTTGTTACTTTCACAGGAGTTTCAAGTAGTTTTCCTAGTTCGCGCTGACTTCTAATAATTAATCCTGGGTTTTTGCGAGCTGCACTCAAATTTAGCCATCAATTGAATAATCTGGCGATAAAATCTAGGACAAACCCATTCTGTATTTTTAAACAACTAAGATAAGAGGACTAGTAACGCTTAAAGGAACACCTTGTAAATTTTTGGTTGATTTTGATTGTAAAATCTCGGTTCTTACGTAACAAGTTGTGTTTATCATCATTAGCCTGTGTTTAAGAATCTAAACGAAGTGGTTTATGCCCACAAGCTAATTCTCACAGGCTGATTTTACTTTCGCCAATGGAAAAAGCGACCCACAGTTCAACCGTCACGCAAAACTATATCGCTACGTGGAATGGGCTAGGGTCCTGTTCGGCTTTTGTATGTCTCCGTTTTTAGATGATTCCTTTTCGTATTTGTTGGACACGCTCCCATTACTCCGGCATTCTCTGTTTTCGTCTAAAGAGTGGCACGAACACAAAGATGTTCCCGTTCCTCAATTATCGTACGTTCTCAGATCGTTTCTTTGGACTCGTTTTGAAATTGAGGATAAATAACTCCGCTTTCGAATGGCTCTGTTTTCTCTGTTCTCATTAAAACGATTCGTTTTCAAATAGCTCCGATTTCGAATAACTCCGGTTTGGTATGGGATTTTCGAGTGTATTTATTGGAATTCTTTCAAAAACGAATTCTTTTAGCTGCGTCTACGTACATAAATTGAGAAATGGAAAAATATGGCCTGACAGTACTTAACAAAATTGTACCTACTTTTATCCTTTGTTGAGATCCTGGTATGCGCAGTAGCCCCTCTTCTCGTAGCCCATGAATTTTCAAAAATGCAATCAGCTGCAAAAAGCATAGTAAAATCATGTAATTATTCATTGCATTAGAAAAATTTTAGGGTGGTGTCAATATAGTTTGTGGCTCTGTGTTTTGGAAGGGACTTGCCATATGACTTTAACAAACAGGGCTCGACTTAACGACAACTGGTTCGTGATACACGAGCAAAATCACAATTACAAAATGAACAATTCTAGCAACTAGGCAAAAGTATACACGACTCATTTTTGAAAATAAATTTAAAGCAAGCAATGCATGCAGATACCTATGGCTAGAATTGTTAATTTCGCACTGTTCAGTTCATAATCAAACCTTTTCATCTACATTGAAGCACAAAATTATTTGAATATCATCTTTCTTTATGAATTTGTTTTTTGAATAATGAATTTATGCAGCCACATGATTGATATCAACTCCTTTTTTCACATGTTTTTCTTTTTATTTGCACCTTCGGAGGCACGAAGAGGATGTGTGTTTCGTGTGGTTTAAATCTAAATAGAAAATGTCTGTCTAGCTTCATTGGATGTCTGGCTATTTCCTTTTGTAAACCAGATACTGAGATTTTACAATTGCTATCAGATATAGAATAATTATTTTTCAAGTAGCCCAAATTATGGGGTCAATGGTGTCGCCCCCTCCCCCCTAATGATTGAAAAAGTCAATCCGAAACCAGTTGGCTGTAGGGGAAGCAAAACTAAAGTTAAGAGCGCGCCCTTTTTACTGTCAGAAACGCCCTTTCACCAAGAAATAATGTCCATTTAACCAACAGGGAACACTCTCAACTAACTTTGACAAAGTAAAGGTAGGTTCAAAATCATAGTATCACATAATACCTCTCTCTTCACATTTGTTCATCGAATTTAGAGGTAATGCAAAATTACAAATCAATAATGTCGAGAACTGGCATGTCCCACGCCTGATCACCGGCAATCGACCTGGTTCTTCTACCGATCACCGGCTATCGACGTAGCCCCCAACCACCCTAACTCGCCGTTACAATTATCCCTCAGTAGAAAAAATAATGAAGTAACCTACGTCTTTAAAAAATTTTGGTGCTTGAGATCCATCTTGCTTGGATTTCTTATCTCGCTGAGACAAAATTGTCAGCGGGACACCAAAGACACCATGCTCTAAAAAAAGGAAAAACGAGACTTTTAATTACTTGAGGAGTAAGTTTTTTTACGAGTAAGGTTTTAGATGTCTTTGACCATTGCTTGAAGCCGTCCTCACACATAAAGTTTGCCGAGATAACACATTTGCTATATGGTGTAATTTTAATGATCTTCTCGAAATGCCCAAGAAGCAATCAAAGAAAATTATTTACAATATACATTCAAAATACACGTATCCAAGCTTCTTTGTACGTAATTCCGTACTAAGTTACAACATTGTTAGGAATTAAGAAAGTACGAAGCAACCACTGTTAATTCCTGTTTTTCTGATAATAAGTCCTTCCAAAAACCCCAAAAAACTTCTGTATGAACAGTATTCTACTGAATGTTCTTAATGCCGGGGGGGTTGGGGTGTACATCTAAGCAACTGCTAAAGCGGTGATGTTAATGCGTTATCATTTAAAACACGTATCGAGTTTGATAAACTGCATAATCAGTCCAAGGCCTTCAAAAACAAAAAAGAAAGCTTGCTACAAGATAAGCATAAGCAGTTTTTGCCCACCTTTCTGTTTAAGCTTCGTAAACTGTTTCCTTCTCTTCATGGGGATGCCGCATGTATCAAAAAGGGCCGTCAACTCTATTAGCGCGAGTGACCTCACTTTCACCATATCTGACTCCGAAAGGTCAGGTATTCCTGTTATCCCAAGCTTTTCTGGTTGCAGTGTGAAATTCTAAGGAAAATTAAAGCTAGCTTGTTACAGCAAGAAAGCAGGAATTAAACTCACGTCATACTCAAACGTTAAAAGTATTAGTAAAACTTTGGGTTTGTGATTGAAACTTTTTCTCGTTCTGATTAGAATTTTGATTTTGTCATTAGAATTTTGGATTTTGACTAGAATTTTAGAAACCTGTTCGCATATTATATCGATAAGGTTGCTTATTTTTATGAAGAAAGACTTCTTCAGAAAACCTTAACTGCTAACACTAGTAGTGTTCTGAACTATCAAAGTCTCAAGTTGCTGTGATATTTCTTTCGCGCGTGCTTATCCACGATTTTCTCTGTCAAAAGCACTGCATTTACCGTAAATCCTCGAATTAGCCCCCTGGGTGAATATTTATCTTTGATATTTTTGGATGGGGGTTATTCGGGGAGGCTTATACGAGGGGGGGGCTTATAAAATTATAGTAGACATTAAGAATACATTATTGAAAGACCTCGTATATTTTAGTAGGAATCTCTTTATGCTCATTTAATTAATTTTTGTGGTAATTCAATAAAACGCCAAAGGTAACCTCAGATGGCAAAATTGAACAAATCGAGGAGGGCCAATTCGAGGATTTACGGTAGCAGTGGAGGCTTATTCGAGAGAGGGGGGCTTATTGACAATTTGTAGTACTAGGGTGGGGGTTATTCGAGGAGGTGGCTTTTTCGAGAGGGCCAATTCGCGAATTTACGGCAATGCATCTTGATTTGTGTATCCTGTCTTAGGGGAATCAGAAATGCTCGAGGGAAATAATTCAATAATTCTGCGGCCGAAAGGATACCTCATGAATGGCCGAAAAAAATATGACAGAAAATATTGTTTCTGTTCTTATTTTTTCAATTGAATTTTCGCCTGAAAGTGCGTGTTAAATATTTTCATTACATAGAGCAATGATAGAAGTCTTGAATTCCGAGAAGGAGGGGGGGAGTCATGTAACCAATCCCCTAGCCTTTTTAAAAACTCTACATGCTATTGCTGGGCTTCGTGGCATTATTGCAGATGTAAATCTTGCATTTTTGTTTATAATGAAAATCAAGTAAATAAATATACCGGTAAGGCAGGAAATGCTTCTCCGAACAGGGGTGATGGATTTTTCTCTTTACCAACCAAATCTGTTCCGATATTCTGCATAAACATAAAATACTCTTTAATTTTATTAAAAAAAGGTGCGGTGAAGGTTCATCAAAATTGAAAAAAGATGATTACAGTATTGGCAAACAAATAAATACTTAATACTCGATAAAAGTATACAAATCACCAAAACGAATTGCTTTATGTTTTGCGAGAGTTTTCATTTAAGCCTTTAGCGTATAGGACAAGGCGGCGGTTTCACGCTTAATGCGTTCATTAGGGAACGTTCTGAGGCAACTGTACATTTGCCTGATGATCGTATTTAGCATGTTACTCAGAGTAACAAATAAGAAGCGTCCTGTTCTATAAAAACCAAAATCGTGTAGAGCTCTGCCTAAACGACAACACGTCTAAAATTCAGATTAGATTTGATCTGTGTTTACGCTGCGGGTTTGGGTAGAAAACATTGAACTGTTTGTTCGAGAGGTCTTTAAATAGAGACATGTCGGAATGCGCTGTCTGCTTTCAAAGCCTTAAATAAGACAAAACCTTAAAGTAAAAAATAAACAACTTGTGGATCCACTATATGTTTTTTGCAATTTTATTGAACTAAGTGTTTACGAAGTAGATGGTCGCCAAGTGAACTTTCCAAACACAACTAAAAAGGCCAAAAACACAACATGGTGGTCTTTCTACCATTCAAGGCCATCAACACACCCTCATCCCACCCCCCCACCCCCATCCCCTAATCATAGAGCAGTGTTTGTTAGTAAGTCTTTACTCCTTTTTGACTCCAGCACTACTGTGGACGTAAATAGCCATGTTTCGGCAAATTTCTCAAGTGTTTTGGCAAGGTTTGTAGGCAGACAAAAGCTCCTACAAAAGCAACGGGAACAGCAAAACAAAATTTCACGAATATTCAAAATTTATGTTCAGAGATTGTGGATCTTGCGACAGCATTCCCTAAAAAGGATCCACAAGCTAAATGAATATCATATAGGATCTTGAAAAGTCAAGCTTACCAATTTTGCATCTTCTTCTATAGGCGTTGCTTCATTTTTCGACTGACAAGACGTTTTTAAAGGGCTTGAGTGCTGAACCAAATTGTTGTTGTCCTCTATTGTTAATTTGAGCAAATCTTCTGCGCTTTTATGCCTCATTTCTTCAAGGTTTTTTGGAGAAACGCCATAAATGCGACCAATTTCTTCTGAGGATGCATAATTGTTACTTCGAGGTTTCGGATGTGCATGACGAGAACGAGGAGTAGCTGGATAACATAATGATGTACTCATTTTGATGTAGATCGTGAAAGGTTCATAACTTTGGACTAATCAGTTTCCAGATGGGGGGGAGGGGCTAAGCTTCCTATTAGAATCAGAGGATCCAAATACCATTCAGATTCAAAAGTTTTGACATTTCAGCCAATGAAACAAAAATCGAACCCTGAAGGAAAGCCAAACTTTTCTGAATCATAGAAATTCCAAATTACCATAATTGACAAAACATTATGGTGAGAATTTTTTTTTGAAATTTATATGAATTGAAATATTAGACAAAATTATTTTAAGGCGGAAAGTGTTATTTTATTTAGAATAGATTTAATGAATTAAAATCTTTTAAACCCATACAACTGCAATTTTGACATTGAAAAACTAATTACCTGCATATGACCGCAAAGGACTGCCTTCACTTTTGGTTTTATCAAGTTTGGGTCTTTCTTGTGTATCATGTTTCATCCCATCCCTTCTATAAACTTTGACTATCCCTTCACTAACTGCCCTCCTAGGCCCTGGAGGCCTCATGTTCATTTCTGAGTTTGCAGTATCTTTTAAAGTTTTTGCATCTGGAGTGTAAAATAAGTCTTTAGCCTGAAGTGAATGTAGAGGCTTTCCTTCCATTTCCCTTGAACTCTTCATGTATGAGACATTGGACAAGTCATTTTTGGTTTCAGAACTTTCAATTTTCTTTACATTCTGGATTCTTGTATCTATATTATTAGTAAGATATTCTTTGGTATCTCTTTGACTGTTAGATCCATTGAATAAATTGTCAATACCCTCTCTCACATTGTCATGTTTCTCTCTGTCTGAACTGTCCTCCTTTGTTGGTTGTGCTGGAAAAATATCTCTAACATCAGGACGTCTTGATGCTGCTCCAGACTCCCTTTTTCTACGGCTCATTGTGTCATTTAGTGACTTAATCCTTTTTCTTACAGTTTCAGACTGTCGTCTTGTCAAGGTTGCTGTCATAGACAGGATGTCAATGTCATCTGGATCGATCTCTTTTTCATCTATGAAAAGGGAATCGGTGAAATGCAATTAAAATTATATATAATTTTCTTAATAATCTATGAGCTTAAAGAGCATGTCTAGCAGATATGAGTGCTTTTTTCTGAGCAAATTTTTTAAACCTCATTTAAAGAAAGAAACAATCTCACGTAAGATCATGTTAAGAAACTTTACTTACTTTCATATTTCATTATAACACAAGAGAATCCAATATCATTCAACCAGTCTATGTCATCATTTTCTTGATCTACAAAAATAAAATACTGACTTACTAAAATGTAATTCATACTGTGAAAGGAATTTTATTCCTTTCAATATCGCTCTATATGCAGCCTCAACATCACAGAGTTGAGGCATAAAACATTTTATACATAATGTAAAGAACTCAACATTAAATTGCAAATTTTGCATTAAATGATATTTAGCCACAAGAGATGCCTGACAGGCTGTACTGCAAGAAGGCAAATCATCAAAAGAGGGAAAAGCAATGGCATAATAAAAAGAATTGCTAATTTTTCAAGGGCAATGGGGGGAACTGCCCCAATTTGTCCCTGTTTCTGGTATAATATTTATGAACTGAATTTTCTGGGGCTTGAAATCGAGGTCATCTTATTAAAAAGGCAGCTTATAATTAAATGAATGTCATTATTCTAAAATTTATTAACCATACATTTGTGGATCCCTTTATCACAGAAGTATCTCTTTGGAATAAATTGATTACAAATCCCATACCTATTTCAGTCTCTTTTGTTTTCATTTCTGCTTCACTGAGGGGGTTTACCGAATGATCATGTTCCAAGTTTATAGACTGGCACTCATCCCAAAATACATCATAAACTGTTTCAAGCTTTGTCAGTTGCTTGCTTGCCATGATTTCATCCATGTCTTTAAATAGTTACATATATGCAGATCTGTTCAGGAAAATAAAAAATATGTATTTAATTTGCATGGTATTGTTTTAGACCATTGTCAATATTCAGCTCTTAATTATAAGCCTGTAACAGAAAGAATACATTTCATGCTATTTGTATATATACCAAACATCCTGCTATAATATAACAAAAAATTATAGAAGTATGGAAAAAGGAAACATTTAAAGTTTCATATCTCAATGTTGACAGAAAGTAAATGATATAAATTAATGATTGATTGTAAGCAAAGCTTTTCACTTCTTAAAGCTTTGGTTGATCTTCAAAAACAAGCCAATGTTAGATACATGCTTCCATCATGGGAAAAAGCAAATTCAGTAACATCCAGCTTGTCAACCTCAAATTTTAAAAACCTGGGGATTTCAGATTATTCTCAAGAAAAACAGAGAGAATTGGCTGGAAAAGGGAGAATGTTCAAGATAAGTTCTGAAAAAGCATGTCACTGACATGAAACCGAATATTTCCAGCCTAGGTAGGCAAAACAATGCAAATTTATTGAACAAAATTGGTTGAAATTTCAGAAAATTAATAAAAAAGCTGTGAATGGAATAGATAGAACAAAAATGCAGAAAACAATAAGATCTCTTTGCTGTTGCTAGACATCTTTGAAAAAGGAAAAAAATCAAATAATAAGGAGACCGGGAGAATGAAAGCAAAACCTGGCTGGTGTCTCCAGGCAAAACAAGGAGGGTTGACAGGTCTGTACATTTAGTATTTTGTCCAGATAATTTCCACAGTTTTTTAAATGCCTAAGTATGTATAATTCTAAAAAAATCTGAAATAATATCAATTTTCAAAAGTCTTTTCAGTATCCCTTTTTTCTTAGCTATTACAGTTAAATAAATGAATATTTTCTTAAACCTTATCGGAATAATAAAAGTTCTTCCTCCTGACAAAATTTTCGTTCAAATTTTCTTGAAATGAGCCAAACAGACATTTTCCCTAGGACCTGCAAAACAAATTTGTAATGTGAAGATATTGGCATAAAAAGACGTTCAGTAGAAGGCTTGTAGATCATGTAGAAATGTAGATCATGTGCATGGCAGATTTAGCAATGCATACTGGCACAGGTTTAGTATTTCATATTGACACAGGTTTAGAATTGCATACTAACTAAGAAACCGTTGATTCTCCAGCTAGTGATAGTTTTTAAGTCATTGCCAGTATCATTTGTTTCTGGGGACATAATCTAAGCAAAGATATTTTCATCACATTGAATAATGAAAGCTATCTTACCATTGAGCTAAAGGTGAAGTCATTTCTATGGAATGTTTCTGTAATTTGCAAATTTACGAGACTTCTAACTGACAACTAATGCCAAAAGGTATCATTTTGCACATTGAACTGTGTAGACTTATTTGAATTTGTATATATCTGGGATAATAAGTTCCTTTGAGGAGAAATCACGTATGTCTAATAAGGAAGCGGTCTGGAAACCGTTAGTAATCCCATGCGATTACAAACAGAGAAAAAAATCATGCCTGAAATCTGTTGGGATGCATAGGTTTGTACATGTTTTGAAATGAAAGGCGCTACCCTTCTTACTTGCTAGATCTGTCTAGCCCAAAAAAAATAAAGACCAGTTTACCTCAAAGGATACAGAATGCCTTCGCCACACTTGATGAACTGAAAACTTCAAAGCGAAAAGAACAAAAGCTGGGAATTGTTGGTTTCTCTTTCTTATACATTGCAATACAAAAGTCTTCTTTCAAATTTGGACCAGCGAGATTGAGTGTAAACAATGTTTGGAAAGTGAGGCTTGCGTGAAAAAGAGATTGACAAATCTCACTTCGCGTTCGCGTTCTGGAAGGGTGTGAGAGGTGCTTCTATTTATATTATTGAGATGGTAGAGCAAGGAAACACGCTCTTTACATTTTCATATCTTGATAATCATTCAAGATTTATAACTTAACTAAACGAGGATAGGAAGATAACTGAACTACGCTTTACAAAGCTTCGGATTAAATAGTACTTGTCACGTGATTATAAAAGGTCATGTGATCTGGGGAGCGTCCTACTACAAGGGTGGGGGGGGGAGGGGTACGTCTTTTAATCGCCAGAAGCAGGTATGTACACCACTCAACCCGTAAAGATTTTGTAGTTAGCAGTATAGTATAATGAGTCTTTTATAGCAAAGTGGCATTTCCGGGTAATTATGTTGTTGCGAGAAAGTCCCCCTTAACCTCCAGAAATTTTCAAACAAAATTTTTCTTTGGTGTTATTTACTTGCAAAAAAAGCAAGCAAAATTGCGTATTTCCAACTCAAACTGACCCAAACGGTGGCCGATACGCAACTTTTAGTTTTCTTGGTGTGGAATGGAATTACATCACTCCCGAATATGGCAGCTGGACATTTTGCACAAATATTATTTTTGATGCAATGCCAGGGCCGCACTAACATTTTAAGGCCCCCGGACCAATGCATAGACGGGGCCTCCCTATCAACAAGTGTGAAAGATAAAATAAATTTCATGAGCTATTGAAAAATTAATTGAAAGCTGGAAGTTGGAAGCTATTAAATGCATTACTATATACATGCAAAATTATATTTTAGCTCGACCTTTTATTCAATATTATGCGACCTTAATCGTAAAAAACGTCTCAAATCGCTTACTGCCCGAGGTGGCACTCGGCGGCACAATGGTTTGATATAATGATAATAATAATATTTCATTTATTTACAGTAGGCGCTCTTTACAGTAGTAGCTAAAAGATAAGCTAATTAAAGCCTACTATTTTTAGGAATAAAAATATGCAGTGATATTAAAGCTATTTAAAGAAATACATTAAAATACCAAGGATTTAACTAGATTAATAGTTGAAAATAATCATGTTAGATAATTCATTTCAAGAACCCGACCTGTGCTACAAAGGTTCTACATAGCCTGCAGTTGCAATTTTCCTTTCATTGTTTGATATTTACTTTAAAGGTATTAAGAGTATTTTGGTTTTTCAAGTTTTTTTGGTAGATTGTTCCAAAGCTTACATCCTAAATAGGACAAGCTTTCGATTCCATGAGTGATGGTTCGAGTTTTTGGGATTTTCATTAATCTACTGTTTCTAAGATGGTATTGGCTGCTCTTTTGTATGAATATTTCATTCTGAAAGCTTGGATTGAGTTTATGTACAGTTTTGTAGATCTCAATCATTAGTAGCTGCAGGTTTCTTTTGTGTATGGATTGACACACAGTTGTTTTCAATCAGGAGAGTATCAAAATCTGACACATTTTTTTTGCATGCGATACGCAGTGCTTTTTCATGTATATGGTTTATCTTATTATTTAGGCTTTTGTCACAAAACAGCCATACAAGTGGGCAATAGCTAAATTGGCATGAAATGCGGGAGAGAGCGTGTTGTTTTTGGCTAGCCTTTTTACACAGTGTTTCTAAGTGTGGCTTGAATGAGAGTTTTTTGTCTATAGTTGCACCAAGTAGTTTTTCCTCGCTGCTTTCGTTGATTAAGTTGTTGTGTATTTGTATGGCTAAGTCATTATTTTGATTGTCAAAGGTCATGAAGTGGCATCTGTTCCGATTTAACTTCAAACAGTTGACTTTAAACCATTCTGCAACTGTTGAGGAATTTTTCTCTAATTTTTCAATTACATGTGAGGGGTTAATGTTGCTTGCATAGAGAATTGTGACATTTGCATAGTTGCATATCACTATGTCTGGTACAAACAAAAGCAGATGGTCAATGTAAATTTTAAATAAGAGAGGCCATAGAACTGACCCTTGTGGAACACTTTTGTCGATTTTTTTCCATTCACTGAAGGACCCATTTAAATTCACTCTTTGTTTCCTCTTGTCTAGATAGCTGACAATAAATGAACAATAAATGAACATGATAATAATAAATGATAATAAATGAACAATAAAGCTTTTCTGCCGAATCCATATGCATTAAGCTTTGCTATCAGAAGTTCGTGGTTTAAGCAATCAAATGCCTTTGATAGGTTCATAAAGACAGCCCCGACACACTTTCCGGCGTCCAGGCTAATCTTGCATTTTACAGTGAAGCGCAGTAGAGCATGTTGTGCACTATAGTTTTCTCGAAATCCACAAAGCAAATGGCTAAGGAAGCCTAGTGAAAACGGTTTCATCTGAGATTCCAAGTCTTTCGTATTCTTTTGAGACTGGTTAGAGAACCGCGATTGGTCTATAGTTTTTCCTAACATGTATATCCTCTTTTTTATGACTGGATGAAAATATCACCAGTTTAAGCTTCGATGGGAAGTTGCATTCATCCTGATATGATACATATTCGCTAGAAAAACACTCTTGCAAGCAATTTTACCTATACAACATAACTGAAAAGGTTTTCTTTAGATCGTGACAAAATCTGTGACAAAGTCTTGATATCGGGACTAATCTGGGCAGCTGAGAGTTGTAAATAAAAAAGGAGTCCATGGATTTTCATCACGCCCTTAGCCCTTGGAAAGGGCGCGGCACTTTGACATTGATTGTTTCTCATGAAGCCCCATTTGGGAGGTCATGACCTGGGTACACTAGCTTTTTGTGATTCAGCTTTTGTGCTTCTTGAATGAGCATTTTGAAATCTGTTTCCATGTTTTCGTCGACCATAAGATTTTTGTCATCCAAAATGTTCATTCAAGAAGCACAAAGGCTTCTTGTACCACTTTGGACAGCTTCTTGTACCACTTTGGACAGCTTCTTGTACCACTTTGGACAGCTTCTTGTACCACTTTGGACTTGTCCTGATAACCACTTGGACAGCGATTGAACGATTATGTGCAGTAATAGGGATTGTTTTGTCGCTCATCATATCTGCACCCTGAATCTTAAGATTTCATGGATACTGATAGTTTGTTTTAAGTGTGATGTAAGGCCGGGCGGTTAACCTTGGAGAAAAATTGGCGGAGATGTGCTTACAAGAAAATTGTTTGACCCTGACCAGAGGCACCGGAATCTTCGTGATACGACGGGGGCAGGACCAGCAGAAAGGACACTTTGGGGTGTTAAAGTTTGCTGATGAAACAGATCGGGAATCGTCGTTTAGCCAGTGACGAACCCTGGTGGTAGGTGAAGGCCCTATCAAGGGAGACAGGCTCGGTGTTTTGGGTGCATAGACCCTAGGGAAACTTTGCGTTGCTACGCTCTAAGGACTCTCAGAAACGAAGGCAACACCCATAAAAAATACCTTGAATCAAGACTACAGTCAAACTTTTTTCCCGAAATTCCTTTCACCCGATTTTATTCCCGAAAGTCCTCATCAAAATGGAAAATATTGACTTTTATCTTGCATGTAGGTACCAAGAGATGCTTGAAACCTAGATTTTATTAGCATTGAAATACTTGTGAATCATTATTACTCGGAAATCAATTTCTTGAAAGGACACTTTGTTGCCCACGTGCTACCCCCGCACCACTAGGGCAACGGGGGTGGCTGCCCTGCTGCCCCCGTGGCTCCGGTTCCCCTGACCCTGCCCATAAAAAACATGATTGCTATCTTTGAATAACATTTAGAATACATGATACATGTTCTTGAATAAGATTTAGATAACAAATGGTTTGTCAAAACAACTTTTTACTGGCAAGACATTATTTGAATTTATATTGGGCAACACCAGCATGCATTTGGGCGATGTGCTCTGCATAGAAACTAGAACGTTTTATTCGGCAGTTCACCCTTTGAAAAAAACTTAATATCCCAATATTACCTACATTCTTTTCCTATAAAATTTTTATTTACAAGAATATTCAGGCTCAGAACCGTCAATTTTTGAGAAAGTTATAAATATATTGTTCAGCCTCAGACCGCATATTTGTGTCTCATTTTTTAACAGTTGTCATTATAATGCTATTATGCTGACAGAGTTTTGCATGACTTACACATTTCGTTTTTCAACAAGTGTGGATTCTATTCGAGGGCAGCTTTTTCCTTTAAAACCTTTGAATGTTTTGTAACTATGCTCCCCTGAAGAAATATAAGATTTTAAAAGAAGTGACAATACTTTAAGAATATATTAAGGCTCAAATCGAAAATTTGTTTTGGTATTCTTATAAAAATGAGTTTATTGCTTAATAATTCTTCCCATTTTAATTTACAAATAAAACGGAGAAAATGTAAGCTGGGAAAGATCGAAATGTTTCATTGAAAATAATTCTAATCGAAAAGGGAATTCCTTATCAACAGGGTTCATATGAAATATTTCTGCTGCTAGGGTAAATTTTCCTAAACCGATTGAAAACCTGCTCCAAAAGCAGTGGTGGATTTAAAGGGGGCAACTAGGGGCAGTTGCCCCTCCCTCGCTGAGTTGAAGCAAGAATTTTATATCCAGCTCCACATTTACATTCTAGTTTCAAGAAAGGGCCGAAATCCAGCTTAGAATAAGTTCTGATTTATCACGTTCAACAGAGCAAATCTCTTATCTCACTTTCAATTGAAGCTATATATCGTAGCAGCGAGACCAATAATAGGACAGTCTCGCGAAAATGAGACATACCTGTTGAAATATTCAAATCTGTTGCTATTGCTGTTCAATTTTATTTTTAATTACTTTATTCTTTCGTTATCCTTCCTTATTAAAAAATCTTTTTTTTTAATTTGGATTTGAGTTTCATCATTTATCTTCTTAGCGCTCTGAACTGTCATTTGTTTGTAAATGGAATGCTTACATCGAAATGTACCTTCGTATTTTGCGAGCTTTTCTGAGCAATTATGGAAAAATTATGTTAACATAATCTTTTCTTTTGTTATCGGCAATAAGTTTTTCCTTGGTCCCCCTTTCCAACCTGCTTCGGAGCCCCTAGTTACCTATCGTAATTGCTGAGCATATTCGACTTGCTATGACGTAATGAAGTTTGCGCGTTATCGTAAGAAGGTATAGAAAGATCATAAAGCCTTCACAGGATACCAGTTTATCCGTTGTAGCACTCTTTAGGACGGCATCCAATCTTCTTGTGTACGTCTTGTGCGGTTGAATCGTTTTCAAAGTAATCTTTCTTTAACTTCAAACTATCACTGTTTTAAATAACATTTCTTGTTGTGAATATTCTGGGATCTTACATATTTTCCTGCGCTTAAAGACACCGACTGGGTCTTTTTCTTTGCTGGGTTTTCTTAGAAACTTCCGCTTTTGAATCGACAAAATTGACCTCAAAGTTACCAAAAAAAAGGTAACTCACCTGGTATATCCCGAGGTATCACCAAACAGCCCTTGATTCAAGACCAACCTGAGTTATTATAGTTAACATAGGTAAATGGTTTTATGCTTAACCAACTGGCTGGATTGATAATTTTCTTTGTGAATGTTTCATTCTAGTGTTTCTAGTGACAACAATATATTCCGTTTCTTAAAGCTCGATGAATTCGGATAATTTTTTTATGATATTCGCGCCCAGACTGAAAGTGATGCACAACTCTCTTAGAACAGACTTAAAGCAAGCTGCGTACTGAGCAAGCCCGTTGGGTCATCTCACACTAACAAGCTTCCAGCAGTCGTGTCTGAGGGTCTAGAAAACTGACCCTTATATGATTCCAATTTGTTTCCCCTTCTCTCTGAAACCAAATAGAATTTATACCCTTTTTCCTGAAATCAAGTAGTTGAAATAAGGGTTGACAAAAAAAAATTAGAAGCTATATCAAGATTACTATACTATACAACTTTTTTTCAATTTTCATGTCCTAGATATATGACAAAATTGAACCCCTTTATTAGAGATATTGAAGACACGGGTGCTTACACTTGACAATGAGAGTGGACCCGCCGGGGAGCACAGAAACCCTGAAAAGCTAGTTACATATGACCCCAAGAATTCTCCTTCATTTTGGTAACAGTAACTAGGTGGTGTGCTATAAGGCAAAATTGGGGTGAAATTGTGCCTAAAAGTCACTGTTGCCTGCCTCTACGAATAAGAAATGCAGTGATGACTTCTTTTCAAGCTTGAGTTAGCTTGTATCTGATCAATTATATCATAGACTAATTGTTGTTGTTCTTCATTTTTAAATCGATGGAAAACTCTAGCTTTAAATAGTGTAGATATGAAAAAGAATCAGATTCGATTCAGAAGCATGATTTTTCTTATTTACAAAAATAAAGTATTTTTGCATTCGCAGAAATTACGATTTCAGATTGGACAATCCGGTTTTAAATAATTTGTTTCAATTCACTTAGATTTTCAGCTATTTTACGCTCTTATGCAAACTCGTTCCAAATGTTTGGCTCTATATATCTTAGACGGTTTTAGCGGGTCCAGGAAGCAACGGCCCCTGGCCCCGCGCAAATGGTAGACAGAAGGGACCCTGCACCTAATAAGGGCCTCGCAGATGTTTTCGGTCTCGGGTCCCGCAGTGCCTTAACCGCCGCTGGTTTCTTGGTTTTGTTACGGCTGCAAATCGAAAGGGTGCCATAAAGAATAATTTCATATCTTTACTCTAAAAATGTCCTGCATAAAAGAAAGACTTAGGCTTTGACGTCTTTTGAAAATTTCCACGCAGAGAATCTTCAGGCGTGAAATGTGCACTGTTTGGATTGGGCACTAATTGAGCAACCTTAACAGTCATGTGCTCGTGTTTCTGATTGGCCTATTTCGATCCATTTCGATCCACAACTGGGTATATATATTTCCTAGCGTAGAGATTTCGATCTATGTTCTGACATTTTATGCTCTGAAGAGTGTCAGACGAAAAGCTTTAGTTTTATTAAAATGTTTTTTTTCAAGTTTTGTATCACCAAAAGATAATGTGCACTGTACACAAATGTTTTGGAAAGTAGCGCGCCGTATAAACTTGAATGACCAATTGATAAAAAATACAAAACTAGTGAAAGATGTTGAAATTTAAGTATACATTGAGTTCAGAAACGTATGGCTCAAAGTTGAGAGTATAGTTAAATCTTAAGGCCTCGTTATGAAGGCCTCGTTATGATGCCGGGGTCACTGAAACAACCATTGCTGTTTTTGTTGCCCAAATGCCACTGAAGTTGATCTGACCGAAAACAACGCCTGATAGCAGTCATTTTTTACCCATTGCTACAGGGGCGGATCCAGACCGAATTTCGCAGTTTCAATTGCAACAGTTACATTCATGGGAAATGATTTTTATCAGATTCTTGTAATTTCCACAGATAAGTTTGATAATCAAGTTCTATATTTCTGGAACTTGTAGTTTTTTATATCGGTGAAAGTTTTAGGAATGACAGTTTAATTCAAAAAAAGCGAGGGCTTCACTTGCGAGGGGCAGAGAACAGAGCACATGCATTTGTCTTAATGCCTTTCACAAGGTGTCCAACCACTGTTTTTTTTATTCCAGGCTATTTGGATCCGTGTTGTGTTGCTAATGCTATTTGGGTCCGTGTCAGGGGCGGTCTGGCCCGGGTGGCAAAGTGGGGATCGCCACCCAGGCGCTGTTTAAAAAAAATTTACGGGTCCTTCCCGCGCTTGATAAAATTCTTTAATCAAATGAAAAAGACTTAATGGCTTACAAAAAATTACTTTGCGATTAAAGTCCCATTACAAGCATTTCAAACCAACCAAACCCTGGTTTCTGTTATTTCCGCCATGTGTTCAATCTGACCTGTATCCTGGGTACCAGAACCACAACATTTCGAGCGCGTAAACATAATACCAAGCAGAGTAGAGGAGGAGCTGACTCTTATCTTCTAGTTCCGCTCTTGAATTTATGTGGCTCTGGTACCCAGGGTATCTGACCTGGAATGGACAAAAATTGCTTGATTGAAAAACATCTATGTTTTAGTTGAGAATTGATACAGGTCACATTTTTAATCCATATTTTGATAATATGAAACAGCAAATATCAGAGACTGCTGTGGGAAAGAAATTTTTGGGAAGGGGGTTGGAACGGTTGTTCATTGTATTTATTCCCACTCAGTACACTGTTATACAACTGCTATTGCTATTGATAATTTCAAGCGAAGAGAAAACTTTCACCTTGATTATGAGCAAGCCATCGACCAATTTGTCGATTCATCTGCACTTCTTCGAAAAGAGTTACACGAGAGGAAATGTATGGATTCAACTGAGTCCGAATTTTAAGAATTAAAATCGATAAAATGGTGCTGTTTAGCACATTGTTTTATTACCAATTTTTATTTAATTATCCAAATTTAAGGCCACATTTTTAGTGGGTGTGGCTCAAACTTTTAGTGGCTTTTAGTGGGTGTGCCCTAAATCGGGCCCTTTGAGTTTGCTTGCCACCCTGCGATTTTGACGCCAGACCGGCCCTGGTCCGTGTGCATATTCAATTTCTTATGACACAAGTAGCAGCCCACAGAACGGAAAACATGCATTTGCCTTAATGTATTTCAAAGGGTTTTCAACAACTGTTCACTAATTCCAGGCTATTTGCATCCATGTTGCTAATGCTACTGTTAAGGAAAGATAGCTTTTTTGATGCATATTCAAATTCTCATGCCGAACGTAGATAGCCCACACAACAAAAAACATGCATTTTGCCTTACTGTCTTTCGCAAGGTATTCAACAACTGCTCACTATTTTTCACTCCAGCCAATGCCACCCCCTGTATCTATTATGTAGAAAACCCATCATATATCATATCGATTTAAAATTTTGCTAATGCTGCTGTTCATGAAATATAACTCATTTTTTGTTTTCAATGTTATTAAACTTTTGCACCTTTTTTCCTTTGCAAATCTGCAACGGTCAAATTTTTCTCTGAATCCGCCCCCCTCTCCCTGAACTACTAATTTTTCTTTGTCAATTTCATATGGTATTTTGTAAGATCTTTGCCAAACTGGTATGATAGGTTGTCATTTAATTTATGAAATATTGTGGTTTAATTTAGCCTATGAAATGGTTTACCGTCACGTGTTCAAACGACGTTTATTGCGTATGAAATTATTTGAGAGCACTTTTGAATCTTTGATTCAATTTCTAAATAATCACAAATTAATCACAAATTAATCACAAATTAGTCAAAAATTAATCACTTTCATCACTAAAAATCAAATTAATCACACAAAAAAATGACTTAATCGCAAACTTATCACTAGTGATAATTAATCTCGTATACCATTGAGTGAACCTCAGTTTCCTTGTCCCCACCTTAGCCTCGTTCGGGCGGCGGCAAAACCTCGTGTATGCATTTCGTGCAAGATGGCCGCGGAAACCCTTCGTAAACTCGCCAAAGATCTGAATTGTGATATACATGATGAAAAACTTGCAGCACACCTTGACAGTATCGATGAACTGAAGTTTTGCCGATCAGAATTCCAATATCCGAAAAATAAAAATTTGCCGCCAAGTGAGTCAGTCTCATTTCAATTACCTCGACTCATTAACCTCGACTTCCAATCTGCAGAGTGTGGCATGTGCACACACAAGATTTTTTCAGAGAGCCTGCTTGTCTAATGCACACAAAATGATAAGGCTTCACACACATTTTTCTGGGTACTGGAAAATTTTTAAGGACCACCCTTTTTGAAATGTTGCTTTCGTATGTTGGTTGGTCTAAACAACATTTTCTTTGAAATTTTGAAATGCTGATGAATTGATATTTTAGTATTCACAAAACAACTTTGACTTGTTTTGGACAGCATCAGAACCATCTGATTGTCACAAGTTGAAAAAGTTGCTGTCTATAAATAAATTAGAGAACAAGTACCAATTTTGCTATGTGCATTTTGTGAGCAGATTGAGTTTCTCTAGATGATGCTCTCCTCCTGATTTGAAAAGCTCTGGCATGCAAATACATTAAATGAAATATGAGGCACAGCTTTTCAGGGTTGCTCAATGAAATTTTAAAGGTTTGAGAAGTTAGAACAAGGGGGGTCTGGGGGTACTCCCTAAAGGGCCACACCCTATAGATTACTGCAGAATGGCCCTGGAGTCATCTCATATTTCTTTTGATTTGATATTTTGATATGACCTATGCCTGCCCTAAATCCATTTATGTCCAGAATTAAAAATCTACTGACTAATATATTCCAGTTCTCCAAGAAACTACAAACTTAGCTTTATTCTCAATCTTCTAAGTGAGGGCTGGTAAAAAGAGGCCTTGCCAGTTACTAACAAGGGGCATAAAAAGGTCTGAATCAAATAATTTACTCTGTAGGGATCATTCTGTGGACTGAATTTTGTTAAAATCAGCTGACTGAGTGAACTTTTATGGGGTTACATTTCAACTCCACACCCTCACTTAAGAGTTTGACTAACTACAAGGTAGGGGGTTAAAATAATTGAAATGTAATAATATAAACAAAATATATGATTGCCCCAATTTTGTGGAATGCTTGAAAGTGTTTTGGCAGAAATAATTGCTGTGCACACATTGTGAGACAAATTGACAAATACTTTGCTCATTAGAAGCTTGCAGCACACATTGGATCAAAACTGAACAGTGTGCAAACATTGCACACTTTGTCAGTACTCTTGCACACATGCAGGCATTTATATTTGCTCTTGCACACACAAGATCTTGTCGAGAACTGCCACCCTCTGCAGACTGGCTTGACTTGACAGGTCATATCTCATATTTACTAACATTAGAAAATTTTGAGATTCCTCAGATTTAAAATGATCGTAGGTAATATCGGACAAAAGTGTATTATTGTTACTGAACTAAAAATCTCATTATTTTATAATACATTTACCTGGTTCAATTGGAGCTTTTTTGAAAAATTAGTTCACTGTAAAAGCTCTTTAAGCCCCTGGGGGGCTTATTCATTTTTTCAGTCCTAGAGAAGGGCTTACAAGAGAATTGGCTTATTAGAGAAAGGGGGCGTATCAACAATTTGAACCAAAAAAGTTTTAAAAATGCCCTTGGCCATTTTTTGTCATGAAAATGTCATACAAGTGTTCTAAAAAAACTTTGCCAGCAGCTTCGAAAGTTTATACAATCAATTATAAGGTCCTCATCTTCATCAACATCACCAGGATAAATTGATAACCAACCCTTGGATATCTTCAAAACAAATTTCGACTGACTACCAAGTCACACAAGTTAGTCTTTACATAGGCCGTATTTAATGCCCTTACCCTTTTATCATCACCACCCCCCTCAAGTGACCCACTAAATGCGCATGTCTTCTATGTTTGACATCAAAGGCTAAAGTGGGGGCTCAATAGAGAGGGGGGCTTATTTAAAGTTTTTGCTTGATAAGGAGAGACTAATAGAGAGGGGGCTTAATAGAGAGGGGACTTGATAGAGAGTGGGGCTCAATAGAGCTTTTACAGTATTTAGGACATTTTTATCAATGACCATTCCTCATTTTCCATGCTTCTTGCATTCCTGGTCTCTCTAATATTCCCACCTTGGTTCTATATATTGAAAAATTAATCCTGCTTCTCTGATAATCCCACATGCAGGATTTTTTTAATAAAGAGACCAATGCATCAATGGCGGCTTGTGGGGTAAATTTTTGGTGGGGCTAATGACATAATATTCTAAATCTAAAGCCATGAACACGGAACGCCAAGAATGATAAACAGCTTTTCCATTCTTCACTACCTCTAATCAACAATGCTGTCATCATTTTAAAAGTTTTGATTGAAAAGAAAGTGCTCCTATTAATGACTTCAAGAATACTAAAAAATACTTCATGAAAATTGTGAAATTTTTGTCCCTTTTCTTCATAGTAGTTTTAACATATGCGTAGAAAACAGCAGCTTCCCTGAAAGACTAAAAGAAGCTGATATAACAACCATATTTAAGAAAGACGATGCTCTTGTTAAGAAAATTTATAGACCTATTTCAGTCTTGCCATCAATGTCTAAGGTATTTGAGAGGCTAACGGAAAAGCAGATAAAGCCAGATGCTAATACCTTCCTAAATCCTCTAATCTGTGGTTTTAGGGAAGGGCATAGTACACAGCATGCCCTATTACGTTTTATTGAAAACTGCAAAAAGTATGAGACAAGAGAATGAGCACAGGGGCTATTTTTGTAGATCTCTCCAAAGCATTCGATAGCTTAAACCAAGATCTATTAATTGCTAAATTAGAAGCATATGGTTTTACAAGGAAAGCTTTAAATTTTTTATATAGCTTTCTGAACCAGAGGTGGCACCAGAAATTTTCCGACAGAGGGGCTGGAGCTTCCGACAGGGGGGCTACAATGACTAAAATAAGCAGTTTTCTTACGTTATTTTGTCAAATTTGCTTTGACAATAACCTAAAATTTCCTCCGATCGGGGGGCTAGATGCTTCCGTTGGAGGGGCTGTAGCCCCCCTAGCCCTCCTCTGGTGCCACTACTGTTCTGAATTCTAGAAAGCAACGTGTTAAAGTTAATGGACCTTACAGTGAATGGAATCATATAAACCATTCAGTGCCTCAGGGTTCTGTCCTCGGCTCTCTCCTTTTCAACATCTACATTAACAATTTATGTATGTTTGTGTCTGGCAGTGTGGTTTGTAACTATGCAGATGACACAACTATCATGTCAGTGATCATATGGACAATGAAATAGTCGGAAAATTGGAATATGATATTTCCATTTTATCTAAATGGCTCTCGGACAATTTCATGAAATTAGATGGAGATAAATGCCACCTGATGTTTTTCAATAGTATAAAGAACACCAACCTATCGATAAGAATTGACAACCAAGTAATTGCTGAGAGTTCAGAAGAAAAGTTATTGGGTATTTTATTAGACAAGACTTTATTCTTCAAATCACAAAGTAACATCACTATACAAAAGAGCTAAACAAAAGTTACATGCTCTATCGCGTATCGCCAAGTATATGGATACTGTAAAACTAAAACAAGTTATGAAGGCCTTCATCCTTTCCCAGTTCAACTACTGTCCTCTTATATGGATGTGCTGTGAGAGACACCTTAATGATAAAATAAATCACTTCCATGAGATGGCATTACGAATCGCCTATAAAGATGACAATTCTGATTTTACAACACATTTAGAACAGGACAATGCTGTGAAAATTCACACAAAGAATTTACAGCTTCTCATGATTGATATATAAGATACATAATAATCTTAATCCAACATTTATGGAAGATATTTATTGCTAAACGCCCTCAATACAGCCTATTTTCAAGATGCGGCGTTCAATAGAGGGCAGCGTTTATCAGAGGGCGGCGTTTATCAGAGGGCGGCATTCATTAGAGAAAATACGTTAGAGAAAGTAATGAGAGGCACTTGATTGGTGCATTCTCTTCTAGTTAGGGGCTAGCCCCAAAAGCTCGGGAGATTGTTTCTGATACGCCTGTTTGTCTAGTTTTCAAAAGAACCGCAGGCAGTGGGACCTAAACAAACTAGAGAATGGACAAACAGTGAAGCCCAAAGCAATTAGTGAACAGTGCTAAATTAATAATGATGGACGTTGATTCTAAAACTTATTTTTTGAAATCTTTGGTGGGGCTTAGCCCCAATAACCCTAATACACAAACCACCACTGCAATGCATTGTAAATGTGCTTGAGGTTTTGAATGATTTTCGTCCATTCACTATGGTCTTTTTCATTTCCATTTGGGCTAATGATGTTTCAAGCAATTAGCATCAACTTTCTCATTAACTTTTGTCGATCTTCTTTGTAATTTACATGCAATGTTTCAGCTCCAAAACATAGGAGAAAATGTTAGAAATTTCAGCTGGGTGATGCTATGTCAAATAAGTGAGCGAAACATTATTCTGACACCCACCATCTCAGAATTGGCTAATTTACTGTCTGAAAATGCCTTACCATATTAGAGGCACATATGTAAAGATTTTTCTTGAAATTCAAACCGTTTAGATGTTCTGTGATTCCTTTTAAAGAAACCCAAAAATATTTAATATTTATCATTATGAAGTACACTTAAGTTTAGTTACATCTCTGTACTAATCTGATACAGCTGTTTTCAGCTTTCACTGCGATGGCCATTATAATATTCAGCAACCAACTATGGCTTCAGTCATAAAGTGGGTGTGAAAGATTTGTCTCTAGCCCAAGCAAAATGATTAATCCTTAGGATTTTATTTCATATTCAGATAGCATTTTAAGCTAGAATGTAAGCACAAGAATGAAGCAATTTGCTTTCAGTGACTTTAATTGAAAACTTTGGGAAACCTTTTTGACATATTTAAATCATCCAGGAAAATTGGACATTAGTCAGTTGGGGGTTGAAAAGCCCACATGCCTTGCTATAGAAAGCAATTTTCATTCAATTGATTCGACAGGTCATTTTCCTTATTTCTCTCTTTTATGTATCATACTTTAGCCCGAATTACATGATCTGTAGATAGCTGTCATCTAGAATTAAGAAATGAATATCAGGCCAATTGTTAAATATTTATTAACAGTCTTCTTTAAACATTTTATTAAAGCTGTTTATATAAAAGGAATTTAGATGAACCTTTTGAGGTCTATTTCCTTAATCTGAAATTCTAAGTTTCTTTTAAGGGGAACTCTAAAAAACACTTGAGTTTTTTATTATATTTACTTTTTTCTAGTTGATTTGAACCTTGTTGATGGCGATGAGGATTGTATCTACTTGTGTAGCAACTCTCTTGGCTTGATGCCAAAAAAGACTGCAGATTATGTTCAAAATGAAGTCAAGAAATGGTCAGAAATGTAAGTATGTTTTACAGTATTGGACATTGCAGTTTTATTTAACTTTTTTTCAAATTTATTGTTATTCATTTTCCATCTGAATTACTTTTCACTAGTTTCACAGAAATAATCACATCAACATACCGTATTTCCTCTAAAGAATGCCACAGCGTTTATTTGATGCGGCGTTCAATAGAGGGCAGTATTTATCGGAGGGCTGCATTTAATACAAAATGAAAAGTTTTTGAAAGTTTACAAACGATGTCTTCATGTTATGAAAATGTTGAGGAATGTCAATACCCCTGCCTCCATCAGAGTCCTCGTCTCTATGACATAAAAATTTCATAGTTTTCAAATAGTTTTGTGTTTTCTAATGAACGAGGGCGGCGTTTTTTTCAAAATGGTTGGCTGAAGGTGCGACATTCAATAGAGGGTGCCATTTATCAGAGGGTGGCGTTCATATATTTTATGTTTATGTTATCAGAGGGTGGCGTTCATTTTTTATCTTTTTTATAAAAAATTTTATAAACTGATAGAATACTGTGTCATTTGTTCTTTCCTGATGTGTCATGTTTTTTTTAATTAAAAAACTATTATCTTATCAATGTATGAGGTAGCATTACTATTCCTTATTCAAGAGACACTTTTCATCATTTTACTCTGTCAAAATTAAAAAGAGATCATAATCATGATTTAGTATAAAAGTAGATGAAAATAATTTGCTTCATAAGAAATCAAGTTCATGCATTCGTTTTGAAGTATTGATAGAGGTCTTTTCTTCTCCAATTCTATCTGTTTGGCCAATTTCAAATGTTGTTGGTGAAGACACCCACTTGCTTTTAAATACCTGAACGATTTCTACATAATATTTCTTGATTTTAATATTAATACCTTCACAATATTAATATTTATAAAAACAACTTGACCTTATTTCCTCTAACCAATGAACAAAAATAAGTAGCTTTGCATTTTACCATGGCCAATGGAATGGCTTTAGAGTCTTGAAATGTTTAAGACAACGTTTTTAGGTTCATCGCAGCTTTTTGATCCGTAAATTGTAGATTGTAAACACTTTTAAAGTAGCCATCGCTCTTACATCCGTGTTGATCGCTATCTACTATGCTCAGCAGTCGCTATCTACTATGCTCAAGGGGGATGTCCAGGTTCCATTTGCCGGATTGAAATCGGCCGACGGGATAATGTTTTTGAAAGCACGGATTGAGAGCACGTTTTTGAAACCGACGGGATAATCCTTCACAACCAACCCCCCCCCCTCTTCATAGTGACGGCTTTGCTTCCCTTTTCAGATGTTCATTGATTCTTCTGCTTTGCAAATTGGGAAAAATTACTTGGAAACTCTAAAAATAAAAACAGAGTCTTGAAAACGATATGAGTCGCGCCTTACCGCAGTCCATGCGATAAAAAGCCATTGCTTTGTTAACTCGGGGTTAGTGTCACAGTTTAGATATGAAAAATGCACCGCACAGTTGATGACGCGGACATACTTTTTATTTGCTTCTTGCTGCTTTTTCAGTTCAAAGATCCCTTCGGTCATATTTGTGTTAAACAATTTACTTTATCGATCAGTGAGGCGCCGGAATATCTATTGTTGTATCCTTTTTTGTGTTATAGGGCTCTCTATGGCCACCATCATGGTGTTTTTCCATGGGAGAAGGCAGAGGACTTTGCAGTAGAGCCATCAGCAAAACTTGTAGGTAATGTGCTGTTGTGCCCGCATAATACATATAATGTATGACAAAACATCATATTTTAGGAGTTTTTCAAGGTCATCAATTGATATGATAAAAGTTAAGCAGTAGCAGCCCTATGAAAGAAATAGGGGCACGGTAAACGGGAGGTATGCGAGGCAGAGAGCAAGTAGGACTTAGGGCAGGGAGCACGAGTAAAGTAGACTCGGAGTACGGGAATTAGAGGTACTGGGACTGGGTAAACGGAACAAGGGGATCTGGTGGTATGGGGGAATCGGGACATTTTAATCGAGGATATAGAGAGTTAACATTCTCGGGGCTGTGACTCAATAAGTTAGTTTGGCCCCAATCTAGTTTTCTACTTTCCAATGAGACCAGTTTATAGAATTAGTTGTCGCAGCGTTATCCTTGTTGTGTTGCTGATAGCGTAGGTCAAAAATTTAGCAATTTGTAAAGAAATTGACAAGAAATGGAGTATATACTGGTGGAGATATACCATGATTCGCTCAAACTGGTATTTGTCGTCACACTATCGTTATGATCGATATAGAAAAATTTGCGTTTTTACACTGTTTAAGAATTCATTCAAAGATGACTTTCATTTTGTTTTCGAATGAGATTGCATGCTGTCAAGTTTTTTTCCGTACCACCCCCGGTTATTCATATTACTTGAAAACATAGGAAAAAGATTATGTTATATAGGATTTGAGGCCTTTTCGTCTTTCCATGCTGCCCTGAATATAATATTAATTATGTTTATAGCATGCTTCCTCAAATAAGGATGAGCAAGGATCTATTTTGCGATAAAAAGATTAATATTTACCCATCAATAAAGCACCAATGGATAATTTTTGTTAATGAAGCATGCTTAGGCTATTTATTCCATTCAGTTGGACTTCTGAAAAATGTTTACAAGAATAAACCAAAGATAAACCAAATGAGCCCCAAAAAACCAATGGTTTTATGAATAATTTAGCATTATTTCATTCATTTCTTTAAATATTTCCCACAGTTTTCGCTCTGAAAATGCAACTGGTCTATCTATCTATGTATATCGTATGTTCAGTGAATATAGCCCTGCCCATATTTCACCAAGGACAATATGACAGACTGGTGAATAGCATTTTTATTACATTGCGTAGAAGAGGGGATTAATGATGACGTCACAAAATTTCCCCATTTAAAATTTTCCTCAAAACAGGTTTTTCAGTTCTGTTTTCTTTTAAGCAAAGCAGAAAATAGAGCGAGGAAAATTATAAACCTTCCATTGTTGTTAGGAGGCGTTGTAGAAGGAACAGTAGAATTCGCCCTGCTTAACAAGTTTACACTTACTTAAACCCCTTTTTGACACCCATATCAATGTTCAACGCTTTGTGTCAATGAATTTTAGCAGTGTAAAACAGATTTAGAAGGTGCAACATGGAAACCAAACTGTGTTTCGTTTTCATAAGCTGAGTTGAAAACGTTTTCCCTGTTTCAAGGTGCAACAAGATTGTATCTTGCTTTTTTTGATAAATTTAGCTTCTCTTGCTGCGTTATTCAGCTAAAACGACAAATGGTAAACGATAAACCCCTTTTTGACACCCATATCAATTTTCAATGCATACTGCTTTGTGTCAATGAATTTTAGCAGTGTAAAACAGATTTAGAAGGTGCAACATGGAAACCAAACTGTGTTTCGTTTTCATAAGCTGAGTTGAAAACGTTTTCCCTGTTTCAAGGTGCAACAAAATTGTATCTTGCTTTTTTGATTAATTTAGCTTCTCTTGCTGCGTTATTCAGCTAAAACGACAAATGGTAAACGATAAACCCCTTTTTGACACCCATATCAATTTTCAATGCATGCTGCTTTGTGTCAATGAATTTTAGCAGTGTAAAACAGATTTAGAAGTTGCAACATGGAAACCAAACTGTGTTTCGTTTTCAAAATCTGAGTTGAAAACGTTTTCCCTGTTTCAAGGTGCAACAAAATTGTATCTTGCTTTTTTAAATAAATTTAACTTCTCTTGCTGCGTTATTCAGCTAAAACAAACGACAAATGGATCATTCGCGAGTTGCCATCAGTTTCCTGGTTATTGAGAGCTTCATGCCCAGTGAAGGTTTCCATATGTGAAAAATACCATCGCGCATATCTGCGGCTATGTTTTTTCTTTAGAAAGGAAAATGTGAAAATAGCGCTATTCCCAGCTTCTGTTTTGTTTATCTTTTTGCTGACAGTCCCACATCACAACAGAACATTGGAAACAGTCCATGTACTTTTTCTCTTTCAAAAGACGGGCATTTATCCTACCCCAAGCTAGTAATGTCTACTTGATAGTGATGTGAGAATTCAAAATTTGTCATTCCACGGGAATTTTTCAGTAGTTTGCCATTAGAAGTACTACAGTCATTGAACAGTTTTCTACTTTCATTTCCCGTACGATCAAGAAAATTGTCCTGAATTAAGTTTTGTGTAACAGAATTCTTAAATTCCAAATTGTTTTTTATTATGATATTCATAAAAAATCTACCAGGAGCTTAAGTGATATCTTTCCGCTGTAGCCAGCTCTGCACTTGAAATTCAGGAAAGTGTCAAAATTTTACTTAGCTAGAAAATGCTACACTATTGTTGTGGTTTGGAGATTTTTCCTTTACTTTATTTTCTTTTTCACCTTTACTTTATTTCAATGTTCTTGAACCGAAAGATTACTTTTGTTCCTGTTACGACATTCTTTGATCAAAACCATTATATCTTAGGTGCAAAGCCTGCAGAAGTAGCCATTATGAACTCACTTACCGTCAACTTGCATTTTCTAATGGTAAGGTATTATCCAGTTATCTCAAACACGTTTTAAGGCCGATTTCCATTTGAAATTTTTTGTGTGTACGGGCGTAGCGCCCAAATCTGAGCATGCGTAGTTAAAATCAAGTGGTCTAGATTTTTCGTCCGCTGCGAGCGCCAGAAAGTTGATAGGGTCTCAACTTTTTTGCGCGCTCGGCCACTTGACAGCAGCACTTAGCTACGCATGCTCAGATTTGGACGCTACGCCCGCGCGCACAAAAAATGTCAAATGGCAATCGGCCTTTAACCGTACAGTATAATGTACGAAAACCAAAGAGCATAAGATGCTACGATAGTTTTTGTAATACAGATATATCCATCGTTGTAGTGATAATCTGTTAAAGATTTGGAGCTACAACTTTTGTTCAAATAATATCTCGTTAGACTTATATAAACTTCATACTTCCTTCAGACTTCAGACTTCAGACTTCAAAAGCTTCCATATATTAGGTTTCATTAAATGTGAATAATACATAGAAGACAAATGTAAAATGGCTTCAAATTTACTTAATAAAAACCCTAAAAAACCTCGATCTTTTAAGAAACTGTTGTTTTTAAGAAGACGAGGGTTTCTTTTGCAAAGTTTCAGCTCCAGTGGTTCTTATAATGTGAAGACACAAAGACAAAAATGACACGAAAAATATCCACATGTTTGATTGTTTGCAATTGCATAAAAGACACCACTTTTAAAGACAGATAGGTCACAAAAGATGGTTTTTTGACAATGAAATGGTGGCAACTTCTCAATTATTCTGGTCTTTGGAAATTTGCCAATGATTTTCAAGCTAGACTCAAAATGTCCCGTAACAACATTTCTATCATTTTCTTAACGTCGTTTCATTTTGTAGACATGACAGAAAATTCTGATTAGAACTTGACCTGAAAGCCTTTTGATGAATGGATGTGAATGCACCATGTGCGTTCTCCGAAAAACTGTGAATTATTGAATCGAATCTCATCTTTCCTCTCATCTTTCCTCTCATCTTTCCTCTCATCATCTTTCCTCTCATCTTCCCCAAGCTCATCTTTCCTCTCATCTACGTTTTCTTTTTAACGTATGTCTGTCTCTGTTCTAATCCCTTTGGTGACCAAATTTTAACGACATCAGATCTTTTCCAAGGGAATTCAAACTTCAGCTTTAAGATCGCCAGTTTTTGCGTTGATAAAGGTCTACAATCTGTCGATCGAAAATTACAATTTGGGGATCTTTTCACCAAATAATACTAAAACGGGGCAAAAAGAATTACATATGACGCTAAATATGCAAAGCTTTGGTTATGTTGCAAGTTTAGGTCATTTGGGGGTCAAATGTTTAGGTGTTTGATTGATTTCTATTTCCAGATCCCATTCTACAGACCAACTCCAACAAGGTATCGTATTCTAATCGAAGACAAGGCCTTTCCATCTGACCACGTAAGTCCTTTCCTCTCGCATTTTCCATGAATGGTTTTTTTAAATGGAATTTTTTAAGCCTTTTTTCTGTCAGAATTGTAACCCTCTCATCCTGGAAGCAGCAGTTTGCAAGATAATGCTTGAAAATCTCGGGCAATTTGCATGCAAAGTAGAATCGTTCAACCTTTCCCCCGCCTTTCAATGTTGAGGCATTCGTATGTTTATAGTAGACATATTAACATTAAGTTGGAAGGACGGGATGTAACATCTTAGCAACGTCTGTTTAGGGTTGTAGTGTTGTTGATTGTGGTTTAATGCAGTATATACAGTGGCAAATTTATGATGGTGTTTTTATTAATATCTTCAATATCAAGGAATATACCTTATAATAGAGAAAGTCTAAGAATGCAGATAACACCTTCATCAAACCCATAAAATTGTGGCTATTTTGTTGAGAACCAACCTGGTATTTTTTGTATTCTTTAGTATGCCGTTGAATCGCAAATTAGGTTCCATGGATTTGATCCAAAAGATGCCTTGATTTTAGCAAAAATAAGAGAGGTAAGTTATCTTCAATGAAATCTATTGACAACGGTGCTCCTCGTCGTCTTTGTTTTCCCTTACAATTGTTCAATAGAGGGAACTTTTAAAAGACCTTGTAAGAGAGGAAATAAAGACTAAGAGCGTAATCCAACGGCAGCTCAGCGTGGCTTGAGTTTTCTTGTATATTCTGAGGCATATTTTGATCCACCCTGGGTGCCAGGGTCTCCAAATTTAGTCTAAGAGATATAGTTTAATTCTAGCCCCCGAGGGGAGAATTAGAAAAGGAAGCTCTTTCCTTTTGAGTGAGGTTCAGAAAAAAAGAAACTCGTTCCTTCCCCTACCCTGCACCCATTTCTTCCCCTACCCTGCACCGCATCGAACGACACTATCCTCCGGTTTCTTGAGGCGTTTTCACTTAATGCGTAATTTTTATTGAAGTAGCTTAAATGCTATATCTTATATCTTTTCCGTTCTTTTTATCGACACATAGGTTCTAATTGAAGATATTTTTATAAATGGTAGTTGTCATTTTACGAAGAAGAATCATCCCAGAATGTCAAGAGAAATCAACTTGAATTTGACCGGGCTTTGTTATAAATCACGAAAGAAGATGTAAATAAACAAGTAGCTTTGCTGCATGTTAAATTCAAATCACCTTTAGATTTCTTTTCGAGCCTGAAATGTCCCCCCTCCCCTATTAGGTTTTAGAAGACTTTCTGCCCAGGAATCTTTATCCCAGAAGTAACTAGCATCTTGCTTATTTTCTTTATGTGTCTATTTTAAGGGGCACTCACCCCGTTTCTTATGATTTGGAAAGTTTTCCACCCATCCCGTTGATTCATGACGTCCAGTTCATTGAAATTTCGGGAATTTTCTATCCACTCTGTTCTTTCATGACACCTCGTTTATTGAAATTTGGGAAATCTTCCATCCTTTCGATTTGAAAGTATCTTTGCTATTGAGCAGCCAAAATCAAATCTTGTTTTGGTTTTTTAAAATTCAGTCATCTTTTCTTTTCTCTGAGGTCAACTAAACAGTGAAGTTAATATTTTGTATCGAGAAAGTACTTTGTTTTAGGGGGAAGAAAACTGGAGGACCGAGGATATTGTGAGCTTAATTGAAAAGGAAGGAGACAGCATTGCATTAGTGCTCTTCAGTGGTATGTATAATTAACCTTAAATCAAGTTTCTTGTTGTAGAACACGGTATATGATTCTTGTATTTGAGGCATCTTTATAACATTCTTTCATTAGCCTTTCTGCATTCTGACTTAAGCTGGAACCTATAAAATTGGGTTTTACACTTTTGCCAGCCAAAAGACTTTATCTTCATAAGATGCAAGCTTGATATTAAACGACAGAGTGACACGTATATAGGCGCTACTCTCGGCTGGACAGAAATTATATTGATATTATGCTTTTATGTTTAATAAAAATGTCGATAGGATGCTTTTCTAGATTGTAAATAAATAAGCGCTACTCTAGACAGCAAAGAAGTTGAATTGATAATATTTTTATTGAATGAAGAAGTTATAAGATAGGATGGTTATGTTTTGGAGATGGACGCAAAACCCAAGGTGGCCTGCAAATTTTCAGAACGTTTTGTGCATAGAAAGTTTGAATGTACAGAGAATTAGCGTAGGGTTAGGATTGGTGTTATGAAACGTCTGCAAACACTTGGTGATTGTGTCTGTGATCGCACTTGTTGTGACAGGCCCATTAACACGCGAGGGTAGCATCCATATATGATTTAACCCCCCTCCCCTGTCATTCAAATTTGGGCAATATGTATTCTGATATCAGCGGTAATCAGTATTGAGTTTGGGGATGGGTTGCCAACTCTCAATGAAGTCTGCACGGAATTTAAGGCACAACGTAAGTACTACATGTCAATCTTGTAAAGTCACAAATAAAGGAAAGGCTTTGCCACAGGCATGGTTTCGATGATTTCAAGAGAGTACCGTATTTCCTCTAATAAACGCCGTACTCTGATAAACGCCGCCGTCTATTGAACGCCGCATCCAAAATTTGGAGTTTGTAATAAACGCCTCGGCGCTCTTTAGAGGAAATACGGTAACCGTTTTGGAGTCAAATCTTGTTAATGGGAACAGTATCTGTACTTCGGTTTTTAATTATTTGGTTATCTTTACCAAGTAAACCAGTACTAACGATTGTTCCTAAGAAGCAACTCGCCGAGGTTTGGAAAAGTCGTACCATACTATATCAATAAATTTTTTTATTTTTCCAGGCGTTCACTACTATTCTGGTCAGTTATTTGACATGAAAGCAATTACCGAGGCAGGACATAGAAAGGTTTGTCATTTAGAACTTGAACTTGATAATTGCAATCCACAATCGATCCAGGTCAGTCCTTATGGAAACATTTCATAAAACAGTACAATTATCACTGTAGGAAAAGTTATAACCATGTATCGTGCATATTACCTTTGAAACTCGTGGTAACTGCAATTAAACAGATAACTAATTTGTTGCTGATAGAGCTTCTACATTAATGTCTTCCATGAAAAAAGCTGTGGATTTGCAGGCATTCAATTCGAAACAGGGTGCTGACGACTCAAGTGTGAAATACGTACGGCAATGACCGTTTTTTGAGAATTTTAATGATACCCAGAGCACGTGTGTATTCGCAGCACATGCGCAAATTAGTTTATCAGCAATGAATCGACGATGAATCTTTAGTATTTTGTGATTAAAAAAACCAGTCTGAATAAGAAGCGGCACACATTCTATCTTAAAAACCAACATCGCTTTTTGGTCGCGCTTTTCCATTCAGTGCGGCAAATACTAATGGATTTAATTCCAAGGAGAGCAGCTTATAAAAAGCTACTGTTACGACGGCCGCTGTTTCGACGCTTCGAATTTGAATTTCTCTCGAATTAAATCGAACGCGGCATAAATCCGTATAAATCTAGCCTTAGAATTGTCGGGGTAATCATGTATTTAAGTAATGTCTCATAAAAGGGGACAACTTTTTCTAAAAACTAAGAGAGACAACTTATCAAAGAAGCTGTCTTTTTGATTTGCTTGAAAATAGTTGAAGTAAGAATATCATAAATGTTAAAGGCATAATGATAAACTCGCGCACGGGGACGCAAGAGAAGGGGTGAGGAGGAGGGCCCTTTATTACCCTTCATTTTGACAACACCCGCAAGCTTTGTAAACCTTGAAGGTAACAAGGTAGAGTTTGGGTATGGCTGTTTCTATTCTCATCGGCTTTCCTCGCGGCCATCGATAATGTGATCGCCATGGTTTCTGTGGTTTGACGTAGCTATGAAAGATGTTTTTTAAGCAACAGTTTACGTAGTATTTTCTATTGAAGAACTACCTAAGAATTTATAATGCAATCGCTGTTTGACATTAGGATTCACAATAATGCTGCAATTCTCGCTTGATACTCTGCAGTACTTTTACAACTCCAATTTGTTTGTCATTCTGTGCCAGATGCTTTAAAATTTTGAGTACAGCCACCCCATCCCTCATAATCTCACCAAATTCTCCAGCCATACTCTTTTTTTGTATTTTATACCTTTGTATCAAGGGGTGCATTGTTGGGTTCGATTTGGCACATGCTGTTGGTAATGTACCGATGAGCCTTCATGACTGGGATGTTGATTTTGCAGCTTGGTGTACTTATAAGGTTAGTCTGAATGAAAATTACCGGTTTGTTATTAAATGCTCGACGCCATATAGGCTGTGCACTCTTTCGATGTATACAACAGGGCAGTTATAAGTTGCTACTTTGAGTTTCACGCTTGGTGCGATCATCAGACAACTATAGGCGTGTAAGTTTTGAATAGACGCCATTAATCAACCAATGGAAAGTAGAAATCTTGAATTGATCTAATAACCTATGATCAGTACCCCTACAGACGGCAACTTACTGCGTATGTTCTTGAACAGTGGGGATGAAAATTTGGCTTATTTTCATCCATTGCAACTAATGAGCAATTCATTGCACATGTTCTAGTCATCAAGCTGAAAAATGAATCGGCCATCAATGATTGTTTCTTTTATCCTCGTCAAATGCAACAGCTGTTGGCTTTGGTTCTGCTTAGATTCTTATTTTACAGCAGCTTGATTTTCATGAAGAAAACCCTCTTTCTCCAAATAACCAACCAATTTCCAGTCAAACCAAATTAACCACTCATAAATCAATTTTTTAAAATCTTCATATGAAATTATAGTGTCCTATGAACTGAACTTTGTTGAAATTAACGTATCGCAATTATAGTTACTGTTGTGTCTCGCATATAAAGAACAACGTTTTCAATTTAGACCCATCTTGTCTAATCTAAAATGTTTATATACACGCCAATGGTCTAAAACGCGTCCGTTTCTCACATTCTTTGATAATTTTCGACTTTGCCGCTACATTTCTGAAACTGACCAGCGGACACTAAAACAGACTACGGAAAAACATGATAGGAACATTGGCATGCTAGTTAGGAAACGTTTTGGCGGCTTGATGAGCAATTCAAAAAAACATATTTCTAATTTGTCGGACTATTCTCTCTCTGAAACCGAAACATTTGTCTTAGGTAATGGCCTTGAGTTTTGTATTCCACCACAACGAATAAACAGAGAGGAACTTTTTGCTGAATTCGAAATTTTATACGCTCAACTTGCCAGGCACGATATTTTTGATGCTTTAGAATTTAACAAATTACGAGCACGACTAAGCGATTTGGCGTACGATTACAGCGGCTCTCCCATCGACCACTCAGATTTTCTTTTGCATAGAGAACATTTTCAAGCATTAAAATCTCTACGGTCTAATAATGACATCTTTATTACTAAGCCTGATAAAGGATCAGGAGTGGTTATTTTGAACAAAAAGGACTACATCCAAAAAATGGAGAATATTCTCCTCGACAAAGAAAAGTTCGAAAAACTGGGTGACGTCGAAACACAGGATAAAACGGCCAAGCTAGAACGGAAACTTTAAAAAAATATGATACATTCATGTCTGGCTTGTTTCTTATAAAATGAGATAAACTTCAACTCAGGGATCAGAAAAATCATGTGCGATCGATTAATTACTCAGGCATGACCTTTATGATTATGACATAAAGCATATCATTCAAGCCTGACAAACAGCACTGTACGTACACTATATTATCAAAGTGTTGTTATGATTTTCAAAGGTTTCAATATATTTATATACAGTAGAATCCCGTTATAACGTACTCGGTTATTACGTACTTTCGGATATAACGTACTGGTGTGCTTGGTCCCGCCAAAGGTGTGCTTGGTTTTAATCAATTTTTACTTACTCTCGTTACAACGTACTTCGGATATAACGTACTTAATACGCTGGTCCCTTAAAGTACGTTATAACCAGGTTATACTGTATAGTTTTTTGAATAAGAAATAAACTTATTTTCAAAACTGTCCCGTTTCTAATGAAACGGGGTATTATTTTGTAAGTCAGGGTCTTTGTCTTAATGTTTCTTATGTGCGGTACGCTTCTGTATTTGAGATCATTTAAGTACATAACTTTTCTTTAATCTTAATAGGCACTTTCTAGAAATCACAATCAGTTATTTTTTTCAGTATTTGTCCAGTGGAGCTGGTGGTATAGCTGGTATATTCGTAAACGAGAAACACACCAAAGACGACAGCATACCCAGGTTTCAAACATTTCCTTACATTTCTTTCCGCATTCATGTCCTCCGTCATAAGTCATCGTATAAGACATTTGTTACTTTGTGAGTTCCACGGACAGGAGCTACTTCCCAAAACGTTTTTGTCAATGATGACATCTTCTCATCCCTGATTTTTAACCACTTTCATTGCGAGCTTAAAAAGTTCCCCTTTTAAGGTGTGTCTATCGTATGGTTTGTTTTTGAGATTGTTATTTTTCAGTAAAACTTGACATTTATTTCATTGACGTTTCTCTCCGTTATTGACAATTTTTTAAAGCCTTTTTTGGAAACTTGATTCCAGGTTTTCAGATGTTTCTTTGGTTATGTTCATTGAGCCTTTGCTTTCGCACTTTTTGACATTTCGATAATAATTTTTTTCCTTTGAAGACTCGGTGTAATTAATGTTTAAGAATATTGTCTAGACATTTGCCTACGAAAATGTGATTTATTCGCTTTTAAGAATAAAGTTATTATTTTGATTCGCTACTAGTCCGTGAGCTTATTAGCGTGTTGAAAATGTTTTTGTTTTTTAGACTGAATGGCTGGTGGGCTCATAGGCTCGAAACTAGATTCACAATGGATAACAGTTAGTGCTGAATTTTCGTCTAATGTAGTCTGTTTTTTCAGTAAAGAGCATTTCTTAAGTGACTGTTAGTTGATTAATAGTCTATAATTGATTGCTGGCACTGAAAACTTGAGTTGTGTGGTTAGCCCAATTAATGGTCGCTTCCTGGTTAGATGTCCCAGTTTATTTGGTGAGCTGGCAGCGTCCTTTCTTAATAATATCTTTATCGGCGTCACTCAGAATCACAATAGTGAGTTGAATCTCAGTCCTAAACTATGATAACATTTCGTAATTGGAACTGTTCATAAACGAACGCGATGACCAAATCAATGTGATCTTTTCAATGCTGGATCATTTCCGTTCTGCACCCCATTTAGGCGAAACAGTCTTGAACTCACTACTTTGAAGCTGGTTGAAAATTTTATGTATATGACACTAAAACAGAATTCTATGCTAAAAAGCAAGTCTTCTTGAATATCGCAAATCTCAAAGATACTCATATCATTTACAAACTGAAACCAGTCAGAAACAGAGAAGCATTAAATAGATGTTTGTGTCCTTGTGTCCCAGAAGTTTGCATAGTTCAGCTAAACTAAGATTTCTCAATAGCCTGTGTCTGATGCACGACGAGTGTCGGTGCGGAGACGTCTAGAGTCACCAGAATCAACAAGCTAGATAAAGATTAGCACCTTATGTATGTGATGTCTTATTGTATTGAATAATCTATCCCTGACCATCGGTCAACCGTTAAGTGAGAAATTTCCACTATGATTAATACAGTAGCAATTTTGCCTCGACGTTAGCCTCTCTCCATTGTCCCAGTTTTAATGGGCTTTACACATTTTATCCAATGATTGATACCAATTCAGCGACCAATTTAAAAACCCAATGTATTTCGTCTAAATTCGATGAGGATATATTGATGAAGAGACTGCTAAGAAAACGAAATATCAATATTTTTTGCTAAAATATCTTTTCGCGCTCAGTTTTATACTTGCGAACTATTTTATAAAACATTGGAAATGATTTTTATTAGTACCTCCCTCGTACAGCCCTACAGCTAAAAATTTTCCTAAATTAATAAGCCTACAGGAAGCTAGTTCGAGAATTTACATTATTCTAGAAAGCAAAAGCCCTTCCATATGGTCCCCTAAGCCTCATTCTAGCGGGTCACCTTCTCTTTCACCTTCCTTCCTTTCAAATTATACGCACCCCTTTCGCGGTGCCCTGATTGTATATATATTGACCTCAAAGTATTTAATTCTTATTATGAACTTGAGTCTACATGTAAACGAGGGAGTATTGCACCAAAGATTTATTGACATAAAATGTTTACCTTTTTATTTCAATGTCATTTGTAAATGCCCCATCCGGAAATCTCCCGGTGTCCCGTCTAGCTACAACGCCCCTGCGCGTGGGTGCTATAATGGAACGAGAAGGAAGCAAGGACCACGCGCCCAATTCCCGGATAATTACACCTATGTATAAGCAAATGTTATTGCCCTTTAAATCTCATCATCATGAGCTGCTTTTATCCCATTTCATCAATGTTACAGAAATGGATCTATCGCCTGGTGCTGCTGGTTTTATGATATCCAATGCAAACATGTTCGCTACCGTATGCCTGATAGCGTCTCTTGAAGTAAGTCTGCTTTTGCTTAAGATCCCATAGTTTTATTTGATTACGGTGTTTCTATTATCCGGAGTTTAATTTTACAAATCTTTGACATTGATCGATAAAATTTGGGAAGATATTGTTTTGGTATGTCCGATATTAAGAGATGTCCATTGATGATAGAGGTTTAGCTGTACAATTAACATTTTTTACATTGTATATTTACTGAATTCTTTGAATATATCCTGTTTGAAATACTCACTAGCCTTGAGTTCCTGATGGAAGTTTTATTGCTTCAGGAGACTATGTTTTTCAATTGTTTACACAAGGGACATGTGAAGGCCCCTTATCAAAACAAGAATTATTTACCCGTATATATATTTTATGTCGTAGTTTTTGAAACCCATTTAAAAGAAAAATCATTGGGTTTGACATAATCATAATAACGTGTACACTTAACTACCCTGGGTACCAGAGCCGTATAAATTCGAGCGCGGAAATAGAAGATAGGAGTGGCGTAAGCTCCTTCGCTTCTCTGCTTGGATTTCTATAGACGCGCTCGAGGTCTTCTGGCTCTAGTACCCAAGGAAACATTCTATGAATAGTTAACATTTTTTTTTGAAAATCTCGTTGCAGCCTTGAGATTAAAATTTTTGCTGCCATTGTATATTTTAATATGTAAAGCTCATGTTTTGTACCAAATTTGTAGATATTTGATCGCGTTGGAATGGAGAAACTTAGAGAGAAATCTCTTATGTTAACTGGTATGTTGTAACTAATTCTGGTAGTTTGCGTACTCGAAAATCATTGTTTAGAAAGCATATGTATTAGATATGTTAGAATCTAGTCCAATAATAGAAAAAACGAATATGAAATACGGTTACAAAATTGTTTTCATGAATGATTCAAATGCATAGATCAAAAACGCGAAGACAAAAGTATAAACAAGACCTACAATTTCGGAAAATCAATGCTGGACAAACGTGCCTATCCTACTTAGGGCCCAAAATATGGAATAATCTTCCATCAGCATTAAAATCAACATCCAATATCAACATCTTCAGCATCACTTATGACCAAAGATAACTTTTTTCCAAAATAGAGTGGACAAGGAAGATGGCATATATGTCTACTACTAAGGACCTCTTTGTAACTAACAACAGTCAAAATTTCCTGTATCATCCTCTAAGGAGACCAGGACCTCTAAGGGGACCAGGACCTCTATAGAGCCCAGCACCTCTAAGGGGACCAGGACCTCTAAGAGGACCAGCACCTCTAAGGGGACCAGCACCTCTAAGGGGACCAGCACCTATAAGGGGACCAGCACCTATAAGGGGACCAGCACCTCTAAGAAGCCCAGCACCTCTAAGGGGACCAGCACCTCTAAGGGGACCAGCACCTCTAAGGGGACCAGCACCTATAAGGGGACCAGCACCTATAAGGGGACCAGCACCTATAAGGGGACCAGCACCTATTAGGAGACCAGTAATGAAATAAGGTCAGCTTGACCTTTTAATGCTATCCCTGCAACTGAAATTTGGGTATTTTGATTATTGTGTTATATAATTATATTCTTTATAGCTTGTAAATACTTCCAGTTTGGCGAATTATACATACATACATATATATAGAGGGAAAGATATCAATAACAAATCAATAGCTTTACAGATATGACTAGTCAAGATATCCTACGTTGAGGTTTTTACAATCATTCTACCTTGAATAATATGTTAATTCTGTTATGTCCCACAGGATATTTGGAATTGCTCATAGAAGAAAGTTTTGGGAAAGGAAAAGATCCAGCTGGAAAATTTTATATTGAAATCGTCACTCCTCGTGATCCGAACCAAAGAGGATGCCAGCTGTCAGTGAGATTCTCACTTCCTATTATAGACATAAAAAAAGAGTTGGACAAAAGAGGCGTTGTTGTAAGTTGATCTATAGAAATTTTAATAGCTTTTTTCGTACCATAAAAGCAATTAAATTAGTTCAGCATAGAACCCAGTTGAAGGACTTATCTGACCCAGCGAAGCTACTTTCTACAGAGGATGTAGTGGCACTGTTAGTCGTTTGAAAAATCCCAATAACATACGTCACAAGCATGTTGAACAGCCACATTATCTTCCCTACCATTAAAATCTTAACAGCATACTTAGGTTAGGGTGATCAATATATCTACAGAATTTGAATTTTTAATATGTTGCTTGCTCTTTCCCACCTTTAATTCACATGAGTGTCGCTAGTTACTCATCTCTTAAACTACATCTCTCAAACTTCTTTCTCATTGTATCCCTGTCTTTTCTGTTCTATATATGTCTTAAGTGTTGTTATTGTCTTCAGGATCTTGTGCAGGGGTTCTTAATTGTTTTGAGTGCCGGCTCAGAAAAACATGTGAATTTTCTCCGGGGGCCACTGAGTTTTCGACTTTTTTATAGCTTGTGTCAAAAAAGTTGCACAAAATGAAGTTTGGATCTCATACTTACCAGGCTAATTTAGAGATAAGATAGCCAGACCTATTATTTCTTGTTGGATTCTATATTCATAAATCTATGTCTTGCGCTTATTTTCATGAAATAAGTTTTGGAATGGTGGATGAGAGGAGAGAAAAAGGGAGGGCGATGATAACATTTAGGAACATGATGCTGGCTTGATGTTAGAGGGATTGGCTCGATGTGCAATACCTGACGGATTTACACGCCCAAGGCCTGGGATAACTTTCTGGGGGAAGGGGACTAAAAGATTTAAACTGTAACAAAGTATATAAAGCCAAAAAAATATTTACACAAAAGTTTGCAGCATGCGTTTCTTTTGCCAGGTTGAATCAGAAGATAGTTGTGCTATTTTTAGGTTACGACGTTATTATTCGTTGGGTCAACTTAATGCACTTGAAGTCAGATCCAGGGACGGCGAAACGTGTGTATTAAAAAAGGCCACCATGGTTGGCGACAAGAAAAATTTTAGATTATAATAATCTAGGGATGGCCAGAAACTGCATTTAAAATAGAATTTGACGGGAGAAAAGCTAACGGTTCCATAGTTTTATCTATTTTAATGTTGACATCAAAAGAAAGGGTCTTCCAAAGTTTTAGAATTATCTTAGCATAAAAGCGAATAATCAACTTTTTTAGGAATGAATGAAACCAAAAGAAGATGGAGAGAGAAAATGAATAAAACACAGTTTAGCAGTAAAGCATTAGCCAGTGCCCTAGTCCACATACGCCGCCTCATCTCAGAAATCTAGGAAAGCGGAGGAAGGGTTGAGGTCATGGCGAGTTTATCAAAGACCTATTGAATCCAATGAAAGCAGTAAAATATTTTGCTATAAAACCGTTAAATGATTATATAAAGCATTTCCAACTTTCGTACTCCCTTTCCGACCAATTACTGGTCAACGGGACGCACATTATCATCTACTGCAGAGAAAAAGAAAATATCAGAGCAGTCCAGAAACGAAACTAAGTCGAATTCAAAATTTTCAAAGTGTAAGCCACAAATATTTTTTTGAGATGGAGTTAAACTTGCTGCGGGCTGGAGTTTAAGAATGGCTGGTTTATGGGATATTCGGTTCGATGTTTTCGTTCCTTTTTTCCTTTCTTTCTTTCATCCTACCTTCATTTCTTCCTTCTTTTCTTCCTCACTTCATTGTTTCCTTCATTCCTTTCTTTTTCCCTTTCTTCCTCTCTACCTTCATTTCTTCCTTCTTTCTTTCCTACCTTCCTTTCTTCCTACTTCCCTTCCTACCTTCCTTTCTTCCTACTTCCCTTCCTATCTTCATTTCTTCCTTCTTCCCTTCCTACCTTCATTTCTTCCTTCTTTCCTTCCTACCTTAATTGCTTCTTTCTTTCCTTCCTACCTTAATTGCTTCCTTCTTTCCTTCCTACCTTAATTTCTTCCTGCTTTCCTTCCTACCTTAATTGCTTCTTTGTTTCCTTCCTACCTTAATTGCTTCCTTCTTTCCTTCCTACCTTCATTTCTTCCTTCTTTCCTTCCTACCTTAATTGCTTCTTTCTTTCCTTCCTACCTTAATTGCTTCCTTCTTCCCTTCCTACCTTCATTTCTTCCTTCTTTCCTTCCTTCCTTCTTTCCTTCCTTCCTTCCTTCCTTCCTTCCTCCCTTCCTCCCTTCCTCCCTTCCTCCCTTCCTTCCTTCCTTCCTTCCTTCCTTCCTTCCTTCCTTACTTCCTTCCTTCCTTTGTTATTTTCTTTCCTTCTCACTTTTATTTCTTCTGCCATTCCTTTCTTCGCTTCTCCATTCCTTCCTTTTCTCTGTCCTTCCCTCTTTCCTTTCTTTATTTCTTTCTTTCTTCCTGTACCCCTTTCATCTATTTTTTATGTCTCCTCCTTGTTTCCTCTAATCTATTTCATTCTCTTTTTCTTCCTTACATTTATCCATACCTTCATTTTTCATTACCTTCTCCCGTCTTTCAATTTCTTTATTTCTTTGAAATTGACCTTGTTACTTTTCTTCGTAGTGTGACAAGCGAGAACCAAATGTTTTGCGTGTAGCCCCTGTACCTATGGTTAACAAATTTCATGATGTCTGGCGTTTCATCAAAGTTCTGAAGGAATCTGCTGACACTGTTTTGGCGCAGATTGGAACTAAATGATAAGAATGCAAGTTACTTTCTAGTTTATATAAAATATTGTTTGTCAAGGCTGAATAGAAACTATTTAATGACTTTTACTTCATGGCATATTCTGCCAATAACTGAATAGCTGGGTAGGTTTGTAAACGATGATATTTTGTAGTAGTATTTTACCTCTGGTAAATTATGTTTGTATTTAATCAGACCAAAATATATAGAGTGACAATTTCAACAAAGTACTATACAATCAATTATTTCGTATTATTCGTACTGTGAGTTGCCCTTCGCTAAACAAGACAGCAAAAATCTTAGCCTTCATTTTGGGAAGAAATGTTATTATTTTCAATAACCTTTAAGAATCAGATTCGCGTTAACTTAGGAGCACTGTTATGAACGTAGATCTATGAAATTTTCTCAAACTAATTATAGGGAGTATTATGTTTAAGAACAGTAGTTTTCGGATTGAAAGCTGAGAAGCAGATGATATTTTAGTGTTGATCCATGGCTAAATTACATCCTGTTCAGTGTCTGTAACAGCCATCCTAGCAACTGCGCGTAGGCATCTAAAGGGTACAAAAATATAGTAAAGAGGCTTTAAAGGTTAATTACGGATACTTAACTGCCTTAAACCTTCTGTCGATCAACTATCAGCCAATCAACTATCAGCCAATCAACTATTAGCCAATCAACTATCAGCCAATCAACTATCAGCCAATCAACTATCGGCTAACCAACCACTATCGGCTAACCAACAACTATTAGCTAATCAACTATCAGCCAATCAACCATCGGCTAGTCAGCTATCAGCCAATCAACCATCCGCTAGTCAGCTATCGGCCAATCAATGAGCGTGTGAGTGGTATTGCAGTTATTGATTGGCTAATTGTCAATCGACAAATGCCTTATTTTAACATTGAAAAGCACGGCTCATCTCCGTCCATAGATGCGTAAATTGTTTTGGGACAAGGTCATAACCAGTTGTAAAGAAAACCAACCAGTTGTATAAAGTAAGAGACGGTATTTTAGAGAGACTTCGTAGTGGCAGATTTCCGAATCATAGCTGGTTTTAGGGGTTGAATGTCTTCAGCGAACTTCTCGGTTTGTTAAATGAATCTCTCTTCGCTGTTTGACATTATTTTAAAATTTTATTCAATGCTTCAACTTGCAAGGAAATTCCCTTATCAGAAAATAAATTTAGGCATTTCTAAGAAATTAAAATAGAAATAGAAATTGGAAGGAAAAAATGAGGAGAACGCAAGACAATTTAAAAGACATTTGATAAAAGATTTCTTAACTTCCAATGCCCAATAATTAAAGCTTAAAATATTGCTATAGTATTCTACCCTTGGTACCAGAGCCTCATAAACCCGAGGATAAAGTATTGTACAGCTCAAAAAAATTTCTGTCACTAAATTCTAATTATATTTCTGAGCCTAAGTAATGGAGACTCTGGTACCCAGGGTGAAGTATTTTGCATTCGTGGGTCTTGAGCGTTTGACAGTGTGACTCGAATGGTTCTGACATAGGCACTAAGAGATATAGTTGTGGATGAATGGATCTTTCGTTTTGTATTGGCTATATATACTAATGGCAAACTTGGTAAGGCTTTTCCTGTTAAGGTTTGTGTCCACCAGGGTTCGGTGCTTAGTCCCTTGCTATTCATAAAAGTTTTAGAGGCTTTGTCATGTAAAATCAGAAAACGGTTGCCATGGGAGTTACTATTCGCAGATGATCCCGTTCTTATCGCGGAGAGCTTAGAAGAGCTAGATGCTATGTTTTCAATTTGGAAGAATGGTATGGAACAGAAAGGTTTACGTGTAAATGCTACCAAAGGTCTTTTTCTCCTGCTACGACCGTGCTACTAATTAGAAAACCGGTCATCACCCATGTGGAGTGTGTAATAAAGGTGTCGGCAGCAATTCGATTTTCTGCTCCTCTTGTAAACGATGGATTCATGCTAAAAGCCAACTATCTAAAGCAAAAGATTTCCGATTTAAATGTTGTACTACTGATCTAGAAGCTAGAAATGCTCTGACTGAGGCTCAACTTGGAAACTGTAATCTCGAGGCCGTTGACAAATTCTTTTATTTTGATGAGGCAGAATTCGCGGTGATTAGCAGAGTGCGCTGTGGCTGGATGAAATTCCGTGAGCTGCTGCCTCTTCTGGCATCTAAAGCTGTTTTTCTGACGGTTACAGGACAGTTATATGAAACCTGTGTCCGATATCAGCTATTGTATGGCTGTGAAACTCAGTGGCGCAGAGAGGGGGGCAGGGGGGGGGCAGTTTGCCCCAGGTCCTCGGCCTGAAAGGGGCCCCAAAATTATTCTGAAAATTTTTTTAAAATGTCTTTTTTTGAGAAACTGAAAATGCATTCAAAGATATATTTGTTAATGTCGAAAATGATGGCAGTAATTTCATTGGGTCCGTACACTGAGTCTTGTTTGAATTTAAAGCCTATCAGCTTTATTTATTGAGTCTGGGGCCCCGAAAAAAGTTGGATAAACCTTAGATCACATATTTTACGGATTCGTCTTTTAAGCTGAGTTTCCCTGAGTTTTGCAAAATCGTACTTATTGGAAGGGAGCCCTGATAAAAATTTAGGTAACCCATATAATCTTGTTTTAATCTATGGCCCGTTCAAGTGAGTTATGTTTGCATTTAGACTCGTTGCATAAAGCTATATTATACTTTTGGGGCCCCTTTCAGCAAACTAGCATTAATAAAGACCCGCTTACGTTCAACAATGACTCAAGACCGACTATCAAGCCTCATGACTCTTTCGATCGAGCACGAACTAGCAAGACAAATTGATTACGACAATATCATTGATCAGTTTGCAACTGAAAAGCAAGAAAAATTAACTTTTGAAAGACGAAAGAACTGAAAAGCGTAGTTCCATGGGATTTTTTAAATAAAAGTGCGTAGAATAAAAGTTTCCTTTCATTTTAAATTTTAATATTGCGTGGCTCACCAGAAAAAAACAGTCAGAATTGAAGGAACACATTTTGAAGTCCTCTTTAATCAGCTAAAAGGGTGTGGTCAAAGAGCGTATTTAAATCGCTTACCTTTAGAATTAATGCTTTTTATTACATTTTTTGATATTTTAACCATATTCTATAACGTGCGCAAACGTTTGGAAATAATGGGCGTTTCCCATTTCAAAAAGGGCGTGGTCTCGAAAAAATTTTGTTTTCGACTCTAGGGCCCCAGCCAGGACTTTGCCCCAGGGCCCAGGCAAACTAACTTGGCACTTGTGAAACTAACTAACTGGTGAAACTTGGCAAACTAAAGCTGAAGATATACAGATGCTTCGCCGCAATGAAATGGCAATGGTCCGTTGGATATGAGATTCTTCTCTCCGCGAACGATTTATCTTCCTTGATTTATCTTGATACTAACTAACAAAAACAAAACGTTTGCATTTATAATAGGTCGTTGTCTTTGTTGACTAATAAGCTGTTGTTCTCTCTTGGAGAGAGTTCAGAAAAGAACCAATCAAACGTGTCTTCCTCGCATATTCCTTTCGATCAACACCTGGAAATAGATTTTCTGCTTATTTTTTTGTCTTTATCCGACGTTTATATCCTGAAGAGTACAGAACGAGAAATTTTTCAGTATGATATCTGCTTCCGTTTTTTCGTGCCATCTTCAAATTTTGTGGTGTGTCACCAGAAACTTATATGCCGCTGCCGTTGAACAATATTGTTTTGTATTTTTTTCTGGCCCTCGGCTGCTATGCGATTGGGTTGTAGGTTCCATCGATTCTATTGTAAAAGATATGTCAAGCAGGTGGCCTAACCTTTATATCACTGTCGCTGTGCTAGAAAAGCATTTTTCAAATTGTTCTATGTTGTTTTGAGCGATTTTTTCCAGATATATGAACTACTGAAACCTCCATTGTGTACATGTTCATTCATTTTAAAGTTGCTAAGAAAAAATTATCTTGTAAAAAATTGTATTTTGATAATTTTTCAACCACAAATTAATCTGTTGTTTAACATGGTTGCTGTACACCCTAAATATAACAATTATTCGTCAATTTTTATGATTGGAGTATTTGTGATGTTGCAATTCGTGCTTATAAATGTGGCCTTTTGTCGAGGTCTCGGTTGTGATAAGGCTCTCGCGTTGCGTATGCGCCAAATAAACTGATTTAATCATAATCGATCTAGTGTGATTAACTATGATAAACCATATCAACTATGATTTAATCGAGGTGTGATTTTTTGCTAGGCCAGAACCTTAGTCAGGGGCAAACATCAGCATACCCGATTGCGCTTAATGGTAGCACCACGAGGGGACTGGGGGATTGGACACGCCCCCCATTTCTCGTCAAAAGCGATGTTGCCTTTCGTCTAGATTAGATAAGGATTGGCTAATTAAGGAAATTTTTGAGGAGGGTTAATATTTTGGGAAAGCATTTTCAGTGTCGTGGTTCTATAATTTTGAAACTTCCTTTACATAACCAAATTTTAACCTTTAGCATTCGCAGTTGGTAGAATTAGCGTACCCTATGGGTAAACGGGCGTTTTCTAAGAATGAGAAGAGCGTGGTCTAGATTTTTTGAATTTTGCCTCCATCCCGTAAAGCCTGTGCTTGTGGAAGAAGATGGGAATAACAGCTCGTTTCGAATGTGTACGTGACGTGTTTGTATAAAACACAGATCACTAATCTAGAAAAGAGACTTTTTTGAAACACAGATCAGTCTTTTTTCTAGATCAGTGTTTGAAATCGGGACCGCGCTGCCCCAGACCGCCTTTGGGAAACTGCGGTGGAGTTTTGTCACTAGCAGCAGCCATGGCAACAAGGACTCAAAATCACAGCCGCTCACACCGAAAAGAAGTGCGAGAAGGTAGTAAGAAGGAACAAGATGGAAGCAAGAAACGACCTCAATCGACTAGGATTGTTCAGCGAGCTTGGCTACATATCTATTGGTGACCCATATGTACCTCCTAATAGTAGTAAGTGTCTTGATTTTGGTTTGTTATAGCGGAACTGCTGTGTATGTACGTATTTCATCATTTGTTTACAAAGCAAGGGGCCTAAAAGTTAAACACACCAAAAGAAAAGGCCCCATATTGGAGATTTACAGCTCATTCCACGAAAGGAGTTTAAACACCATATGCAACTTTGAGACAAAAATAAATCAATAAACGGTTTCTTAGTCTCAGAAATAAACAAACTTTCATCAACATCATGTCAGACTCATTGAGCAGCTTGCAAACCTTGCTATTTTTCTAAGATTTAGCCTACAAAGCCAGAGATTCTCAATCAACACCGATGCAATAGGAATGATTCATTTTTCTAGTTCGTTGTTCTTATTAATATTTATTGCATTATATTATATGTTATGGCCCCAAGGGGCTGTTCTTGTTTATGAAAAGAATAAAAAAGAAAAACCATATTCTATAGATAATAAATATATGTAATTTGCAAGAATTTTATGTTACATGTGTACCTTTTTTCTGTAATAAATATCATTCATTTGGTTAATTGTGAAATTCTTCAATCTTCAGTAGGCTATACATAAAAGAAAATTGATATTTGGAAGTATGTCTTGTTGTTAATTAGATGTTATTTTATGACAGAGGCAACATTTTAGCATCTTGATGACAATTTATGTGTTATTTTACTATTTTTATAGAGCCATTCAATATCAATGCTTCAAAGGGAAAGCAAATTCTCCCAGGCGGAGCAAAATCTAAAAGTGCCCTCCAGAGTGGCTACTTTGATAAATCATTTGATAGAATCATGCAAGGAGAGGCATATACGGATCCTGTTAAAAGAAGAAGGCAAGAAAGAATAAGTCAGTCAAAAAAGAACTTAGGGAAACCTTTTGTGCCAAGTCATTCAGGGAAAAAACCGTAAGTTATCAGATATTACTGCATTTAGCTAAGTTTATATTGAAATCAATGGCATCATTTACAACAAAGAAATTTAGTCTTGATTTACAATTTAATGTCTAATCTAGTGCATCTGGAGCTGGTTTACAAAAGGGGCTTAAATTTTAGGTATTTATATATTATAATTAAAATAAGAGAAGAAGAATGTTTCTCATACAGAGGTTTTTCATGAGTTATTGAAGTTGTCTGTAATTTGGGATGAAATCAAAATTCACAAGTATGGTAATTGTTTCAAAAACTGGAAAATATAATTTTTATCATCATTTCGGGACCAAACATTGACATTTAGTTTCAGTCCAATACACTTAACTTTACCATGCTTTTCTGGTAAGAATCTTTGAAAGAATCAATTTCCCATGCTTTGAAGGGTTGTTTCTAATAGTTTGGTGCTATACCAGCTGTTTTGATACTCTTTAAAAACTTAAATACCAATCTTGCTTATGTACTATGCTTTGTTTTGATTTTGCATAAGAAACAAATATATTATAAGCTGTTTTTTCTAGTTCTGGAGCTAATAGTCACTATGGGACATTCTCTGGTCCAGTCAATGCTTTTAGTCCATTAGGAAAAGGAAAAAAGTCATATGCATCACCTGGAAGAAACTTCATCACAAACCCATTAAGAAAAGGGACTGGTTATGGTTATGTAAATGTTTTAATTGGTAAACCACAAACATACTCAACTGAACCATATGACAGAGGAAGAGAATTAGTAAAGGTAAGAACCTTTCACATTGAGTTTTTCTCTAATAGTTATGCAACAATGGTTGTGTTTATAAAGCCACATGTGGAGTGCAGGACATTTTTCAATGAATTTCTAATATCGCAGCGTATTGCCAATTTGCAAAGCTCTTTATATCTAAATTTTTGATATCTCATTTCAGAATGAAGAAAGTGTTTGAAATAGTTACTCAACTTCAGTTCAGTGTGTTGTTGCTTTTGCTGAAAATGTGGCCTAGCCATCTTTTATTTGCTGACAATGCACCTCTATTTGTCAAAAAACCCTAATTTCTACAAAACTCTCTTAGCCTGAATGTTGCTTACTTTGAAAAGAAAGAATTGGTCCAGGCTGATTCAACTTCTGTTGAGTCTTCTGAAATTTTTAATCAAGGCCGTTTTGAATATACTTATGCTTGATTCAAAGCCTGTCAAAGTGTCTATGCTGTAACATTACCTAAATGATTTATTGACACAACCCTTGCATAATTGTGTTATAATAGAAAGGTCAAGAAGACAGTAAAGGCAAAATGAAAGGAGGAGCATTCAAGCTAAATCTCTGTCCTAAGCAGTACTTTGATGTGAATCCCTACAAGGCTGACAGACGTGAGTTTTTACTGATATGTTTCCTTTGTGCAGTAGTTGAAAAACCCTAAAGGTGTAAAGCCCTAAAGCTATGAGTCATTAATAGCTATTAAGGATCAACATAATGTGACTTACAGTTAGTTGCCGCCCTTTATTGAGATTCTATCACATGATTTTTTCTTGAGCAAACATTTTGCTTTTAAATATGAAGTCATGTAGTTAAGAACTTTGTAACCAACCAGTGCTGATAACATTATTAATGAACTGGTACTTTTTTGAAAAGAAATGAAAGAAAATTCTTAACAGGTTTTACAGATTTTCAAGTGATCTTTGCATAGATTTAATGCATATATTTATAAGGAAATGTAAAATTTCGTGCCTGAAGACATGCATTGGATCATTGTATTGAGTGGCTTTCTACAAAGAAATGACAATCTAAAGGACACTCATGTGTTAAACAAGTAGAGTGAAAGATGAGAGAGACTATCTTGCAGATTTATGAAATACCTTATATACACAATGGAATGAGCTGTTTTTCCTAAGTTAAAAAAGATAGAAATTGGGACATTTATAATAGTCCTTCAATTTAAAAATGTCATTAATGGCTCTTTAGCTTTTGTTTTTTATGACAAAGAAAGAAATTTGATGATTTTATGACAAAAAACTGCCCTCAATAAAAACTCAAGTTTAGTTTAATCTCCTCTCCTAGCCTTCCATATTATATTTAGCGTTGGTAATTTAAATTAGTTGGTTTTAATTAGCTTGTATGCATAGCTAGAAATTGTACCAACTTTAAATAAAGAAAGAAAAGAAAAATGCTTCCAACATGTTTTTCAAGACTGCGTTATAGCAAAACAATGATGTAAATAAGCACAATTCATCAGATGGCTCCAATTACCTTCCCACTCCGCAGTAGCTGGCACCTCCACTGGCTATAGAAACTAGATAAAAATTCCATATCCTTCCATATTCTCTCATACTTCTTAACTTTCTACCCAATCTCCTTCTTATTATTTCTATGCTTTTTAGCATTGCCACCGCTAAGAGAACCAAAGACAGATACAAGAGAGGTGAAGCCTTTCAAACAGAGTTCTCCTGGCAAAGAGGTTAGATTTCTGAATTGAACATTAGCAAAGAAATTTAACATTATTTAACTCTACCATCTTGTGATATACTAATTTGTTTTGAGAAGCTAAGTTTGTGATTAGCACTCAGCTTTTTGTTTATTTCAATGCTACAAGTTTTTGAGTTTCTTTTTAGAAACATAATGACATGAAATAACATGAAATAAGACACCTAATTCGTTACAGCACAAGAACTGCTTTTTGCTCTTCACTGATTTCAATTTTATAAAAACTAGGTGCTTTATCATCATAAAGCATAATTTCTACCCTATCTTTAAAAGAAAGTTTTGCGAGAAATTTTTTTAAGGTTGCATGTGATCATTGAGTCATCTTCAATAATCTTTAATTTAACTGTTTGATCTCTTATATGATGAAAAGCAGAGTCATTTTGATCAAGAATGGCTTATATCCAGAGGCTTTGCATTCCTTGAAGGCTTGAAGTCTTTAAAAGGAATTGTTTTCAAGTTGGGTTTTCTTGGCCTCCATTTGGTTTCACGACAATCTGTAGCTTTGGCAGGGTTTATTATAACATGCACTGATAAATAATTTGTGCGGTGATGAATCGTAATTGTGCAGTAATAAACTTAAATTTTGTGCAGTGATAAAACTAAAATGAAGAGATTTGGTATTGAAAAAGTAAAATTGCACCAACTACTATTACAAATAGACACACAAGTTTATAAAATAGCATAAAAGTAATAAAAATGAAAACATAACAGTAACAATGATCATATTTTACGAAATCTCTCTAAAATTTGATCGAATTCAGTCTCTAGTTTGTTTCGTTCATCATCTTCTCCTTTGAGATCTTTATTCTCAAAATCATGTTTAAATCCAGACTGCTTCTCCTCGTCGAAATCTCTTGTAAAGCTTTGATGAGAGCTGGCGTGATTCGAAAGTTTTACTACATACAGTTAGTTTGATAGGTGTGGTCATGAAAATTTTTGAAAGGCAACAACCAAATCTTCAAAAATTGGAATATGTGCAGAGATAAAAAATCTTTAAAATACACCCTGAGCTTTGGTCTGTGCTCCGTGTCTCTCACGCACTTGACAAAGTTTACCTCTTCCATTTTGGAATCTTGCAGCTCAGTTCTTTCCTCTTTCTTATCAACTCATGATGGACTTGCTGTCATCTATTCCTACAGATTGGCGGCTCAAAAGCAGGCTGCTTCAATGGCTACCCATCTCATTCCAATGATCCTTACGTTGTGCATAAAAACTCATTTAGAAGTTTTAACGATGGTGGAGAAAAGAAGATATTTAGACCATCTCAGGGACCCAAGTCATGCCCTACAAAGTCTGTCATATCCCAAAATGTTCAAAGGTGAGTTTGAAGATTATTCGCTGCCTCATTGTACGTTTTTATTGCCTAACACTAACCAAGTTTAGAAGCTCGTATTTAACTCTCCTCGTTTTCCTTTGGTTGCGAATCATTGTTGGTTTGTGAAGTGTCACACGGAATTATATTATGTAAACTATCTGAACATAATTTTTTGAGAAAAGGTAAAGCTGAAGTGTTATCATCATTAACAAAGTGAAAAACTATTAAAACAAGGCTCCCACCCTACCAAAAAGGACGTAAGAAATCAGAGAAATTATCATTGATAAATCCAGTAGACGATTTTTGCTGATTGTTGATTGAGCTTGTTTCGTTCAATTTCATTTCACTGTCTACAAGATGCATTATGGCTCACTATTGAGAATTATCGTAATCTAATTTCGAGGCATTTTTCGTTGTAGGCGAATAAATCGTTTGACATATAAACAGCCAGTTACAGTATCAATTTGAGATGAATTATACACAAGAGTGCTAGAAAGAAATGGATGAAATCTTCTAGGAAAATTTGTGGAAGGAACAAGATTTTTGATCGAATGATTTTGTTAATAGACTACTGTAGTGTCCTAATGTATGTAGATATGTTTTTAAGGTTTTTATGGAAAAATTATCAAGAAGGCCAGGTCTCTTCAAATTTTGTTTCCTGGAGATCCTCAAATTTTGCTTTTTTCAATAGCTTTGCAAAATTACAGATAACGAAATTTCAGATGCTGTTAATGGGTTTGAGTACTGTCAATTGAGGTATTGCTGTCCTACAGTGACAATTTTGTTGACAAGGTATTCTATGTAGGTTTTTCCTTATATTGATTATAATTTCAAGACGCTGTTAAGACTCATTCTATTTTCTCATTGAGCAAGCAGTCTTCGTAAAGTCAATTATACAAACATTCCATCAGCATTTGATAGACCACGTTATATTCGCCCTCGAATTAGCTCGTTGCTTCAATTCTTGTATCAACTGACCCCTATACGTCAGGTGATATCTGTGTATTGCAGGCTAACAGAGAAGGCTGATAAATACATTAGGGAGAGATAAGTTGCAATTGTACCTATAATACCTCGTTTAATACCTATTTAATAACTTATTCTGCTATTAGACCTATATGGCAAAAAGGTTGGTTTGAAAGTTGCTGAATTTGTCAATACCAATCTCACATTAATTTCCTCTCTTGACGCAGACCCTTGAGTCTAGTAACAGACAGCAATTTTTCTCGCTGTCTCTCCTCATTCATTGAAGCATTTTTCGGCGCTCTTTCTTTCCAACATTCATCCTTCACTTATCTGGCTGCGTAAAACAGATCGTAGAAAAAGACGCTAGATTACTGCAGAACTCCAAAAAGCTGGCTACAATTTTCATCCAAACTATAAGCAACATACGATATGATACAGGAAATTCTATTCATTATCCTGCCTTTAAAAGTTGGGATATCTTTGTCCCTTGCATACTTTGCTGTTTGATTTTGCAAAGATAGAGGTTATCTTGCAAAGCTTAATTACCAAGAATAATAGAAGGAAAGGTTTTTCTCTAAAACTTAAAGCTACGCCAGAAAACGGCCGCCAAAGAGACCGATCTTGGGTAGAATTCTGGCTGTTTTGTTGCAGTTATTTTTATACAGATAAATTGCGAGTTCCGCATTTCTTGATTGTCCATTTAGAGCATAACTGTCAATTTAAGATACCAAGGAAACTTTTCAAACTGCAATCTGTTTCAAAAGCTAGTACCTTTGCTTCTACGTTATACTGCCGTTAAGCGGAACCTCCAAGGGACCTGAAAGATTGATTCTGCTTAACAAAAGACCCACTTATTCAGGGTGCCATTTGTCGAAAGTATACTGTACTTTGCAACCTACGGTCTAAACCAATGAACTATTCAGGGAAAATTTCTTGTATTCGAAACCCGAAGAATCCGTTGCGTTGTAGAGAGCTTGCCTATATGACTTCTATCGCAAAGCCTATATAACTTTGAACCTTAGGAAAAATCGACTTCGTTTTCTAAAGTTGCCCATTTTCGAAGGTGTTTGATTTTGTCATTTATTTAGGGTTTGTTGTGATTTACTTGTGTCCGTTTTGGGATTTCCTTGATTGGGAAGTGTCCGTTATTTGGGCGTGTCCTTGATTGGGAGTTCTCCGTCATAAGGAGGTGTTTATTGAGAATAAACTTCCACAGAAAAAAAAACAAGCTTTTTGAAATTACACGTCTATGCATTTTCAGGAGAACTTAAAGATTGCGATATTTATTTTGCGGTCAAGAAAAGGCAAAAATATTTGAAAATTTTGCAAGCGATATAGTTTCTGTTTGCCTTTTTTCTTAAAACGATTAGTTCTAAAAATTCTATCTAAAAAATATATACGTTTTAAAGTATTCAATTACTTGCTGTAACATCTAATTGCTTACAGTATGCCCCAAGGACCATAAGCCATAATGCTCCAAAAGGCTTCAATTCTCATGGGAGTTCTCCAACGACTTTCTGCATTTCGATTAACTGCCTTTGTACTGTTGTCTTTGTTTGGCCTGTAATCAATACCCATGCTGCAGATTACACTGCAAGGGACAGGTTTTCTGGACTTCTTGAAGCATTTGTTAAGCAACGTGTAATGCTGCAAAGGAAACTCGAATGGCCTAGCTTTTGCAAACTTGTCGAAAAGCAACTATAAGAAGAATTACTGACGAAAAGATGGTTTGAAGAGCCGTGAAGTATTGGTAAGCACTTTCTAATCCACTCTCGTCTTGTCGCTGGTGTACACTATTCAAGAAACCAAAGATAAATAGATTTGTCTTCAGAAGCTTGTCGCAAATTTGTCTGTTAATCTACAAACGCTTGTTAACATGTTTCAAGATATCGTGAAAAGATAACATTGAAGTAAATATGCAAATTTCATTACAATACAGACTGTTTGGAATGCTAAAAAAGTGAATGCTGGATCTGCTAGAGGAGCCTTGTTATTTATTGGTCGTGCTTTCGCAAATTAATGCTTTAATCAATTTCAGTGAAATTTCGCGTGAGAGCTGGGTTACTTAGGGTTTTACCTCTGAAAAAGATATAAAGCCATCCGACAGAATCATTGTAAAGGTTAACGTAAAACCGGAATGGTTTTGAAGAAGTATCCAGTTCACCTGGATATGATGAACATAAGTCAAGAAATATCTGTCCTAAATTTCTCAGATAAACACCCTAACTCCCTTTGTTTTCTTAAGGATTGCTACGCTTTTCGAGACATTCATTTATAGGAACGTTTAGAAAAAGGGCGCTATCTGCAAAGTTTTGTATCCTTACCATTTTCTTTTGTCAACCTGTTTTAACGGCTCTTATTTAATATCGATTTTATTCTCGTAAAAGTAGTTCAAAATAAACAAAACTATTATTTTCTATCATTTCCGTTACAAAAGGTAGTAATTTTCATAGTTTCATATAAAACAAACCCCCTGTATGTGCCGTAATGTGCCAAGAGCTGTAACACCTTCGTTCAAAACAGTATATCAATCTATAATGCCTGCCTAATGTTCTTATAATGCCATGAAGACAAAATGTTTTTTAAACTATTACAGTTTCTAATAGAAAACTTCAAGATATGGATGCTATTGACAAAAGAGTACCGAAGTGTGACGTCACCAAAAATCTATTTTTAGAATTTCTTGAGTTTAGCCACATAATCCTAAAGAACAGCATAAAATACCTCTCAATATGCAAAATTAGTTAGATATGTTCCAAATTGGGCGAGATATGACCGATGAAAGATTTCAAGCTTGCTAACGGATTACTGTTATTCTGGCCTGGTTCATAAAATTATGAACCAAGACCAAATTACAGAGGTTTGACGGGGCAAGAGCTTGTCCTTATGTGGCCATCTCTAAGCCAATTCGTAATGCCTTTAACTGAATTTGCAAATTTAGAGGTATTTCACTATACTCCTTAGGTTCTGGGATCAAAATTAAAAAATTCTAAAAGTATATTTTCATGACCTCATCACTTCGGTACTCTATTTACAATAATATCAGAGGTGTCTAGAGTAAAAACTTTGAAAGAGAAATGAATAAAGGTAGCATGCAGGAGTATTTATTTTTTGACCACACCCTTAAAGAGTGAGATACACCCTTTTTTGTCGGCAAAAATCGCCTCTTCGCCGCTCCAAAAATTTTCTTGGCTCTGCCCCTGAATAATAGACAAAAAACTTTGACGGGAGATGTAACTTTACATTACAATATAGTACTGGTACCCTTCACGGTCAACAAAATCTGATGGAAATTCCTTATGATGACCAGAATTTATTTCACACACCATTGTCCCTTCCAACATCTTCTTGCTTATGTTGAAAGATTCACAGTGGCAACCAGCTCTTTGTTCAATGCATAGGCGACATTGGTTGAAGCATTCTTCAACTGTTTTCACATGAATAACTTTATCTACATGACGCTTCAGTGCTTTATCAGCAAATAGAATGTTCGTGTGAAAGCTTGTAGGGTCGTCTTCAACTATCAGGCATTCTATAAATAAGAAAATCATAGCTTAGAAGAAAACCACAAGCTTTTTGTATGACAGTGATTGGGCAACCTCAACAGTCACGTGCTTGCAATTCTCATTGGTCTACTTTACTTTAATCCGCAACTAGTTTTATATATACATATATATTTATTTCTTAGCTTAGAGTTTCCGATATATGTTTTTAAGTTTTGTACTCTGAAGAGTGTCAGACAAAAAGTTTGAGCATAATTCAAAATGTTTGCTTTTTTCAAAGCCATTTTTAAATTTTGTACCACAATGCTTGTACCTACGATTTTGCTAATGCAATAATATTGAAAGTAATTTCAAGACCTTTTCTTTGGTTTTCAAGAGAACATCTTCATGCATTTATATATGCATCCGTACACTTTGAGCTAAGAAAATTACAAGGCTGCATTATTGTAAAATTATTGTAATAATCCCTCTTCTTGATAATAAATATGGCCGTTTTATAGCTTATATTTCTTTTTCATTTGCATAGATATTAAAAAAATCATCTCTTTCCAATACTAATATCAGAAGAAATGGATCAAACTTACTGTGTCAAGTAGATTCTACGAATTATATCGAGAATAAGATCACAAAGTGCAGGTAAGTAATACAATTCTATCGTTGCTGTTCGAATCATTTACGACAAATCTATTGTCATTTTTAGCAGGAAATGCTTCGACGATGGGGCTAGCCACTACCACAGGAACAGAGAAGAGTATTGACAAAAGAGTACCTAAGTGTTAGCGTCACCTCAGGCGACACCCTTTTCTGGACTCCAGTCAAATCTCAGTATTGCACGCTTTTTTGACAGAGGCTCTGTTGAATATCAACTTCCTTTTTCGTAAGTGCAAAGCAAGAAGAGAGAATTTTGGTACAGATAACTTCGCGTAGACCAAATTTACATAATTTACAGCCTATGTCAAAGTGAAATATATACCTACCCGTGTATATGACATATAGTGAACTCACTTGTGCGTATCAAACGACGCCTTATATGAAGACATAATGGCTGTTTCATAATGGCTGATTCATAATGGCTGATTCAATCTGTGTTCTATGTTCTATGTACTTAAATCCTTACCGTTGTTTGTATTTTTCTGGACAATATTACTGAAAACACCACTCCCTTTCCTCGTCCTTGCTGCTACTTTAAACTCATACAATGTGCCTTTTTTCAGCCTCTCCAATACGAAAAATCTGTTTTGAATACCATATATGATGTTAGATTTCCAGTCAGTTAGCCCTGAATCTTTAGCTCTATGTCGTAACTCGTACCCACGGCCAACACCATTCATCAAAGAGGAGTCAGCGATTGGGCTCCAGGTCAGCTTAATCGAGGTCGGAGACTCTGTGGTAGCAGTTACCTTCGCAGGGGCAGAGTCTGGAACTGAATTGTAAAATCTGATAAAATGTCAGAACTTCTTTTTACTGGTACCTGCATACTTTTTACTAAAAGTGGCGATTTACTATCTAGATAGTGTTTGAGGCTATGCAAAATGGCTTGCAATGTACCCCATTACTTTCCTATATGTAAATGAAAAGCGCTATGAAAAGTGTCCTACCGAAGGTTAGCTAGCTACTATTAACTTTTTTGAATCGGCTTGGTTTGATATCAAGAACCAAGCGTAACATGCGGGACGGCCTGCCCGGTAGCAGAATGATAATATTTGGAAAATATAAATGAACATATTCTCAGGTTTAGTTTATTTCAGGTTTAGCTATGTAGCACCATACTGTTTTTATCAACTGATCCAGAGCAGTTTATTTCGGCAGAATTTTTTCAAAACTCGTAACACCTAAATGCAACTGCTTATTTTTTGCTATCCCCTTTGTCTGCTTCCCGAACCCTCTCATGTTTATGGACTACAGGGTTTGTTTAAGGTCTGAGTTATGTAGAATTGGTAAAAACAATCATTGTTATTTTTCCAGTCTCAAATGTAAGCTCTTTTGCTTTCGGAAAGTATTTATACCTGGTAAATTCCGTTGTCGATCTGTAATCTCCTTACAGTATGAAATGTCTAGCACTTTATGCTCTAAAAAAGATACGAAAGTCAAAGAGCAGCTTACCATCTTCATCTGTTCTTTTGTATCTTATTCTTGACACAATATTTTGATCTTTCTCGTTGATTTTTCCAAAAAAATGAGCATAAAATCCGTAGATTGTATTCTTATGTAGTCCTGCTACCAGAACACGATGTCCCAAGGTTATATTAACTTTATGTTCTTCATTTCTGTAGTCATATTGGAAGTAGTGTATTTCATGTTTCGGCATAGAAGTCCAATTATCTTTCTTTGGTAGCCTTGGCTGTGAAGGCAGTTCTACAGCAACTGACGTGGAGCTTATGGTCCACATCAACAGATCTGGCATGTTCTTTTGTGATTCAGCTATGAGTCAAATTTTGAAGCATTAGGCCGAAAGAAAATGGGGTGACATGAGAGGAACCCGTTTTGAATTTTGGCATAAATACCTTTACAGAGGAATAATACAAATTTTCAGTAGAAGCGTGGACATATCAGGCCCGTCGGAACCAGGGGAGGGGGGCTTGGGGGCTGGAGCCCCCCCTAATAATTGTCAAACTGGAGTATATTTCCTTCATAACTGAGTGTAAAATGAGTGTAATGAGTGTAATTCCGAGCGAATTTCCGGGGCCTGCAGCAAACATATTTTGTTCCTTTGATTACGTCAAAACTGTAACTGCGATCGATGTTAGGGATTTTAATATAACTTGTTGGGACCCTCTCAGCTCAGGCCCTGGGCAATCTGCCCCCAGTTCTCCTCTCGGTGGGCCTGGTTTCTCAGTATGGAAAGGATTTGGTGTAAAAATTGCCGGGGGGGGGGAGACATCTCTTACCCATCTCTACTCAGTGCCAGCTTGAGCAACTATCTGGTTTTCTTCTTTGTATTCATGGCACCTGTTGCAATGTAAGGTGGAGTTGCAAATGCATGTGAATCCCTTTGTGTCAGATCAACTATTTTTAGAAAAATAAAAGTTTCAGGAGATATCAAGAGCTAAACTAATCTCATCACGCGATATTCTGTGACCATGCATTTTGTTGGTTAATGACACTCAATCGCAAGCTGTTTTTCTAAATTTCACATTCAAAAATCGGATTTGCATATCAGAAATCCATTAGCTGTCTTTTGTTACTATGAATTTTTTAATAACAATTTTCATCATTGCTTTAATGTTCAATGCTCATCAGTTAAAAGTAATTGTACCTTCTTTTAGGTTATAAAGCATTTTTTCCCACGAATTTGAGAACTCTTCAGTACTTTTACTGTTTTTGTGCAATATTTTCATCTCCCGCGACAGTTCCCCCGGCTGGTAAAATAACTTTATTGGGTACATTTTATTAGGCTGCAGCGTCCCAGCATTTACCACTGTCTCAGGTTGGCTCGTTGTGCTAAAAGATTAATTAAGGATTATATTCCAAGCTTTATTTTTGCACACAAGAAGATCAGTAATGTTTTGTTGACAGCTGAAAAGATGTAGAAACCTATTTGTGAAAATATATGAAGATACAGTGTTGCGTTTCCTGAACATATCTAAAATTCCAAAGTTAGTTAACCTAGTTTGAAGTAAATAAATACAAATACAATTAGAAATATAATTATGATATAAAGAAATAAGAGACGAAATGGGGAGATCTGAATTTATTTTCAATGTGTTTTCAGCATATCGTTTAAAGGATGCCAGCAAAAGAACTTGCTGCTATTTGAAGTTTGATAATAGTATTGTTTCAAGAAGGGATTACCAGAACTTTTTCTTGTTGAATGATTCTATATTGTCATGAGTTACTTCATAGTCAAATGAAAATAAATAGTTATTCAAAAGCCATCAACACTTACTGTAAACTTATTCCGATACGTTTTTCAATTTCGTCTTTTGTTATGAAGATTTCACACACTTTGTTGCACGTCATTTTAAACTGGTAGCTTGCACTTTCAGGCACTTTCAAATAGCCGACGAACTTCCAGTTGAGGTAACTCGAATTTTCAAAGTTTTCAATATACAGTCTATCGTTACATGAAAACGAGGACAGGCTGTTTTGGTTCTGTATGGTCTCTTCGACTTTCTCCGCTGTCACTTGAGTGCTGTCAGTTTTGGAAATTGATGGTTGGTATCTTTCGACAAGCAAGCCCGTTAATTTGTAGTATTCTGAAAGGTATTGTCGAGAATTTTGGCGTTAATATGTGTAAGAGAGGTACCAAAAATCCCTGGAAGAGCCCCCCCCCCCCTCCCTTCGAATGAGTGCCCCTCAATTGATGGATTCTGGATGGGTTAATGAAAGGCTGGAAGTTGAAACTTCTTTCTGAGTAGGGATTTTTAGATCCTGAAGCCTCAGTTTATGGTGACCACACTCTTTTTTATAAGAACAATTTTATAAGAACACGAGCCTCAAAACTGGTCAAAAGTTAAAAACAAATTAAGAACAATCTGAGGCTGAGCTTCTACAAAATGCAATTTTTAACAACGTTTTTTCTCAAAATCATGGATTTTTAGCGATGTGTGGGTGCTTTTTCGGTGAATATTCAAATTTTTCAGCAAATTAAGGCTGTCTCATTTACTTTGTTGGCAAATGAGGTCTGAACACCTCCTTAGAGCGAAAAAGCTAGCAATCTCACTGCTTACACCCTCTTAATTCAAGAACAAATTAAGAACAATCCAGCCTCAGATTTTCGAAAAAATTAAGAACAGTCAGCCTGAACTTAAATTTACTGGTTCTTATAAAAGAAAGAGTGTACACGATAAATGTATCTAATTTGAATTAACTCAATGAAACGAAAAGTCTTTTTTTGTTTACTGTAAATTATCATCATTTTTCTCATTAAAAATCTTCCAACCACCTTTTCGAAGAATTTGCAAAAAACTTTATCCATTTGATTGGTATTACTTTACTTTATTAAAAATTCATTAAAAGCTCCAAATTTGCTCCGGTTTCGCTGATCACCTATCACACTCACTGTTTAACATCTTTGAACCCGAAATCAAATTTCCAATGTGGCAACAAACAATACCGGTTTTCTCATAAAAGTGAGATGGGGTTTAATAGAAAATCAAAATTACCTTAGATCTTAGAGGGGATGCTTTAGAAAAGCTAAGCACAGTCATTTGATTTGCCAAGGAGCTTTGCTAGGAATTGAACGCTGACTGCACGTCATGTAAACCAATGACTTTTAAATAACCAGATGAAAACTGAATTTGGTCGTAAAAGTTTTTCTGTGGCTGCTGCGCATGTTTACAACAACATTCCTATTTCAGCAAGAAAATTAGACTCTAGGGTTTTATTCAGAACACAAGTACATGATTTTATTTAATTATATGAATTTTTAGCTAGCTTAATTTAATCCTTTTAGTTTGTACCTTACGCACAGGACCCTAATGATAACAGTATGCTTGTCATACTGATAGGTTATTCCTGTATAAACATTCGTGTTTTATTATTATTATTATTATTCTATAGGATGAAAAATCTAGCTGTACATAACAGTGTTTTACTTAATGGCTGAAGTTAATATCAGGGACCGTAGAAGCGGGGGAGACTTTCCCAATGATTTCCCAAATGCACTGAAAACCATACAAAAAATTGCCCTGTTGTTGATTTTTAACATGTTTAGCAATCCCCCCTTCCCAAAGACGTTTAAGCCCCTTAAATACGTATTATATTCTCCGCTTTCATTAGTTAAATTTTACGTACCCATTGACCGATGTAAAAAATTCTTTGCCTATTGGAATCAATTCTGTTGAATTTGGAAATTGCACGCCAAGCTGAAAGAAACCTGGGTGTGTCTCGTTTCCATAGTGATAGACTGTAATTTGGTATCGGAATCCCTGTAGCAGATCGACGAGTAATTTGGAGTGACTAAAATGGTAGCAGTTAAAGAAATTGAAAGAAATTTTGGGTATGAGGTTATATCTAATTATTTTGCATTGCACAATAAAATCGAAAGCAAAAACTTTGGTCTTACTTTTTTTAATATCATAAAATAAGTCGTATACTTGTATGTACGAGCTACTTTTCAATGCAAAGGTAGCCCTTTGTGAATTTCTAACCACCAAAATTGGCCAACCAATAATTGCGATACCTCTCACTCGTTTATTGATTGCACAATTTCGATTGACAGATTGCTGTAACAATCCAATTTCTAGAGATAAGTGCCTAGATGTTGGGGATGTTCAATTTGAGTAGGTTTTGCATATGTGCGTAGGTTGCGTCAATACGTAATGCAACCGAGTCTAGCCTAGTTCACTCAGAAAACAAATGCGATAGCAAAAGTGTTCATTTTCTGCTAATCAGTTTTTTGTAGCGGATGAGTTAGGGGATTATTAGCTGGACCACACAGCTGTGTTAATCGGGATGGCTTTTTTCTTGTTGCTGTATGAGATCCAAATGAAATGGTCTTTTGCCACCGGAAAATCCTGGTATTACAGTATTAGGAGTCCAAATGATATCTAGATCGAAATCTGGATAGAATTAAAATATCAAAGCCATAGCTTGCATTGTCATAGAAGAACTCCGTAAGTTTCTTAACTAACTTACCTAGTCAAAGCAGTCCTTGCCTTGCTAGTGATATCCAATATTTTCACTGGAGTTGGCAGGTTTGTGTCAATGAACACCCGACATTTCATTTTGCATGTAGCAAAAAACCTGTGCTTACCACTTTGTGTAGAGGCAAATATGGCTTGGTATAGCCCATATTGATGCCTTTTTACAATATTTTGTTGACTGTATTCAAAGTTGTTTATGTTTTCGATATTGTTTGGGCAGTTTGGAAATTTCCTAATACCTGTGAAGTTGCCGATATCGTAGTATTTGGCAGAGTTCCATGTCTTTACTATGACACCAGGTCCAGGTTGATAGAAAGCTAAAGAAATATGTTATTTTAATAAAATTGATATGCCATGTGGCTATATAATTAGAAATATTAATTAAAGACTCGATACTTGTTTGTAACCTAATTGCTATGTACACAGATGAAAATGAAATCACTTCTTCCAAAACCCAAAAGCTATAATCTTCGAAAAATTGATACCCTATCTGTTCCAAAGGTTAACACTACAAGTTATGTTATAAAATCTATTAGCTTTTTGTTCAAAGATTTGGAATTATCTTCCAAATGAAATGAAATCATCTAAAAATGCAAGTCAATTGAAAGTTCTTATAAAAGATTGGTATTTCGAAAACCAATGCGCCTCCAAACGCTTGCATTCAATGACTTCCATAATGCAATCTCTTAAACCGCTTCATGTTAGTGTTTATTAGTGTTGTGTTAGTGTATTATTGACACTATTGTCAAACAAATAGTGAAAAAGGTATTATTATTATTATTATTATTACTTAGAATGTTTTTTATTACCCCTAAGATATGGAAAGACACATCATTGTCATGTTTTATAATGGATGGTTGCAACAAGTTGCAGGGGCACAGAAGTAGAAATGCTATAATGCAGCACGCAGGAGAAACGACAAATAATACCCAATTAGGTGAGCCCCTGTTTTTAAGCTAACCTAATTTCTTAAGCCTATTATTTCGACAAATATCTTCTTTAGGTAGTCCTTCCAAAAAGGGGCTAGACAGGAAGTTTGTCTTACACCGGTTGATTATCGAATTGCACTTGCAGAATTTCGCTTACAGCAATTGCTAATTAGAGGGTTTTGATTGGACAGTTGGTAAATACAGGTCGCACGTACCTGAACGGTTTGAAATAGCGTTTAGAACAAAAACGAATACCGATCACGCCAATTATATTAAAGCTAGAAAATAACCAGGAGGATCCTTTCTGTCAATCACAAACATCTAGAATTCTAAATCATTCAATGCAATCAAATGTTACTGTAAGCAGTCTGAATGGATTTTGACCTCTTCCGTATGGGCAAAGCTAAAAATTAATGTGGGGGGGGGGGGTGACTGTCCTGTGACAGTATTCAAGGCCAGATCTGCCAAGTAAAAAGCAAACCAATGGCTCTTTGGATGTCGCACATTTCCCCACATTCTGTAGAGCCACCTATGAAAACCAGCTCAAAAATTATCAAACGGCTTCCCTTTATATATGCCAATGATAAATTTAGAAATATGAACATGACATCTTGTTAGATTTTCATCCAGTCGGAAAGCAACATCAGTTTTTATTGGTACAAGAAATTACGTGGAATTTTATTTGAAACACAGTTAGTCATGAGAAGACGAAGACTTAATCATACTGAAGAGTGGGAATAGAACTATGTGTAATTTGCAACGCAGTTTGTGGACGATGCTGGCTTTGACGAGACCTATTTTTATCAATCCTTTTTTACCCTAGAATCCCAAAAAATTTTGTGGGCCTTTCCCTCCAGGGGGTAATTGAAGTTTTTATATACAGGGGGCTCCATCTGATAAGAATATATAAGATATTTTCCTTGTGATCTGATACTATTGGGTACCTGATTTAAAAATTTACCTTTTTAATACTTATAGGTTCAACTATTATATAACAATATCAAAAACAGGAATAATGGAATTGATGTGTTTAAACTGATTATTTTAGTAAACAGTCTAAATTATTATGACTAGTGGCCTTTTATGTGCTCAAGAAGATGTGCAGAATATGTGCAATTTGTTTTTGATTCTGTAAGGTGAATTTTGATAACTGCGGATTGACTACCCCGTATGTAGAAAGTCTATGTAACACCCCTTAGAGGCCTTTCCATTAGTGATTGTAAATTGTGCTCTCACTGACATCTGATAGGATACCTTGTACATAGGCAAAACCAGAAATACTGGCTGAATAGCTTAACAAATTTAACATGCCCTTAAAAGCTTGGGCATTGACCCAGAAATAGTCTTGTAAAAGACTTTCCACTTACCTGAAGGTAACGTTTCATCGCTGGAAGCTTCAAGGGACGCAACATAGATAGCAGCATACCAGATGTAAAGTATTTTATGCATTTTGCATCAAAGGCTCTTCAAGTCTGACAGAAAAGTTGAAAATTTTTGAATGCTCGAATCTGTTATATACCTTGCTTAAAACTATGACGACACCTCAAGTTTCCTTAAACAATGGATTGACTTACTAAGTGTACCTTGCCAAGACTCATGGCTAGAAGCAATGAAACTTAGCATCGATTTCATGTTTCTATCCAAACGTACACGGCAACAGAAAACTTTCAATTTGCATATCTTAATGTGTAATGAGATGCAAAATGTATCTAGATGGTCCGATGACATATATGCAAATTTCTTCCTCAACAAAGCGCAAATCTTAAAATAACCAACTCCTGCAGATAAACTTTCAAATGTAGCGGGGAAGAATGACACATAACTGTAGTCTCATTAATTCCAAAGTTCAGGTTGAGTTATAACAATAATATGTAACTCCCCACAATTTTAGAGGCCTGGAGTATTTTACATACCCAATTAGTGCTTGTTCTGTTGTGATTGTGCTCAACTTCCAAAACCAAGTTTTGTATTGCAAATGTAGATCTTATCAAAGATGAAACAACTTTAATTCGACATAAATTCTAGCCGAGAGTTATATAAAAAAAGACGATACATTCGTAAGAAAATGACTTTTCTAAAAATGCATTGTTACCTCAAGAACGTCCTATTTCCTTCAAAGATCCATATGATTTATCTTTAAAAATTTCCAACATTTATACAAATGCTATATTTACATTTACTCCAAAATATTATGATTTGAAATCTTTACAAACAGTTCTTGTAGCTGAAGAAATTCACTGAAATTTCAGCTTCTCTCAGCAAGAATTAGCGTCATTGTTCACTTCAATCCAAAAAATTGGAATTGAAATAATTTTTCTTAATTACCTGTGAATTTCAAACTAGTTAGAATATTCATGTTTCAGATCTGATTGAATCTTTAGATCTCATGTTTCCACCTTTTTCCTACCTTAAATTGTCAGTATTTGTACAACAAAGCTTCAAAGTCTATGCTTTTTGAGCTTTTATTTTGTCTTTTGTTTCATAAACATATCTTTGCACACGTTGTTATGGTTTCTATATTCTACTGCTATGGTCTGATTCTGAATATAGTAGCGAAGTGTGACGGCACCAAAAATCTATTTTTAGAATTTCTAAAATTTGGCCGCATAATCTGAAAGATTGGCATAAAATACCTCTTATTGTGCAAAATCAGTTAGATATGTTCCAAATTTGGCGAGATATGGCCAATGGGAGGTTCAAAGTTTGCAAACAGATCACTGTTATTCTGGCCTGGTTCATAAAGTTATGAACCAAGACCAAATTACAGAGGTTTGATGGGGCAAGAGCCTGTCCTTATGTGGCCATATCTAAGCCAATTCGTAATGCCTTTAACTGAATTTGCAAATTTAGAGGTATTTCACTATACTCCTTAGGTTCTGGGATCAAAATTCAGAAATTCTAAAAGTAGATTTTAATGACGTCATCACTTTGGTATTCTATAGTCAAGATTAAGATTGATGTTTGTCGAGTAGAGGTTGTAGCCACCCATTTCCTAATAATTTACAAAGATTGAAACCTTTTCTATAATCTTTGTTTCTGGTGATATGAACATGATTTAATAAGGCGATTTCCTGATTATCTCAACGTATTGAAGTTGGGTGATTTGTTAAAAATTTTGAAAAAATTTAGGCTATCTGTCAAGCACCGTAGATTCACGTCGGTTTGGTCAGTTGAAACTTTTTATCCAGCTTCGTTTAAGTTAGGTAGCAAGAGAAATTAAAGAAGGAAAGTTTGGCAAAGTAAACACTACCCTGGGTACCAGAGCCGCGCAAAAATTTAACGGCAGCAATTTCCCTCTTCCCTCTCCTTCACCTCCGCAGCTCTCATTATTTTTTTGCTGCCGTTAATTTTTTTGCGCGGCTCTGGTACCCAGGATAAGGAAACACCGAGCTGCATCTGCTTGAAGGAGAAACAGCAGGCCTCTCTTAGTCAAGGACGTCTGCGCCAAGAGGGCAGCGAGACCAGTGGCTCCCCTTGCCTTCGCAAAATTAAGCATTTTCTTCGTTTTACAATTGTTTTGCCCTTTTTCTTGGTGCTTTGCCCCGTTATCCTCTTCGAAAACAAGCTTTCTTTATCTAAGTTTCCTTTCTGTTGTTAGAAAGAGGGGGGATGCTAGTAGGCTTGGCTCAGCCGGCCTTTAAAGCTAGAAGGTGCAAAATTTCCATTGTTGTGGGCATGGCAGCGCAAGATTGCCACGGTAAAGTTAGGGATAGCATAATTGATAACATGGACGCAGTGGATGTTAGAAGTTTAGGGAGGCCTAGTATGCATTTCGCCTCGATATCATTGCTTTATTGAGATGGAACTTTCCAAATTGAGCCTGAAATTTGAAACATTTTCCCTGATTAGGGAGGCTGCACCTCTTCCAGCCCCTTTGTCCCGCACGCCTATAATAGCAAAGAATTTTTAAACAATATAGAAAAGAATGAAGAATTTTCTTGCGTTCATTATGAGCATCTTTTACTAGTTTTTTAAATTTTAAAATCAATATTGAGTGCGAGAGTAAGATGGTTGCAATGTTTCATTGAAAAACAAGCATTGCTACTGCTAGAGAGGGTAACGTTTTACCAGGAGAGTTTCGTAAGATTATTTCAACCTTCGTCTGGGCGGAAAATGTCTGACAATGTTCTAGTTGCTGATGGGTTTTTCTACTGTCATGCTTATTGAACTTAAACCTTGTGGTAGTTATACAGCAACAAAGGTTGCACTGAAGGTACTGAACAAAACTTCGAAACCTTATTTGTTGAATTATTTTGACTAGGCCGTTCATGTTGCTTTTGTCTGCTATACTTGTGAAAAATATAGCTATGGAAATTTCCAAACGAGACCTGGTATCTTGGTGGATCCTAATTCACATGGATCCGCTTATGGCACAATAAATGCAGAAATCCATTTGCAGGAGACTCGGCGAGCCTCCTCGTGGCTTCGAGGTCGCTGTTCAGTGTGCTCTGCACAGCGAACCTCGAAGCGAAGAGGAGATGATGAAGAAGTAAACATTGGCTGCATTCATAACTATATCTGAACTGAAATCAACTGCGATAAAGTCAACCACACGGATCTTGTCTTAAGAATCCCTTAACTCCAATCACCAAATGTCGGCCAATTCATTAGAAATGTACTAATAAACTTTTTAAACGTTCCAAATACGACTTTAGCAGATTGTCTTGCCTCCAATATGTTCTTTTTTATGCTAAATCTCTAGTTAAATTTGATAAAACGATGTCTCAGTTTGTTTACCTTTTCTGGTTCTTTCTATTCAGCCTCTTATCCCAAATTTACAGATAAAGTAATTTGAATTTAAGAAAATTGTCACTCTCCTTTCCCCAACCATGTTATGCTCTTACTTGTTAAAATGCATGGATGCAACCTTTCAATCAATAAGATGGGAAGAAATTGAGAATGGTCTGTATTTCATAGGTAGCAATAAGTGGAAAAATATTTTGCTTGGTTAGCTTTAAAGACTGTTTTTTAACAACAGCTGTGATAATTCAAACAAATGCGAGAAGCAAAAGAAAATTTCTCAGAGGTCAATCTACCATATTCGATGTTATGTCTAATCAATGTTTACTTGTGAAAAAACAAATGGAAAAGGACCAAGTTTCCTGTTTTCTTCCTCCTACTCTTTTAGACAGTGTCATACTCTATCACCCCATTTTTTATTCAAATATTAACTGTAAGAATGTTTTGAGAACAAGATTACAAGAATTGATGCAAGGAGATGACCAAGGGCCTCAAGCTCTATTGCAGCGCCTAGTTAGCTACTGCATCAAATGCAGGGCCGTTTATGTCCTCATTCGTTCTCATAACAACATGTTATTCCCCTGTTCGGAGTTGTCAGCATTGGATCTGAGTTGTCAGTTCTACATACTCTTATATTCCCCTAGGGCGCCGCCAAAGTGGTATATAGAGATGCCCCAAACACTTCATCGGCATATGAACAATTTTTGCCGGGCAAATGTTATTCTCAACCTGTAATAGTAACAATTGTAACGTATTTAAATTTCTGCAGCAGTTAAACTTTCAAAGTATGATACTGAAGTATTAATTTTGAAATAGAAACGCACAACAGCAGCATACAAGTTATTCTAACATATAATCACACCCTTAAAGAATAAGACACGCCCTTTTTGTCGGCAGAAATCATTTCTGTACCTCTTCGAAAAAAGTTTTAGGTTTCGCCCCTTTTATTTCCTATATCACAAGCCCGCCATTTAGCAAGAACCCTTGTCTACTTTGTTCAAAATGGATGAAATTTCAGACAACTGACCCTATGTTCTGAATGTTATTTTCCATTGTAACAGTGACAATGATATTCCTTATAATAGTCTTATTTGCTAGGTTGATTTTGTTTTCGATCAAATTTACTTGTTTCCCCATATATCATTACCTTCACACGGATAATTCACTGTAGATATGAACGTGATAAGGGTGATACTAAAAACCACCTAGTGTCCATAATTCTACATGTCACGAGGCAATGGAGGATATTGCTCCTTCACAGCTGTCTATCATTGGGTACTTTAGGTATCTGTGCGCCGGACTTTTGTGTATTATCCACCCCTAATCTTTTGTCCTTTGCTGAGTAAGTCGTTGTTAAGAAAGGCAAATCCAAATCATAGGCTTCTTAGAATCCTTAACAGTATTGAATTAATTTGTTAATCTCGCTGAATGTACGCATCTCTAATAAACTTAGGTCATGAAAAATCTTCATTTCAACATCTGCTTCGAATAGTGTTATTTTCTCATTTTTATGTTTCACAGAACTCAAGGCATCTCGATAAGTAAGCCCTGTGCTTCAACGAGGTGTTTTTATGATTCGTCGGCAAGGCCTTGACAATTTTACTGACTCAGCGGAAAATCAACGCAACATTAGTTTGTTAGGCCAATTTGCAGCAGAGCGTTCGAGGTAAGGTATCTTTCTTTATCGATGCAAGTTTAACTTTTTTGCTATATAAAAATACCATTTCATGCCTGAGTGCTGCAATACGAAAATTGCTCGTAGAATCGCTCGTAGACTTTAACGAAGAGATTGCTTCAGCATATTTCACCCAGTCGCAATTAAACCAAAATCAAGTTTAGGGTAACATATTGTCGAAACTCCACCCTTAGGGGAAAGCATTAGTTTGATACCTAACAGCTAAACGTTTCTCAGATAGGATCACAAGCTTTTCTTTGTTGGATTTAAAGACATTTCTAAGTCTTTGTAAATTTGAGCAAACGGTAAAAGGGCAGAGTTTTTTAAACTAAAAACATTCAAAAATCATATGGTTGAACACCGTTTTTAACTTTTTACTTTTATCTTGAACAGGAAAATCTGTAGTTTGTCAAATGGCTGTTGTACCCCCATTTAAATCTTGCAGCAAAACAATTAGGGCTTGATATCTCGTTAGGTTTTATTTCACATATTATTCTTTGACGGATAAAAGAGAAAATTAAAAATTCCTTGTTTACAAGATTTTAGTCGTTCTTCCCTTTATTCAGTAATTCTGTTACAACACTATGTTACCTTTATTCATTAATGCTTTACTTATTCTGTCATTTATCTATTAATTTCCATTATTCAATATGATATTCTATAGTGATACATACACCAATTTCCCTTTCATTATGATTTGTCCATACATTTTTATATCGATTATCTTAACACTTATATAGTGAAAAGCAAGCAAAAAAGACTCACATCACAGTTGAAGCCACTGTTGAAATGAACTTTTCACGTTTTCCCTCCCCTGCTTTCTCCTATTTCTCTCTCTTATTCCTTTCTTAGTTGTTACTTGAACAAGCCTTGCAGTTGAAGTGGATTTCAATCCACTTTTAATCTCCTAAGATTTGTATAGTTACAAATTGTTCCTTTTACTTTTACAGATCCTTGTTGATTAAACTGTAGAGGTTAATCTCATCAAGATATTATTTGAGGTAAGAATACGACAACAATAAAAACTCTAAATGTTTTCTAGCTTATTTCATGTTCTGCTTAAATGACGCTAGCATCTGAACACATTTTTGGATAACTTTCAATAATTCTTTTATAGTTGACAATATAAGCTTTATTGGCCTTCTTTACATTCGTTACAGCAAAGGAGCATTGTAACTATACACAAAATGTTTGAGGCATCCAATCCTAACTTGCTATAATTGCTAAAAAACATCTTGAGAATAGTTTATAATCCTGATCTTGAAAGCATAAAAAACTAGAAGCTGTATCTTGCTTGCTTTAGAAACTATGAAAGCTTGAGCAGACGAAGGCAAATGCATTTGTGTAAATTAGACACATAAGTTCCGTAGAAACAACCATAATCGTCATGGTTTTACAATTAAGGAAGTTGCATCTTTTTATTGATTTGTATGTAGCCAGGACATGGTAATTAACCCAAGTTATTTCATTCAAAGACACGTTGTATGATTGTATTGAAATATCTGGCGATTCGTCCATCATTAGCTTTTATGAATCAACAATTTCTCCTGTTATGGTATTTTTTTCTTTTAGTTCTGTATTGGTTTTACAGTGATGGACTGCATTATGTAAAAAAGTAAGTATATTCTTATCACTAAAAGCAAGAAATTTAATTCTAAAAAGTATTATAGATTGAGACTTGATAATAAAATTTATAATAAGTACCAAGTGAAAAAAAGACATAATATGAACCCATTCGACAACTCCATATTACAATTTAATCGGATTTTGTATTGCAACAAGGAGTTGTCAAATGGATTCACATTATCTTTTTTTGTTGTGGTACTTATTATAGACAAGTATCATGTTAGAAACGGAATCTGGAAAAATCAGTTGGAGAAAGCTTGTCAAACGAGGTTTTCAAAAATGATGCCCTAAGTATTGATGGATAGAAAGGCACAAAAAAAGGCATAGATTATCGTTAGATGGACGCAAAAAGTTTTAGTGGACTAAATTGCCAAATGTTGAAAATAGAAGCTTATCGAAACTAAATCAAAGATAATAATAAAGAAGATTCATCTAAAAAAAGTACCATGTTTTACTGGACGAAAAATTGATGTTTCCATTAGGTTTTGTGATATAGTGAACATGTGATTTAATCACGTGTCTGGAAATACGTAGTAGAGAGACCTGGAACTGTGAGATTTGTAGAGCACGGGAACAATTATATGACAGCGATTATAGATTTCTATCGTTCTTTTTCTTTTCTGGTTATATATAAAATAGTTAGAAATAGCATAGCTTTGTGGACAATAATTTTAACTGCGATCAGAATCTCTTTATACGACGTTTCTTGAATATTCCCTTCATGGGCATGAAGAAGCCCTCCTGGCCTTGAAAAGCAGTACGTTGGATGAGGTGTAAGCTATTCAACTCTTTTTGCATCGCAAGTTTCCTTCTCAGCACTCTACCAACAGGAATAAACAAAAAGCAGCTACTTTCTCTAATTCTGATGGGTAACCAAATCTTAGTTTCGGCAGCGATTTCCTGTTATTCGTGCTTCATGCAGTTGAGCATAGTTAGGCTGCATTTAATCTTTGCTTGTGGAATATTTGTGGATCAGCCTTTGAATAATCTAAATGAATGACGCAGCTGATTCACCGCCCGAGGGAGACTTGAATTTGCTGCACGAGATATAGTAAGAACTCTCGCTTTTAAATTGCTTCAACATATTGAATCATCTTGGTGCTTAAAACAACTTTTATAAAGAACAATGTGATCGCAGATAGACACTGAGAAATCACACTGAAGCTAAGCCTTGTTGCGATAACAATGGCTTGAAGGGAATATGTCGATCCTAACTCCTTGAATGCACACATTTTTCCTTTTCTCGCAGGTGACATAAAGCTTTACTCAAACCTTGCTTTGCATATGTTATCATCCATATATCTGATGCATTTTTAGTTCGCAATACTCATCGAACGATAAGAATGGCCTGAAAGATTTAATCTCTGACTGAATCTTATCGCAACTTCTTGACTTCTTGACGTCATAATGTGTGAATGCAACACTTTTTTCCATCTTCGAAAGTGAGAAACAGCATCAAGTAAAACTTGTTTTGTTGTCATGTCTATTTTGTCGTCCATATGTATTATGTATTTTGAGTTCAAATGAATTCGAGCTTGTCTTTTTCAACTACAATGACAAATTGCCATTTCGCCAAATTGCGAAGTCGCCATTTCATTTCCTACTAACCTCTCCTTGTGAGTGGTTACTGTGTAATATATACCCGAAAGGTTATAAAAGGCGGGAAGTCGGGGGCTACAGTTACCCCATCCTCACAGCAAAGGAGTGCCAGGCAGTCTTTTTTCCACTTTCTGCACAAATATCAAATATCAATGACACAAAATTGAATCCCTGAGGTAGTACCTTAACGAAGCGTTACTAATCTCCTTGGTAATATGACAAAGGTCATTCCTTAAGATGCTTTTGTATCGACGGTGTGTATCAATGTCTTATTTACAATTTCGGAGTTTGTATTGACGTGTTATTGCATCTTGTCAAGAAGACATACTGTCCTTCTGTAGGCAGAGGACTTGGGTATTAACAGCATCTGAAAACGTGAATAAGTTCCTAATAATTTCGAAATAAAATTCAACGCAAATCTTTAGCAAGACCTAAATGCATGTAAATGGGAACTTCTTCCAATTGATTTCATTTTTGCAACTTTAAATCATATATTTAAATATATCAAAACTATAATCATGATTGGCTACATAGAAGATGTCTAAGATTACATGGCATACCCTGATAATGTTGCACGCTAGCCAGATAAATGGTATTATACGAAAGCAGTTTGAATACTAAAAGTAACTAACGCCATGATGAAAATATCTTTCAAGATCCTTTTGTACAAAGTTTTGTGTGTCAAGTTGTAAGCTGTCGCCTTGCACATTGCCATCAATTTAAAATGGAGGCATAGGGGTGGATAAGCAAGCGATCTCAGACTGCTTTTAAGATGGGAAATCCTTCTCTGCATTTTTTGCTACCTGTTCCTCCTAATTCGCGGATTAATCTGGAATTATGGCAGAAATCCTGCTTCAAAGTCAGAGCAAATACAAAGCCGATGATCTGTCTTGTCTTGGCAAGCTACATGGTGGACCTTATATATCTGACAGTGATTAAATTCGTGATGTATGTCGACTCCAGAAACACTGAGCACGTTGCTAATCCATCGGTATACGATAATTCTGGATAGGAGGTTTGCAGTCATAGTTCTCACACTACTTCGGGATGTAAGCTCTCTTACCTTAGATACAATGTTATTCAAATGTATGAAGTCTGTGACCACGATTTGATGTCTCAGAATCGATCATGCTCTTCTTTCAACAATGCTACGAAGTGACATGACATGCCTTTTTGAAACAGTTTCACTTGTTGTATGCACAACATTTAGTATTGCTATAATTTTTCAAGAGAAAGGGATGTTTAAGTGATCATAGAAGGAAAAGAGATCAAGTAAACGTTTTTAAAAATCAAATTCATATTTTGTTTAGGTCAATTATTCGTTATCTCTCGAGTTTTTTTCTATCATGACAAATGCCTTTAAACTTGTCATAAAACATTTTTTCACCTATTGCAATTTTATTTAGAATAACTCCATTAGAATATGAACCATTTCGCTGTAACAATAACGCTAGTTCTGAATTCTCCTTTGGTGCCAAGCAATTAAATTATTATCATCAGAGTTATTGAACGCGGTGAATTGTATGTGTAAGGTTTAAGACAACTTATGCAGTAATTTACCTCCGCCATTAATCTGGTTCGCCTCCGGTTTATAATCCTGGACCTTTTGTCATTAATATTTTTTTATCATATTGGCTATTCATTGCTCAAATTGACATATGATTTGCGCGTTGTTTTGATTAATGATACAAGGAAACATGCACATGTTGAAATACAAAGTTTACACTAATTAATTGGGGCCTCAAATGGGGCCCCTGAAACAGATAAGGCATCCCAATTCCCCCCCTCCCTCCCTTGTTCCAAACATTCAACATCCCTGTCCTCCATCCATTCTATACATACAAACCCATTTCCAGATCAGGTACCCTCTTCTTCCTCTACCCAACCCATTTGGCACGCCCTTCCAATAGCCACACCCAACCCCGCCAACTCTAACTTTATGCTGTTATGCACAGGTGATACTTTTAACCCTTCCCATTTCACCCAGCCCTTTATTCCCAAAGCCACGCCGTACCATGTTTATCCTCTTCACCCACTCAATTTAAATGCCTCCATACACTCTACAGTCCTACTTCAGTAAGCACTCTGTGTCGATTGCTACTTTTTGCTGATCTTTATAATATATATATATTTTTTATTTGTATTTCCTGACCTTTGCAACCGTGATTCTGGACGCAGGATTGCGAGGGGCGCCTACGAGAAATGGACATACCGAATTAAAGCCCCGAAATGTCCCTCGTGGGTTTCTGGCTGATGAGTTGCTTTTTTTATCATTTTCTGCCCCCTTACAAGCTAGTTGCTTAAAACATACAAGGGCATACACAACCACCCCCCATCTGAGTTTGAGGCTGTAACCAGGTGGTAGTGACTACTCCTTATCTCCTTTTTTCTCATTTTTCTCTTTTGGATTTTATACTTTTATTCACATATTGGTTTTTTAGTTTTTACCTTCTATGCCTATAAAAACAAAAATGTTGAGCCCTCCGGAGAGGGGGGGGGGGCATATTTCTGAAAAATATGACCCATAATTTCTCAAACATAATGAAAACTATACCCATAACTCCGCAAAACAAATAACACTTTTAAAATACAACAGAATCATCAAAAAAGTTTGTATATCTTTTGCCCTAAAATCTCAATATATCACATATATTTCATACTTTCATTTCTAACAGGACATTCATTTTGTTAATGCTTAATCCCCCACCTAATAATTTTGCAATATTTTCCCAAAATGGTACCCATAGCTCCGCATATATTTCAAAAACTGATACCGATAATTCCACACTTTTTAAAAAAAGGTATCTCTAACCTTGCCGCCCCTCTTCCCCCCGTCCCGCACACTTGATGACTTGATGTTAAAGTTTATTCCCCCGTCTCAACTTGCTGCTGATGTTACCTTTCCATAGTTTGAAATAATTGATGCATTTAATTTTAGTCACCTAGCTAACAATAGCTGGATGAAGTGACAAAGATTCTTTGCACCAAGAGAACAGTTTTCGCTGTTTCGGACAATGAGCAGCAAGCGAAACGGAGGTATCGAGTTGAAATCTGCTTTCACTATGGGGTTCGGACGTAAAAAGGAGGTGTCTTTTGCGAGATCGCGTTCAGCGACTGAAGAAGAACTAGAGGAAAAGATTCTGCGTCCTTCCAGTCCTCACATGCGTCGAAAATCGATGATTCCACATAGTGTGCCCGGTTACGTCAAATACAGACAGAAGGGAAATCAGCGCGCTAGACGCTTGCGGGCGGATTTATTTCATTTTCTAGAAGGCTGCAGGACTTTCTATAGTGCACTTTATCATGTTTTTGTGTAAGTACCATTAATCTAACTTTTGACAAACTTATTTTTAACCAACTCGATAAAGTAGATAGTTTAGATTTATTTCAAGTTTGATGACCGACCCGGACTAGCTGTAGGAAGGACAAACCGAATGATATTATAAATACTATTTTAAATTTGAGTAAAAATGCTATTATTATTAAAGTTGCAGACAATACCGCCTTGAGATACTTTGTGAATTTTGAACAGAAAAATTATTTGTGCTGAGGGGTAAATTAGTTTTTTCTTTTATCAATTGAGAAAACTGAAACAGTTTTTGTCCGTCTTGAAATATTTGCAAGATATATTTACTTCTAATATAAAGAGTTCAATTAACAATGTCTTGCAATTTTTTTTCATATTCTCATAAAATTTTACTACAAGACGATACCACAGGGAGCATGGAAATACATAGCAACCCTGTGGCCATTACATTACACATAATTGCTTCAAATTAGAGTTACATTAAATGTGGCAAATTACATGTTACAGATTACTAATAACAAAAAACATTTACAATTTGGATGTTAAAACAAAAACAAAGACAAACTACATTGACAAAATAAGAATAATGAAAGAAAAATTACATAGGAGAGAATTTCTTGCAATTTTTAATGGAGAGGGGAGATTTTTTGTAACAATGAAGTGTAACCGTGCCTCAAATTCTATTCAATAACCCCCAAAAGTATTTTGCCCCATTTTATTCTCTTTTAAATATTGCTCAAGATTACTGAAGGTAATTTATTCTTTCATATTGAATTGAATAGCCCCATGATAAAGAATGGCCATAGGTTTGACACAGTCTAAGAATCATAAATCTAGGCCTGTTAGTTCTGAAGATAGATCTTTTTTCAGGTTTCTTATTATACTGGCAAGCTTAGCGATGGCAATTATGTTATCAATGAATGAATTCAAAGACTCAGCAAAATATCAGTTTGTCATGTTGAAGATTGTAAGTATTTTGCTTCTCCAGATTGTTTCAGATCATTCTTCTTTTTTATTGTCGATACAGGGCCCCCACCACGAATTTGAAAGTAGGGGGAGATCAAGGCTAGCAAAGACAGGGGGCTAAGGCTTCTTTCTCCTTTTACTGCAGCTTTAAAACTATTTGCTTCGTAAAAAAATGGGGGGCGTGGCCAACCCACCGTCCCCCCTTCCCTGTGGCGTGGCCCTGAGATATCTCAATGAGAAACTATTCTAATATTTTTTCAAACAATGCCACGAATTTCGCGGCTGCTTGGTCAGAATAAAAATTCCTATTCTTATATTGCTTCTAATGTCATTACTTGACGCTCAATGATTTGTTTCAAAATGTTCAAGGATACAGAGAAACAATTAATCTGGGCTTTGTGATCTAATGTACATGCCTTTGAATTTTTGAATTTGGTACAGCGCATAATTATTGTTTTATCTTGATGATTTATCCAACACGAATCTTAAATCTATTCGCATGTTTTTTATGTTCTTTTTGACAGGAATACGTTCTTCTTGGAATCTTCTTTGTTGAATATTTGCTACGACTGTGGTCTTCTAGTGCTCACGGACATTATAGCAATTTTTTAGGGAAAGTTAGATACATACTAACTCCACATATGATTCTAGGTAAGTCTGGCTCACAGTCCTTTGTTAGCTAGAGCCTAATTTCTGTTATAAATACTATCACAGTAACACTGACGTCAGTTTTGAAGGTCGCATTCAGCGATCCTCCTTCTCCCGTTTGAAAAAGTAAAATAGTGACTAACATGTAAAGAAATATGTTTTTCAGATGACTTGTGGTATCTATGAAAGCATTGTTAATGTTCTAGGAAGAAGGAGAAAGGGACAAGAGTGGTGAATTTTCTGATCTCCTTGTACGACAGAGATTTCTTTTTCAAATTTTCAGTCAAAAAATCAATCGTGAGATAAATTCTTCCCCCAAACTTTGACACTCTATCGTGAAGTTGAAGTAAAACCACATTTTTGCTTGAAGACAAACGAGTAGTGTCAAAATAGTTTAAGCGCAAAAGTTGTTTGTCTCTTTCCCTAGACCCATTAAAGCACCAATTTCGTGCACCCACCGAAATTTACCAAATGTTATGACAAGTTTATCTATTGCTTTCAGATCTATTAATCATGGTTTGCTCAGTCGGCTTGATTTATGGAAAACATTTGGATCTAGACCCCAAAACAGAGAAGTAGGTAGCTCGGCTGTTTAATGACTTTTGGGTTAAATGTACCTAGGGTAACTTCATCGACATGTTTTTTCTTCTAATGTAGATAATAGCCTTTCGTTGCCTGTTGTTTCAATCTTTAATCATACTCCGTACATCTTGTATTTGTATTTATTACTACCTAGCTTCCAGGTGTAATTTTAAGACTCTGAGAAGCTGTGCCTATCGAGCAGTGTCTTGGGTCCTTCCTACACCTGGAATGACAGAGACCTGGCGACTCTCCACACACTAAGTGAAAGTTTGGTCATTGCTGCAAATCACACCCATAATATTGCTTAGAAATTTTGCTGAGTTTCGGGACATCAATTTTTTTCTACTTTTCGGTATCTGTTTTTCATATTCGAGAGCTAACATTGTATTTATATCATATGTTAATAATTATCACGTTCTCGTTGCAAATTAAATCAGCCTTTTTACTTAATGGATATTAAAATTAGTTTTTTAAAATGAAATTAAACTGAATTATTTTATTTCATTTATAGATTAATGCACATGCTGCTTTTATTGCGGATATTACGAGTCGATAGACAAAATAGATCATTTGCAATGTTCAAGAAAGTATTCCTGAAGCATAGAAAGGTACGATCATATAATTACGAGACGAATATATAGCACTTTTCAATTGAATAAGCAACCCCCGTCATTGCAGTCAAAACGTATGCACATTGAATTCAGCTACTTTTGGATGCCTTATTACCACCTCCTGCTGGTTTATAGAACATTATACAAACTCCCTGCTCTAATTAGGACCCCCGTCAATTCATCATTATCCATTTTATACTATCAGCTGAAATATATATGCAATAGAATTAGCGAAATAGCCAAACAGTTTCTTAAAGGCTCCTGCGCAACTGGCATGCTTTGCGAGTACATTTTCAAAACCAGCCTTCACACAATAAAATTATCAAGATGCCGGTTGCGCAAAGCATGCCGGTTGCGCAAGAGCCGTTAAAAGCATTATTCCCCATCACTCAACCGTTCACAGTTAATAATAGACTTAGCAGCACTTTTATGATTGAGAAAACACATTGAAAATTAGCTCTACGCTGCCGATTGGACACGCAACTATAGGTCTATTGTGTAGCACAACCAATGGGAAATTCAAATGGCCAGCGAAATGCGCCAGGACATTGTGCCTTAAAAACAAATATTATTTCATGGGGGGCGACTATGGGTTAGCTTTGATACTCGACCCCCCCTGGGGTTTTTCGAGATGGAGTTCAGTCGCCCCTGGCAGATTTTAGATAAAGCCCAAAAGTGATGTATTTTCTGCTAGTAGAAGCGCAAAATAAAGATGAAGCTTCAAGTAGTCATTTTCTATCTAAATAACCTTGCGATCAAATTGCATAATTTACATTTTGGAGAAAATATCTTTTGATTAACAATTTTCACCATTAAAATCTTCAGCAACACCTGAGAAAATCAAAATTAGGTTTTGGTCATTTTACTGCCGACTGCAGCAAATTATCTGGCTTTCGATAGTTCGTTGATTTGCTAGACTAAATTTATCACAAAAAGTTGACTAGACACTCAAATGTACTGTAGCTCGTTCTCTTTGGCTGTGTAGACTGGGTTAGTTCATTGCGTTTAAGACTCACTTCGTCTCCCAGGACATTCGCCATGTTTTGTTGTGCTGTTTACAAACGACAACAACAACATTGTAATTGTAATTTCGATGTTTTCGGCTAATCATTTTAATTTGATGATTTAAATGTTAAGAGTTATTATTCTTGATATATTTTCAAGGATTACGGTACAATAGGATGAGATTATTGGATTTGTTAAAATTAATAGTATTAACGATGTGTAATTCTCTTTAATATAAGATAATTCGCATTACATAGTGCTGTGGCAAAGACTAGTCACACAAAAGAGACTTGAAATGAACTGGGTGCGTTCGTTCAAGGCATGCCATTCGAAACTTCGGCATCGTTTGGTGTGGCGGTCCTGTAATAGGGTGGGTTACAGGGATAAATGGCTTGCAGCACGTTCAAAGGGATATGGCGCCAGAAAAGATATTTAATGGAGACTCAGTCTCTCAAACAACGTGTGATCGGCTCACTGACTTACCCATTGCTGGTTCACGTGTCCCCTTCTACGCTTAGCCCCTCTTAACTGCAAAATAACTCTCCATCTAACTTCCATCTATTAACCTCCAAATTTCTTTATAGGGGCTTTATTTGGGATCATTTAAAGATCTGGCTACAGCGTTGATGCAGTGTAGTTGCCAGTTCTCCTTTTAAAGTTACATAATAAACACGCACAATTTCAAATTTACATGATAAATAGCACTGTTCTTTGTGCTTGTAACATTCTATTGATCTGACCTAGCACATTTACATCAACTGACATGGCATAGAAATGTGTGGCCATGTTGCTTTTTCACCTTGTTATATGATTCCTAAAGAGCACCGTACTGAGAATGTATTTAAATGTTATACATATTCTGTGTACACTGTAAATTGCTCATACCATTCTCTCGACCCAGTCACGGAAAAGTTTTTACATTCATGTGCGCCGCTTAAAGTTATTTCAATCTTTATCGTTTTAAGCCATTCCTCTTATCTGATGTCAAACCTATTATTTACTTTATCTTTTCATATCATCATAAACTGTTTCAGCTATAATCCAATATAATCCTATATCCCAATTTTATTATTCGGTCCATTGGTTCAAATTTTTCTAGTTGTGAAATCGATTCGTGTGAAATCAAAATCAAACAAATAATAAGAGTTTCCTCGTATTCTTAAGCCTATGTTAATTAGACCAGGCTGTGGCTAGACAAGTACCACGTTAGCCCGGAGAAATTGCGATAGGTAATTTCAGTTGGCTATAAGACCTGGGTGTTTAGAATCGCGATGGTAGACGAGAATCTGCTGGTGATAGTGTTGGGAATGATGCTAATAGTAATAATAATGATAATTAAAACCAATTAGGAATCGCTCCCTATCGATATATTCTTATGTCATATAGTCCTCTCGTGCATATAGAGTACCGAAGTGTGACGTCATCAAAAAGATATTTTTAGAATTTCTTAAATTTGGCCACATAATCTGAAAGAACGGCATAAAATACCTCTCAATATGCAAAATTAGTTAGATATGTTCCAAATTTGGCGAGATATGTCCAATGGAAGGTTCAAAGTTTGCTAACGGATTACTGTTATTCTGGCCTGGTTCATAAAGTTATGAACCAAGACCAAATTACAGAGGTTTGATGGGGCAAGAGCCTGTGCTCAAGTAGCCATATCTCAGCCAATTCGTAATGCCTTAAACTGAATTTGCAAATTTAGAGGTATTTCATGATGCTCTTTCAGGTTCTGGGATCAAAATTAATAAATTCTGAAAGTAGATTTTAATGGAGTCATCACTTTTGCATTCTCTTTCTTGCGGTAAGAAGGGTGTTTTGTGCCCTAGTCCAAGTTTCTTAAGCCACAGCAGATTTTTAATTCTTCTAGTTTTCGATTCATATTTTCTCTATATTCCTTTTCTTAAATTTAACTGCATCTATAAGGTACCAATATGTAAAAATAGATCCAGAATATAAATCATAAACATATAATTCGTCTTTGCTAAAGTAAACTTACCCTTTTTGTCTAATCGATTCATATTTTCTCTATATTCCTTTTCTTAAATTTAACTGCATCTATAAGGTACCAAAATGTAAAAATAGATCCAGAATATAAATCATAAACATATAATTCGTCTTTGCTAAAGTAAACTTACCCTTTTTGTCTAATCGATACATATTTTGCAGGTACCTTGATACCGTGGCCTACATTCTGTTTTGATAGAAAGCAACCAAAATCAAGGTTACACTTTTTACTTTGCAGGAGCTGTTGACTTGTTGGTATATGAGTTTTATCATGATAATGTTTGTGGCAATTTTGGTTTACGCGCTGGAGACAGACCCGAAAGATGTCACTGTAAATAACCTTTTCAATGGATTTTACTGGGGAGTTGTAAGTATTTTTAGATATCTCTTTCAGATTGTTACAGTGGGGAGCTTATGTTGTGCAAGTTGGAAACATAGAAAAGCTATTGAGAACTCTTATAACATCCTAGAGTAGATGAATTGATTTCGTTAGGGCCCAAAGAACTTATAAAGCTTGTAATGCATTACGGGATAATTTTTATCAATTATTGACCTAAAGCGTAAGTTTGATAAACACTAATGAAGCATTGTGCTTGAATTTGAAATGAAATAGAGGCTTTGTATCTTGTAGATTTCACTTGCCTCGATCGGATACGGAGACATAAGTCCAAACACAGCTATTGCAAAGATTCTAATATGCGTTATTGCTGTGTTCGGAACAGCTTTCTTTGCCATGCCTGCTGTAAGTTTTAATTTTGTCCTTTGATTTTTCTTTCTGCAATCTAGTAGAATTTCAGATTCTCAGTAATGATAAACAAAACATGGTTTTAAGAACTGGTAAAGCAAAGTGTGTTTGCTTGGCCAGTTATTGTGGCCCTTTTGTTAAAGACAATCGATAGATACTAATGTAGTTCAAGAATTTAGGCCACCTGTCAATCAAGAATTGGCGAATTGCCTTTATAGACATTCTTGTTACAATCAGTCTTTCAGTTGTGACTGGCCTGCTTTTGCATCGATGTGATTCAAGGCTTTTCGAACATATTATCTAGGAGGGAAACGAAGTGCTCAGTTGCTTTTCTGCCCTTGTGACATTCCTTTGCTTTAGTCCTTAGACAATCATCTATGCATGTAAGTGAAAGACTTGGTAGCTTCACGATTTCTTACAGTGCAGAGCTGGCATTAGATATTACTTAAAGATTTAAAAACTGGTGAATTTAGAAATTTTTTATTTTTTAAAATTTTTATAGATTTTTTATATTGATCAATTTAGGAAGATTGATCAAGAAATCTATTTTAGGGTATAATTGGTTCTGGTTTCGCTTTGCAAGTTGCAGAGCATCAAAAAGAGAAGCATATCAACAGAAAAAGACGTCCTGCCGCAGTTCTGATTCAGGTGAAAAGCCTTCTGCATTTTACCGAATAGGAAAGGGACAGATATCTTGTCCAAAGGACTTTGCAAATATAAGGAGACTCTAGAGCATGCATTATGGTAGGCAAGGATATAGGATCTGTGAATACAGTGAAAGGGGAGAGATTGCCCTAGCTGCCTAAATACCGAAGTGATGACGTCATAATAATATATTTTTAGAATTTTTCAATTTTGACCATCTAACCTAAAAAGCAATATAAGATAACTTTGAATGCGCAAATTTAAGTTGAATGTGTTAGGGAATGGCTGAGATATGGCCACATCAGCACAGGCTTTTTCCCGTCAAATCAATGTAATTCGGTTTTGGTTGATAACAGTAATTCGTTTCCACCCTGAAATTTTATGCCGTTCGTTCAGATTTTGAGGGTAAAAATCAGTAACCCCAGCACCCTTTGCTACTCTGCCACCGTTCTTTGTCATATACTTTGTCAAACACTTTACCAACTGGATTTACATTAGGCCCTTGCTAAACTTCCCTCCACATAGAAAGTGGTGCATCTCTTGCACTTACCCCTTTTTTTCTCGAAGCCTAGTTTTCCTTTCACGACTCTTCCTTAATTATCTTGTATTTATACACGACTACTTTGTTCAAAGAAGCTTTTTCTGCTTAATTTTCTTCCTTCTTTTTTAAATGACATTGTATTTGTTTTGGTGACCTCTTCTTTAAAATGAACTCGCTCTCTTGATATAATAAACCTCCTGTGAAGGGAGTTTTGCTTCCCATTTACAGTATATAAGTTACTTTTTACATCGATTCTTTCTGTTATAATCTAATTCGCTTCGTAAAAATCCTATTTCTTTTAACAGGAACCTTTTTCCTTTTGCGTATAATATTGTTCTCGTTTTACTACCAATGACCATTCGGAATCAGCCTATTTTCTTTTGAATGATTTCAAAACATCTTAAAGATTGGTATGATATTAACTACATTTGCATATTTTCAATTTTTTTACAGAGTTTTTGGAGACGCTACGCAGGTGACCATGATCTTCATGCAACTTGGTTGAGACATATGGTCGATAGGGAGTCTCGAAGGATCACAAAACAACGTATAATCAAGTCACAAGATGTGCTACAAGGACATATCCCGTTATCAGCCGTAACAGGTAAGTTAAATTGCCTTATACTTATTTGTTTATACAAATGATGTTCTTCCATATCGAGTGTTGTTCCAGCCAATGTTTACGATGATCTACGGCCTGCTAGGAAGATTGGCTTGCATCTATTTGCTGACATAAAACGTAAAATACGCAAATAAAATGGCTTTGAGGCATTTTGAACTGTTGTTAGAAAAGCTCAAACGATATTTTTTAGCTATGGCTCTGGTAGGACAATGTCTAGTGAGGCAGGACAGCCTAGCAGGGGCGGATCCAGATATTCTCACCATTCTCTCTTGAGAACGTCATTTCTCTCGAAAGATGAAATTGCAAAAATCAAGGTTCAAATATTCAATTTTAGTCCCAAGACAACTATTCAAAAATTAAAAAGTTTGAAAAACTGAATTCTTAATTCTTAATTATGATTTCAGTGCAGAATTCTGTGAAAAATTAAAGAATTTTCAGTGCTGAAAAATTACAAAATTTCTTGTGTTAGAAAATGTAGTTGATATAAACCACTTTTTGAAAAGGATGTTTCTCAGACATTTGTAAGGGCGTGGTAATTTTTTTATAAACGGGCTACGCCCATGCCGCCCCTTCTTTCTTGGTGAGAACATTATTTTTCTTCTGGATCCGCCTCTGCCTAGAGATCTGAACATGGCTACAAAATAAGTCTTCGATTTCGTTTATCCGTCAAACGTCAAACGAAAGTATCAAACTGGCTCTCGTTCAATGTAAGAACAATAGAAACAGATAAATTTGATTTTGAGACCCCATGTCACGATTTTAAGCGTTTTTCCTGGATATTTGTGATTTGTAGAGATTTGAACACGATTACTGTACTCAATCAGATATCCAGCTATTAAGCTATTACGTAGAACGAAGGCTATTTATAATCTTGCCAATGAAGAAGGGCGAATTTGTCGTGCAATTTGTCTTTAAGTTTATTTCAAGGATTCAACGGAACTTGTAGACACCTGCGATGATTCCAAAGTATCAAATTTTGCCCCGTTTAGCCCAATAACCTTCAATGGATTCAATCACTAAAGATCAGGCTGATAATTATTGTACTCTGGTCAACCTTTGATGCCATTCTGCAAATATTGCTCGTTAGTATTCTTGTAAGCCTGACGAGCAACAAAACTCCAGTTAGCTTTGTTTCCCTCGTAGTAGATTAGAATTTATTTTGAGTGATTTCTATCTCCTTACCACCGCCTTTTTGACCACATTTGTTGCAAATCCATTTTGAGCTTCGTTTTCAAGCTGAGATTCGTCTAATCTTGACAGATCCACGTAATGGATTGAGATTGCCAGAGCTTTTCTACGTTTTTGCAAATTAAATTATAAGCTTGCATCACGTGTGACTTTTGATGTTACCTGAGGTGACATTCATCCTTGAAATTAGAAGATCATCTTTGCTACAAAGCGTTTAGTTTTGATCAATTTATAGCCAAAACAACGTCAATAAAGAGAACAAACGTAAAAGCTGATCGCCTTTATTGTCAGCATATGACGAGAGGGTAGAATTTGCATGATAGCTTAGGCTACACACTCCCGGGTCACGTTTTTAAATTTTCTAGAGAAAAATGCCAAAAGCTATTCTTTGCTTGCAGTCACAAAAAGTACCAACTGTAAATTTAGTTAATTACAGTCTCTTGTCTCTTTTTTTTCTCCTCTTCGTATGCACCAATAGAATTATGGAGAAACGCAATTCTCGTTTGAAAAAAGATGTTATCTTGCTTAGAAGCAAGAGTAAAAATGGCAAGTCATGAAAATTGCTCTTCAGAGAACCTGCCCAGGGATGATATGATCTCTTTTTTCGTTTTGAAGTGTGCTCAGCGTTTATCATTAACCGTTTTAGGGAGCAACATGAGTGAGCTTCTGAGCGAGCTTCGAAATCCCTCTTTTCTCGGTTAGAAGTGCTCCTTATATCCTGACATATTTTGAGCCAATTTTGCATCTAACCAAACATCTTAAAAGAGAGTTATTTTCTGTTTTCATTGTTTTTTGAAAGCTTCAAGCAAGCCCACATCTGTGAATGGCAGTCGATCTCAGCCAGTTCAGCTGCAAAAGTAAGTAAGGTAGCATTTTCTGAACATCCTCTTTATGTACGGTGCCAGCGTACTCTGCACAGTTCTAAAAAGCATGCAGTAAAGGATACCAATGCGACTGGTGATAAAGGGCTGCATGATGCTAGTAGTCAGCCACTATCACGTGATTTGGAAGAACTATCAGAGTATATACGTGTGGTGATAAAAGCCGTATTTTGTACTTTACCTGCACAGCCGGTGTGTTTGTGCAACCCAATAACACAATGTTCCTTGTTCTTTGTTCAAAGATAGATGCTTGTAGACATCCCAATAACCCACAAAGAATCACAACCATGGCGTGCTATTTTCTACATTGAGGTGAAATCAATCAGGGCTGTCGTTAGCTGTTGTGCTAAAGGGGAGGGGGTTACTTAGATCCAATTTTCCGACAAAGTGGATGAGCTGTCTTTAATTGGTCGACAAGTCTGAAAATTTGACGACAAAGCACCATTACATTGCAAAAAGCTCCTTGTTTTATACAATGAATTTTTTCCAATGGGAAGTCCCATCCCCCACGTCCCAACGTAGTGACGACCCTAGAATTACCCTCTTTACCTTCTTTTTTCTTCTCAGACTCTCAAATCCTGTCTTCTTTCAAAGCTAAAATCGACAGACTTGATTTACCCCCATATATTATTCTTAGCCCCTCGCTTTCTCCCCTAGTAAGGGCTTTGCTTTAGGCCTCCGGGCCCTACCTAACATTACTGACTAAATAGGATCTTCTGTTTATTTCATACCAATGAAGATGCAAAAGCTTTTAATTTTTTCTGTCATTGCTTTCATAGACTGACTCTGTCTGAGAAAAATGCCCTGCGATTCATTAGAAGATTAAAGATCAGAGCTGCATTGAAATTATTTCGGGTGAGTGTTTTATGAATATTGTGCATAAATGACAGTTCATCTTTCCAAAGAAAACAAAACTCTACGTTCATGATTATCCTAACTAGTTCCTTTTTACGCTGTCATATGTCTGGAATGCTTAAGTAAAATAGCAACTAAACTTAAGCTTGTTTTCAACAAAACTTTAATCTAAAAAATATCGAGATTAGCTGTAAATTATATTTTACACCCATAATCTGCATAGCATAAGCTGCAGTTGTGCTTATTTGCGTAAGATAATCTGCAGTTGCGTAAGATAATCTGAATGGTCTTTGAGAATTTTTAAAAAGTGTCTTGCATATGCAAATATTCTCTGAGTTTTAATTCTTTTGAAAAAGATGCCCCAGGTTAAGTGGTAAAAAGATAATATTGATAGAGAGAAGGCAGTCTATCTTACTGATAAAAAATACTGATAAAGAAGCTGGTAGTTTTAATAGATTTGGACCGGACTGTATCGAGCAGAATTCAACAGTTCTGAGCAAGGAACTCAGAGAATTCAACAGTTCATATTAGGGGTAAAGCTAACGGAACTCAACAAATTACAAAATTACTGAATGCCTGAGTATAGGGAGGTGATAACTGGCTTTTCTTGCAATTCCTTAAGTTAATTACAGGCATTTTGGGGGTTCACCTTAAATTTGATAGAACCGAAGTACCAATTGGTCCTGGTTTACAACTTTCATTGCTTATTCTTAAGTAATAGGTTTGTACTCTACCACGTTAGAAAACTCAGGGTCAAAAGAGCTTTCTGAAAATCTTTCGCTTGAGGCCTTTTTTTGCCCTTTGCCCCACCCTTGCTTTCCAACTTACGTCAGAGCCCTTGTTATATATTTTTCAAGTTTGATAAATGTTCATTTTGTTTTGTGCTGCATAACGACTGTTTTCTGTATTTTACACCACAACATTAATTTTAGCAAGCGCGGCGACCATACGATGAAAGGGATATTCTTGATCAATTTGCCGCTGGTCAGGTCGAGATGTTTGCAAAATTGAGGATGATGGGTTCAAGGTAATTCTATCAAAGAATTGATTTAGAAATAAAAAAACCAACATAAGTCTATTTGATTGCTATATTTAAAAGAAGTTTCATAAGCAATGTGTTCAAAAAGGAAATTGTAGTAAGCATGCTATCTATCTAGCATTTATAAGCCATGGGAGTTATTTCACTTGCAAAGTTGTATCTATCCACTCAATACGTCATTTCATGAAAATTTCTGCACTAGAATTCAGAACAAAATCTGAATCAACACTGTTGTCCGTGAACTCTTTTCAACAACAGAATTTAAAGCTGTACCAGGAAATGTTCTAGTAAGATATATTGAAAAATGTGTAGGAAGCATCTAATTAATTTTAGACAGGCTTTGGTCCATTGTCTTTGTTTGAGTTTTTCTTACACTTAATTAATGTGATATTTGACGCAAATGATCGAAGCCTTCCACACGACAATTCATTCCTTTTTAAACTTATCAAGTACAGAGTTTCGATGAAAAGCTTAGGCGTAGCGTAACACCAGAGTTTCAGTCACTTCTGGAATAACATTTCAAAATATTGTTACTAATTTTTGTAATTTCAATTATATCTTCAGGGTTGAGAGGATATCTTTGACAGTCGGTAAGTGAAAGGCGCTTTGCTTTAAAGTGAAAATATTTCTAATACATGGAAAGTATCATTGAGAACTAATATACTTATCATAAGTTAAAGAACTAAAGTTCTCTTACACTTAATTAATGTGATGTTTGACAAAAATAGTCGAAGCCTTCCACGCGACACTCCATTCCTTTTTAAATTTATCAAATACACAGTTTCGATGAAAAACTTAGGCGTAGCGTAACAACAAACAACGGTTTCAGACCGTGCTCACTCGATGGCAAAACCGATACTGCCTTCAGGAGACCGAAAATATAAAAAAGACAGTAGCTACCCGTACCCTTATATGATGAGCTATCCCTACCCTAGTATTCATAAATTTCTCGCACAATGTAAATAGATGACACATCTACTCTATTCCTGAACAAGGTCAATAAAATGAAGCTAATAAGCATAATGCCTCTTTTTGGCCTTATCCATGCCACTACTTTGTGCGAGGATGGCTCAGTTGTTAAAGGCACTGACTACGAAAAGTATTCAAGTATGCTATGTTTCTGCTATTTCGTACCATCTTCAAATTTTGAGATACCAAAAACTTACATGGAGTTTCTCCGTCTTAGTCTTGTTTGCCTTCACAAAAGAACAAAGTACTTTTTACGCCCGATGTCATTTCTCTTCACAAGATGCTGATATTTTCACTCATATTGATTTGAAAAAGGCTTTCCATAGGTTTTAGGAAAAGGATAAATAATAAAAGTCCCCATAGATAGCTTTGAATTGACATGGGCTATCCTATGATGAAGAATAGCTCCTATGTAGTGATGCAACCATTAAACGTGTGCAGTTTGAAGGATTTCTATTGTATAACATCCTCTCCTATCTTTGTATCCAAAGAGCAACATGAAACATGCTACATAGCACATCAAAAGCAATTTGTTTGACTTCAAACTGCCGCATCATCTGAACCCTCATGGCAAAAATTTGCTTAATGTATTCAATGTTTATTTATTAAACTGACGATTGCAGACAATCACATAACTAACAACAACAAAGAAAGATATTGAAAATAAAAGATTGTCAAGTACCACAGTGCTCCCTAGCTCCCTTCAAAGAAGGTATTGAAAGCGCTATTCTTTAGTCAGAGAAAAGACAACCGATTTTGTTGATTCTAGGCAACAGTCATAATTTTTATAAAAAATCATTATGACTTTTAAGATATTGATGTGATCGAATATTTGTTTGCATTCTCATTCGAATATTTTTTGCTCATTATTCGTTGCTTAACAGTTAAGTTTTTATCTAACTTATAAAAACATGGTGACTTTTCCCCTTTCTAGATCGACAAACAAAGATAGTCGGTGAATCCACTGGCAGAGTTAGTCAGCTAGAAGAGGAAGTGAGTTATATTTTTAACACACGTGACCATTCTTGAACATTTGGGTCGATGTAGAGACGGACTGTACTGTTCTATTGTGGAGGGGATGGCTGCTAGCAAGCGGCAGGGTGCTCGTTGAACCTACTTTCAATTATACTGTTTTGGCATTATCTTTTTCTGATATATTTATTAGTACTAGTACAAAAAATGAGCTACAGCTTCTGCTCAGACACTAGCAGTTTTCAGCCTTCCAAACTCCAAACCAAACCAAACGGAGTATCCCAAAATAATGGCAGGCGGATCCAACACCGTTTACCAAATGTCATTAGAGTGAAAACCTGCATGAAAGAACCTGTGATTTTCTGTACCAGGCTGAAGTGGCTCGTTTACTTTGCAAAGTGGTTTTATCTTTAAGATGCTTAGCTGGCAAAAACAACCGCGAAGCTCTTAGTCTTCAGTAACCTTTTTGGGGTTTTCTAGACACATCCATTATCACGTTTCTTCTTTCGTGTTTACACCAAGAATAACCTTTACGAAAATGCTCACAAGAACTTCAACAGATGCCTTAGATCTTAGAATGCCTAATGCTAGACAACTCGCACAGCACAAGTGTACTAATATAACTGTTACATAATGCTTTATACTCATTAATTCTAGCCTCATTCTTAGGTTGATTTTGTTGCTTTTGAATATCAATGCTTAAAGGCCCACATAGAAGAAATTCAGTATCAATTCTCTTTGTTGCAATCTGAGCGAAATAGGATAAAGCAACACTTTTACCTATTTAATTACCAAGAGCTTGCTGGCATAGGTATACTTTTAACAACAATTGTTCTAACTGTTCTCAATTTCAGGTGACAAATTTGCGGGACATTGTTGTAGATACGAAGGACCTGCTAGAAAAACTGTACACTGTTCTTGCCCCGCCGAATATTCAGAATCAAAATACCGTTCCGGAAAACTGTTTTTTACAGAAGAAAACTGGAAAGAATGAGCTAGCTGCTGAAGAGAAAAAGCTTCCTGTTTTGAAGAAATCGTTAACTGATGATGATTTATTGACTTCCACTGATGAAGAAATTTTCGTAGAAGAACCAGATGAAGAATCGTTGTCAGATGCGGAAATGATTGTTGATCTACCTGGGGGTGCTGTAAACCAGCCCCCAAAAAGGAGGTTTAGTGCTGATAAGTTGCGAATCATGGCAGATATGCACAATACACGGCTGCTGAGCATCGACTCTGCAAAGTCAACAATACCATCTGATTGTGAAAGCATCGATTCAGCCCTGTAAGAATGTTCCACAGTTCTTCACAGGGTTGTTTGAAGGTTATGATAAGGTGCCTTTTAGTCAAGGTTGTTGTCTACCCGGCTTGAAAGTATGAAAAAGAAAAGCTGTCCTTTGGCATACTTGTGTCAATTTGATGAAATCTCGAGAGCCGATTCAAAGAAACATCTTACGATAGAATACAGGGTATTTGAAACGGCACTTTCCCATCAGTGATCTGTGAAGTTTGGTCTCATACAGACAGAAATATAATATTCTAAGAGACTTATTGTCCCGCGTGATGTTTGAAGGAATCATAATGTTAGACAAACTGCAAGATGAGTGATGGGGAGAATTAATCTGATATATATATCAAGTAGTTTTGCTCTTAATACCTAGATCATTGCAGGTCTCTTCAGTTATGAAAACCTACGCAGGCTTGACCAATCACATCAGAGCAGTAGCAAAGACGTGACATGTTCCACATGTGTCTCTGGTGCTACATGAAGCGCATTCACCTCTTCCACAGAGAGCGGAATAGGTAGTGCCAAGCTAATGTCTCAAAGTTCAAGTTTCTTGGCTTAATAAATTATAGATGCGCTAATATTCCTGGTGTTATTTTGGGATAGAAATTCCAAAGGTATATCAAAATAGTTTTGTCTGCATTTCCAAGAAAGGAAAAGTGGTGTAATCTAAGCTTTGCTCGTCCTTTGCCGTCTGGATAAAATAGCATTGATGCTTTGAGATTCGGAACAGTTCGGTTATTTAGTGATACGTGACTTGAAACATTAGGAAATTGCCGTAAGAAATGTATAGGTCATTCACCTTTAATTTATGTCGGCCTGACATATCTCATAGTTTATCACGATGGATAGTCTAGTTATTCTCTATAAGCGCCACTAAGTAATTTAACTAGATATTGCACTTTACTGGATTAGGGTAGCTGAGAGCAGCAGATTTCTTCTATGGCATTTACATCTTCAAGAAAGGTATGTGACAGAAAATTTATCTTTTCTAGAATGTATTTTTTCTAGTCACGGTAAATTAGTTGTTTTTTACATATTTGAATCTTAAAATGATTGATGTATGCAAGACCTTTAAGGAACTGATACCAAACGTCTATTAACACATAACAAACCAACGGAAAACCTGAGAAATGCTATGTCTTCTTGAAGTTGAACCTGAGTAGTAGATTGATCGATAAACAGACCTAGGGTTTTCTTAATAAACTTCCTCCATCAATGAATCAAATAAACGAATGAAATAGCAACCTTTTTCGGTTGAACTGTAACGTGCAATCTTTTAGCTTTGATAATTTTTATTTAGCCACACGAATGCTGCAGGAGGAGTAAACAGCATCAATCTTTTCACAGTATATTGCATCCAAAAGAACAAACTTGATCCATTAATTTGAAAAGCTGCATTCGCCTGTGGCAGTTACACCAGAGTGGGAGGGAAATGGGTGTGACCTATGATACCACGCCCTCTTTGGTTCAATTTAGTGCCTTATATCAGGTTAAATTTTCCTTGGACAAATCTTGATTATTGTGATCTGCACCTACCCAGTACATTTTTATTAACTGTAGGAAGATTTATGCAGACCATGGATCGATAAAAGTAATTTTCCCCATACCACCCCTTGGGGCCGCCACTATGTCCTGTATCATTTTTAAAAGCATTAGTTCAGTGGCAAGACAAATCAAATTTTATGCCTTAAAAGATTCTACTGAATTTTAACAAATGTGACATCGAATGTGAACCAGACGTGCCGTAAACCTTTGCAGGACCCAGAATTTTCCTAGCCAATGCAGGATTCATTGTATGGATTTCTCAACTCTTAGATTTCTTGGTAAATCAAGTGTGAATTTGTAAATACGAGGTTTGTTTTTTCTTAATTGATGTTAAGACAAAATTTGTGATAATTATTTTAGCTATGATTCATTATTACTTTATATGTAAAAAGAAATAAGAGATCATCGTGATAACCTCAGCCATCATCAATATTATGAACGTCGTTCTTATTATGATCAGCATGGGATGCCTAAGAAATAAAAAATAATGTTAGATTTTAAGTTAGTAGAGGAAAGGGAACAAACTGTTTATAGAAAACCTTATGATTTTATGCGATTTCTTCTTCACATTCAATAGCCAAGATATCGGGTGGCTTTCGATTTCTAGGTGAAAACATTCGTCTGTTTTTAGAGCTGAAGTTATCAAACTGTATTTAAAGGTTTCTTGTTATTGTGTGCGGTATTCTAACCTCTTCTATTTGGTAGAAATGTGCTTATGTAATGATTCCGTTGTGGCCTGTAAAAACTCTTACTGACAACGTGCATAGCGAATGGTCAAACAAATCTTGATATGTCTTGATTTCCTTTCTTACTTTCTCGATACGTGGATTTCGTCAACAACAGCAGAAATAAGACCTTCAATGGTGTTTTATTATTGTTGATATGTTTACAATGAGATGACTAAAGTTTCAGAAATATAATCTGAAAAACGCAATCGCGAAACTCTTTGAAAAGATCTCCAGTTTTCTAATAACTCCTTGGGTGTCTGGGTTTCAAAATTCCAACCTCAGGTCTGCCTTTTATTGTGCATATGAAAAAAGACTCTGGTTTGAAGATACCAGCCTCGTTCTGATCTAAGGGGCGCATCCCAAATCATTGCGCATCCCGAATCCTCGCCACTGCATCAGTTTTTAACCTGCATCACTGTTATTTTAGAGGATCTGATACTCAGTGGATCTCAATAACAGATACACTCAGAAAAGGAAGCTTCTTTAGGTGGTTCCATTAACAATTTTGGAATATTTTTGCTGCTAGTCTACTGAAACACTTATTCTCAAAGAAACTATGAATTAGGAGTATCAGAAGTATTATCAAGGTAGGAAAGAAGTTTGGGAACAATTTCTCTTTTCAAATTGTTATTGCGAGTTTCCTAGCCATTGATTGTCTGTGACGCAGGCCAAGTTTCCAAGCATGGAAACTCTTTATGAAGAATACTTCTGATATTTCTGATGCATAATTTCTGAGCAAAATGTCTCATATAAACGAATGTAGTAAGAAAACGTTCCTAGGATTCGTAACCAAATTGCCGGGAGATTGTTTTTGACAGTTGTTATGAAATTTGTTTCGACACCATAAGCCAGGAACACCTCAGCAGAGGCGCAAATAGATGGCTGCTGCTCAAAAAGCGTCAAATGCTTTTAGTAATAAATATCTGGTGCAATTGGCGTTATAGCGACCATTTTGCTTAAGGCTTTTCCGTAGCAACAAAAGTTAAACTTATTTATTTTGACTCGAGGAAAAGCTCAATCTAGACTCCTTAATATTGCACGCCTACATCCTGGATGAGAGGAAAACAAACTTAACATCGGGAACAAAAAGCAAGTTCTTGGAGTTTAAATGTCTGGCTCCCATGGTTGCAGAACAAAGCAAAAGATATCAAGGGCGGTGCCAAGCAATTCAAAGTGGAGGGGGGCTCGAGATGAAAGCATAATTTGAATAAAACCAAATTTCGAAAAATTTGGTTTACGATATTTTATGGCTATGACTGTAAAGGGCAATCGTTATGCTAGCGGTACATTGAAAGAGGCCGGCGAAAGGTTGTAGGAGGCTCTAGGTATATCGAAAAGAAGAAGCTGCCCTGTGAGCGATGCAAGCAGAAATTTTTGCGATCACGTACTTTAGATTAGCTTAAAAATATTTCAGGATAATTCTTGCAGATATTTTCTTGCAATCGTTTAAAAAACGTTTGCTATTTTTAAGGCATGCTTTAAGTACGTTTGATTAATTCCAGGATTTGAATGGAAGTCATCACTTTATGAGGCCCCTAGATCTTGACTTATTCCTTGGAAATTAAGCAATAAATAATTTGTAGCAACTTTCTTATTCTTTCTAGTCTTTTAAAAACATTTCTTTGCACTTTTTTGAAGCTTCCCAGCCCCCTCTGGCGCCGCCCATGGGCTCGCCCATGGGTATGTTGGTAAAAGAACTTTCAGCAAAGGAAGAGAAGCTTTGACTTTACTAGGCTGGGAATACCGAAGTTTTCAGAAAGAGGAGGGGCTTGGCTACGGCTACTGTACCTTCTTTCGTTTAGAAAGTACATAGAATAATAGAGCCAGTGGCGTCACCAGCCATGGCCCCCTGGAATTTTCCAGATCGGAGCCCCCCCCCCCAAGCCAATCAACAGAAATTCCATTCATTTAGATCGTTTAAACTCGTTGAATATATCCAGAATACCAGCTTCAAAGAAAATTGCAAAGAAAATTTTTTGCTGGGTGCCCCTAAAGGTTGGGTCCTTTAGTCTGTTACACTTTTGAATAGTGCAACGCTCAAATGCTTTAAACATGTGGAAAAAGTAGAACACAATTATGAGTGACATCGGAACGTCGATCGATGATTGACTAAAAAACGTGCCGTTTCCAAATTTAATTAAGCGTTATACAAAGGAAAGGATGTGCTTGATGGCTAACAATGATGTAATGGAAATTAGGTTGAAAATGAAGTGTAATTAGCATATAGAGTGAAGAATATAGAATTAAGTAGGTATGCAGAAAAAGCAATGATGGATTGTAAAAAATGGCCTAAACTGACTCACTACAAGTGTCTAAGACAGGTTCAGCTGTAAAAGCACAAACTGTTGCAGGTTTTGAATGTAATATTTACAGTACATCAAGATAAGGTTTTTCAATAATGTGGCTATGCTGAAATTAAGTTTTTACAACGCATCTCCGTATTCTTAGCAGCCATTGGTGTGCACATTGTAGGAAAAATTATAAATGACTTTGAACAGGTATATTCTATTCATTCGATTCAAAAATTGGCATAGCTTCTTGTTGCACAGAAGAAACAAAACAAGCTATAAACTGTGAACATCTATATCACCGAAGGAAAAAGGAGCCGTTTTAGGGACTGCGGGTTCCTGTTAGAATTTTCTTAGGGCCCCGGCTGCCGTAGGTGCAGGGCCAGGGGCCGTGCCCCCTTGACCCCCCAGAACCGCAACTACTGAATATGAACACAGAATAGAAAATATTGTTTAAATGCTGGCTGACCTGACAGGCAGTCTTTTTTAAATATGAATTCGAAAAAAGATGTCAAAGAAGATGGAGAAGATGAAGATTTTATTTCACTGAAATTTTACACTTAACTTGAGGCTTTCACCTTGCAATTTGCAAAGTTTCCGTTGAGTCCGTCACTATTTTGGCTTTGAAGGGTTGACTCGGTAAGGGAAATAGTGTTTTAATTAAAATGATACTCGTATTCGTGTACAATAAATTTTTAAAATCTATTTAAATTTGTCTGTTCTAGTTTGTTTGGAGATTATTCTTTGTGAAAAGGTAGGGAGCGACCCCCGTCGTAATCAGCCGAAGAAGGCGTTACTGAAGCATGAGATCGCCTATTGTTACCGTATTATATCCGTTTGACTTTGTTAAAAGGAATTAATTTGTCTTTAGTAAAAGAAAACAAACAAAATGGAGCCTGAAATCGAACACTTCTGTTAAGTTAACCAGATGCGAAATTTGCATCAATGTCTGTGTCAGTATTAGGCTGTTATTCTTAAATTGTAAATTATTCATTCAAACCTGGAAGTGATTCACATCCGTAGATCCAAAGGAGGATTCGTTCTCGGAAGGGGTGCCTCTCATGAGTCGGTCGCAACCTGACGGCCAGAACATGTGGTGAGAATTCTTCTGTTAAAAACATCAAGTTTTTGGCCCTGGTCGGTCACCCACAAACAGAGAAAGGTAATTGCTACTATGCCCTAAGTTACGTTTGATTCACGAAATAACCGAATTTTTGTTAATTAACCTTGACTTTTGTATCCACCGCATAATCAGTTCGTATCGACTGGGCGACTGGCCATGCCAAGTCATTCTTAATTACAATAGAAGTAAGTTTGAAATGAAATGCTTGCTTTCAAGACGATATTTCGCTGCTGCGTACACCAAAGAACGAAGCCAGTTGTTATTTTTCTCGGAGAGCCTTTTTATGCTTCTGTTATTTTGACAACGAAATTCTTTTGCAGAATTAGGACCTTGAGGGTATGTGAAAAACGTAAATATGGCCCTCGAGTTGCGCGGACTGCTTTCGGAAAAGAGATGTGTTGAAATCCTAACGCAAACTTTCGTTCTTGAAAACTTCCATTGACGTTTTATTATTGACAAAACATGCTTTTGTACAGAGTTATCGACTGCCAGAGTAAATGTTCCAGCAACATCACAGTACAAACAATGATCAGGGACGACGGAAGCAGAGGGGGGAGGATAATACAAAAGGGGTACCGCTGAGAGGGCGTGTGTGGAATCCATATAGCTTACGCCGGATATATCCGGCGTGGAGTAACGGTTTCCCATTGTATTTATTTTATTAATTGGCGTATATCCGGCGTGAGCTTTACATGGATTCTGCCCTTTTGGGGACACGGTCCCTTGTTGCCTACATCATGCCCCTACTCAGGGGCGTCGCCAAAGAGGGGGGAACGGGGGTGCGGTGCCCCCAACAATTTCTCCGTCGGCACATTAAGGACTTTTTGCCGGGCAAAAGAAGCAATTTTTAACTCACCCTGGAAACTTTTTGCAACAATTATAAGGTATTAACTTTCCTGTCAGTATATAAGAGTATTTATCTTTTGACCACACCCTTAAAAAGTGGGACACGCCCGTTTTTGTCGGCAAAAAGCACTTCTTTACCCCTCCCAATTTTTTTTTCTTCGCTCTTGCCCCTACTAACTTTTAAGAAGGCACCCCTTTCATACTATTACTATGTAAAACCATATTGATCATTTTGATTTTGGGTCACGTTTGTTTTTATATTTGTAACCTTATTTTAATTCGATATTGCTTCTAGCTATACATGTATATATATGGATATATACACATACAACTAATCTAAATCGAATCTACTGTATAACAAATGGAAAGGAAATAACTAAGGAAATAAATACGTACATACATAAGCTAAATATTTGAAGCAACTTGGATATGAATGGACAAATATTACAGGATATCGATATCATTATATTTGCAAACGTTCCTGTGTCCTATCAATTTTTTGAAGAGATTTTGAAGACGAAAAATACCAAACCAAAGGAGAATAGTTAAAATTAGAATACACGAAACTTTGAACAAAAAATTCTTTTTCAGCGAAACCAATAAATGGCTTGATTTGCTTGAGAACGTCCAGTTGTGCCGCAGCTTTTTTTGCAAAGGTTTGATATATGTAGATCAAAGTTCAATTTGTAGTCTAGTGTTACACCAAGGAGTTTAACAGTCTCTTCAGATTTGATAGAATGTCCTTGAAAGTTAAGATTTATGCCACAAGTATTTGTCTGGTCCTTTTTAACAAAAAGTGCATGGAATTTGTTCGGGTTCGCAATCATTTCATTTTGTTCGAGCCACGACAAAGCGCTGTCGGCTTCATTTTCCAAGACCTTGACAAGATCTGGAAAGGATTCGGAAAAGAAAGCAAGCGTGTTATCATCAGCATAATTATACATGGTTGCTTGCTTTATAAAAGAGAAAAGGTCATTAATGTAGAAATTGAAAAGAAAAGGACCTAAAACTGATCCCTGTGGTACTCCTGATACAATTTCTTGAAAGGAACAGTAAACGTTATTTATTTCGGACACTCTGCTTCCGTTTTTAAGATAGGAATGGACAAGAACCAGGGGGTGTTATGCCCCCGAATCCATGATATGTCTAACAGCTCCTGCTGTGATCATAGGGAGTTCTAGGCAGGATCATTTTCGTATTTTGTGAAGAAATATTCGTTAAAATTCGACGTTCTTTTCGTGATGTAATTCATTGATTTTTGAGACGGCCTTTACGTAACCAAAAGTTGTTAATGGGCGATACCTTCATGTAAATTGGCGTTTCTTGTTGGTAAAAACGCGGGTAAAAGGACGTTTTCTGGCGGTAAAATGAGCACAGCCTTATTTTTATGTTTTGTCACCTCCCCCCTCCCCACGCCTATTTTGCTTGTTCGTCTAGCAAAATATTAAGAAAAGCATCCATAGGCTCTGAGGAAGGGGGCAAAACAATCTTTTTTGTACTGTGAACTTATAGGATTTTTTAGTAACTACTGTTGATATCATAGCCAAAGAAATAATGCAAGGGGGGTTACCGGTCATGTGTCATGGTCCCTTTTCTCTTCTGATGTTTCTTCATTATGTTGAGGGCCTCCCCTAAGAATTTCCCTCTCCCTACAAGCTTGCGCTCTCCCTTGGAACTTGAGCTCTAGGTCACCGCAACCGTGTTGCAGCCAGGGGCGTAGCTACTGGGGGTGTGGGGGGAGTCACACTCCTGATGTTTTCATACAGTGGTAAAATTCGGGCAAATACTCGGGAATATAACATTCCGGTATGAAAAAGTTCTCTTTATTTTTCAATATACAATACAAAACAACGAATAACTTAAATATCTAGATAATTATATCATTTAAGTATATATTCATTGCCATTAAATATATTACATAAACTATTATAAATCAAATTTCCGGAAAAGTTATTAAAAACGGAAAAATTCGGGCAAAAACTTTTTGACATCTCCAAATAATTGTAGTTTCAATACTCTTCTGAATGCAGTTGTTGATAGTTTCCGATTCCGGTTTCGATAATAAGACAGGTCACAATATCCTATTTGTGCACCAAGCAGTGATCTTTGCTTTTCTTTGTCCAGTAATTCACGTGCGATCTAAAATTATCCTGTTTGCATGGGTTGCTCTTTTCAAATATAGGGATGCGGGAATTCTTGTTTCGCATCTTTAGGCCATCCATCCTTCTTGCTATAATCAGAGAGAGATAGAGGGGGGTTTAGAAATGCTCTGATTTGCAAGCGGAGCCAGGTTTTTGCATGCAATTTTGCATGAAGTGGTAAGACATCTTACAGAAAAAGGAAGTATTAAGTTTGACTGTTATATGAAAATCGGAATCTGGCATGATTCAAAGAACTACTGATTTGGCCTTAGTCACTTGATTTCTTGTTGGTTCTTAGAAAAAGTTGTTAAAAACAAGCCGTGGATGTAGTAATGTTCAAAGTCCAAAAAGGATTGAGTATCCTTGTCGGCCATTTTGAATGTCATTGGAGAGTACAGGGGTGGTTTTGGTTTCTTGGAAATAGTGGATTGTATTAAAAAATGAGCAGTAATTGTGTAGTGAATCAATTTAGGTTATTTTATACAATCCATCATTTCTTTTTCTGCATTCCTACGTAATTCTATAATTCTTCATACTCTATGCTAATTACACTTCATTTTCGACCTAATCCATTACATAATTGTTAGCCATCAAGCACATGCTTTCCTTTGTATAACGGTTAATTAGATTTGCTAGTTTTCTATATCAATACCATAAAGATGATCAATACCATTTCTATGATCAATACACACTTTTGTAAATAATAATTAGTCAGTAGAAATCACGTTACACATTGCACAAACAGTTTGCATCTCTCTGGCTCCGTGTCCTCTGCTCCATTTTTAAAACTTCACACATCTTCATTAAAATAAGCGAACACTTCCACGACAGCGACCAAATATATCGATTATTTTATCGATATCTTTTTGTGAACATGATTTGCAACTTTTTCAGCAATTAACACACTTTTTTGCTTACCTGACTATTCTTGTGATTATTGAACAGTTTATGTTCCATTTCAAGGATGCCAGAAACTCATTATCTTTTTGTAGAAGGAGCAAACCTTTATTATGATTTCTGTCGAAGGGTTTGCATTCACGCTTGTGTAACACAGTTTAGAGCACCTTGATTCAGCGTTTTTCAATCTTTTCTATCCACGGCACATTATTTGCGGATAGTTGTAATTTTTTTTTCAATTCTTTCAATTCTTTCAATTTTTTCAATGGACCAATTAAGTGAAATTATAGAATTCTCCACGGCACACTAGGTAATACCTCAAGGAAAATAACTAACAAGAAAATAATTGTCATTTTTATCTTTTTTTATTGTGTTTGACATGCTCTACACCATTTAATGTGATCTTGCTGTCCGTGAATAGTCTCGTAGCAGTTTTTGCTTAGGGCCCAGATGCTTTTATTACACCAAAGCACATACAAAGTAATATTCACTATCACTAAATCGTGCATAGATTTCTTCCAAAACTTTACCCATTACATTGTAGAAACAATTGAACAGAGCTATGCTTTCTAGATGGGTGTTGGGGTCTTTAGCCTTGCAAAGAAAATAGGTGTCCTGTCCACTGCCTTTACTGACTCGCACTGGCAAGCCCAGTGTGTTGCACTTTGTCCCTTTTACCTATATGACGGTTCATGTTGAACTTTTCTCTTGAAATGGCATGTCTTTTGGTGTTAGCCTCAATGAAATTGTAGAGACCTTGAGCAATACCAAGTCCATTTCTCACTGACTCACTTTCTGCAAGAGTCAACTAATGGCCAAGGCAGTGGACATAGATGCTCAGCGGAGAACAGTCCTCCATTCGCTTTTCCAAGCCCTCAGCTTTGCCGCCCATGATAGACCGTCGAAGCATTTGCCAACAAGTTTTTACATACGCTTTTAAGCCGCATTTGTGCAATTGCTGAAGACCGAGTTTTGTAAAATTTAGCAAAAACTTCCTTTCGGACACCATTCAGTGCAAAAATGACACAAACTAACATTTATTCGTGCTGACGAAAGCAAGATGTTTAATCAATTATGAGAGCAAAATAGCCGCTTTCTTTTACTTATTCGACAATCTTCTCAAGCTCTAATTGGGCTGTTGCTGTTCTTTTCGCTTATTTGTCTTATTTTCACCCAATATATTTTTACCATATTCCAATACTTCTGAAAGCGCTCACGATTACGACAACTTGATTTTTTCATCTCAGATATTTTTAGCCATGTTCAAAATGTAGTTTTTCTTATGCTTTTTGCTTTTGGAGAAGGCTCCTGCCCGAATTTTGCCCGCAAAAATCAGCTGCCCGAATCTAAGGGGGGGGGGGGCTTCAGCCTCCCCCAGCCCCCCGTCCCGTACGCCTATGGCATTGTGACGTAGCCCGGCATTGTGATGTAGCAGTGTCACCAAATTTAATCGTTTTGTTTGGATTTTTTCGGTAAAGGGCAACATGTCAGCGTTATAAATTGATAAATAATTGGATTTATGAAACGAATTTTATCGTTGGAACTTTTAAGTCAGTAACGGTTGGTTAAATAATTTGGCTGGGGGTCCCTTTATCATAATTATCTAGTCTTTAGCATTGCAGCGAAATCCCTCTACGACGATCTTTGAAGGGACCAAAAGTGTGGCTCGTTATAATGGGAGTTCGTTTAACAATTGACTTGCTTTATCAGAGTAGTTTGTTAGGCAAAATTGTGGGACCAGAAGCTTTGATCGTTTAAAAGGGAGATTTCCGATTTCAAAGGATCTTTTAGTTTGATTTTTGTTGTTCACGAATGACTCCAATTTTTTTCAGTTTACTCGGTTCTGTTCAATACCATCCCATGTAATAACCATAATTAACGAAAAATATAGGCAATCGAAAAGAGCACTTGCCAAAAGATCTGAAAGAAAATTAAGAGAGACAAGACTGTCAACAAAGTCGCTTATAAATGTTAATAACGATCGTTATTACTGTTTGCTCGAGTGCTATTTCATTGATAACTAATTGATAACGAGGTAACGGCGTTTAAATTGCGTAGATTTGTTTATAATCCTAGAGATTCTTTAAAAGCCCAGTGAATTAATACAGATTTTGAGTCACCATAAACATTCTCACTCCCTCGCTATCGCTTAGAAAGCATTCGTCACGAAACATAACCACAAATAGAAGATGTTTTATAAACATGTTCAATTTTTAAGAAGATTTTGCAACTTGTTTTAAGATCACATACCACTGCCAGCGATGTGGAAAATTTGTTTGTTCAGAACGTTTTTGTGTAACATTGTTCAGTTCACATAATCTGTATCCAAAATGCGCTTAGTTTCAGGGGCCATGCTGGACCATACTTTAGCCGCGCAGGGTGGCTCCTATGTTTTGCGCTCTTAATAGAAGGATTAATAAAAAGGCGCTTATGTTTACCCGAATGACATCGTTAAGTATCGCTGAAGCCAAAATTCCGTTTCATTATCCAAAAGGGGCAACTTGCAGTAGGTTGTTCTGATAAACGCGCTCGTTAGTTTAACGTTTGAGGTTGTTTTGAGTAAGAAAGCACTTCAATCGAAGGTTCAGATACAATACATCCGTTTTCTGAATCACAAGAAGTATTATTGTCTGCATTATCGTATTGGCGTTTTATGGTTGGCAATCATGGCTTCGGTGAGTTCTAGGATAATACAGCTATTTATGTGACGATAATCTGTTAAATCTGCTTCATTTCTTGGAAAACAGAGGAATATCAAACCATTTTTAGCCATAACGATGTCATGTCGTTGACATGATTGGTCCTAACGATAGAATGCTGTTTGCTGCAAATACGATAAATTCAATAATTTTAACCAGAATGAACAATATTAACGGAGAAAATTTAACATTCTCGAAGTCTTAAGCAGAACTACGATCATCACCTTTTCAACATTCGAGAAAAAGCCTACGATGGAGAGCTTTGCACCCCTAGAAAAACTTTTGTATCAGATCGTCAAGCTTCAGTCTATATTGAGTCAGGGGTCTTCGTAATTTATATGATTACAATGCTTTGGGGATAGGCTGTGCCCATGGTGAAAATGATTTGTTACGTTTTTTGTTAAGTTATGTTTTGTTATTCTATGTTATGTTATTTTATGTTATGTTATGTTATGTTATGCCATGTTACGTTACGTTATGTTATGTTATGTTGTGTTATGTTATGTTATGTTATGTTATGTTATGTTATGTTATTTTATGTTGTGTTATGTTATGTTATGTTATGTTATGTTATGTTATGTTATGTTATGTTATGTTATGTTATGTTATGTTATGCTATGTTGTGTTATGTTATGTTATGTTATGTTATGTTATGTTATGTTATGTTAATGTTAGGTTATGTTGAAAACAGCTTGAACCTGACGATCTTGTGTAAACATTAACAAAGAACACAAAAAACTAACAAATGGGAAAAATATGGATATCAACCGTCATTTTTGTATTTTCTCACCATTTCGTTGTTTAGTTTAAGAAGTTTTGTCAATCTTAACAGCGCTTGTATTTTATTAGCTGCTTGACCAAAAGTGTTTCATAGTTTGTTCCCAACCTCAGCAAAGATCCCAAACTTCTGGGACGCACATAACCTCCAATGGAATGGATAAGGCCTGCTTTCAGAAATGATAATATTTCGACGAATATTAATTTGCATATTATATGGATAATATCAGTTTGCACAAATCATCATTTTCTCTTTTTTGCAAATGAAAATCTATAAACAAAAAGGCAATATCTTTTAAAGAACAACTTTTCTAGGTTCACAGCCTTTTCATATATTGTAGAGTTTAGTAAACTTGTATATTTTTTTGTAAAACTTGTAAAAATTTGAGAAACACCGCAACTGATCTTCAAGTCCCACTAATGAAAACAAGTAATGGTCAGCGAGCTTTCTCATATCGTGGTGCTGGAGTTTGGAACCTCTTGGGTTGTGAAGTCAAGCGGGCATCCTCATTGAAAGCATTTAAAGAAGCTTTAAAAAAATAGTTTATTTATTTATTTATTTATTCATTTGTTCATTATTGTAATTAAATTAGGGTTTTACTTCGTATTTATTTTTAACTTAATTTGTAACGTTTTATGCACGGCCCCCTGAAAAGCAATCTATCGATTGACGGGGTTACCGTGCTTAAAGAAATTAAAATGAATGAAAATGAATGAATATGAATTACAATCGGATATGAAATACTGAATTACTTCCGCTAGATTTGTTAAACGCCTTTAATGTATACGGTATCATTTCATTTCATTTTTGATTCTAGCATTTGACACCGTGGAAGATATTCCAAGGCCACATGAACGTAGGGATAGATGGGCACTCAGAAGCCACTGATAGCGAATAATAACAAAGTCTCATACACAGCAGTACTGCATCGTTACATTGACTCTAAAGAAATGCCATCGAGGTATGATAAGGACACAAACCAGCACCCCTTAGAGCACTTAAACCATGCCACACCTAGACTGCGTCCTGATGAAAAAGCTTCTGATGACAAATCGCAGAGGAACTCTTTTGACTTTAGGGCGCATCCAAACCTTCCTGGAATCCCCATTCCATATGAATATCATGTTGAAATGAAACCTGAAAGTATCTATGTGGAATCAAAAAAAAGAATTCTGCGGAGAGACATCTTTAACTTTTTGGAAGGACATAAAACTTTTTCGAGCAGAGTTTATCACCATTTTGTGTAAGTATGGACTCATTTTCTTCTACTTTCTTAAAACAGTTATCAATCTGGCTTTCAGAGCCCGGAAATCGTTACTGTCAAACGGTTACAAGAAGGCCAATGAAATTTACGGAGATGGAAGTGCCACGCCCGAACACCGCCTTATTTCCTTCTTTTGAGAAATGTTTCCAAAGCGTGAGTCGAATGGCCGGTAGAATAATGGACGCTTTTCTTGATTCTGCTTAATGCGAATCCCAGGCCCTGTCTACGTTTTAAAAGATTAAGAAACGGTTGTACGTCCCCTTTTAAAAAAATCTTCAACTAAATGGAAATGAAATTATTAGGACTCTTATTCAGGAAAATGCGTTTTCATCAAAATATGAATTAATCAAAAGCTTGTAAAAACGTTTTATGAGTTTGCTTTTTTACTTAAGCGAATCACAGTTTTTTCGTCTACAAGGACACGTATATTTTGTTTTTAAAACTAGTTTTGAAAACAGAATATGGCATCAAATGTAAATAACAATTTCTGATTCAATGCAACTTTAGCCATTTCTGTTGATTTGATGTTTATTGTGCTATTTTTCTTTCTTTTAGTATATTCATCATTCTTAGCAGTATTTTGTTCGCAGTTTGCTCCACTCTAAAGGACCAATCAGACACATTTTCTATTCGTATGCGTAATGTCACACTAGGATATGTAAGTTAGCCGTTTTCGGCATAGATTTTATCTTTTTTATACCGGGTATCTTTCTGTATCAAAATAGCGGTCTGCAAACAAAATTCTACCTTCCATCTGCTGAACCCATCCCAGTGGATTATTCCGATATCGACTTGTCATTTTTCTCATTTTCTTGATGTCAGAGCTCAGAGAAACCCCTCAACCATCCCATAGATAAAGACAATTTAATAGCCCTATCTGAAGTCCTCCTGTAATAAGATTTAATTTGATGAAATCACAAGACTTCAACCAAAAACGGACTTTGACCAAAAACTGTTGATCTCAGTTTTGCCTTGTCGATTTTTGATTAGTAACAGGTCGAAGTTAATCGGATTTCAATCTCTTCTGTTGGCTATGGTTAATGAACTTTTTTCCCAGTTAGCTTGTGTTGGCTTATATCATTACGTTTAACGAAAATAGACACTACTTTTTAAATGCGTTTTTGAGCAAATCAATTAAAAAAATTATATCCTTGTCTAAAGAAAATGCGCTTTTTGTATAACCTTTTTCTATGTTCTAGGAATTCTGTTTATTCTTTATTTTCTCCATCGAATATGGCCTACGAGTATGGTCCTGTACTGCTAATAGCAGCTACATTAGCTTCCAGGGAAGACTCCGGTTTATTCGCCGACCGATTATGATTCTTGGTAAGCTAGTTTTATTAATAAAGATCAGAAGTATGGGGTGAAGTGTAGGACCTTTTGAAACTACACATCTTCCGGTCTGTTTTTTAGTTTCAAAGTTATTTTTAACCACGATAAAGAGACTCCTTAAATGTAAACCATTCACATGGCTCGAAAAGAGTAACCTTCTAATGAGAATTCAAGCTGTAAAAAAGTGGATTGTCTAGGCAACTTAACTACTATGGTAAAAAAGTCGCATATTTTATGTATGTGTTCATTAAATTTATAATTGCGGACAATCATCAGGACAGCCACATATGAACATGGGAGACACAGTAAATTTGATCGGGATTGGGAAACTGAACGTGAGACAGTCAACAGAAAAACACGGGGAATCAAATTGTTCCTAGCGTAATATACTTATCCGTTAGTGATTTTGGAGCTATGCTAAACAGACACATACTCCAATGTCAGGTCTTACTATTTGCTAAGATCGACACATAAATTCTTTATGCCAAACAGACCAAACTTTTCATTTCATTGGCACTGTTTACAACATGCATGGGAAAAGTCTCCTTCCACTTTCCATTTTCTTCGACATAGGAAGTGTTTTGACATTAGCAATTTGAAAATTTGCCCCCCCCCCCTCTACCCAAATGTATTAGCATAATATGACACCAGTAAAATACCACTTTAGATGGCTATTGTTACACTCATTTATTATGTCCCCCTTCCCCCAAACAAAAAGTTGTTCCTCGGTCTTGCGTAGATACCAACTGCTGTGCAAATGTAGATCATTTGGAAATGTTGATGGTCAAGGAAATGGGTAACGCTTTTTTCCTTTTTCAGATGCAGTCACTATACTTGCTTCGGTGATATTGATTGTGACCTTGGCATTGAATTTCCAAACTGATGAATATCGGTGATTATGCGAATTTTTATTCGATCCTTCTTCTCGATGACTTATTCGATTGTTATTCGTGATTTGAGCTTAAATAAAAACGTTTTGTTCATTTAAATAAATTTGCTGAATTTATAGCCCACATTATTGGATTACTGAATTTGCATTTATATATTTTCATCAGCAAAGAAAGAGGTATTTGTATATGTAGATATGGGGTATTTGATGAGAGGGTGGGGGTGGGGTTGCTTTCAACCCCATTTTCTTTTGTATTAGCCCTTCAAAATTTTTCCTTGGTCTCACAATTATCTGACAGCAGGTAATATGGCAACAAAGTTGCCTTCATTTATGTCTTCACTGATATAAGGCACGACACTGGCTTGGATATTCGGTCATTCATTGTGTCAATGTTGGAGTAGGCAACAAATAGAAAAAAACATAAAATTATTTTCGAATTTCAATTTTTCCGCTTTTCAGTATTCTTACAAAATAGATTTTACCTTGTCCCATATGCAAAGGCAGAACCATCTTTTACTCTATAGTTTATTTCGCACGTAGGGTTCTTTAAAAAAATCGGTAAGCAAAATTGCAGGTTATCAGGAAAGAGGGTGTTTGGGGGCACATCTGTGGGTAATTGCGTTCTTCGTTGATATTCTAGTAGAATATTTTTTTGGCCTTTTTTATGTACCAATTATTGTGTTGTGTAGTATTTCATGGTACTCTCCAGGGGCCTTTGTTATGGTATTATTCACGTTTCTATTTATAAAGTTTTTACCTATCTCATATTTTGCTTTTATTTGAGATGGAGTGATAGGATAAGAAAAGATACTTTTCAGCCAGTTCTTTATTGAAAATTTTTGTCTAAATTTGGAAGTCATAGCATTTTTTTTCTGTCATTGTAGGTTCTTGTTCCTACTTCAGCTGTTTCGTGTTCTAAGAATCGACAGGCATCGAGGTGCATTTGCTACCTTTCAGTGTGTTGTCCGTAATCATTTCAAAGTAAGTCTTCCTTCAACTGATTTAATGTTCTGTTAGTTACTCTAAATTTATTGTTAGTTCAATAAATTCATCGTCCAGTTCTTCTTGCTCTTCAGACAGGCAGGATTTAGGGAATTTTCGTACATGTCTATTGTGTTTGTGGTTGAAATTATGTTATTCAAATAATTTTTTTTCTGATAAATTTATCAGTGACCATTGACACGCATATAACAGATAAGTACCTCTTTTGTAAACCCAATACCCAAATTCTAGCGATTTCATAAGAATAGAGAACGATGATTCATTCTGGAATGATCCAAACGTCATACTGTCGTCAAACCCGTGATTGAAACGTCGTTTAGAGCAGGAGGATCTTACTTCTAGCCAAACCTTTCATTTGTCTTTCAAGTATTCATGATTTGCAAAGAAATGTGTGGCACAACCACAAGAATCACTAGTGACTATCTATAATTCCATGTGTAACTAAGCACGGAAAAGGAAATTAAGACATTCTGTAGCTGTTGTCATTAGGCAACCAAAAATCTAAATTATAGGAATATCATCGATTGAACGTACAAGATTAATTCCTTTTCATCGATTGTCCTGGCCAGTCTTAAGTCTCAGCTGAAAGTCAACTGGTGTCATCATGGAGGCTGGGGGTGTCTGTGAAAGCTGCCTTGATACAAAGCGTATCTAATAGAACCATAACAATGAAGATACTAGATCAGTAAACACCTAGTAGCTATCTTGCTCAATGAGGAAATGTTGTGTAAACCATTGAAATAGAGAAATTGTCAAGAAGCCAACGAGGATGCCCCTTATTTTTCCTGTCTGCTTTTATGGCAGAAAGTCTTCTGAGTCTTTCGCAATATGGGGTAGTTTCATGATAAAGTCCGTAAATGTTTGCATAGGCTCTGCTGAAAATATCTGAGAATTAATGATTTATTTGATGAAGACCATATATTCCAACGTGGACTTGATTCATAACAAGCAGCAATTGATAACAAACAATTTTTCCTAACAAACAACAATTAACAGCTCGCTGTCTACCAGAATTTTGAAAGAGGCAACATTCTTTTCATCCCACATTGTTCGACCATTGACTGTTCTTCATCAATGGTCACGAGGTTAATGGCAAACACTTTTTGCCTTTTTATTTCTTATTAGTTTTATTTTGTTTAATGATACAGCTCCTAGATATATTTTTATTAAAACAGTTATTCAGGAGTAGCTTGAATGTTCGTTGTCGTGAAATTACGTTACCTTTACAGGAATGCTTGAATTAAAAGAAGTAAATTACGTCATAACATGAATTAACAATCACTTGCCTAGAGCATTTTCCAGGTCTATTTAGCTACGACTGTGACTTTTATCTCTTAGCAGTTTGATGAATTGTCCTTTAAAAACATGATATTCCCTACTAACAAGTAAATCAATAACCCTAAACTAATAAGCTTTTGGTTTGGCAGTTGTACTAGCAGACATTAAAAGGTTTTTCCTACTTTCGGATTCAGATAAGCTGTTCTTCCAGTCCTTCTTGTTTTTATCTAAATTCAGAGTGAAATGGTAGAATTCTGTCAGTGACGCAAGTGAATCTAGGCTCATTAATTGTCATTTTCTTTTAGGAACTCCTCACTTGCTGGTATATGGGATTTATCGTTATTATGTTTTTGAGCTATATAACATACGCCGATCCGAGTCATACGTCATCAAAGGGGACTGTTTCTGACTTGGCTAATGGATTGTATTGGGGTGTGGTGAGTTATGTTTGTCCCATTTATCTTGCTTTACAAAGCCAATGAATCTCTACTTTGCATATGTTATGGCAAATTATTTTAAGTAGATAAGATTACAGAAGGAAAGATTATTGGTCTTTTCTGATGTGTACAGCTCATGTGACTTACTTTTTGGCTTGTCCTGAGCTGCATAGCGATACGTAATGCCCGTTTTTCAGCATTCAGAGATCACGAGTTTTCCTTACAAATACGATTCCAGACTCTGACCCAGACTTGGGTTACTGCTCTTAATTTCTTCCTTCCTTCCTTCTTAATTTCTTTTAATTGCCTTGTTTTTTGGATAACTGTGGTAAGTCGTCAACCAGAAATAAAAAAAATTTGCGAAATCTCTTGAAATGGAATACGAAATATTCAGAAAAAGAATTTTTCAGGGCAAGAGTATTTTGGTACGGTCAAGCAAAGGGATTGGGAATAACCCCTCAAATTCTAATTTGATAAGCTCTGATTTGTAGGGAAGTTTTGATGTAGTTGCTATGCAGGTCATACACGCCATTTGTCAAACTCTTGCCTACCGTATTATGCCATAAACCAACCTTTGATGCCATAGAACACCAATGAGTACCACAACACGCCTTACCCACCTACCTACCATACCAGCATAGATTTCAATACGTAAGCTGCGATGTTGATTGTGTTTTACAAAGACCACTTTTCGACGTCGCTGTTATTATTGTCAGTCAGTACCCCGACTCTATAAACATTTCTCAATCATGGAATGCCAAGACTTTATACTATGAATAATATTTACGTATTTAGCCCTCGCAAAGACCGCCGGTTTTTAATTTTACTGGCGTTGGACGTCATAGTTCATGTGTGTTGGGTCTTTTAATTTCGCTGGGCTCAGTGTTTGAATAAAAAGACATGATAAACCTTTTTTTGTATGTTTAAACCCTGTATGTTCACACGAGAGTTGTTATGACAACAGTTGCGAAAGCTTGAAAACTGAAATGAAATTAAAGAATGGAAACGAATGTTTCTCGGTTAAAAATTCTTAGAACCTATTGAACACAATCATGTTCATTATTTTCTTTATTGAACCATAATCATGATTGAACACTACAATAAGAAAGAGGTATGTTCGTTTTGTGGGGGGGGGGGGGGGGGGGGGTTGGGGGGTTGATTTTGGCACAGAATAATAGACTGTTGAGGAAAAGACAATTGGGTTAAAATTTTCAATTTGATTTAAAACTGATTACAAAGCAATACTTCTTATCTTTTCAATTTGACTTCGTAACAACAGCAAAATAAAGCTTTTTCGGGTACAGAAAAGCCTAAGTCGAATCTGATCCTATATGTAAGCACTAAGAGGGAGTGTATCACATCAAAGTCGACCACGCAAATTCGGCTCCGATTGCCTGCCAACGTGGCCTAAAATCAACCAAGTTTACAGGTTGATGCTTATCATCCTAACCCGCTTTCAACAAGTTTGAAATTTTCCAAAATACTTTGTTAGTTGATTTCGTTTTCTGTGTTTCTAAATTTTGGTGTCATTCTTGCAGGTTTCAATGACAACCATTGGATATGGCGATGTCTCCCCTGTTACCGGATTGTCTAAAATAGTTCTCTGCATATTTGCACTTATGGGAGCAGGGTTTATAGCGATGCCTGCTGTGAGTATGTTTTACATTTCCTTAATCTTCTCCATCTGCAGTCGCATAATAATCTCGAATTGATCTCATTGTACTGAAATCTTATTTGTTTTGAAGCATCCAGCAGACAATTTAAGATGAAAAAGTGCGTATGATCTCTGCTGAATGCAAATCAAACAATTTAAAAATCCGAGGGGGGCTTCATTTGTCTCTAAGCAACATTTGTCAATTTTAAGCCATTGTATAGTTGCCAGCTTGATAGTTTATAAGACCTGACTATATATTGCGACAGATCATATAATGAGAGGATGGCTCAGTTGTTAGAGGCGCTGACTACAGACCCAAGGGTCCGTGGTTCGAGTCCCTGTCATGACCAAACTATCACCCAGAGTGGGTAGAGTCGCCACCAGTCAGGCGTGGTCACATCGAGAGAAAGGGCCCAGGACACTGCTCGATAAGCATAACTTCTCAGTGTCCTAAAAACAACCTATGGATGCTAGGTAGAAAAAAACAAATACAAAATACATGACCATTAGTATTTGCACAGAGCAGGGGCATGGCTGTGGAGGATTCTGTGATGTCGTCCACCGCCTTTTTAATTGCAGCAATGAATAAAGCAAAGCTTTAGGTAAGATTAATGGAGAATCCCTTGGAATCATATTTAAGAGCTTAGAAGCCAAAATTGAGCTTTCTTGATGCCCCTCCCATACATTTATCATTTGTTCTAGCAAGGTGTAAAATTTAAAGCATTTTTTAGAAACCTAGCAAACTTGTAGGAAAATGTTTCCACAAAATAAATGAGAACGTTATAGCATGTTTTCAGTCTGGTTCTTTGGTGGTAGTGAACGAATTGAAGATCTTCTAACCTTGGATTATCTTTGGTTATCTAACCTCTGTTGGACAAGATATTCTAACCAGGGGTTGCCTTACCTCAGTTTGTTGAGTGAAACCCTTTCTCCATCGTCACATTGCAGAGGCCAAATGTGAACTCCAATGCATGCATTTTTTAATAGCAGCTTACTTAACTAGCGATTAGTGATAATTTTTTTTAATTTTCGTGATAAAATTTTCTTAAGATTTCTTAATTCTTTCTTCTTCTTTATGTTCCAAATCTTTCGACGTTGGATGACACAGTAGCTCTCCATTTGTCTCGGTCCATTGCAGTTCTTGCTGCCCTCTCATACCGCATCCCAGTCCACTCCTTGATGTTGTCATACCAACTCATCCTTGGGCGACCTCTGCCTCTCTTTCCATCTATATATCCTTCTAACAGTGTTCTGTATATGTTATTTAGCCGTATCAAATGCCCAAAATATTTCAGTTTCCTGGCCTTTAAGGTATTGATCAGCTTTCTTTTTTCATTCATTCGTTGAAGCACTTCCTCATTTTTCACTTTCTCGTCCATGACAATTTCAGCATTTTTCTATATCTCAAATGCCTCAAGACGTTTCTCAAGTGTTGTTGTTACAGTCCATGTCTCTACTCCATAAAATTACTAAGTTTCTTAATTAATAAGTGTTAAAGAGCTCCTTTTTTTAGAAAAGCACAAAAATGCAATATAAGATAACATCTTTATATAAGCTATCTTTGCCAGTTGAACCTGAAATAGGTACCGAGTCATCGAAACGAATCATTTCCATTTTTAATTGTATCATTTTCAAACAGTTTCTTAAGATTGAGGGTGATCAGTACTTAAGTTTCTTTTAAATTTTTTGTCAATGGCTTTAAAAAAAGCAAAAATTTTATAACATATTGGCTACAAAGCTTTTTCGTCTGACACTCCACAGAGCATAAAACGTCAGAATAAGGGTCCGAAAGAACACGATGAAAAATATATACTCAGTTATGGATCGAAATAGGCCTACACAATTTTTTGTCACCTTAGAGACAAGGATTTATGGATGGTTTTTTTTATGAAAAAATACCATGTGTATGCACTATCACTACCTTGAAGTGGTATACTATTCCCGAAATTTCAGCACGCGTGATTCATGCTTGCTTTATTAAAAGGATATTTATTTCTGAAAATAGAAGAAGTGATACAACCCACATTCTAACCCCCCCTTCCCCCCAAAGTTTTGTGATATTTGGATAGTATAATTCTTTGTTGTGTTTGAGGCCTGAAAATAAGTAAAATAGGTACAGCGCTGTTTGCTCATTTCATTCCTCCCGGTCTGAATGGTCACAGTGAATACAGAGTGTTGTTTTTATGTTTCTTAGGGTTGTGCCACTACTTCTATATCGTTTTTTCTCTACCTTTATAGGGTATAATTGGTTCAGGGTTTGCACTGCAAGTAATCGAGCAAAGGAAATTGAAACAAAAGACTAGACGAAGAAGACCAGCTGCTGAACTCATACAGGTACGATCTTCTTGCAGAATCCCGAACTAGTGGCAGGAAGGTGGAAATAAACATTCGATCCACGTGCATACATACCTTTTATACTCCGCTTGCGGTCTCAAAATTGTCATGTCCATGCGAAAGACATTCGAATCGAGTAGGCATATCCGTTTCATCGGGATACACGAAGGGGTACCCTGCCCCCTCTTAGTATCTAGGGCGCTTCGTAGCATAAGTAGTGAAACGTACCAGCCAACGTTATGGCATCGAGTTAGAAATATCCTGGACCCTGCGTCGATACAATACGGCATATCCAGCGCAATTCAAGTTTTCAGTTGAGAGTGTGAATCGAAAAAGTTGCTTATTCGCAACAATTTGGTATTAAGAAATACCGGTATATGGAGAGGGCATTAACTTGAGCTTCATCTATGAACATCCAAAAGGGGCTCATACCCATCTACCTATTCACAGCAAACTGTTTTACTCCCCCATTGATTTTCTTTCCTATTGGACTTATGAACAGACAATATTGGTGTTTCTTTGCAGATTGCATGGAAAGTTTATGCATCTAACCCAGCGCGAGGCTTGACGAAGACTTGGCTGACACATATGAAACTACGGGTTTCTATGGTTAATAGTCACAGAAATTCTTTAGGTAATGTTATGTTTTCTTCATGTGTAACATTAGCTAACGTTTAATTTGTTTTACTAAAGATGTCGTTTTATATAAATAAAAAAAGAGTGACAATTTTTAGTGCTTGATTATGCAAAGCTTTTGGCATTTTGCTCCAAATATAATGTTGCTTTTTACCTGTTATAGCAGCCATTGGATTTTGGGATATAGTATAGAACTTTAAATTATTCCCTTTATTAGATTATCTGAATGCTTGTACTCAAAGGGTTGATTAAATTGTTTTGAGACCTTTCTAGCAAAGCATAGTTTTCCTGTCCGTAAAATGTTTGTTCTTGTGCGATTAGTTGTACTTTTAAACTGTTATTAATTTTGAAGCGTTTTGAATTTATCCCGGATGGTTGTTTCTAAGTGCTAGCTTTCATCACTGTCAAATTTTTTATCTTACAGATTTATCGGCATTGAATTCTAGCTACGAATCATTCGAAAACATCCACATTCGGTAATTCCTGATTTATTACCTATGGTTTCGAATTGTTTCTCTAACTAAGCAAGCCACAAAACCGTTTGTTTTATTACATTATGTAACATAACATGACTGAAAACTTTCCGTTTATTAATCTTTGTCTAGAAACCAATGAATATGCACTTATACCATTATTTGACTGCCTGCAGTTAAGATTATGCTCCATTAAAGAATCGTATAGGCGTAATTTTTTGAGCGTGTCTTCCTATGGTAATGGTAACCGCAAGCCAGTTTCTTTGTCTGAGCGATCAAAAGAAAATATCAGGGGGTAAGCACCCATAAATTTTTTTTTCAATTTGCAGGGAAATCCTGCCTTTGAATGTCTATTTGTACTCTATTTATCCTTGTATTGCGGTGTGTTTGAAGCTAGTCGCTAAAGGTTCCTTTTGCTTAGAAAAGTTCTTTATGGGCTTTTTGAAGCAATTTGTATGCAAATATGTCGTGTCGCAAAATACGCAGGCTGTTCTGAAGTGTACAACTACAATAAATCATTTTGTATATTATGATACAAATATCACGATGTTTTGTATTGGTATTTTATCACAATGTATTTTATTATGAGTTATAGAGTCCAGCGACATGTTAACTAAAGTTCGTTATTTGGAAAATTCGGCAAACAGTTTTATGAAGCACATCGGGCCGCCCTCGTAATGGGTTTAGGTTTAAATATTTATTTATATTTTGCATAAACACAAAAATTCTGCTGTTCAATTGGTTAACAGTTATTGGCTGCCTCTGCCGTTAATTTTTGTGGCCTAAGTAATGCAAAGGGCTTAAACAGGCATTTCGAAGGTGATACATTTTTCTTTCCACTTATGTTTGACAATTGGATATAAAGGTTATAGAAATTTAATGAATTTTCGACAAAATTTAGTTATCATCTTTTGTAGAAATTATTCAAAATTTAAACTTAAAATACAACTGGTTATTTTTCAAGATTGCATAGTTGCAGATATTTTCTTTCTTACTGAAATTTGTAAGGTTTTAATGATTTCCTTTGCAATCAATTTCTTCACTGCAATGAAATCTTGGACCAAGGCGAAAGAAACCCTTAGAAAATCAGGGAGAATTTATTGCAAATTAGAAACTTTCATGAGAGCATTGCCTTTGTTCCGGTTACCGTTAATTGCTAGATAAGGATAGCGTTTATTTTGAAGACTACCTATTTTTATAAAGGGCCATTTCCAGCATCTACATTTAATCCTGTTGTTTAATTTATACAGAAATCTCACAATTGGCGAGAAGCATGCTCTGGGATTCATAAGACGTCTTCAGATGAACGTTGCTCTGCGTAACTTCAAGGTACTAGGCCCATTCGTTATGCTGAAAGCTAACAAAATTATTCAACTATCTTCAGTTGCTTAAAATGGTCTTTTAGAATGTTTTTCTTTGCTGAAATCGATCGGTGCGAGGGTACATTTACAATTCATTATCATTTTCCTTGCAATATTTACCGACAGCTTTTGAAAGTTCTATTGTTTATGAACATTTAATGCAGTTTTGCGTAATGATGCAAACCAGTTTTGATGCAAATTTGGTTGTTGCGGAACGCTCAGACGTTGGTGTCGCGAGAGCTCTTGCTCTTTTTGACCGTGACAAATTTTTTATGCTTCTTGTTTTCAATTTTTTTGCATATGTTGAAGCGGCAGTCCTTGCGCATTCAATGGTATAGCAACTTAATGATAGCTTTTTCCCGTCATTGTGATAAAACATTGTTTCTAGACACTGCTCAGAAGTCAATTCTTTTTTTCTGTCGCTACCATCTTGAGGAAAAACCCTCACAAAGTTTGCTTACAGATCGATAAGATTATTTTTTCGACGAATAAATAGATGAAAGGCCAAAGAAACTTCAAGAAAAAATTCGAGGAAATTGATAAAAACATTTTCATGAAAACTGACTTTGAAATTTGTAAACAAATTTTCTCTAACAACAGATTCGCAACTGAATTCGAAACTGTCCGGATACTTTCGTGAGGGGAGTGTAGTCTAGTGAATGCCTGAGACACTGCATCTCTTGGTAAAAAGTCAGTTAAATATACGAGGCTTTTAAATGGTGCACGGTGAATTGTTTATGTCAGGGGCAAGAGAATATTGACGTAAAATACTTCTATAATTTTTTGCATTCCAAATTCTTGTATCTTATTGATATTTTACTGTCCGAGAGGCTTGTCAGTCTCAAGGGTCTGTGGGCGCTTGTGTTCAGGGGCGGAAGGCTTGGTGCAGGGCTTGTTCTTAGTAGAGAGGACTGCTCGCGCCAATTTGCCAGCCCAATTCCAATTAGGGAATGTTTTGCAAGATTGGGACGTTCCTGAAAACTAGACTCGCAATGCGGTCTCACATTCTTTTTTCAGCACTTTATACTTTAATTAATGCAAATTTTAACATCATCAAAACAGAATAGTATCTTTATGATGATGAGCATTTTGTTTAAGTGTATGTGGAGTTGTAGTTTTTAACATTCTAATTTGAAATACTATATGATTTTGTTGAAGTATATGAAATTTAAAAGCTGCTAGCACTTGTCAGTACATTTTAAAACAGACTTTTTTAAGCACTGTTGAATTTGAAGCGATTAAAAAGTCTATCTAGAATCGTGAACTGTGTCTTCCTAATGTTGCGTTTAAATTTTTATCGATGTAATTGTGTCATTATTTTAGCAATCCACAAGGCCGTATGATGTCAAAGACATTCTAGATAGATTTGCGGCAGCCCATGTTGAAATTTTTGAGAGAATCAAGGAGATCAGGAAAAAGTAAGCATGCTTTAAATGTTCCATTTTGTCATCTTTATTTCCTGTGATGGTATGATTTCGTCCCTAAGGTATTTTTACTTTGGATTAGGCCACCTAGATGGATTAGGCCACTGACTTTGAAATTTCGTTCGACTCCCTGACATGACCAAATTTTCATTAGTCGATAGTCGCCAGCTCACTGCAATTCCAGGCATAGGAATCCCGGGGTGTGGTCACGTGACTGAAAAGGACTGGGACACTGCGGATATAATATAATGGATTGGGTATACCCTAAGTGCAAAATCCGCTCAGTCATGATTTTTATGACTGCGATGCTATTGGTTGACCTGGAACTGGTCACATGAACTCACCTCGTACTGATTGACAAAACAATTTCCATCAATAGCAAGTTGTCAACAGCGGATGCAAATATCACATGAAATAGCAGCGATCACGCCGAAACCAAATGACCCCCTATAGAGAAGGCCTATTTACCATGACTCAATGCCTTTAAGTGTCCTAAAAACTACCTTCGGATGCTCAGTAGAAACAATAAAAATAAAAATAAAAATGTAAAAACAAAAAAAAATTTAAATACAAATGCAAATACGAACGATACTTAATTTCGAAAGGTCGAATTGTCAATTGTGTGAAAGACCTATTGGAAATGCACTGTTGCAAACGTTTCCATAAATTTTTTGCTATAAATTTAATTCTAAATAATTGCTTTCGGTGTTCTTAAAATAAAGTAGACAATGGACGAGGTTGGAAGGTTTAAATTTAATAACCCTACTGGAAGAATTTTGAAGTAGGATGAAATTTTTTATCAATACTTTATATGGCATCGAATAGAGTTCTTAAGTGATGACGTCACTAAAAATATTTTTAGAATATGCGAATTTGGATCCTATAACCTGAAAAAGCATCATAAATGTGCAAAAGCAGTCAATTGTGTTACGAATTGGCAGAGATATGACCACATGTGTACTGGCTCTTTCCCCATCAAACCTCTGTATTTTGGTCCCTGTTCGAAACTTTATGAACAGAGCCAAAATAACAGTGATTCGTTAGGAAACTTCAAATCTTTCGTTGGCCATATCTCAACCGATTTTGGACATATTTGGCCAAACTTACACATTTCCAAGTATTTCATGATGATCTTTTATGTTATGTGGTTAAAATTCAAAAATTCTAAAAATAGATTTTTGGTGACGTCACACTGTAGAACTCCATAGCGAGGCACTGTTTATACTCGTCCCAGGCTTTGTTCATGAAATATATTTCAAACTTATAAACTGAAATAACATCTTTTTTTAGGGTTGATGATTCAAGGGGAGTTCAAGGTAAATAGCTTTTGGACAATATTTTTACTCTTGACTTTGATGTTTTGGCTAGTTCTAATTTTAGAGCACTCTTTGTTACTGCTTTGGAAAGGCTCTTGTACATTTTTCAGTCACAGCAAAGTACCTCATTGTTGTTAATGGATCCTTAACTTTTTCCAATAAAACCTTTCATTTTCATGATGCAAGATCGTTCGTTTTTATAGATAAATGGTTTAACAAATAGCTTGCTATCAGACAACATAGCTTTTTAGGGTAATAAATTCCTTAAGGTTTCAAATTTTCATTTCAAATCAACCTATAGTCGAATTTATTAAACGGTTTTTAAAGAAATTAGCTCTTTGCCTGTGTGTGTTTAAAAAATACAAGTATTCAATATTAACAAGGTAGTACAGTGTGCTTATTTTAATTGGATGAAAATTTGTTTCTGTTTTTAGAGGAAATTCAAGCATCGAAGGTGGAAACCGAAATGAAACTTGAACGAATTGAATCCAAGGTTTGTTTGAGAAAATAACTTTGTACTTTCATACCATGCTTGATAGCAAGGCCAGTCAGATGGACATTTGTATTTTTGAGAGAATATAGAGTACCGAAGTATGACGTCACCAAAAATCTATTTATAGAATTTCTTGAATTTGGCCGCATAATCCGAAAGAGCGGCATAAAATACCTCTCATTGTGCAAAATTAGTAAGATATGTTCAAAATTTGACGAGATATGACCGGTGAAAGATTTTACGTTTGCTAACGGATTACTGTTATTCTGGCCTGGTTCATAAAGTTATGAACCAAGACCAAATTACAAAGGTTTGATGGGGCAAGAGCCTGTGCTCAAGTGGCCAGATCTAAGCCAATTCGTGATGCTTTTAACTGATTTTGCATGTTTAAAGGTATTTCATGATGCTCTTTTAGGTTCTGGGATCAAAATTCAGAAATTCTAAAATATATTTTTATGACGTCATCACTTCAGTACTCTATAAAAGAAAAATAATAATTAGACAAATCTCCTTTTCAAAATCGGAAAAAAGAGAAAACTTACCTTTCTCGACTGAACCTCATTTATCATTACGTGTTATTTTCGTATGTACTTCTTGAAATTACAAACGCAAACATTACAGTACTTTAAAAGCTTGCATGTCCAGATTTTGAATTTAGGGAATCAAAAGGCACATTTCAAGTCCTTGAGGAAGGCTCTGTTAACATAAATGTAAATACTGTACACTTACGTGACAACAGTATTAGGACGATGAATAACAAAATGGCGGCTCCAAAACTAGCATTTTAACATTGATTGAACAAATCTTGCTGTTTTGGTGGGATTCTAGAAATGGCATCAGCAAAAACACAATTCCTGACAAATTCAATTTATTTTCAACCTTTCTATGATAGAAAGGTAGCAAAATGTCAGGAAGAAATGGAAAATATCAATGTTTTAGTTTCAATGCCGAAAACACAAAAGCGACCAGAAAGAGAACGAGAAGCAATAAAATATTTGGGTCTAGCGAGTAATTTGTTTGCTGAAACTACAAGAAAGTTTGGTAGCAGCAAGTCTACAACACATGTTATTTAGAAGAACAATGAGTTAACAATGCTGACTAAAATTAAAAAAATGGTAAGCCAGGGCAGACTGACTATTGGTTGGGCCTAATGGCATCTACAAACTGGCGTTGTGTGGGAAGTCAATCAATGCTAAATATTATGTCCAATTATTTGTGGAAAGTCTCCAGGCAAGTACAGAAACAAGTAATGATTCTTTGCAAAGACCATTTGACTTTTAAGCAAGACAATAAACCTAGCTATGTTGCAATTGTGACAAAAATTTCAAGGATATTAACATCATGTTCTTTCAATAACCCCGTCAAAGTCAAAGCCTTGAAGTAATTAAAAACAACTAGTTTTCATAAAAAAATCCAAGAAATGAAATCTTCTAAGACTAAAAATGAACTCTTTTAGAATTTTCTTGAGATTTTCTACTGTATCCTAAGATATTTCGTTGCAAAATTAATTCAGTGAGTTCCAGTGGAAATGGCGGCTGCCAGATACCTGGAGGTCTTTATTTTTACAATTGGGTAAAATTGCAATTGGAAACCCAACCAGCAATCTCGTTATGTTCCACCGATTTTCTATGTTGTTCTTTGAGCAAAGGGTTAGCCACATTTGCTTTGAGGCGATCGTCCTAATACTTTTGTCACGTGTCGTATATCAGCGACAACAAACCTAATTGAAAATATTATATTTACTTTGCAATCCTCATCAAATCCTCTAAAGAAGAGAGAAATTTTATTTACTAGAGGAAATAATTCTTTGTATTTTTCAATAGCAATTTTAGTTTGTAACGTATTCATATTTTCATGAAAATACTAAGAATAAATTGTTTCTAGGTAAATACTTTAACCCATCAGATGTCAGATGTTACAGACTTGCTTCGTGAGCTTCTTGCTGAGAAATACATTCAGTCGGCACGTGAAGGATCAAATGTTTAGTTCATTTAGTCTAATCACATCGGCTCAAAATTTTCGGGAAGTAGCTGTGGGTTTTTATAATATTAGACGTGGATCGTCATACGCTGGAGCTGTTGAACTCACACGACACAAAGGGGGTAGTTTGATCACTATAAACAAGCACATTGAGGCATTGTAAGTTTATAAGATTTAAGGAAATATCATAAAATGTGGTTTCTAAGAGATAATTTTGTAATATCAATTTCACGGTAAATATTTTTCATTGATATCTAATATTTTTGTAAAGGGGTTTTCTAATGTTGTTACAGTTGCTAAAGGGCCTAGCGGAATCATTTGCCAACAGCCCCAGGAAATGGTTATTAGTAAAAGCAACAACAATAGATATATTCCCACCTTGGTCAACGTCACTTTCAAGTTCCATACGATTACCACGCCATAATGTTCTCGTTTTTCCGAATGCTCATGCCAGGCAAATAGAGAGTTTTAATGAAAAGAGCCATGATTGTAGGTTCTCGAAGTAAAGAAAATAAGAAAGCCTCTGGGTTTGAAGAAATGGACATTTTTCTTTTAAATTGTATTTTTGAGATCAAAGATGAAGCATCTGATAGCTTTCAACAGAAAACGTTATGCCAATGAGATGATTTCCCTAACAAAAATGACCTAAAAAGCACAACAATATTTATTTTGCTAACTATTCATTTTGAAGTTCTGTAAACTGTTGTCTTTGGCGTGTAGACCGAGTATATGCATCGTTATCATACCTCCTTTATCGGTTGTATTATTTTACGGGTCCATTAGATCTGTAACATTGAAAGAAGGTTGCTTCCTGAAATCGTCATTACTTTCGAATGAGAGGTATCATTTAATGTAAAATAGACTTTTTAATGTCATTTATATCAGAAACCCGTTTAGGCGTAGCCTGGAAAGCATTTTTTACATGAAGCATATTTTGTAATAATCCTGCAGGTAGTTTCAGGTATTTAAAGCCATACATTTATTACCAGTACACTAATAATGAACATTTAACTGTAACATCTTTTGTAACTGTAACAACTATTCATATTTAGTTTTGAACTAAATGTTGCTTAGTTTGGTTAAAATAAGCAATCGTTTTTAAACTCATGTTCTTCATGGGCTGGACGTATATTCTGGAAATGAATATTTTCTTCGCCTTAATTAGATGTAATATTATTTCAAAAGAATTATCTTTCTTTTCTAAAAATGTTCGCCTACAACAACGATCAGCCCCTAATTTGATTTCAAATTCAATTGATGATTTCTTCACCTACGTAGCAGGAAGGGACGTTATCTGTGATTCCAAGTTAATCTTTTACTTAAAATCACCCCCAATTTTTACAACACTACTGTACTGTTAATCTATCCATTTTATTTTGCATAAATTATTGCCCTAATGAAAGGGTCCTGTTGTACCTTTCTTGTGGTTTTTGTTTAATAAGTCGAGAAACAAAATTGTAGCCAACAGGTATGGCTGACTGAAATTGTCTTGGTTGTCTTCATTAGCTTTTCATCAGATCATTAAGATTAGCTTTGAAACACCGTATTTCTATAGGAAATATTTTGAAAAAAGCTAGGTTTTGCTTTTTCGAAAGTTGAAAGGCCCAGGAAACATTAAATGTCTGGATTCATTTTCATCAGCAATTTTCAGTGCTAAACTTTTTGGCAATTTCTTAAAAATTTCTTGTCAATGTTATCAAGGATTCGAAAAAAGACTTTTACTGAAAATGCTCATACCATCAATTTATCAGGCCCAGTGAAGTTTTCCTTTCTTATTGATAATGAGGTAAGATGTGTAATGCGAGGCTCTGCTTCAAAATAACGTCTCTTTGTAGCTGGCAATTTGGAAAATGATTGGTCGTTTTGTCTGGCTGCTACATTGAGACGGATTTTGAAAGCGGGAGACTTGTAAACTCGAAATTTCTTTTGTCATGCTGTGCCGCTCGTGGCCTATGGTAAGAAACATCAACACAAATGCCTCTTCGCCGTAAAGGAAAAAGTCCGCCTTTCCTTAGCCAGGAATTTTTCATACAGAATCATGGCGACATTGCTTCGTGTTTTTGCATGGTCTTTTTGATTGGTTTGATGCTTCAGGTAAGTTTTTGCATCGTTGAGCAAATTAGGCCATGAAGTTGTTGTTGCATTACATGACGTGTACTTAGAATACAAGACGACCCAATATTCCCAATGGCAATTTATCAAAATGATCTGCAAAAGTTTCAATAGACGGTATAAAACAACATTAAATTGAAGCTATTAGAAATACACAATGAAATCCACGCATAGATCTTTATTTTTAATAAAGCTGTTATCCTTTTTGTATTCTGATGAGCCGTTTCAATTCCCTGTTTACAAAACTTTGCCATCTGACCCTCGAAGTATAAAGCCATACAGTACTCAGCAGAAACCCAGTGAACGTTCGTCTAAAAAGCAAATCTGTATTTAAAATTTACTGGAGTTATGATTTTTATCTTTGTGAAGAAACTTGAATGAAGCTGCTCTTGTTTTGGACAGTAGATTAAAAATTCTTTGTTAAGTTCGAATTTAACAGCAAAATACATCAGAATTCATCAAAATATTTCAAACTCCTAAATATAACAGGATGTGGAAGCATTCTTAACAATGGAAGAAGACAGTAATGTGCCTTATTCGCATGACAAGTAATTTTGATCTCCTGTGCTGATGTGCTGTTCTTTTGTTTGTACAGCAGTCAGTTTTCTGAAAACTGGTAACCTAGTGTACTGGACAATTAAGTGAATCTTTGAAACTAAAGGTATTTAAGAAAAAGGTTTTCTTTTGGTGGATTTTGTTTGTAAGAAAAAGTCGGTAGTATCTGAGACCTTTCATCTTCAGATTGAAGAAGAATGTTCAGAATATCATGGGAATTGCAAATTTTTTATGATCAAAGTCGATTCCATTTCTATCATAAATCACTCCTAAATCTAATTTACAAATGCTCAACACATGAAACACTATCAAACTATTAACTAAAGTACATTAGCAATAAGGAGAATATAAATTGAAATCTTATTTGCTTTTAAAGGATTGTATTAAAGGTTGATTAATGAAGAAGGAACTCTCTAGGCAGGCCTGACTTCTGATGCATGCTATTGCCTATGTGCACCTCAATTGACGTCTCCTGCCTGCCCTCTGCCCTCTTTAAATTCTCATTGGCATTTTAAGCTTAACAATATTTGTAACATCTTAAATGTCTACATAATTTGGATACTGGAACTTGTCAATGTCAGCCACAAAGACTTACTTACATCAAATATTTAAATATTACAAACAAATACAAAGCTGTACCACCAAGCATTTGTTTAATCTGGCCTTACTCCTAGTTTTTGGCAGGCACTCATTATCAAATATCAAATCCACTGCAAATGTGTAAGAATACTAATGGGCATTTAGTATTTGAACTACATTAGTCCTTAGAACATCATCTGGGCAGCTAAAGCGTTTTTAAAAAAGGTTTGGAACAACAACATGACCTTTGTGATGTAGATACATAAAATTTATAAACGAAGCACATTTATGTTGAACACATTAGCATAATAATTTGCATTAGAGATTTACAATTTGCAGACAGGCAGCTTCTGCCCCTAAGTTTGATATGCTGTCCCAAAAACAATAAAGGACAGCTTTTATGACACCAGCCAATGGGACTGCCTGTTTGCAATTTTCTGAAACATCATCATTGCCCCATTAACACCTTTAGTTCAACAGGAGATGTACCGCCGAAAGATGAATCCCCAGAAGGGGGCTCCATTGTTTCAGTAGTGATTTGAATACACTCTCCCATTGACTGCTTCTCATAACTGCTGCCCTAAATTGTTTTTGAGACAGCAAAGGGCAGTAGCTGCCTGTCTGCAAAATGCAAATCCCAATGCAAATTATTTTGCTAATGTGATGTTGCCTATTTAATCTTTCTTGGAGTGCATTAAAGATTATTGTAACAATTCATTTTGATTTGATATTACTTTACACAAAAGTACTTCAATGCAAGATCATACAATTTTTTAAACATTACAAAAGCTTTCAGCATTTTTATAGTTATTATCATTTTTGAGCAACTGCTTGTGCAAGAGAGTTCAACAGAGTGCTTGAACACTTATGCTGGCTATTTCTTATGAAAAGGCCTATATGGTGTGACATATTGTAGCTTTGATATATCTTGCCATGATTAGTGAATATATCTTGCCTTGATGTCTTTTTATCTAACTGGCAGACAGAACAAAGACATTTGTAGCATTTAGTTAAGTCTGTGATTCCCTTGTGTGAAATTTAAATCACACAGGGAATCAGAAACTTGACTAAATTCTACCTTGGTCTGCATCATTAGTGTCCAAAGAGGAACTTGTCAAGACCATGATGGAAGATGTTTTTAGAAAATTTTTCTAAGAAATATTTCCAAGTTCAAATTTTCAAATTTCACACTTATATTGACTTGGACTGTAAAAGGTGGCAATACTTCTATTCAGGCTAAAAGGCAAAATTATGCTTCTTTAAAAATGCTTTCAAATCACATGCCTGACTTAAACAAGCAGAGCTATTTACTGGAGTGAAATCAGTCAGTTGCTAGATCTGTCCATCAGCAACTTGCTAGAAAAATATATTTATATTTGCTAAATGCTCTGTACGTAAACCTTTGTCTTTTTGTAGTTTTAAGAGTACTTTAATAACAATGACTTTTTAGAAACCCAAATAATAGGAAACTGGTGTTTGACCAGTACCCTTATATAGCCCTTAAATGGGTGAAGAGTATCTTTGAGGTATTACTTGATTTGACTTTACAGTTTGCAGCATCAGTAGAAATAGCTTACATTAAAGCTTATTTGCACAAGAGAAAATATTTATTGTAGTAGGTATCTAGCTCTTTAAATGTGTGGTTTTGTTTACAGGCTACACGCAATGCAGCTTCCCTATTTATAGCTGTTCAACACAATGTAACCCAAAATGCTAATGGTGAGTTTGGTTCTTGTTGCATTGGCAGTTGCTTCATTTTTAATGCATAGAATCTACAAAGTTGCCTGAATATAGAATCTACAACTATTTACATGCTTGCGTTATTGTTTTTAACATTCAAAATTTAAATATTATTGATGATATCCATGATATAAAAGTTGAAAATGCAGAGTTTTAGCCATGTTTTAAGAAAGTGAAAACTTCAATATATTCATTAGAGTTGTTATAAACACACAAATTCAAACAGATGTGACAAAAGTATTATTTTGCTATAAATTGTACAGAAACTAGCCAACACTAAAAGCACAATCAAAATTTCTTTTCCAGTGTTTCTATTTATCCTATTTGTCCTTTCTATTCAAAACTCTTGGACTTCCTTTTAAGACTCAACAGATGCTTCAGCAGCATTAAATGTCTTGTATAACAATGGCTGGAAGGACTTGTGTGGTATATTTTTTCAAATGTTATGTTGGATTGTTGTTCAAGCAGTTATCCAAGAATATGTGCTTGATGTAAGTAAATTTAAATTTTATTTACATATTTTCAGCATGTTTTTTGAGCATTAGTAATCAGCATGAGTATTTGGAGCAGAAACTATATGAATTTTTACCAGAAAGTTTATGTTATTTTAACCCATTTGATTATAAAATATAGTTTACACCCTTGACTTCCTTACTTCATTACTTTCATATGTTCAGACATTCAGAATTTGATTAATTGACTTCATTTCATTGACGACTAAATAGTTTTTCTTTCCTTCATATCTGCAAATGTTTATACTTAAAATATCAATACTTGAGGGGATTTATACTTTACTGTGAATCATACAATTGTGGATCAATATTGTATCTATGGTGCAAAATGCATTATTCAACAACCCCCACAACCCATCTTTTGCTAATCAACAACCCCCACATGTAGTCAGGGATCTGGTGATTTTATTAGCTGAAGCTACATGGACTAGTTTTAGGGTTTGAGTCAAATTAGTATATTGTAATTGGATTAGTTCAAATTGTTTATTAGTTAGTTCATTTTAAGTTTATTTGTAGTTCATCTTGTAATTAGTTTAGAGGCCTCTTTTGCCTACACTCCTTTTCATTAAAATTTTTTGCTGGTTTTATGATGTTCGTGATTCATTCTATGCTAGACTTATTCTATCATGATTTATTCTATCATTTAGCTGCCAAATCAAAGGAAAACAATTTATCTTATAATGCAATTCTTGAGCAGAAATGTTTTAGAAGTGTTTGAAATTACAAAAACAAGTTAATTGTGATTCTCAAGACAAAAACTTATAGATTTGAAAAGTAGAGAGCATTCTAGTGTGTGCTTAGTTTTCACCATCACAAATATGATTTTCTGCAGAAAGTTAACAGAAAGCTGCACATGTCAAAGACAAAAACTAGCAAGTTCAATGACTCTGGCAACATGCTTCCAATATTCATAGCTTCTATTGGAGTGGGCATTGACTTGATAATGAAGGTAAAATATTTATACTGTATATATACCATGTAAAATTATGGAAGTTTGCTTCCTTATACTAGACTGTAATCAGAAAATGCTATTATTGAAACATTACAAGGGAATCAAGCCCATGATTTCAGCCAGAGATTTGTGATGGCCAAGAAACTGTGTTCAGCTAAAACTAGCATGGAAATCTTGTTGATTAACTCATGAACATGTGTTTGAGTACAAAGATTTTCTTTGAAGTTACTAAGGTTGATCTTTGTAATATAGATCCAATTAAATTTTGTATTTGATTTAGGAAAATCTAATCCCAAAGATCCAATCACTATGGACTGGATATCCTCACACAGAGATGTCGTAAGTATTTATTAGCCACTAAGCATTGTAAGCTGCAATAAGTTCTTGGCTTGAGTGTATTAGCTTATGCTTTTCAAATCAATCTCTTTAAGACACGGGGAACAACCAAGATACTCTCAGCTGAGATACCTGCAAATTAGGGTCATGAGTAGAGACAAGCATGCAGCTTGACATATCACAATCAGAATAAACTTTTGTGACAAAGCAAGTTTTATCATACTGTATGTAGCAGAAACTTTTAAGTTAATGAAATGAATACACCTTTTTTACTTGGGAGGCCTTTTGAACCAGCCAAAGATGTTAAGTAGCGAAGACAATATTCTATGCTAACTGCTTTTGTTGTTATATTGATGATTGAAGAACAGTTGAATTTACCTTTGCCTTGTTATGTTTTATAACTGTTCTTTTCACTTCTCTTCTTTTTAGTTTCATGCTTAAGTTGTTCTTTATGCTTCAAGTTGCTTATTGGCTTCACATGTTCCCAGAGTTATACTTCATGAAAACTAGAAAGGTATTTTACACAAAAATCTTCTAAATCCTGAGGTTGATGTTGACTATATTGCTTAATTAATTTCATCAGTTGAAGGACAACACTTTAAGGAAGACAATCACAAAATTGGAATAGATTATTGGGATTTCATTAATTAGAAATTGAAAACAAACTTTCAGTATGGAATAGCCGTTTTTATATGTTTCACAATAAATTGTTTTTGCATTTGAAAATTTTTTGCCAATCTGTGAATTATCCTTTAGTTGCAAGTGATGAGGCAATAAGTTATTTGAAAAAAATTCAAGTTGTAGTACCATAACAGAGGCGGACCCAGTTCAAATTTTGAGTGCAGCAAAGTTAAGGAAAACTAAAGTACCCTTTAATAAATGAAAAAACTAGCAACTGAAAAACAAGGGCTATTGCTGAAGTTCAGTCATCAGGTCTCGATAAGTTGCAGGTTTTTTTGTAAAGCCCTGAGTTAGAGGCCCAATAGTTGACTGGATACATTGTATCAAATGATAGCTAAAATTTTGTAATTTATACCCCCTCTTACCCAGGCTCTATTTCATGCCAACCCTACCCCAGAACCTCCTAGCATATAACAGATTCCTGGGCTAAAGGTTTTTGGACAGGCTTATACCTATAACTAGATAACTTTTGATTCTTTTTAAGCTGCTTTTAAAGAAGTAAGCCTTAATAGCTACTTACTAGAGTATTTGGTAATTTACATCCATCTATCTCTTTTATAGGAAGAAATTCCCCAAAAAGTCACCCATTATTCCCTCTACATGGTATTCATTTCAGCTGCCTACGTAATGAAGTAAGTTTTTTTACAAAATTTTGCTCCAATACAGCATAATTTGCAATAAACTCTCAATTTCTCTTGTACAATTGCCTATCTTTCCAATTTGCTTTCCGAGTCATTAAAAATGTGTTTGAAATAACATCACTTTAGCCTTGGTAGGTCTTACTGTGTTTACAATTGGTTGATTTTATAGAGTACAATGTCTTCAATCATTTCAAAAAAGTTATAGATTTTAGAGTGGATCCTAGGCATTTTATTTGCACTTTTAATAAATGGATATTTATAACAATTAAGGAAACTTTTCTAACTTTTCCAAAGCTGGACTAAAAACATAAGGGTGTCCCTATGTGTAAGTTTTCCTATCTTTCATCAGATCTTTTTCCTCAATTTTGATGATCATTTACTGTACTGCATGTTGGATCATCATTTCCTTAAATAGTAAAAGACTATAATGAAGATCATCTATAAAACACAGCTTTATCGTGCCAAAAAGTTGGTTCTTAGAGTGTGGTTATTGTTTTCCCTCCTTGTTAAAGGTTCTTAGGAATTTTTAGTTTTAAAATGTATACCCAAACATTTTTTAAGTTGTAAAGATAATAAAATTGCACCCCTTTATCAGCTCCTCCCCTTCATTTTCCGCCCCATTATTTTGGGGCTGGTGCCCCCCCCCCCTGGTAGAAACGGTGTGTAAACGATGAAAAGTGACGCTACATTGTTGCTGTTCTTTGACTGCCCAAAGTTTGGATGATTGGGAAAATTCTGCACTATGGATCGAAAAATCATGATAAAAATCGCATAGTGCTAAGAAATAGATTTATCTATCAGATTTCAGAAAATTCCTCAACCCTCCTCCGGATGAAACTTTGCCCTCCACCTTCTTCAAATTTTTTTATATCTTTTGTGTAAAAGTTTCTAATAAATGGTATTGAAGTAAAATCACATATAGTTTTGTAGTAACGCATTGACCTTCCTCAAAACTACTGCATCGTTGAATAATTTTCCTCCGGTTTACAGCCATGGAACCGTTAATACTTTCTAGACTCTGTTATTTATCATTTATTTCATGGGAATGCCACGGTAACGCGTTAACGAAACGGTGGTTGCCGCTAAACGTTCGCAGCTGCATATAGATTTTAATCCTTGCTTTCCAATTTGTGCACAGCTTCACAAGAATTGCCTTGGTATTGCTGGTTGTTCATTACATCCCGGAAGTTGTCTTCCATGCAAGTAGAATCTTGCACTGCCTAGGAATGTTCGAAATCGCTCAATATGGGTGAGTTCAGCTTTAAAATTAAATACTTACTGCTAACTTTTCATATGGTGATTGTTCTTCTGTCATAAGAAACCATGCCTCAGATATGTAGTGAAAAGAAGTCAAATATTGCAATGATAACAAAAATAATTACTTTATTTTTAGTTTCTCATATTTTCTTAATTTTGTGTTTTTTATATTTTGCATACTGTACAACTTGCATTTAAATATTGCCAACCAGATGGAGTAGTTGATTTTTGCAATTTCGTTATCACTAGGAGAACATATATATCCAAGAATTCATCCTTGTGGTCAACCCACAGAATCTCGATTACTTTATCAGAAATGTTTGACAAATAAAGTCCAGTATAATAGCCGTTTGTCTTGCAGTACAATTTTAGCTTCTACAAGGCGATCACTTTTGTATGTTTAATAATCAGATGATAAACATTCAATGATTTAATGTCATGCTTTATATAGTACTGAGAATTCCAACCCAAATATCTTTCTTACGAACACATTGAGGCTGGCACTTGTTCGCGCTTCAAGATTTTCTTTGTCTTTTGTCGTAGTTTCACGGTGTGGTCGATTCTATTTGTTCCAGCTCGCCTTATCACAATTACCCTGTCGATCCTCACTTTCTGGTAAGTCAAATGTGTTTGTGATAAAGTAATGGTCTTAATCTACCAGTAAAGTTTTTAATTTTTATAATATTTTTATAATATTAATTTAATAATCACAGGCATGCAGGGAAAGTTTTTTAATTAGGTCCCTATTTCATTAGAAAAAAATTATCCTGTTAATTGAAATAGCCGTTATTTGCAGATAACTTAAAAATTAAAAATTAACCGTAATGCCCAGAATCATAAAATTTCTGAAGGTGCTGATCCAAGAGTCTCGAGCAATTTGGTATTTTCCTTCACATGTTCTTTCCTTTCACCAGGTTTGGTCTTGGCAAAGCGGACCAATCAGCATTTAGCATTGCTTCTGGTAACTTCAACAACCCAACCTTCAGGTTTGTTAATGCTCCTCGATTTTATCAACCCGAAAAGCCTTGCATTTAATATTAATTCCTTCAATTTTTCATATCAGAATTGGGTTGTTCATCAACATTTTAGAGTATTATTATTAGTAGTAATAGAACCTGTCTTTGTGCATCCTTGGACCAATTGGTTGATTTCGTTGTAAGCAGTAAGTACATCCTTCATAGGCTTACTAAGATCTTCTAAGTTTACTAGGATCTTTGTTTACGCGTTGTGCCTAATAAGTAGGTAGTTCATTGTAAGCATAAGATCAGCCTGTTGTTGTACTTTTCAGTATCTTTTGTCATTGTTTTAACAGGCTAGCTTGCCTTCTGGCTGTTATCTTAGTCCAAGCGTGGATGGCATGGAATTTCATAACATTCCAAGTGAAGCGTTATAGGGAACGTTCAGCTGTCACCCAGAAAAAGTCCCGACAGGACCAGAAAAAGAAAGGCAAAAAGGAGAAGAAGTCAAAAGATGATGGTGATGCAGTACAAAACGGCTCTCCGAAACCCCGACTAAAGGAAGACTAAATGAAGACCTGGTTTGGCGAAAGATAACTCCGCTGCAATTTCTAGTTGCCCTTTCTAATAATGATAAACTCATACATTTTCACAAATTTCCCCTTGTTTTTCTTGTAGTTTTGATTTTGACTTGTTAGAAAAAATTGCTGTGGAGTTTTAAGATGGTTTCTTCATTTCTGTGTTTTACTCTTTTTTTAAAATTCTGTTTATTACTAGCAGTTATGATTGTATAAATACATTTGTTGTAATGATATCTGAAAACCCAACAAAAACAGATAAGCAGGCCCAATTTGTTACTTGTTAATGTTTTCACCCTTATAAGTACAAGTTGTTTTCGATATGACATTTAATTATTTTTGGTTTTAATCTTCACTACACTTTCTTAAAAAGCCGCTGTTTTTATCAATATATTGTTTCCATTCATGCATGACTACCCCAGAATTTTCTTGTGCCCCTCCCCGAATTTCCCAGGCTAGAATTGCCCCTGGAAAAATCGGATGTTTTGCAAGTTTTTAATGCAAAATAATTAGCAATGAATTTGACCATATTCTCAATTTAGAAAACCTTTCGTGGTTTATGTGACATAGTTTATTGGAAAAAAGCGACAGCACGTTCACAAAAAAGAAGCTGGAAAACTCCGTATAGAATGATTCTGGGAAATATTTCTTTACTTGGATGGTTGCACATTTTTAAGGTGCTTGGGTTTGTTTATTAAGGACAGTCTGTCGCGTTTCTTATCGGTTCTCTAAACGAATTTCTGACACCATTGAAATATTTCAACCAAGCAAGTCAAAGTGCAGCTCGAAGGGTGAATTACACCTTTTTTCGTTTATAAGAAACTGATTTATAAGAAACTAGTACTAGGACGCACAAAAATTTAAGAAACTTTAGTACTAGGCTCAAGAAAAAGTAAAAAACTGTAAAATTTTAAGGAAATTGTCCAGAAGTTTTTATTTTCTTGATTCTTCTTTGGAAGCAGTAGCATAATTTGGATCTTGAACTGCTAGGGGTCTTTTCGCGACGATCTGCGTTTATATTATTCCTGCTCAACTTCAAAACAATAAGGAAATTCAAGCTCCCGAAATAAGAAACAAACTAAGAAATTTTGGTACTAAAACGCCAAAACTTGGATGTCAAACTCGGAAACTTTATAACTTAGTGTTGATCCAAGTTTCTTGTAAAATAAAACAATGTCTAGCCAGGAATTTCTGACGAGGCATATTGACAAAAAAGGCATAGTTAATAACGCAAAGATAAACTTGTCCGCGTATTACTCGCTAAAGATTTCTTCTAAAATACATTCGTTGGACTTAACAATGCCGAATGCCAAAACCACGGGAGGTAGACACTAGAACGAGGCGTGACTATGAGGCACTTCCCAGTTGTCCCACCATTGCAGGACGCTCTTGCATGGTGCAACCTGGGTCTAAAGTAATTCACCTTTCTGGGTTTGACTTCAGCATGGAAGGAAAGAAAGTTGTTATGTCTTTGGAGAATAAGCTCTTGTTAACCTCAAGGCTGCAAGGGAGCGGGTTGTTACAGTCAAAATTAGAGCTAGGCCATCATCGACAAAGCTACAAAACGGATGTTCCTGGTGTCTACGATAAACCTACTCATCGAGAACTCGGTGGCGACTCGAGAAATAAAACAAGGCCAGCAACAAGCTTGAATAATGATCTTTTGCGAAGCAGTGTTGCAAAGCAATTGACAAAAAACAAGCTCTTAGGGCAAACCAGTTACAGTCATAAACATGTGTCTGAGAAAAAGAAGCCAGCAAAAGTGTCTAGTCTAGAGAAAAATGCCGATAAATTGCAGCATTCAAGTGAAACAAGAGTCACTAAAACCTTACTTCAAAACAAAAGGCTTGAAAAGCCTGTCGCATCTAAAGGTTTGGCAGAGAAGAGTTTGACAACTAATTTCTTGCTGAGGTCATCAAATTCAATCAAAACAATGGGAATACAAAGACAAACAATCGATACAAACAGTAAAAATATAAACTTCCATTTGAAACCTAAAGCTTTATTGGCAACCAAAGAAAAGCATTCATATCAACCTGGTCCAACAGCTCTATTACAGAGCAAAGGTGATATTAGAGACAAGGATGCTGCTGTTGAACAGATCATATGCATAAAGGAAGTTCCTCTCGTAAAGCCAATATATAAACTTGCATTTGATGATGAAGATCCGTCTAGAGAGTTTTTAGGAAGAAATAATGCCAGCAGTTTCAAAAACATAAGTTTCAAAGATCCATCTGCAGAGAAGGAAAGACTGGCTGTTCAGAAATGCAAGGTATGTAAATTCCTATATGAAGGAACCTCAACTTTAAGTCAGCCTATGATTAGTGTTGTGGTTTTAACTCAACTTTCCATACCATAACTATATCTGTTTAAGCCTAGATAATGACATCAGTATTAATATTTGCTTTAAATCCACTCTTTCTCATATATTCTGGGCAATAGATTGATTTAACTATTTAACCATCCAATTCATGGCTCCTTGTGTAGGCTAAAATCTAATGATTCTACAGTAAAATACGCTCAATGACCATCCACTTAAAGTCACATACTACAGGTTACAGGCACATGAAATTTACACCCAAATAGAAAAAAGATAGAATTATCTCTGTTAACAGTCACACTCTGCTTTCTTACACAAATTTTAAAATGACTTTTGTGTACTTATAACTGAATCTATGGTACAATCTATGTAACAGAACTTTAGGTGAAAAATAACTATAGTTCCATTTATGTTGCAATTCACTTTTGTTTTAAGACCAATATAAGGACTAATTATGCCCTTATTGATTTATAACAATAACCAAATCATAAATTTTTCCTTTCAGACTGAGCTGCTAGATGTTGCTTCTTCTTCTATGATAAAGCAACCTGACTTCTATGCCAAAAATGATAACTTCAGGGTGGAATTGTTACAATCTGTTCATCAGGTGAAAGATTTTGATCCAGAGTTCATTTTAAAGGTAAGTATGCCAAGACAGACAGCTTTTTAGTCAGGAGGAGGTTTTCAACAACAACTTATTGAAATCGCTCTGAGACACAAATGTATCTCAAGGTTGCCTTGAAAATTTTTGTATCGGAATCAAAAGACAACTTTTTGTGACCAAACAGAACGTTTTCAAGTATATCTTTATTAGAAAGGTTTACCAATCCATGGGGTCGCAATATGGCATCCACACTGCTGAGAAGATCATACCTATCCATGTCATAAGCATGGCAGAGCAACAAAAGTGTTCTGTATTGTCAATACCATCATTTATTGGGCACAAAGTATCTAAAGTGTCACTGAAGTTATGTTTGAATTTATGATAATTCAGTTTGCTGAGTCCAACACAAAGCTGTGTTAAAATTGATAATCCTATTGGATCGTGAATGTTGTAGGCTAGTTTTGGAGGTGGACGGATGATTGCTAGTAGTTTTTTCTTGAAAACGTTAACTGAGCAGGACAGAAAACGTTAACAGAGAATGCCAACTAAGTTTGTCGGAAGTATTCTGATGAGATGTGCCCTTCCAAGCGCCATCTACTGCTAGGGCGGTAGAGTATTGCACCGATTCGAGTTTTTCCATCAATTTAGTCAAAGTGAAATTGGTCAATTTGATTATTATTTTGTTAAAATCGATTGATCTTGTTTATGATAAAATTTAGATTGTTTGCCATTATCCATCAAAGACTTTGTTGAATAAGTTACCCCGCATCATATTTCATAAACGCCTTGTTAGCAATGTTTGAAGCTACTACTATAATGTTTTGACTTCATACCCCTTTTGCCAAAAAGCCAGTTCCAATTCATAAAGCTTAGAAAAACAGTTATATCATAAATTTTACCTGCATAACGTTGCCTTTGTATTGATTTTGCAGATTGCTATCTATCTGAGAAAGGAACTTAATATCAGAACTGGTACAAATTTTGTTTTGGCCTTAGCTGCATTTCACAAAGAGTGCAGACCATTTTTGAGACGATATTTTAGTTCAGCAATCGTGCTCCCATCAGATTGGATTGAAGTTGCTGAGTTATATCAAGTATGAATATCCTATTAAACAGCACTTCTTGAAATCATTATCTTCGTATTTTGAATTTTCCTGCACTTACTTGAATCGTCTAATCAGTGTGGACAAAGTGAATATCTTTAGATATCAATAAGCAGTATATTGCCTGAGATTCAAATATTTTTCTCTGCTGCTGACCAATTTTAGTTTTCCCAATTACTGTGGCACGGCATGAAAAAATCCAATTATTTTTGGCCTTCTTATTTAGTAATGAAGATAGCAAAACATTCAATGGCTAGAAAACCTTGGGAATACATGCTAAGCCAATTTTTATTGTTTACCCCACCCTCAATTTTGAAAAGTTTCCTTTAGCGTTGTATATATATAGTTATATATATATAGTTTTATATCTGTTCTATTCATTCTATTCATTTGTAGACACTTCATGACAAGAACATAAACTTTGGGTCCTTGCCAACAGCTTTAAGGAAAGTAATGCTGGAAAAGTTCATTGCATTTGATCAATATCAGTTGGCCAAATATAACAAAGAAAGGTCAAGACTAAGGAAAGACAAAGCATCTAAGGTACATTTTTGTAAGAATTGAAGTCAAAACATTCTTATTATCAATTTTTTTGCTTATTGTTCTATAAATTTCACCTCATTTTTTTGTCATTGTGACAAATTTCAGAACTGAAAATGTCTGATGTAGCACCAAAATAAATTTTTTTCTGAAGCATAATAGAAATAATTTGGTTTTTATAAAGATAAAAGCAACCCAATAAAAAGCGAATAACGAAAAACTTTTAGCAAAAAAGGTAAAATTTGTTAAATGCATTCTGAACTTAGCCAAAGTTTTCGAGACAGCAATTCTGTAAGTGCCTGAAATTCAAGATAAAGCTGTAAAGATATAAATGACAAACTTTTATATATGTTATTACTTTAAAGAAAATGTATAAAATTCTGTTTACAGAAGAAGATGAATCAACCAAAGAGGAAAATATACCCTTCTGTAACAACTGAATCTACTTCATCTGAATCTACTTCATCTGATTCTGAGTCATCTGATTCCGAGTTGTCTGAATCTGAAATAATGGAAGACGAATCTGAGTCAGATGAGGAAATTCAAAGAAAGTCATTTACACTGAAACAGTTAATTCGAAAACTGCACATTTCAAACCCTGTCTATCCAGTGATGTGTCTTGTGGGGAAAAAGTATGTAGTCTGTAGCACTTTTATTTAGAAATTACTGTTTACCAGTCAGTTTTATTGTGATCAATGCCATATATAGGCAGAACTCTACATTCTGTAGAATAAGATTGCTCTTGGTTGTAACTCAGAATTTTTAGTGCTATCTGTGATCAGCAGACAACTATAATTATTGTAGCCATTTAAAGTCTGTTTGGTTTTTGCAAGTTTGGCAAAGATAGGGAAAATACCTTTCATGACTAACTGCAGACTTGCTCATCCTCAACTTTTGAATTGTATCGCTCGCTGCTAAAGGTAATCAAGCCAGCATCTATTTGAGGGGAGTTTGTGTTTTATAACCATTTTAGAAAATTTGCACTACTCAGATTTAGACTGCAAAATTGTTGATATTGTTTTATGCAGTAAGATGCTTTTTAGACTCAATTGATTGTGTCTAGTTAAGATTGTGATCAGATCTTAATAAAGCTGTCAGAATGTTGGAATATTAGGAAGCAATGGCATAACTTTCACATTTCATGGCTATATAAGTCTTGGAGACAGCATAACCTAGATGATGCCTTATTTATTAGGTATCCATCAACTGTTGACGAATTTCGACGTTCAGGACTGGAAGGGATATGGGAAGAGGTACTGGTTTTATTCAAATTTCGTTTCTATCAAAGCAGCATTGAATTTATGTTACAAATATATTCTATTGTAAGTCATCATAGATTTTAGTGTTTCTACACCCTCTATGCAAGTTTTAATTTATTTAGGAGAAAGCTGGTAAAAGAATGAAATTGCCAATACCAGAAACATGGGAAACGCAGGTTGCTCTCAAAGGAAATAAGGCATCCACATGGGAACAGTTGCTCGGTATCAGTTTTGTTTGTTTTAATTTGCAATTAACAAATATACTGGCTGTAGGTTATAGTTTATTCATCCCTATCGAGTTTGCCTTGTTTTACCCCATATATCCTTAGGGGAAATAGAAGTCTTACAAGAGAACCTGCTCCACAACTCTCAAGGCGATTAAGTTCATTGACTTTCTAATTCATGCGGCCTAGATTGTCATTCTCTTATGACTTAATAACAACTTTTATAATTTGTAACAAAAGTTCGGTTGTCCTGAAATGACTTATGCCATTGTTCTGAATTTTAAAAGTTATTCGAGCAATGTACCAGAAAGCGTTCTTTTAGTGTGTTTGTTTGAGAAGATAGAGATATTTTAGAAAATAGTCTTGTAAGAAGACAACTATAGGTGGGATCAAATGTGAAAAATTGTAGGTAAGATGGTTCATAGTAAATGCTTTTGGTATGTTTAATAATTTTGAAAATCTGTTCAAAAGTTTTACTACTGTTTTTTGACAATAGATCACAACAAGCTTCCATTTATGGCAATGCTGCGTAATCTCAGAAACATGCTGCAAGCAGGAATCAGTACGAAACATCATAACATTATACTGAAACGACTGACAAACGAGGTACCCTGAGAAATATATTTTACAAATTTTAATTTTGATTAACATATAATGAAAATACTTTTAACTTGTCTGTTGCAGAAGACAGGGTCTTTGGTATATAGAAGAGGGTGGTTCACAGTTGCTTCTCAGAGTCGCACGCTTTATTCGAACCTCTACCCTGGATACCAGAGCCGCAAAAATTAAAAAATAATATTAAAAAATAATGAATAATGAGGGGTAACGAACCTCAGGCGACCAGTCGGTGTGCCTTTTCAAAACCTTTCTATTCTACCTACAAAATTGTGATGTACAATGTGAATAGAAGAAGGATAAAATATAGAAGAAATGTTTTAATGTTTTTATTTCTTCTAGGAAACTGTAATCCGAAGCAAACAGTTCCCATTTAGATTCTTTTCTGCATATGACGTCATAAACGATTTGGACGAAAAATATAAAATGTGGGAGCAAAAAGCAATAAATGGTAATTCATCTTTGGTTTAGCTATGCTAAAGGAAATTTCTTATTTTTATATGAATTTGCCATACCTACCTAGAGAAACTTGTTATTAGAGTTGTTGGTCTGGAAAATTGATACGTGACCCAACCTTGTGTTAAACGCTTGAACTAATTCCGTTTTTTATGTTTTAAGGCGACTTTAGGGAAATCGCAACACAGCCCTCTTTCCTATTTTTAGGACTGCATCTTGTTTTTATCATTTTATGCCATTCGATGTTCCTCTTTTGCGAAAATTTGATCAGCTCTTATGAAATTTGTCTCGTTCAGGTGAATTAACCGATCAGCCTCCGCCTGTTTACGCAAGAGGTCGTGCAAGAGGTCGCGGACGTGGTCGCGGAAGAGGCAGAGGTGGCCGTGGGCGTAGTCAGATGATATCTCAGTTAAGGTATTATCTTTCCCTGTATATTATGGGTTATTGTCTTACACCTTGCCATTCTGCAATTTCAGGCTGATTTTACAAGATGGCTAACGTGTTTTTCATCCTTTGATTAGAACAAAACGAAAAAGGTTCTGTCTTCCTCGATGTCTTCCTCTTCCTTTTCAGTATTATCCTAACTGTTTCATTAAGAGCTTCATCAATGAGCTTATGAACGTCCTTCTATTGTTTTATCTGTCACGACCCTCGTGTAACCTACAATGCTTGCAAAAAGCACATGCAACAAGCAACATCCATCGGCTTGAATCGTTTTACGTCGTTCCCTGTCACCCCCACCCTTAGAACAGTGTTCATTGTTTAGGCAGGTATGATACAGGTCAAATGAATAGCGTACTTTTGAAACCGAATTGAAACCAATATTACGTTATCTACAACAGGCATCGTGTACAGTTGACTCTCTTAAAAAAGGACCTTCAAGGGAGGGGGGGGGGGTGGGTATGGAAACATTTTGACTAAGTCAATGTCCGACTTATCTGGGGTACAACTTGAATAAGGTAGGAAAATCCAATTGCAATTGAAAAATTGTCCGACTTTGTGAAAGTCCGAGATTCTCTCTACGCAGTGATTTTTTAAAACGTTCTTTTTCCCAACCATAGTGATCTCAAATACGATTCGGATCTGATACAAAAGTACAGAAAGGCTCTTGACAAGGCAGTGAGAATATCATGTATACACAACATAACTCCTATGCCAGGATCTTCCATCATTATTTGTGACGTCGAAAGCAGCCTTGATGAACCATGCTCCTCCGCAAAGTCATTCGGCAAAACAAAAACGGTATCAATATTAAATGTTTGCTATGTTTAATGACATTGTAAGGAAGCATATGCGTTTTAGGGTGAATATTTTACATTGTTGAACCATATAAATAAGGGGAGGGGGGTATTTTTAAAGGTTATCTCGATTATCTTGCCGACTTGCCATTTTATTTCAATAATTTCTTTCTCGTAAACATATTTTGCTTCAGTCACACACGGCTCCAAATTGCATTCCTGTCAATTTCTTTTCTCTGTCTCTGTCCCTTGTCCCAGAATATTGACTGATATATCATTTATCTTGGCTTGAACACCTTTATGTTGGAATTGATTCAGGTTTTTTTAAATAATAAAGTCACGAGCATAGTTTAGTCGAATCAATTAGGTGAGGTGGACCAAAGGACAATTCCCCTTCTCATGACGCGAATATCCCTATTTCACCACTGAATCCCCCTAAAAGTTTATCAGACGTTCGTATATATCACAATTGTTTCAAAGGCTCATAAAATTCTATCAGTGAAATGATATCACATGTGTGCATGTGTTAATATAATAATGTATTTTTCCATTCAAATCACTATTAGATTCTTGAGGTTGGACTTCTTTTGGGATTGATGGCAAAGTACAGTTGTGAGGAATGCAAACTCTTATTTTTTCTCAACGGAAAGTTTGTCTTGCATGAAATCCAAAACCAAGACACCATGTTGACCAATTTACTCAACGCAATTGAAAAAGTAAAGGTAAGAATTTTTACCAAATCTAAAATAATCAATGTTGTTTTCTTTATGAAATCCTTCAGTTGTTTTCTTCCGACGTTATCTAGCCCATGCCAAAACGAAACCCATTTAGCAGTCAAATCAAAGAATGCTCATTATACAAGATTCGTCAGGCAGTCAGTTGAAAGTTTTCAGGTTCTGCATAAGAAGATATGATTTTAACCAGAAAGCGTATTCACTATATATATATTGTAATTGTTATCAAAAAATGATGATTTTCTCTTGAACTGAGTGGTGAGTGCAGAACCAATGATAAACCGACGCCCGCTGTATTTTTTGTTGAAGAATCCTTAAAGTGAGACAATCTACTTCCTCGTATTTTCAACTTAGATTTACTGAACGGACAGTAGGTTATCATACATATTAGTTCATATTTGATGTCTTGAAAATATAAAATTCACGTGGTAAAACCATTAGCAATGAAGCGTTCTTTATTGATGACGTCACAAGGATCAATTTTCAGGATTTTAGAATCAGAAAAGATCTCTGGATCTCATAACTTGAAAGAGCATCATGGAAGGCCTGTAAATTTGAAAAATCAGCTAAAGGTATTACAAATTGGCTGAGATATGGCCAAATGAGCACAGGCTCTTTCCCCAACGATCCTCTGCAATTTGTCTCATATTTTGATGAGCAAAGCTGAATCAGCAAAGATATGTGGGCAAACGTCACATCTTTTGTTGACATACATCACCCGATTTTTGACATATTTGACTGACTTTCCATATTTAGAAGTATTTATGGCGTTCTTCTAATTTAGGTAGTCAAAATCCAACAGTTCTAAGATATATATTCATTAGAGTTCAGTCATACCTGAGAACTCGATAGCGAAATTCCATCATTAATTCACCCTTCTTCAATTGCTCTTATCATACAATTTGCTTTCGAAGCTTATGCGCTCTGAGAATAATGGAGAAGACATCAAAGATTATTTCTGGAAACTGATTAGCGACCAAGTCAAGGTACGAAATAGCCTTTTCAGCTTATTGGTAGGGATTTAGTCATGCCCTATGATGTGTTTGTTTCTTCTCACATTAAATAAGGATTTGAGACCATGTTTTTTCTCTGAGACCATGGATTTAAGCTCAAGATTTTCTAGAGCACAACAGAAAACGTTCAATATTAATTTTTTAATTCTTTTATAAAATTAGTATATGTAAGTGGATCACAACTATTGGGTCTTAATCAAGGTTTGCTGCGGTTTGTTTCTCAAATAATGTCAGAGAGTAGACTCAAAACAATTGCCAAGTCTATATTATTATCAAGAATAGGCGAAAGTACAGTGTTTGACTGGTGAGTACATATGTGTTTAACTCAAGGCCCGCGGGACATATCCGGGCCAGCGTGTAATTGTATCCCGCCCGCGAGATCATTTCATATTTTTGTTTTTATATAGTGTGTTCAATAAATGTTCATCTTTTTCGGCCTGCTACCTAAAGTGTGTTTTGGATTTTGTGCAATTGAGTTTGACACCCCTGGGTTAGTACTTTGATTTGCAAGGAATTCCTCCAGTTCGGTTAGCGCATTTTTTCGAATACCAAACCCAATGCTATAGACTATAAAGATGATCTGATCTGCAATTTTAATCTAGGTGTCAATTATGCTTAATTTTTGTTTCAGGTTGACAATCTGATGATTTTAAGCAATTTCAACCATAGTTCAGTAAAAGAATTCTGGCAGTTCTTAGCAACTGTTTTTGTCGAGAAGTACCGTCTGTTTGTTAACTCAGAAATGTTGCTAGTTGATGTGAACATTGGAGCTGGGGGAAATTTCGGAGGTCCTTCTACAAGGTAGGCTGTTATTCGGTCTAATTTTTAAATTCTCTGGTTCATCTGTTCTGAACGGGGACCTTATTCTCTTATGCACTAGGAATGGGTTACCAATCGTTGAATCACCCAACTCTGTTGAATAAAAATGTAAATAAAAGATCAGTTTTTGATGGGCTGCATGCTCTTCACCTTTTGGAACAGTATAGGAATGTTGTGCTAGAGAATTCTGTTGCCCCCAAAACGTCACGATAGTCAAAGAGATTGCTCTATTTGCAAATATTTTATTTATCTGTGCACTTTCAAAGCTAGAACAATTTAACACCAGTTTGAAATTTGAGTTTGCTTTACATGGCTGCCCCCTCAGAATGAAGTTATAAAAGCCTTTTGCAGATTCGTTATGAAATCTATCTACAGAATCCTTTTTTCTGTTTCTTCCTTTCATGTGAATATTGGGTCTTTTCCAGCTTCTTTGAAAGTTGCACCATTTTTTTACAGCTTGCAGCAAAGTGAAATTTCTCACCCCTGCTTTTCTTACAGTTTTGCAGCATATGCTTTGTTGCTTAATATGGCTGTTAAAATTGGATTCAAATGCACTATGCAATTTGCTTCTGTTTGGAATCAAAGATTTGAACTTAATTGGAAACAGAATCATCATAGAAGCAACAATTTCATTCATCGAAGCAACAAAGCGTTTTGATTGAATGCTTAGAAAGTAAACAGCAGCGCCCCCCCCCCCTTATCACTGTTGGTTTTACCAGGGTAGCGTAGCACCAAATAATCAATTAAACCTTGACAGGAAACAAATTTTTGGTATAAAGCTACCTTAGATTCTATCTCTTTTGCTTAGATTCTAGTATGAAAATTGTGAATGTCATCCAAAGTAGGGACCAGATGAACTTGTGTCCTTTCCTGCTTTTGATGGCACAGTAGAATGTGTCAAATATGGCTGTTTGTAAAATGTCAGCTGTATCAAGTTATATATTTTCCTTTGCAGGCCATCCCCATCACCGAAGAATATTTCGATTGATTCATATAGCGATCAGATATTGAGGTAACAGACATAAATATAATGTTGTTATAAGCTACGTTTTTATTTTTATAGAAATTTAAGGCAAATATCTCTACAATTTTCAATAATTTTCTTTACTCGTATGCTGTTTTTTATCTATGTATTTGGGTTTGAACCTTTCTCAAGTCGTTTCAGGTAAAAAACCCCTTCCTGGATATTTCTATTGGTATTTTTCGGTTATACAGTGACATAAATAATGATAACTTACACTACAAGTCAACCTTAATAAGTCATCGATCTTTGAAACTGAAAGCAGCTGACGATTCGTTTAATCAGATGAAATATTACCATCTAGAGGAGGAACCTCACTCCATGTAGATTCTCTTTCCCGACGTTTAACGTACTATGATTTTCTTCAAAAAATTGATTTTATGATCAGCAAAAAGCCCATTTGGTTAAGAACCTTTTCTGAGAAAAAAGGAACTTGGCCCTGAAGAACAGCCTTTCCAGATTGGGACAAAGCCAGGGCTCCATTTTTTCCTTGATTGTCAGTACTTCATCGATTGTCAGTACTTCATCGATTGTCATTCCTCCCTCCCCCGACGAATGATGCCTACACTATTATTCTAATATTTTTATCTCTTTGGTAAAAAAATTTTTGTTCACCCGAGTGCTTGAAATTTTACCTTCGATTATTCAAATGTGCCTTTGATACCCTCAAAATTTGAAAGTAGTAGCGGAAGAGCGGAAGCACATCATATTAAAGTACCTTTCGTATGACACTCCACCGGGTATAAACGTCGGTAATGTCCAAAGCAGAGAATTTATGTCCAGAAGTGGATCTTAAGAAACGCGAGAGAAAGTTAAATGCAATTGATTGGTCCTTTGATAATTCCCATCCCCAGTTTTTCTTCATCCACATCCCTTGCTAATTACTGATGCAAGTAAAATCGGAGGTTGAAAAATTGGAAACCGAGGCTGGTTCTGTTTTGTATCGTAACCTCAGTATTGGGGCAAAGATATAGGCCAAGTCATCACTGACTTTAGATTTGCATTTAGATTAAATCTCATGAAAAGCATTTGGAGATGACTATAAATATAATGCTTCAAATAAATTTTGGTTTAAAGAAAGGAACTCAAAATAGAAGTATTTCCAGTTCATCATTTATTTGTTATTTTTCTTAGGTTTGTTACAGAGAAAGGCAACAACACGCTATTGAGTCATGTCGATAACATCGATCTCGCCTATAACCTACGGGACATCAAGGTAACATCAACTTTTCAAGTAAATTACAGTTAAAGTATCAATTCGTATATCCTGTGTTTACACTTCAAAAACACTTTGAGGCCCTTTCCTAAAGCACGTAAAATTTTGAATTGTGGCTGAAACTAATCAACAATGCCAATCTTAAACAGGACAACATTTTTCTGACCTTTATTCGTTCTGGCTCCCTTTCTTTTATTCCTCTTTTGGAAGAGGTACAATTCCTTCTTGATATAGGACTGTTTACACTTGCTAGTCAATAATTTTACTAGTTGTACAACCATGTATAATTTTTCGTGTTTCAGATATCGGGGAAAAGACCAATCAAGCTATCCACAAATGAAATTCAATTGTCACCAATAATCGAGAGAAGCTCCCCTTGGTGGAAAAGTGTTCGTGTTTTTATATCATCTACGTTTCGAGATATGCACGGAGAACGGGACCTGCTCACCAGATATGTTTTCCCTGAACTCCGAGCGCGTGCAATGCAGCATTTCATTAATATATACGAAATCGATTTGCGATGGGGAATCACGGAGGAGCAAGCAAGATCAGAGAAGTAATGCTGTGGCAATAATTTGAATTTCGATATCGTTTTTGAGATTATTCATAATGAGATTTTCATACAAGGTTTTGAAGCCAAGATTCAGTGAAAGAAACATGTAAAGGCCGATTTCCATTTGACATTTTTTGTGCGCGTGGGCGTAGCGCCTGAATCTGAGCATGCGTAGTTGAAATCAAGTGGTCTCGATTTGCGTCCGCTGTGAGCGCCAGAAAGTTGATAGGGTCTCAACGTTTTGTGCGCTCGGCCACTTGACAGCAGCACTTAACTACGCATGCTCAGATTTGGGCGCTACGCCCGCGCGCACAAAAAATGTCAAATGGAAATCGGCCTTTACATCAATCTTTGTCGGTCTGGGTTAAAGTTTTTGCGCGCTCGTTTTTTGGGGATGATAGTTGCACCGAAAGAGGGATTAATAATAATAATGATAATAATACAAATATTTACAGAGTAAGGCCTCAGTCACTCGAGGGTGCTTTCCATGAGAGTCCTCTAAAAGGCATTAGAAGTTTTATATGATATTTGACCGTTAGCCTGATTTATGAAAAATTTTGAAGTTCTGGCTTCCAAGTTACAATAAACGTAACTACTTTTGTTGTTATCCATAAAAACGAATCCCAGTAATTTGCATATACTTTGGCAGTTTCTAATTTCATATCATCGTATATACGGAAGAATTGACGAGTGTGAAAGCCATTACATTAAAACAATACAATTGGAAAGCATATATGCCTGTCAATTTAGTACCATGCAGAGATGATTAAATCAAGATTACATTTGTTAGAGAAAAAACGACTATTCCAATATTTTGTATTTTGATAAAACTAGACATAATCATTTCCATTCGCAGCCAAGTGGAGATTTGTCTCTCTGAAGTGCTGAGGTCAGATATCTTTATTGGAATTGTCGGTGGACGATATGGCTGGATCCCAAGCGACGTTGATTTGGACAGGATTCCAGGATGCGAGCGATTGCATGGACACTGCGAAGGCAGATCGATCACAGAGCTTGAAATGAACCTTTTTGCACTTACTAGAGTCAAAGATGTTGTCGGTCGGGCATTCTTCTACTTTAGAGATCGAAGCTTCATGAAGTATGAACTTAACAATTTTTACGAAATTATCTTTACGCCATTGAACTTAACGCCATAAATTCCATAGTTACTGTTTCTTGCTTGCACTCCTTGCAATCCACATATATCTCGTTGTAATGGAAACTACTGTTTACGGGTCTGTCATAACTTGCTTGATACAGTATAGACAGACCTGTACACGCTTTTGGGGTATACACTCATTTTTTTTATAAGAAACAAAGTTGTTGAATACTCCGGTTTCTTAATGTTCTGGAAATTTCAATACTCGTTGTTTCTTAAGAGTTTCTTAATTATGATGTCATGAATGATGTTATGAAATGTTTGTGACCTTTTTTATGACGTCAAGAGATTCGCTTCCGTTCCGATGCTGTATTTAGATGTGGGAAGTATATTTTGATCCCTTGTGTCTTGAGTTATAGGCCAACAGGGCAATCTTGTTCTTTGATTTTATAAAATTTCGTTGTTCTCAGTTTTATCATGATTTAATAGTTTCTTCATTTTTTTGCTTCGAGTACTGAAGTTTCTTAAGTTTTTCTGACTGTCCAGTACTCGTTTCGTATAGCCAGTTTCTTATAAAAAAATGAGTGTAGAATAGGAAGGTTATAAGTTGCTATTTCTTGCTTAATGCGATCATCAGGCAGGTGTGCATCTTTGTATCCTTATAGCAACATATGTTCATTTGGCTATCCCTATATCCGCTTTTCCTGAATCCTTTCAATCTGTCTCGTAAACACAGGTACTCAGAGCCCGCCTTCTTTGAAGAGTATCTTTTAGCAGTCTGGTTCTTGACTGGTTTCATTCGCATTTCGCTTATTCTCGCTTCCGGGTAACTTTGCTGGCCACAAGAAGCACTTTGCGAGAGCCATGCAAGACTAAATCAATCCTGTCAAATACTCCATTTCGAAAAGACGCTTTCTATATTCTTCTGCATTTTGAATTAACCTGAAGCGCTTGTATTCGTTTTACATATCCCGAAACATTTTCTTAGGTGATTTGATAGTAGGGAACTTTTTGCGGATGCAATAATTTCTGTTTACTTATTGTTTGCAAAATATTTTTCTTCTATAGTTATGATCTTTCAATCTAGAGATGTTCCAGCAGAGTATGTCACCGAATTTACCACTGACAATGTGGATTCGCTGCATAAGTGGAAGGCATTGAAAGAAAACATAAGGAAAAGTGGACTTGAACAGTCAAAGTATTTATTTCTGCAATATTTTCGTCTTTTCGCATTATGTTTTATCAACGAAGTATTTTTAAAATACTTATCGTTTTGGAGTGTCTTGACATATGGGTCTATGTGCCAGGAACTAAGCTCTTCAGATCATGATATGGTATTCTGCTTATAAATTAGTGTCAACTACCCTTTCTGGAACACCACCAGTGCTCTCAAGTGATTCTGTTCGCCTTTGGTAGATATTGCTAAAAAATTAACTTCCGATTTCCATTTATTAATGCTCTTCTAGGAGGTTCAAAAATTTTCTTCCCAATGTTTTGGCTGAAATCATCACGTTTTGGCTGAAATCATGCTAACGAGCGAACCGGTATGGCGCGTAGCCTAGTCTTAGGTTGCATTTAATCATGAAAACGCGAGAGAATACTCGAGACGACGATAAGTTGAATTGCACAGGGGCAAGCTGTTCGGCACTCCAAAAAAACGCGAAACAAAGTTACTATAGTCTATGACACCATGTTTTTATAACAAGATTATGGTTTTACAATCTATTGAATGATTAATATTATTTCTCAAGGTACTCTTGCTCTTGGGGTGGTGTTGTTGATGGAAAACCAATTGTGACAAATCTGGAGAAGTTTGGTAATCTTGTACTGAACAATGTGTGGACTGCGGTTAAGAATAATTATATGAATGAGGTAAGAAACCTCCCATTGCACACTTGACAGAGTATTATTGCTCATCTATTAGCAAGATGTGTGATTTTGCTTAATAATGCTTTGAAAACGTATTCATAAGTTGTGATACTCCTTTAAGCAATAAATTTAACGACAAAGGAAGCATGGATCAAGTGAGGTAATCTGGGCTTGAAGTCCAATCAGACTTTTCAAAAGGCCCATGGATCCTTATGGCATTTTTAAACCGTTTGGAATCTTGTTATGTCATGGAATTGCTATACAGTTTGGAAATGCTATACTGTTAAGAATGTTGCTGCTTTATGCAGGTTTAAGCCTAATCCCATTTGCCTTGTTTTACTTTTGAAGACCACTGATTTAGAAGATAGCGTCAACCCCCATGATGCATTTGCTGAAAAAGCCGCGGAACATTTCGTCGGTCGAAAATCTGCATTGAAACAGAGCCTCGAAATAATCGCAACATGCGCCAGAACCAAGTGTGGCGTTTTGATGATCACCGGGAAAAGCGGTTGTGGCAAAACCTCTTTTATGGTAAGTTTTTTGCAAAGCTAATTTGATTTTGTTTATAGTGAAACGTAACAGCAATAGATTGAATACATGCTGAAAAGCATGTTGGAAAAGTATTGTTAATATGTGACAATTGGTTCTGCATTATTTAAGCTTGTTTCATGAATTTTTGCCAGAAGTGGTCCTTTGGCCCTTTTCAGAAAGAAGGTCAAGATCCCCACTTTGACAAATCTCAATTCTACAGCTCGAGAGCTATGCTGTCCTTTTCCAAGGATACATACAGAGTTCTATTTATTTGGTCGTTATGGGGTCACATTTCTAATTCTTTGAAGCACTCTTAGGATTTTATCTTTCCAATTGTTGCCAGGCCTGTAACTCTTTTATTTGATTTGTTTAACTATTTTGCTGTTTAACTGTTTAACTTGATTTGTTTAACTGTTTAACTATTAGAGCTTTTTTGCACAATCATAATTTTACGGCTAATATTCTTTTTTTTTTGAAACGTAATTTGCCACAATTTTGTTAACGTTTCCGTGTGTTAAAGTATTTTTGTGGCTGTTTCAGGCAAAGCTATATAAGGATGTTTCTGGTGAAAAGAGTTCATGTCCTTGCTTTTTTGCGGATGCTGTTCCTGACAAGAGAAACATCCATGACTTAGTGAAACATCTTTTTGTTTCAATTTTGCCACATGTGGATAAACCAAGAGATATTCCAGAATCCTTCAAGTAAAACAGTTTATCTCCATTCATATAAACTATTACAAAGCATTTTTATCAGTTCTTTTTTATAAGTTTAGAAGTCTAAAACATTATGATAGTTAAATGTGTCCAAACATAATTGAAAAAAATCACATTTTCATGTTGATCATACGTAATGGCATCCTGAAAAAGGAATAAGTTTCTGCTATAAACTTAAAGCTCTATGTGATCACTGTTTCAATTCAATTCAATAATAATGATAATAACCATGACGAAAAACACGACCCAACTGAAGCAGGGCTTGTCTAGTTTCAGCTACAATGCAACAAAACTAGATTACTAACAAAACAAAAAAGCATTTAAGATACAAAGCATCCTAATTCTTATGCGTTACCATCATTTGATTTATACGTTACCGAAATTTGTAGTTTTGAAATGCTGTATGGTTCAGAATAGATTTCACAAACGTTTCAAGTTTATTCTACGTTTGTTATTTGACATTTTGCGTTTTCGTAGCTACGTCACTTTCTGTTGGATTTTACTGTTTTCACACTTAGTTTTTATGTCGTATTGTTATCAATGCTCATTGAATTGGCGATGAAGTAGTTTTGGAACTTTTTGGGAGCGTTGTTATGATCCACGTCATGTATTAATTTTTGAATTTTAAGCTTGCTAATGCAGCTAACTTTTTTTAAATAAGATGCATCTATTTTTAAAATTTTCACAGGGTTTCTTTTTGTATAGCATTTAATGCCCTGTCAGTATGACTTTATATAGTACTTCACTTTCTTCCTTATGTGTGAGGCTTTTCTTGTTTCTATAACCTGCAAAAGCTACTTCTATTTTTGTTAGATAAATGTCTTTTGATGTCCAACTATTGTGATTTCTTTGCTTCGTTTTAGAGACCTTCAGAGTGAGTTTTCTCTGTTGCTTGAAGATGCAAGCAGAATAGCTGAAACAGATGAATTGATGATTTTCATTGATGGCATCGATCTTGTTGAGACACCGGCAAAGGTATCGCTACTCGGCTGGTTGCCCGATCCCGTTCCAAAGGTATTTGTCTGGCAGCTCTAGAAGCTTTAACGCTGGATTCTATAAACATTGTTACAGCGCTGTCTGGCAGAATTAATGAGTTAAGCCAGTTAACTGTATTGAAACGAATTGAAATTTATCTAACACCCTTTTTCTTAAACGTTTCAGCTCCATCGACTACAAGCACTTCCTTAAGGCTTGGAACCCAATTACTTATTTAAAAAGATCGTTGTCGACACCCTGTTCCCCTCCATCCTTGAAAAAAGTATTGGTTTACTGAGAGAAAATGGTTTTTTAAACTGTTTTTATATTTACTGTAATTTTCATTATCTCTACACATGAAACAGAGAGGATTCATTTTTGAAAAGAAAATGCTAATGAATGTGATTCGGAAAAAAATACAAAAACAGGCACTGTATGTATAACAAAAAAATTTGGGTCCGTGAAGACGGATTTGCCCTTTTTAAACGTTGGTAAATAAATCATTTGAAAAACCTTAATCTCGTAATGGTACGTAACCATCAGGCACCTCGAAAAATGCTGAAAGCTGTGTGCGTTACCTACCATCTTTAGTTCCACCATTGGTTAGTTCGGTTGTCTAACGAAAGCAATTACGGTCACTATGTTGCTTTAACCTCGTCTCGACCCAGAGCTGGGTATCCAGTTTGCCATATTTGGTATAGTTTCTTACACTTTGAGAGGTGTTTGAGAGCGAATTTGCTTTCATTATCATCAGTATTTCGATAAAACTCTTGAGTTCCTTTCTTTTTTTCTTTTTTTTCCTTATGTTTGCAACACCGAATTTGTAATTTCAGGGTATTTGCTTTGTCATTTCCTGTCATCAAGACGGACTCTGTGCACAAACACTACAGTCAAGGAAGAAAGGTGTTGAAACTCTTCGAATCGGGGCGCTGGATATGATGGAAAGGGTTGAATTCGTGAGGCGACTTTTGAAGAAGCACAGGAAGGAGCTTGATGAATCAGCCTTTAATAATCAGGTAAGGGAGCTTTTTTGGATTCCATTTTGTGACCTCTCCATTCTTGGATGCGTTGTTTTCGATGCGTTGATCAGAAAATCGATTAGTAGACAATAGAAAGAGTACGGTACATTATTAGCAAGGCTTTAGGTAGAAGGGGCAAGGTACATTATTAGCAAGGGTATACCTTGATCTTTGTGCTATGAATGGCTAGAAGGGAATGGAAGTGCTGAAAAAAGAAAGGAAATGGGATGCAGTAATTTCTTGCTTTTTGTCGTTTGTCCTTAATATTTTCTTTGATATTTATCTTCACTGTTTAGAGTTATATCTAAACTTCAATCAATTTAATATTTTCCTGATTATTTATGAAATCTTTACTTTATAAAATCTGCAAGAATAAAGTTGTTTTATTCAGATGAAAATGTTGGTATCAAAGCGTGAAGCAAATCTGCCAATTTTTCTCAAACTTGCCTGCGAAGAACTTCGATTCTTTGGAGTTTATGAGATGGTAAGACTGATCTTTCATTTTTGTTTTTTTTTATTGTCTGTAGGACTGTACAGTTCTTACTTACCACCCCAAGCTTCTTGCTTGACGCTTTTATCTGCCTAACTGCCTAATAAGCTAACTGTCTAACTAAGTCAGCGTGTACTGCTCTGTCTGAATGACATGATGCACTCAGCAACAGACTAGAGAATTGTAATCTTATCAGTAGTCCTATATTTTGGTAGCTTCGTGTTTCTTTTCCTAGCAGCAATTGTCTGACACCTCATTTTTTCCATGGAATTAATTCTTATAATATAATCTTAATTGCTTTTAATCGGTGATTTTTGAGTTTTTGGTATGTAATATTCGCAAACAGCACACTCAAATAACCTAGACTTTTGCTACAAAAACCCAACTGAAGGAATGTGATAATTGTGCGGAGATACCTATTCAAATTCTCAAATAAGTCTTACTTGTAACTTCTTGCTTATTTCTGCAATGGTTGGTCTACATTTCTTTCAATTCTTTTATTGTATTTTAAGGTTTCCGACCATTTGCGGACATTGGCCCAAACAGTGCCTATGCTCCTCCAGAGTATCAGTAACAGGCTGGAAAGTGACCATGGGAAAGACCTAGTATCGTGGTCGCTGATGGTGTTATTCGTCAGCAGACAAAGTATTTATCATCTGCTTCTGTAATCTTAAAATTATATATTAAAGCCCAAAATGGTGGTGAAGGGAGTGGGTATGGTCCTTGTGTATGGATATGGGCCTGTCACAAAGATATTTTCAAGCAATGACTTTGGGGGCCAATTTGTTATCCGACTCATGCTTATAACGATATCAGGCAGAAAAGCAACAATGTCAAACTCACGGTCGTTTATCGACCCAGGCCATGTTTAAAAAAAATCACTTATCCTTTTTCATATCTCTGATATCCATCAATGTATCATAAATTTTGAGAAGATGAGTTCTATAGGAAACAGGAGTTGAAATTTTATAGAAGAATTTCATTACTAAGCTTTTAAACTTTTACCTGAATTTCGTAGAAAATATTCCTGGAAACACCTACAACTTGACAATATTTTAGCTCCGGTAATATTTCAAATATCGTTTTCGTGCTGATGGTACCCGTATGTAATTTGATAATCCTGAGGTTCTTGCATGTTACCTGAATCATATGGTTTTCTAGCTCTATCTGAAGACGAGCTGTTTGACATAATATGCTGTTTGGAGCACTGCAAAAAAGTATCCATTAAGGAGATGAATGCTTCTTCTCTTTTGAACACAAACATTTCGGCAACAGAAGGAATTTCGAGGATAGAATTCACGATGCTTGCCAGATCTCTTAAAGGCTTCATTCAGCAGTCAGACGAGCAAAGGTTGATATTTGTGTCTTTATTTTTGTTTGTGATTTATTCATACTTTTCTCTGCTATTATGTGCCCGTGCTTCAACCCAATCCCCTCCTCTATTTTCTTACTTCTTTAACTTAAAATTGTTTTGCTTGTAGCTATACTTCTTAGATATGCTTTATCTATTTCATTCTTATGACGATTTGAAACCAGTCACTCCAACGTTTTGCCATTTTAATAGATCATCCTACGTTCAATGAATTTGAAATAACCTTTATTCTTAAAAGAGTTCAAACCTAATTTTGCCTTTGTTAAAAAACGTTTTTCTGACAGTTTACAGCTGACGTTTTCCGATGTCCGCAATCTTGTTAAGCAGAAGTACATTCGCTCCTCCGCCTCCGACATGTCAGTTCGCATACATAGAGTACTTGCAGGTATGAATTCAAGTGCACGTATTGTTGTTAATCGTAAGATTTCCACCGTTCATTGCTTTTTTTACTGTATCATGACCATGTAAGCTCATGTGACATGGCCATATAAGCTCATTTTTGTGGACACAAACTCGTGACCCTGGCAAAAGTTACTTTGATACTTACTCTGGATAAAGCGAGGCTCAGGTGATGGAGCAAACCTTGTTGTTGGTAATTCTAAACGACCAGATGCGGTCGCAGAGAGCACTGTTTGATAGACCTTGCCAACTGTCCTAGGAATCTTCACTAAATTTTGCACATTGTCAAAGGCCTCCCCCTCCCCCTCTCCCCACCGGGGGTATATGTTAAATGCTGAACATTTAAGAAAATGCAAAGCTGACAACAAACATTTTGTGGAGCAAATTTAAAAAAAGGATTTCCCACAACTGCCAATCTCACAAGAGGGGCATTTTTCGAAGGGGACGCTAAATTGAAAAAAGGGGGAAATTAACAAGCACATAAGTTGTTAGTTTTTCTTAATAGTTACTCTAAATAACCCCTTTTATGTAGTGCGAGATTTAGAGTAACTCTGACATATTGTTGCCCTTTCCTCAGATCTCTATTGTTTTATTGCGAATTTTGATTGGCTTAAAACCTTTTCCCTTCTTTCTAATGTGGCTCTTTTTGTACCCTTTTATTCTTGTATATAATTAACCCTTATTTATTCTCAGCATCCTGTTTTGTTTATCTGTAAACGAATATTTCTCATTCTAGCTTATTACAAACGAAGGTCATTCGATAGCACTTGGAGGCAGGGTGATTCCAAGGCTTTGTCTGAAGTTATCCATCACATGGTAGGCTGCACTATCTCCATAATTAAATTTTTATGCATAAATATGTTCTTATTTTTACTATTTTTTTAAATAATTGTAGCATTTTGTTGTTTGCGTTTACATAACCTCTCTTTATTCTATGTAAGCCCGCATCAATTGCTCTCTAGATATTTCAGACACAAAATTGCTGTATCCGTGCGTTTTAAAATTTTGTTGGATCTGACACGGCACTGTGCACGCTTAAGTATAGAACAAGACGGTCCTAAGTTAAAACTCCGATAATCGTCCAGCAGCTATACTTCATGTCGTATTACCTGGAGTAAACCACCTTTTTGTTATTACCACTCCACTTCGGATGAACGGTTGATAATGTAAAAAATACCTACTTTTTATAAACAATGTATTTCGCTGGAACAACTAATCCAACCTTCCTTTCCTCAGTCATTCTTGAAAACAAAGTGTTTTTTCTAATTCCTTGAAATGGTGCTGGTATTGTTTAAAATGTTTTGTTTGTAAAAAGTGCCCCGCTTTACAGACCCTTATAAAAGCATGAAATTTCTAAAGAACGCCACGGGTCTTTTTGAAGTAATACGGTACGTGGTTGTTGAAAATGGCATTTCTTAGAGTTTGATTGAGTGATATAAAATTGTAACATCCTTTTTGTTTACTTCTGCAAATTCTACCTTAGGCTGCTGGAGGACTTTGGCAGGATCTGGAAGACACATTATGTTCATTGTCGTTTATCTATGCAAAGTTTCAAGCTGGGCTGGGGAACCAGCTTCTTGAGGACTTTTTGGCTAATGGTACGTCACTTTCTAACTCATTATGGAATTTTGACCATGAAACTCATACCCTGTTTTATCGACAATTTACAAGCCACATTTCCAATTAAAAACAGATTGAAAAAATCTAGTAGCAGCTCTATGTCATAGATTTGATTGTAGAATTCTGTTATTTTATTAGTTGATGATCTGTCACCTCAGCTAAACCGACAACGTCAGAGCTTCATTGAAAACCCCAGAGTAAAGGTTTGCTAATTACTGTTTATCATCTATTCTTTAAAAAGGTTCATCCTACAAAGAATTTTTATTATTAGCACTGCCAGAAGAAAGACATACATATAAACATGCATTCACAAAATATTTGCTTAAACAGTATTTGCGTTATTGTAAGTTGTTTAGTTACAATTTTTGTATTTGATACCAATAACGATGATGTTTGTCTATCTAAACCTTTTTTAGAATTATCAAGCATTTGTTGGTAGGAACATGCATATACTGAACCGGTAAGTAGACCGTACTTATTTTTTGAATACCTTTGTATCATATATGAATATGAATACGAATATGAATTATTTTTATGGCTGAATTTATAACCGTAAAGCCCAAAAATATTGTCCTCCAGTTTTAAAGTAAGTTTTGATTCACATTTGTGTGATCTGTTTCCATCTTATCTGTTGAATTTCCAATGCTCCATCTAGCTTTTGAGTTTAATTATTTTAGGTATCCAGTTCTTGTGGTTCAACAAGCGTTGAACGATTCTGCATCTGAGCAGCTAAACCAGGATGCTGTGCAGTACTCAAAGGAGCAAAATGTTTTCCAATGGCTGAACAAACCAGCCAAACCAACACCTTTGAAGCGAACAATGAATTTCAACGAGGTATGCACATAAGATCCTATTTTAGTTTCGTAGCATGGTAAGTAATAGGGATAAGTTTTATTGTGTCTCTCCGTGAGTATCCATGGTCATGGCAAATAAAATCAGTAACGATACATCAACAACAGAATACCCAACGATATATCAAGTTTTTCCTTTAGTACACAACCTCAGAATTAACGCGAACCTTACTAAATTCATCCGAAAACTAGACTTTGTTTGCTAAGAGCCCTGCTTTGTAGTTCAGCCGTTTTTTACGAGTTGTTAGAGCTTCCGTTGGAGCTTTGGCATCTTTGTTAAAATTTGTCACTTTCTTTTAGGCCGTCCTCTCAACGGATATATCACCGGATGGCAGCACACTTGTGTGTGGCACAACAGATGGGACAGTTCATATGTTTGACATCGCCACTGGAAATGTATTTTTGCTTATTATATACTATTATTTGTGCAATCTTAATATGAACAAATTTAGATATTGTGAACATATATACCTGTGAAAGGTCGGGTCCATTGGTTGAGGCTGTTACTTGCAGGAAAGAATTTTTGGACCAGATTATTACTTGGAGTCTTATCCTAAAAGGTTGCTTGTTTTGAAGAGATATCTACAATGATTTTTGGCGTTATGTAATGATCTGTGGCCAACCTAGCTAGCATTCTTAAACTGAAGTCGGCCAGTTATAATATAGTCTACTCACGTTTTTCTTTCAAGTTTGTGCAAAGTTGTGCTCCTTCCAGTATGATCAAATACTTTTAAAAGCTCTAGTCAGATACTACATCTGAAGTTGTGAAGGAAAAAACCTCCCATTAAAGCTTGCTTTCTTAACTTTCGAAACCACTGCAACACTTGTAACATCTGTTGAACTTCAGCCTGTTCTTGTTGTTGAATTTTTAGGACATTGGAAGATTCATAGGGCACGCAGACAGCATAACGTCATGCTGCTTCGTTGGACCGAAAAGGCTCGTGAGTGCGTCAATGGATTGCACGTTGTCTGTATGGAATGTATCAGGAGGACACAGGTGAGGTGCTCAAGTGACGTCACATGCATGGTATTGTTTATGTTTACATCCCAATGCCTAAGGTAAAATGGGTAACGATGCCCAATTTTTATGAGAGACCCGATAAGAGAGCATATTTACTGTTCGTTGTGGAGAGGTGTTACTTCAAGTCAGCTCGAAGGTTGCTTCGACAAGAGATATTCTCTAAGGATCTGGTTTTTGGGAGTGCTCTCCCTCTCTCTCTAATTAACTCATCAGGCCTGCTCATCTTGATTTACTTTCTGCCATCTTTTATTTCATATCCACCCCTAAACACAGAAAAGTTTTTCTCTGTGCAATATTTAACAGTATGACATTCGAGAGAGTCTAAAACTATTTTATGGTGTCAATATTCTTATTAAATGTTTGTCTTATTGTTTAGAGTTCAGCGCTTGTTGGGCCACAGACGACCAGTTACGTGCTGTGTACCTGTACCCACAAAACAGCAAATCATCTCTGTTTCATTTGACTGTCAAGCTATAGTCTGGAATATACAGGACGGAAAAAAGGTCCTGGATTTCAAATCTGGAACGTATGTAGATTTTCTCTTGTATTTTCTTTCGAAGCCATAGAGTCCAGGGCCGTTGCTACTATTGTTTATGAAATTCATTTAAGTCCTTCATTTCTAATGAACTATTCCTTGCATTCTTATTCTACTCAAGCAAAGGTGCCCCAATAATTCGGCCCTTATTACGGGACTGAAATCTAATACTTTCCTCCGCTGACCCCAAGAATCTCTCCCAAAATACAGTAGCTTTAATTATCTAACATAATGTAAGCTGATTTGTTTTATTTGTCAAAGCATCTAGAACGAATTCTCGCTGTGATTAAACTTATTCAGTAAGGGTCTCGTCATCTTTTACAGCCGACCGTACAACAGCGTTGCATGTGATCCAGCGGGTCGTCTTGTCGCTCTCGGTGGCTGGGATTGCGTCATAAAGCTCTGGGATTTGTTGACCAACAAACGACAAGGGGTATGAGAACCTTTGCAGCTTTGTTGGGTTTGTCAGATATCATATCATATCATATCATATCATATCATATCATATCATATCATATCATATCATATCATATCATATCATATCATATCATATCATATCATAGCATATCATATCATATCATATCATAAATGTGACTTCTATTTCAAAAGAGTATTTTTAATCTTTAATAATAGAGTTTTGCCACTTTGTTCCCTGCAAGTTCATAGTAAGTTCTAGTAAGTTCACCTGTCCTAGTAAGTTCATATTGAAAGCATTTTACTGACTACAGCAAGGTGTAACCTAGTTCGTATCGTTGTTTAATTCTACAGCTGTTGAAAGGCCACGAGAGCTCTGTCCGTGCAGTTACGTTTTCTCCATCTGGAAAGCATCTAATTTCATCTGCTCTACTGGGAGAGGTTTTCCTTTGGGCAGTGACGTCTGGGACAAGGGTATGCAATCTTTTTTTTTTTTAAAGGAGGTGATACACAGTTCTTCTCTGTACTCACCTCAAAATTACTTTTAGTGGTTTTAAAGATAATTTATGAAATAGGTATGTTATTAACAGGCATTGTATACTATGATTAATATTCTCGGCAAGAATTTATTAAGGATTAATAATTGTTAACAAAATCTTACTGAAACTGAAATAGTTTACTCATAGATTAGACCAGTCAGATATAATTAAGAGCCAGTCCCATTGCAAACCTTGGCTCAGTAATCGAAATTTTACACGTTTTTGAAATAACACTCCTCCTGCGCGTCGGTGCGCATTACAAATTTCCATTCAACATATATGTTGATGCTGAAACGGTTAACTATGATTTGGTGTTATTGATTAATGAATTTACATATTTTTGGAACGTCAAAAACGAGCATCCAATCAAATATATCCGGCTTGCTCTCGCGCTACTTTCAATCCGCATCAGGATATAAATTTTTGCTCCCTTTAAGTTGTTATCCGATGTTTATACTCTGAAGAGTGGAAGACGAAATGTACTCAAGTATGTCGTGTTTCTGTTCCTCCATGCTGTCTTCGTGGCACCAATGGTTTATTTGCATAAACTGATCCGTTTTGAAGAAGTGAACGACTAATGTCTATTGAGGACGGTATCTCTTAACTGCAGAAGGTATATAAGTTTCTATAGGTTTTACCATAAAATATAGAATGAGAATCGGATTACAGCTCCGCGAAGGAAGGCAGCCCAGGCCTATTGAAAACTTTTTAATACATTGGTCGGTTTAACTACATATTCGGTTGACTTTTGCTTGTATCAAATAAATCTATATTGATTTACATTCAATTTGGTTTCAAGTAGACACATAATGTATTGATATTTTCATATTTAATGGCTCTTCTTTGATTGACGTTAGGTAGGGAAATTCTCCATCGGCTCATTGGCAATCAATAGCATTTGCTATACTGCAACTGGTTTACAGATGATTGGAGCTTGCGCGGACAGCTCAGTCAAGGTTTGTGTTAAAGAGCAGTTTTTTGCCTGGGCAATTTCTGTAAGTATGTTTTTCGATCAAAAACTAGCTTTGCATAGGTTTCATCCAACATAGTTAGGCTGGTACCAAATAGTAGTTGTATATGTAGTTGGACTACGCTGGCGATAGGTTATGATTGCAGTAGCTCCTTACGCAATGGTGGAACACGCTCATGCCCAGCCCAGCCTATACGGCGTGGGGTAGCATTCGATATACCGGTTAACTGTAATCGTCATTATATTAATTGCTCATTAAAGGACTGATTATTCTATTTAAATAGAAGTTTGATGAATGGAATATAATTCCCTTTTAGGTATGGTCTGGTTCATTAGGTCAACCATGTGGCACATATAGCGAAGCAGCTGGTGCCGAAGATGACTGGGCTTTGGCTGTTGTCATTGATGCCATTGGCATGTACATCCACGTTGGTTACAATTCTGGTAAACTCGCATCATTTCGATACAGCGATGGAAGCGTACTGAGGGAATACAATCTCCACAAGTCGTCGATTCGAAGTCTGTGTGTGTCTCAAAATAGTGAATACCTCGTTTCTGCATCTGATGATCGTACAGCGAAAGTGAGTAGCATTGCCTGCATATGTTTGGAGAATGTGATTTTCTGATTCATTTCAATCAACCGAAAATAACAGCATTTTTTAGTAGCTACTTACATTTACTTGTAAGAGTCTTTGATAATAGTAGTACTAGTTTATCAGCAGTTTGCGAATGAACGTGTACATGACAAACAAGTGAATAGATCAATTAAGATAAGATGGATATGTTACGAGGATTACGAAAGATATTTGCAAACCTAACACAAGATTGCTAATGTTATCAATTCTAGCTAAATCATGAGCTTGGCATCAAGTAGAATGAAAATTCGCCACTACAGTACAGCTACTCTAAAGTCTTAGGGGAGGAATGGGAAGGGATTTTTATCTGCAAACAAACTATCGATGTGTGACCTTAACATTTCAGTACAGACTGTTTATACTGACATAGCTTCACGTGCAAGAACAGCTTGAAATCACCATCACGCTTGCATACACAACTCTATTGTAATCTTCTTAAAGACTCTTTTTTTTCTTTCTCCTGGGATTAAATAAATTCAGTAAAAATCAAAATTAGTTGCGCATAAAGCAGAAGCAGAATGGGTAAAGTAAAAAAAGAATCTTCAGTTAACATCCGAATCAGGATTTGAATTTTTAACACTCCGAGTTAGAATAAGAATCGTTAATGTCCGAGTTAGGACTTAATCTTCCCACAGGTTATACCTAATCATATTTCCATTAAGGCGATACTCTTTACAAAAACCGGTCTCATATTTTGTTTCTGACTGGTTTCAAAAGTTCAGTTTCTCTCAATTGTAAATATGGAATGTGTGACTTATTCTAATAAACACAAAAGTTGATTCAGTGTATTTAAATCGGGTTTATTTTTATATCACCAGATTGTGAAACTCAAGGATTCCAGTATAACCACCTTGGAAGGCCACACGGAAGGAGTCCGTTGCGTGAGAATGACTGCTTCTCAGGTTGCCACAGGCTCAGAAGATTACACCATAATGCTCTGGGACATCCTATTTTTGGAAGAGAACTCAAAGTGTGTAGCTGCTTTTAAAGACTATTTTTAGATCCATGTGTTTTGTAAAAGTGCATTTCAAATTCAGGTCAAAAATTTCAAATACATAAAAGCCCTGATCGTGGTTATATTTTTTGTTATTGCAGTCCCAAACCGTCAGCAACCCTGCGTCATCATACTGGCTACGTCACGTGTTGTGACTTCTCACCTTGTGAAACGAAATTGGTTTCAGGCTCAACTGATAAGGTATTTTTTTTTATTTCAGCAGGCTTCTAAAGACATTTTAAGTACATTGGTATTTACAAAAATAGAATAACTTTTTCCATGCAAAGTTTTGCTGGTGTTACTTTCTAAAAATGCTTCTTTGGATGGGCTGTGTCCTCTAGTTAATTTGATGTCTCAACCACAGAATGTTTCAAGACTTATTCTGTTCTTTTTCTCATTACCAAAATTTTCAATAATCCTGAACTCTTCGAAAACTCTTGGAAGAGAAAGCGGTACATGTTTCGAGAAAACCATGCTCTACCTTCTTAGACATCTCTTCGAGAGGGTCAGCTCTTGAGAATGTAGGGAAAACTTGCAAAGTGGGTTTGGAAGGCAATTAGAGCACTCATTTGCAAACTATGGAATAGCCTTTCAGCTGAATCTAGGACGACATCCTCCTCTAGTTTTAATATCTGTTTGGGTTTCAGCTTTTAGTTCTATTGTAATTAATGTATAATTGTGGATAGGTTTCTTTATTATGTTCTTTTAAATCCAAGTTTTTTCATTTTAAACAGTAATTGAGTTTTTATTGGAGGCTAACCCTCCTTAAAAAACTGAAATATGAAGCAACATATATCAAATACGTAAAGCTATTTTGAAAGCCATTGATGGAGAAATTAGAGTCTCAGGGAACCCTGTGATAAGAGTTTATATGCCTTGTTATTGTGAGCGTAGAAACCTTTTGCTATTCAAAGTTTGTATTCTTTGATTTCCTGGCGGTTACGTCAATTTTTCCCCAGTCTATTGTCATATGGGATGTTGTGAACAAAGCACCACTTCATGTGCTGAACGAGTGTCATCGCGATTGGGTAAATGCATGTGCTTGGTCAGATGTTGGAGATTTCGTGGTAAGATTGTTTCTAATGACTCTTCCTCTACAACTTAGATTGCCTACCTTATTAGCTATCTTCCTTTTCCTCGTAATCCAAGTTTAAGGTTTTCCATTTGTTTGAATGCCCAATCGTGTTCTCACGTATAGTATCTAGTATCAACTAAACTTGCTAGGGTGGCGGATGAAGTTTAACCCCAAGGTTAGGAATCTTTAGCCATCTGTATCATCTCATTCAAAGGCTCTAGCGTTTCTTCTACGGGTTGAGAGTCCTTGCTCTGAGATTCAAATGTTGCAGCTGGCACAAGTGCTGCTGGAATATATAGGCCAGCAAGTACTAGAGATACTTGGCAACAGCCTGTTGTATTAGAGACATCATGCTGTTACTAAGGACATGTGACTTTCGTTCAACCTCGGATTGTATATGGAACTCCTTTGCTTCTTGATGTACGTTAAATTAATAACTCGCAATTGAATCTTGAAAGGCTGAAATACTTGTCCAAGTTAGGCCTTTTCTTTGTTTATAAGTCTTGAGATTTGAAGCAAGATTTCCCTTTGAATGAGCTTCAAGTAAGCTTAGAACATCAGTCCAATGTGATGGGGGACAGATTTTTAGTAATGCTAAATCATATATGCTAAATCATCTATTTGATGTTTTCTCAATAAATGTTCTTTGATATATATCATACCAGCTTGAATCAGTTATTCTCATGCTATTTGCAGGTAACAGGCTCAAATGACTTTACTTTGAAATTATGGGATGCCAAAACAGGAACACAAAAATATGAGTTTCTTGGGAACACAAGTGCTGTCAATGATGTTGCATATAAGGTATTTAAATTCTTTTGTTTTGCCCTTTCCTCGCGTAAATATATTGTTTTTGTTTCTGTACCATCTTCTTCTTCCTCTTTTGCGTACTTTTCTAAGCCTTTTTTGTCCGCTCTTTCTTGCTTGTATTGTTTCCATCGTTTTTTGTTCTTTGGCCCCTCTTTTTGTGGCCTCTTTCATTTAATCTTTTTCTCATTTTCCCCGTCGTATTGACTTGTTTACATTTTCACATTCGCCATAGCCTATTCTTATATCTTTCCCGCTTGCAATCCATCCACTTTTTGCTTTTCTATTTCATTTGTATCTCCATGTTTTCCTCATCCTTTTCTTACTCCCTTTCGTCTTTTTTTCTAAAAGTCAATATTTTTCACTCTCCGATCCAAAATACCTCATGGCTGCTATTCCTCTCAAAATTCCTTCTAACGCCCAACAAGAATTTTCGGTTGATCTTAAAAAATCTCCACATATTGGGAGGGGGGGGCCCTTAAAAAATTACGGACCCTCTCCTTCTCAACCAACAGATTTTTATAGTTCAGCTCAATATCATAAAACAAGGAAACTTCCTATACTTTAACATCCTTTGTAGTAATCCAGCATTGTTAAAAGGAGTAAAGTAGGATGATTGAATGCGTCCTTATAAGTTGACAAAAGTGCCCCAAGACTTTTGGCAGTGAGCGTATTTCATCCCGTCTTTCTCTCTTTTTTCCTTAAAGCGCCCGTGCTTTATGTCTAGCTTTGTTAGTGTCTGCATCAACGAAGAATCATGAAATCTGTCCATTTTCAATTATCGTCATTTTGAAGTGACGGAAATCTCTTGACAAGCTAAAAATTCCTCCAATCCCTTATGCTGCTTATCTAAGGTCCTTAGTAGAAGGGGATCTTGATAGTTGGGGGGGGGGGGGTCAGAAATTTTTTCAAAAAATAAATAAGCGGGGGGGGGTCCTAGTAAGTGGGGGGGTTAGAAATGAGAAAAACCTGAAAAATCACATGATGATTCTTTTTTGGGGTTAAAGGAGATTTTCTTCTGAAGACAATCGATAGCAAAATGACAATTATCACCATGTAATAACGTATTTTTGTATTACTAAAATGAGCAGGCTAATTATCATTGTGTACATCAGTCAGGCCTATGTAAATCTTTTTAGGATGTCACTACTTTTCTATGTTAAAACTTTTGTACAATGCAACCTCTTCATTTAAGAGAAACTTTACAGAAATTTCACACCTGCAAGATCAAAGGACAAATGAAATAAGGGATATGAATGACTGCATATAAAAATTAATAAACGGAGGTCCAAAAATAAGCTCCGGGGGGGGGGGGGGGGGTTTCAGAAAAAAATCAAAAAATTAATAAGCGTCCCCCCCTTCTATTAAGGACCTTAGAGTACTTTTGTCAGTTGCTTCAACATGTTTTTCATTGAGTATCTCAATTCTATGAACTGTAATTCCTACAGTTTGGTTGCGTGGTATCTACGTCTTTTGACGGCTCTTTGAAAGTTTGGACTCATAAGGGAGTGGAGATCACCACGCTACAAGCACATAGCGAACGGGCAAATGGGCTTTGCCTGTGGAAACAAGGGGTATGCAACAGTTTTTTCTGAATAGTGATTCATAATATTGTTTTCTTAACAATGACAGTAAATATCAAAACTATAGAAATCCATCGTAGAAACCTGAGCTGTTTCACATGCAGTATAGCTATGACTTCGTGTTGCAGTTGTTCAAAGTCATCACTCAAAGAATCAGATTCGATTTCTTATCTGTATCGAAATGAAATAGAATTTTATACCCGGAAAATTTGTATGTACAAAGAAGCTATATTTGTAAAATTTATCATAGCAAGAGTATTTTCTGAAAAAATATCTACGATCAACCCGCTAAAATCTTGTTATCATTGTTTTGCATTTAAAGTGTAGTGAAAGTTTTAAATCATATTTGATCTTTATGTAAACAGTCGAGGGTGAATTATACATTTGCTGCACCGGCACATTTTGATTTTCAGTTGATAATGATTTACGTTTGAGGTTTGAAAGATAGGCATCTAATGATACGTGGTACATTTTTGGAGTTGTCTCACTTTTTATCGTCCTGTTCAAGCTTTTTGTAGTTGATTGCTTAAACTGTGGCTCGCTCTGTTTCAGGATGAAAGTATTGACCACTGGGAGCTTGATGACACCAGTGAAATGTCGACAAACCAGCTGATCAAAAACAAGCAGCCAAAATTGGAACAGGTAGAAATCGTGACGACAAGTGACGATGGGACTGCAAAGAAATGGAAGCCGTTCGTGGTAAGTGATTCAAAAGAACGTTTACCCTTGTTGTTTAGTTTATTGATCTGTACCTGGGAGGTCCAGCTTTAGAGACCTGACTGTGGGCTGTTTTCATCTACAAGCATTGTTTAAAAACGCCTGTGAAAGACCATTTCGGAGCTACATCATCAAGATAAGACAAAGCAAATTTTAAGGAATAATTTGAAACAAAACAGTAGCTGCAATAAATATCACAAACCTCTTTTTGCCAAAATATTCTTTAAGAGAAGGGGCCTCTTTGGCAGCAAAAAAACTGTATCATCAGATTACGCCATGTTTGTTCGTAGACTTTCATCTTGTCTCGATTTCGTTACAGCCTCATTTCATTGAGAATCTGAATGGTCATACAGATGTAGTATCCAGTGTTGTTGTTAGCCCCAATGGGAATGATGTGTTCAGCGGTAGCTATGACAAGTCAATCAATTGCTGGGACCAGTCGATGGTAATTTTTTGTTAACGTTCAAAAAAGCCAATACACATTCTTCCATAGCTTGTTTTGATACTGATTTGAACAATTTAGATTTAACCTGCAAGAACATGCTTGTTCTTTGATCACAGATGGAAGTACCCAAATTCAAGATGAAATTTTGTTTGTCAACGAAGCTCGTATCTCAATTTGTTTTGTTAAAAAAAAGAAATCGCAGAAAGTTTTATGCAACTGAAATACTCTGATGTAACCATCCAACGTTTTGTAAATAGATGTAGTAAGCTGCCAAAACAGCTGTTTATTGTAACTTGTGGCTGTTTCTACAGACAACGCTCAAGTTTCATTTTCAGTCTGCAACACAGAAAACATGGCATAAAACAGAAATCAATTGCAATATTTTCCTAGGGCCTTCAACTATGTGCTTGAAATGTCTGTTGTCTCAAACTAGTAGATCTGGACAAGTTCCTGCAAGTCTCCTTTTGAATAATCATTTCTCTAGATGCTTCCATGAATTTTTTTTTGCCCTAAAAACCATTAAGATTTTTGTAAAGTATTGTTGATATCTTATCGTAATAACGCTCAAACCTGAATTAATCTATGGTCAGATTCACTGAGTTTTATAAATGCTGCGTTTGGATGTATTGTTTATTATAATTTCATTTTCTTATGATCTAAGAAGTGTAGTTTTTTTTAAATGTCATAATTTTTCCATAGTTCGAAGCTAGAGATCGTACTCACTCAACTGAAGTCAAATGCATTAGAATATCCGAAAGTGGAAAGTATGCTGCATCATGTGGAAGGTAAATCGTTCATATGCATTTAAAATAAAGAAACTGCTTTTGTGCTTAGTTGTATTTTTCATCAGGATTGTAAACGCAAAACTTTTAAAAATGGTATTGTATGGTATGGTATGGTATGGTATGGTATGGTATGGTATGGTATGGTATGGTATGGTATGGTATGATATGGTATGGTATGGTATGGTATGGTATGGTATGGTATGGTATGGTATGGTATGGTATGGTATGGTATGGTATGATGGTATGGTATGGTATGATATGATATGGTATGGTATGGTATGGTATGGTATGGTATGGTATGGTATGGTATGGTATGGTATGGTATGGTATGGTATGGTATGGTATGGTATGGTACGGTATGGTATGATATGGTATGGTATGATGGTATGGTATGGTATGATGGTATGGTATGGTATGGTATGGTATGGTATGATGGTATGGTATTGTATGGTATGGTATGGTATTGTATGGTATGGTATGGTATGATATGGTATGGTATGGTATTGTATGGTATGGTATGGTATGGTATGGTATGGTATGGTATGGTATGGTATGGTATGGTATGGATTGGTATGGTATGGTATGGTATGGTATGGTGTGGTATAGTATGGTATAGTATCGTGTGGTATGGTATGTTATTTTATGGTATGGTATGGTATGTTATTTTATGGTATGATATGGTATTGAATGTATTCTACCATGTGTGGTATATTGATGTATCGTTATTCAATCTGATTCTTTGAGTGATGACTTTGAACAACTTCAACCGAACGTAAGAAGCCGCAGGTCTTTTGAAGTAATTTAAAATTTCCTCATCCAACAGGGATGGCTTTGTCGGTGTTTGGAGCCTCTCTCCCCACAGTCAGCTGTCAACTTTTCAGGCATGTATCTGTTTGTTTCTGATCGCTGATAAATTTTTTGATCATTGAATCTTACAGTTTTGACTACTATCTCCCTATATATATCTGTTTATTCCTCTGGACATAGTGCTGAACGACAAGCACCTTACCACTTTCTTGTTTGTCATGAATTCTGCTATTTGTCATAGGCGAGTACAAAGAGTGTTAATGCTGCGTGTTTCATTAGCGATGAGCGATTTGTCACAGGGGATGACCTTGCTTGCCTCTGTTTTTGGACCCTGAGTGGCCAGTTGGTCGACACGTATGTATTATGAATTCTTAACAAATTAGTACTGATTTTCCAATTAATTGATTTACCTATATACCTAGAATGGTACTGCAGGCTTTGCAGCTGATGTCCCTTATGTGTGCTTTTAACCATTTTGCCAGGAATGTTTTCTATATATCCACGCAATTATCTATTTCATTGGTCCAAAAAAGTACTGTCTAATCCTGAACTTACATTAAGCCGCTTTTTACCATCTTTGGCAGTTGCAATGACTATTTTAAGATTAATGGAATAAAGGAATAGATTTGCGAATATTTCTTCAAGAGAATTTCTATCTAGTGGATTCTCATACAACAATTTTGGTCATGTGCTAGTAATTGAATTGCTGCCTTTTTATTATTTCGTGTAAAAAATTTTAAACACTACAATTAAAGCCTTTCGGTAGAATAGTTGAAAAACTTCGTTTTAAAGACATATTTCAGTGGCGAATGTTTAAAGTAATTGAAAGTTTAATAAAGAGATTTTCTGTCCTTAGGATGGACATTTCATCTGATGGCCACTCGTACCCAATCACTTGTATCAATCGCCAGGGGAATTTACTTGCCATTGCTGCTTACAGCCTTTTTGTAGTTTGTTGGATGGATGACGATGATGCCAGGAAATGGGCGCGTACTTCTATAATGACAGACAATTTGTGAGTTTATCATTCTATGAACTGATTCATTTTGAAAAAATTGATCATTCGCAAGCAAAAAATTAACTCGACCCAGCAGAAATAACTAAGTTTCTTTTTTTCTGCATGTCGGCGTATTTTAAAAAACCATATTTAACTTATTCAATTTAAAAAGAACTTTTCTTGTAGTTTACAGCGTTGGCCTTTCTTGAAATGTAAACGTTCAAATTCAGCTTTTATGTCCGGCCTAAAAATTTTTCAAGACTCATCTAACATTACGTCATTACAGAGTTCGTGTTTAGAATTTTTTACTTTTGGGCGCGTTACCTGAAAACACACCATGATTGTTCGGGAGATGAATCATGCTCGTCTTCCAGACCTGCACTAGCCCCCGTTTTAGAGTCATTGCACATGCTCATTATCATTTGAAGCCCTGACGGGAAGTTCAAGAGGTGTGTGGTCATAGACAGAACAGCTGTGCAAATACGGTTATCCATGCGCATGTGCTATGACCCTGCAACACTGATTGGTTTAAGACAGTATTGTTTCGAAACAAAGGCCTGAGGGTTTCGTCTCCAGAAAAAAATGAATAAAAACTATGACGTCGTCATTTTAATATGCAAAATCAATCAAGTTTGAGTTCAAAACGTTTAGAACCTAGACCAAGTTGTAAATTGAGAATTGGATTTGTATTGTTCATTTCGCCATATCTCAACAAATTTGTAACAAATTTAGCTGATATTTCCCACTTAGGTTATGTGGTCCAAAATAAAAAACTCTAAGAAAACGTTGATGTAACTCTTCCATTGTAAAGAATTGTCGATACATTGTCAGGCCACGTGTTCTTGTTTTTTGACTCTAATAGTGACCCCGTTTTCTTGCCCCAGTTTTTGCTTTGACGGCTTGTGTTTGTTAAACCTTTCATTCTTCCATACCTTTTTTGTCTTTATCATAAGCTTTGCTTTTAATGGTCCTCTGTTGCCTTTACCTATGCATCAGTTCTCTGAATTTTTCTTTAGCATTATTAATCTTCCTTTCTGAATCAGGGGCGGACACTTGGTCAAATATTGGGGAAAGCAAGACGTCACATTTCCCCATTATTTTAGAACAAACGCCCATTGTCTTCCAAAATATTGGGGGGTGTGATCACCCCCTCACCCCCCAAGTGTCTGTCACTGTTACGAATCTTTCTTTTCCAGTACCTTTCGACACTAATCAAGATATTTTGCCGCAGAGTTATTTATCTAGTATATTTTTCTGAAAGATTTCTTGAAATATCTCAGGATACTTTTCCCAATACGAAAATCTTTCCAAAGAAACTCTGTATCTGTGTAGATTCTGACTCTTTTAGAACTATTTCTTAAAAAATGGATTTTCCCATCTTATCTTGAACAACTTTAAGTGGTAATTTGCTAAAATTCTAGTTTTCTAATCTCCACATTGTTTTCTTTGAAGCATTTCCAATGCGCTGAATGAGCCTTGGATAATGGATTTAGAAGTTATGAAAGGTGGAAAGACAGTTTTGGCAGCCATCACAGATGACCATATCTGCAGTCTAAACATTTTCGAAAAGGTTTGTTAATTATTTAAAGCTATAATAATTGTCATCTGTCAATTAATTACCTATTTTTTTGTTTTCTTATCACCTGTGTTGACTATCTTTTCTTTCAGCTACAATCCCGGACAAAATTGGAGACAAAATGCAATTTTCGCAGTTTTCCAATTTACGTTGCTCTTGTATATTCGAAATCTCCTTTTCAGCCCGAATCAATGTTGTTTTTCTCTTTCTTCGTTGTTTTCTATAATTCTAATATTCTAATAATATGTAGAGAAACGTGATTGCTTCATAAGCTGTTGCTATATTTCTGGTAAATCATATATTTTGCATGATATTTCTAACGATTTATCATAACATCGTTTTGTATCAATCACATTTAAATTTGTTGGCTGTTGGATTGCGTTAATTGAAAGGCTTTGATTTAATCCGATAGCATGGACTGGGGTTTTTTTCCTCTAAGACAGGACACTCCATTTGATTTAATCCATAACTTCTTTAAATGATGATGAGCCTTCGTCTTAGTGGGACAGATTACAATTCATTAGAACCCCTATTCACAAATAAAATTTCTTATTTTCCAGAAAAGAAAAGATTCGGCTTGGAAATCTCTCATAGAGGTAGCCTAATTCTCTTAAAGATGCTTTTATGTATTTTAAACTACACAAAACGCTAAAGATTTTATTTATATTGTTTCGCCTATTCTGGACTTTTTCCATTAAATGCAGTATTTCTAATGGTAAAAACTGCTGGCTAGGAGAGTAAGGTCGATTGCCGTTGCTCAGATTTGCAGACGGTTTCAAAACTAAAACTTTTAATTCTATCCTTGCTCACTTTCTAATGTTTTGCTAACTTTAACGTTAGACTGTATTCAAAAGCAAATTTTCTAGGAAAGAAGCATTATCAGTGTAAAGTGGAATTGGGTATATTTGAACTTCAAAGAGGAAATGTATTTTGTGGCAGCCAATGTAACTCTAACTCATTTGTAACTAAGGATGATTATGAATAAAGGGGAGAATGAGACTAGCCAAAAAACATCAAAATTCGTTTGCACTTGCAGATAGCATCGACACTTATTATTTTAAGAACTATCATAGTTGCTTTCAACCCAAATAGCCCAAACAACATAGTATCTTTAGCTATCTATTCAAAGCTCTTTCATAATTACGTCATTTTGCTTCAGGTCTCGCTAGATTCAATCAACAGAGCAGAATCATCCATTCGCTATTCACCTGAAGGTGAACGTCTAGACCTGGAGAAAGATGACAAGATAACCATCTACGCAGCTAGACTGTTTGATTGTTCTGGCAAAGGATGCAAATTATTTGCAACTTCAGAAGGATGTATAGGATTTGTCATTAATCCCGATCTAGAGGAGCCAGTTCTAAAGGTATGGTTCTAAAGGAGCCAGGAGCCAAATCTTTTGCTCACCCATGTGACCTTTTTATAAATTTAAAACTATACACAGTTATGGCTACAATCAATGCGAATTTGGATGTTAGTGTATTTTCTTCATTCAGTACTTTCTTTAGATTTGTATGTCATTTTTTTCTAGGTTAGTAGTTTTATTCCTTTGAAGATTGCAAGGAAGATCGTTTAGAGAAAGTTAGGTTTTTGTCTATTGACATGTAAAGGAGAACATTATTTTTGGACTCAGGGCAAAAAATGTTCCCAAAAGCATGCAAAGCAACATAATTATTTTTTGTCATAAACCACTTGCCTATGAGAACTTAATAGTCCCAATCCATTAGACTGTCGGATGAAAATTCATAATTTCTTTCGCTTATTGGTTCATAACTGTTACTCTTAACTAGGCGTTCAATTTTTTCTGAGATGTCGATATAAAGAGGAAAATTGCGATTGACATTCCTGAAAATGATTAGGACTTCCTTTTCTAGGTACATGAGAGTGCAGTCACGGGTATAGCAATTGTTGACAAATTGTTAATAACTGCATCTTCGGATACCACTATCAAGATATGGGATTTGACTGCTTTGCACGAAATCATAGCCGCAAGTAGTGACGTCACAAGCCCGGCATTCAATCAAAGACTGGTGGAGTTTGTAGAGGCGGGCGGAGTAAAACAGGTACGTTTGACGAAATGTATCCGACCGGAGCCTGTGCTGTGACTATATGAAAAGCTGATTTATTAAGAAAAGCTCACAGTAAACGAGGTCTACGTTTGATAAATTGACGCGAATTCATGACTTTTTGCAAATCATTCGAAAGTCACCTGTTAATGTGACTTCAGCGACCATTTTGCAAACACGACCTTATGCTCAGTAGCCAAGCTTTGCGCATGCTCAGAAATAGGAGCATGACCAGAGCAAATCGATCGGAAAGCCACCGTTACGCTGATTTTTATTCGCTAAATCGTGTGTATTACAATAAAAAAATAATGCCTATTCACTGCCAAGTAATATACTGCAAACTTTGATTTTCGATTTTATTTTTCAGATTGGCTTGTTTTTCTGTCGAGGGCCCATCACGACTCTAGATGCAAAATCAGTTAACGGAGATTGCATCATATTTGCTGGAGACAAGACTGGGAATGTAGAAATGCTGAAATTTTTAAGATAACTACTTTGAAATGTTCATTCCAAAATTACTGATGACAGACTTGGAAACATTAGGAAATAATGTACATTTATGTCACTGCACGTCTTATTAATTTGAATCGTTTGCATAGATTAAACATAATTTATTAACATTGATTTAGGATATGGGCAATAGTATATTATATCGATACTCTAAATTTGCACATTGTTTTGGTCCTAGGGTTAGGATTCGATTGGACAGATTAAACTTGGCATTGTTTCCATAACATAACCAGTAAAGGGGCAATGTATACGACAAAACCCGTTATGTACCAAAGTCTGGTCTGCTCAGATTCTTGCAAAATGGGTTCCATTTGATGTGTAATATGAAGGCTCGTAACATAAAGGAATAAAGCAATTTCAAATTATGTGCTTTTCGTAAAACTAGGTTCATACGCTGGAAGTTTCTGTGATCCAAAATCAAGCAGTTTGTTTAGATTTTTTTTAAATATATCTATAACCCAATAGATTATAATCTATCTATAACCCTCCAGAGTAATAATTTGAAAATTCTATCGGCCTATATACCCTAGATAAACTTTTATAATAATTAGGTTTTATAATCAACAACAGAAATTTGAATTTAACCAGACATATAATGAATCCATTTTTTATTAAAAAATCTTTTGAATTACACTTTGGTTTTTATTTTTATTTTGTGTTTAATTGCACCTGTAGAGCCAAAGACGGAAGTATGAAGAACCTAAATTAGTTTCGATCTTTTGAAAAATCTTGTTTATTCCATTATCCGAGTCAAGAAAACTGGTTTTTGGTACTGGAAAATAGCAGTGGTGAGTTACTTATGTTACCTCTGCTCAAATCGAGTGGATTTCATGTAAGGAACCAATTGGTGGATTCTCATATTTTGCTTCCGTGTCTAAAATTTCAACAAAGTTCATGCTTATCTCACCATTAGAAAAACGAGAAATTTGTATCTTCTAATAATTTAATTGCTTTCTACAAGTAATAGAGACAATTCTTTTTAAGAATATATAAAATTTTATTGCAGCATTTGAACAAATTAAAATCCATACTAAAGTTTATTTACAAAATAACCCTATAAAACACTTCTGAAAATTATTTTGATAAACTCGAAGCTGCTACGCACACACTTCGGCATTGGGCTTATTATGACCTTCTTGCGTCGCGACGTCTGTTTTCTGGTTAACATACTGTATCGACGTTTCCTCAACATGATTGTAAATAGCTTGTGTTTCTTGGTTGTGCTGGCTAGGTGATGAGGTTTCCGTAGCTGCATCACGTTCACGGTATGCAGGCAGTCTGGGGATCTCATATGCAGGAAGTTTAGGCGAATTTTTGTCTTGGTAGGAATGTTGTAGTCTTTCATGCAGTACTCTGTCCATTGAAAGCACAAACAAGCATACAAATAGGACGAACACTGTGAGCAAAAGAACTAAAAGTGTACCTCTGATAAAACTAAAGGTATTGTCGTTTCCATGATTTGTCAAAGAGAAGCCTTCAACTTGCCCATCACTGCACTCAGCCTCATCAATTGCGTCTTCACAGTCTGCAATACCGTCACATTTCCATTCGCAATCAATAAAGTGTCCATTAGAGCACCTGAAGAATCGCCTTTCTCCGATGTAAATGCAATCTTCAGTCGATGTATCAAGATTAATTTGTGCCTGATAGACAGCTTGAAAAGATATCCCATTGGATCTGTAGTTGTCTCTAACAGTTCTGCGAACAATCCTTAGTCCGTTTGTCTCCGTTGCAAGTTCCATTGGCGGAAACATACCGTTGGCTGAAGACCATAGCAGACGAGTTTCGTTAATGTTGAGACCATCGTATATGGCCAATTCTTGCGATTGGCCTGGGATCGAAGGCCCGTTTGCATACTTGAGAAAACGCAATGATATTGAATGGATAGGAGGGACCTCGACTTCCCACTGGCAATTCTGGGTAGATGTTTGGAACGTGGCATAATGCAGAGGCACTGAGATGCTGCCAAACAGCCCGCTCATTTTGCTGCTGCATCGATCAACAAACTCGTAGTTCATTACAATTCTTGGAATCTGGGGCGTCAAATCCGAAGTGAAACTTGGTTGCTTCGTAAAATCGATTGTAATAGCATTTTGTGAGGACACTATGCTTCCAGCTGGCGGATTTTCGTCGCAGAAATCTCCCAGTATCTGCTGATCATCATTATCACCTTCCATGATAGCAAGGTTCTGGAAAATGCAAGAACCTGGAGGCAGAGAAAACTGGGAAAATGATAATTTAATAATTTTGCTAGATCCTGTATTCAGTTTCCAACTGCAGTTTTGGAAGGACGAAGAAAGGTGCAGAGACAAGGGAACCACGATTTGACCCTGCGGCTCTGTTAGCAGCCCGCCACAGTGCGTGTCTTCAAAGAAAGCATCAAATACGACATAATCTCTCTTTGCAGCGAATAACTCAACCTTTAATCTGTTGTACTGTGAAAATATAACACTTCCTGGTTTTAGTTCAAAAAATGTTATGTTGCTTAATTCAGCTGTGGAGTGTCCGTTTAGATATTCCGTTATTACAAGGCTGTCGTTTACATCCAGGCTTATTTCCTTCAAGACCACCGCAATCTTATGGCCAGGTGCCATTTCTATCGTCCATTTGCAGTGTATATAGTTCTCGATTGTCTTGTTGTGTTGCTGTGATGGCGGTAAAGTCATAACGCCGCTCCTTTCTTGTGTGAACTTGTAACCACAATTTTCATGTGCGAAAGCAAAATTCGAAGCATGTGCGAAAGCAAAAATCGCGAGAAGTGCCCGCAAAAGCATTATCGGCTTCGATGTTTTTGGTGACACACGGCTTCAATCGCGAATCGCTTCCTTAAATGTCAACTCCACATTTACTTTGTCCTAGCAATAGATTACAGGATTTCTCGCACAAGCCTTACCTTAATGCTGCGACTTAACATTACATCATGCAACGCAGCGAAGCGTGCAAAAATCACTCGAGTGAATGGCTGCGCAGTGGTCACGCATTACCATGCCATGTTTATTCAAGCCCGAGGCTAGATAAAGCTTTCTGCGGGCTAAAGCCAAAGACTGTAACATGTGTAGTATATAAACCAAACTATAGTATTTTTCCCATCTTGGTCCCCTCCTTACCTCGGACCTGTGCTTATTTTCCTTATGAGTAAATTTATAACGAGTTTATAGGAATAACATAATACCAGTAGCAAAATCGATAATTCAAAACAGATTTTTTACAGTTTCATCGCTTGATTTTGGTATCTCTTGTAGCTTTGTTAGACTCCAAATTGAGTTCAGTGATGACTGGAAACCGCGATCTGCCTTTTCTGCTGTTTGGACCCAAGTAAAATTATCCAAAGAGTAACAGTAATTTATGTCTATATTGGAGCTGGTCAAACTCAAAATGGCTAATATTAAGATTTCAAGTTGAAGGGTAAACCTTGCTAAAAGAGGACAAATTACTGAGGAAAGCTGAACATTTCTGGCATAATGTCATTTTTTATTGAAAATAGCAAACTAACAATAATTTCTGCCGGCTTTTGCGTTCTTTATCCCAAACCAAACGCCGAAACAAACAATGGTAAACTGAGCAGTCCGGCTCATTGGTTTACTGGTAGGTACCGGTAGCCACGGTGGACATTATGACGACCCGGAGATAAAGCTGCCCTTCGCAGAAGACGAAAAAAGATTTTCAAAAGCGCTTTTCCTGGGGAAAAAGGCGTCTTTTAAGCACACTGTTGCTGCATTCATATAACTTTTGCCCTTAAAGAACTCCCTATTAAGTTCGTCATTATATGGTTGGTCTTTGATGCAAATAATATGCTTGTTGAATAAGTCAGTCAGGCATGCGGAGCTCCAAGCCCCAGCATCCCCTTTGCAGGTGAATTACATTGTGAAATGGTGCTATAATTGTATGAAATATAGTATAATATATGTTTAAATGAACTTAAGTATAATGCAAGAAGACATCAACCTTTACTTGAATCACAATTTAACTCAGATTCATTTTTGCACGCTTGCCATCCAACAACTTTAGAATCGTTGGCCATCGCACAAAATAGTGTAACCTGATGAATTTAAATTTAACCGAGTAATTTGGGAGAATTTTCCAATGCGAGGATGGAATATGGGTAGAAAACCCAGGGTGGTTACTAGATTTTGTAATCAAGAGGGGGAGGGGGGAGGGGGGTTCCAAGTCTCATTTGCCGACAATGTTTGTTTACTGTTCTTAATTTGCCGACAGGCTCAAAAATTTGCCGACGAGACACCCCTAAGTGATAAAAAGCTCCTCGTTTTTTAAGGGAATTTTTACCAAGAGGCTCACCTGGGCGCAATAAAGTTTCCGGCGAAATGTTTAAGCGTTTAAGCAAAGGGGTTATTCATATTTATTTTAAACCGATATCGATGGTGCTAAACTGACTTGTTTATGATTAGTTTGATTAATTATTGTTTCATTGCCATTTTTCTTATCGCTTTCTGTTCTTCTGTTGCTATTTTTTATTTTTCAGTTTTTGCTGGTATTTTATTCCTTGAGTTTTGTTGAATCTCAGTCTGCCTTGTTTCCTATATTGTTTTTATTTTTTGGGGGACAAATCTCAGCCTAATGTTTCTTATATGACGACGTTGTTCTTATAAAAATAGCGTGTAAAACACCAAAGGAAATTTTTATTCTTATCATCAACATAATTTTGCAGTTTCTGTTTCTTTTTACTGTTTTCTACTACTATAGGCTTACCTTCAAAACATCGCGTTATTTTCAAAATAACTATAGGTTTGCAATACAGCTGTTAACAATGTTAAGTAACTTGAAGTTAATCAAAACCAATTGAGGTCTCTATACGCAAGCAATATTTTCCAAACTCTTCTATTTCAGTTGAATGGTCAAACCGCAAATACTGAAATATCTAAAAATAAAAATAATCTTTCAATTCTACACAGGTTAATTTGTTTAGTAAATTAAACTACTTGCATTAATCAAAGATCTGTATTTTACATGATAAAAGTGAGTATTTACAAGAGTATGATTTTTAAAATTCACAAAAATAAAAGTTAAAAAATGACAAGAACAAAATTTAAAAGATTCACAAGAATGAAAGTTAAAAATTAACAAGAAAAAAATACAAATGATCACAAGAATAAAAACGATAATTTATATACGGTTAAAAGTTCTGGTTTGTTTCCTTAAATATTTGGTGCCGTAAGATTTGAAGATTCGGTACCACGAAACTACGATATGTGTTATAGTTTACAAATTGGAAAACACTGAAGTACAAACTCTAATCTATTGTAAAAGGTCATTTTATTATTTATCAATTAACAAATTTTCCACATATAGAGTAAGAATAGTCCAAAGCCAAAACAAAGAAATCTCTCTTTAGGGCGACGCATATCAAAAACAGACTATAGTCACTCATAGACAACACCGTCAATCTGATTAAAATGGGCAATGTGAATAAAAAGTAAACCATACTTTCTCCAGTCAAAATATTATTCGCAACGTGTTCATATTGTGGATGTAAATATAACGATTTAAAAAATGCATAAAAAATAGACAGAGAAAAAACCAAGTTCATCGCACATTTTGCCAGTATTATCATCAATAAAAATCACCAGATTGAAGTTGCTTATCCACCCCTGTTTCCGTTTTGCCGATCCCATATTGAAGCTGTTGTCCTCAAACTTTCTGACCGAAGATAGAACCTTCCAAATGCCTATTGCGGTCAGTGGCGTCGCCAGCTCGAAAAAAACTGGAGTGGACAAAAACAAATTTTACTCGGCCACGCCCTTTAGACTCTTGGAAAATCCTTTTTTAGTGTTTCTTTATCTGGCTTTGAATAAATCCGCTTGCCTATTGATAATGTTACCAATGGAGTCCTAAGGTGAAAACGAACTCCTTTTGTCTACACAGTAGCGGTTTTTTCGTGCTTATGTAGATAGATTCCAAAACTGCTAGGTGGAACGACGATCGGGTTTTACCTGGTAATTTTTTTATCTATTTTGAAATATCTGGACAAGGAACTTTCTCAAGCAGCATTTTTCGTAACGGTGGCTTTTTTGCCAGTGCGAAAATCGAAATGAATCTGATCAACCCAACCCCATTCCCCCCCAAAGGTTTCTCAACGGGCTTCAAAAAAATCAGAGAATCGGCTTCTGAGATGGGGTTGACATGTTGACCCCAGTCCACCCCGTGGCAACACCACTGATTGTGGTCAGAAGCCTAGAATTCTAAAAATGTACATCGTAAATCCTCGAATTAGCCCCCTGGGGACTTATAAAATTATTGTAGTCATTAAGAAGACATTATTAAAAGACCTCGTTTATTTTAGGAGAAATTTCTTTATGAGCATTAATTCAATTGTTACCAATGTTATGGATTTTTCTGGTAATTCAATAAAACGCCAAAGGCAACCTCAGATGGCAAAAATCATCGAATTGAGGGGTCCAACTCGAGAACTTGCGGTAGCAGTTGGGGCTCATTCGAGGGGGATCTTTTTTAGGGCAGGAGGCAATTCGAGGATTATAGAAACTTGGATGTGAGGCCATTTCAAAAGAGGCTCTGCATAGAGTTTCATACCAAACACTACCAAACTGTCATGGCGGACAAGTATGTGCTTCTGGCATTCTTCGTGGCCTTACTAACGTGTAAAAGTTTTGCTGACAATGAGGAGGTTGCTGGAGCTAAGAATGAAATAAATGATGCTGCAAAAGACTTTGAAAAACGATTTTCAGGTTCGTTATTAACTCATTTTTTCCTTCTGCTGCTCACTTCCCGAATCAATTTCCATGTCTCTGTCTGTGTGTGGTGCCAAGATGTCCTTCTTTTAGTTCCAACTGTTCCTTCATTTCTCTTCATTTTAGCCAAAAATCGGTTATAGATTTGGAATCTTCATTTTTAAATTAGTCCGTTACCGAAATGGTGTTTGGACGGTCCAAGGCTGCGAATTAAATTACGCCGTTTCCAAAATTTAGCTTTACATCAACTGCTATCCACCGGACATCGCTGCTGCAATGGAAAAAATCACTTTTAAAATAGTTTAGTGGAAAGTTAGATGAAAATCGATGACGTACGTCCGAATCCAAAAGACTCCATGAATATATACAAAAGGGTTTCCGACTTATTCAATATCGTTGAAAGAAAATTTTTAGTGATTCTAGCATTGATTAATGTTAAATGATCGTGTAGACGAAAAGTCACGTGGGTCGTTAGATGTCGATCTTGAGCAGATTTGGTTATCACAAGAATAAGACATATGCAGCTTATAAGCATTAATATAATATTGCTTAAAACCCCCAAAAACAGAGCAGGGGTGAGAGCTACCCTATAAAGATCAAGAACTTAAGTGACCATTAATACTGAGCCAGATAGATTTTAAGCATGTAGGCGCTGATATGGCTCTAGAACCCAGGTGGCAAAGCCCCTAGCTTTACAAGGAATGGATTGAGCAGGGGGAATGCCATAAGAAATATTCAAAGGGTATGATTCCAGCTGCTTAATATATTATTCCTAACCACCAGGTACAAGTAGCCTCTTCTTCCAACTGTCCTTTACATGGTGAAAACTCTTTTTACTTGAATTGGGGACAAGATGTGTCTCAATTTCAGCAGGAAAATATAAATTTTTTTCTACTTCAGCTGCCCTTGGCTTCTAGTTGGCTTATTTTAACTAACAAATTGTTGAAAATTTTTATTACATGTCTGTGACTAATAAGATGATATTTTAGTTTTGGTGCAAAGTTGAATTTTTGTTTCCACATAATAAAAGCTTTGGATATTTATTCATTAATTGTAACAGTTTTAAATAGCAACTTAATTTGACAATTAAACCCATAACCATGATTATTGTCATATAATTTCTCAGTTCCGCAGTATGACTTATTCCTTATACATCACAAAGTCATTGCTCTTTTATTCTGTTAGATGAAATACAAAAGAAAAAGGAGCAGCTAGAATCATTCATAAATGAAACAAGTTTTCTTGATGGATTGAATCTGACACTAGGTCAAGAAGAAACGGATACACAGTTCAATGAAACTGAACAGACGGAGGAAGCAACTAAAGAAAAAGCACGGTGGAACTGTAATTTGATGTCCCTGTTTTCTTCTCAGGAGGAACAAAAAGTTGTTTTAGTAAAGAATGACACACAGCTATCAGATGTCATTGCAAAGTCAAATGAAAGTCAAAGTTGCTTTTTGTTGTATTTTTATGTTGGTTGGTGTGAGTTTTGTGCAGATTTTGCTGCAGAGATAAATACTGTTGGAAGAGTTTACTTTGGTTTACCTGTATTGGCAGTTGAATCATATTATTTGTCAAGGTATTTCTTTCTTCTATTATTTGTATATGTATGTTATGTTATTGTTCCTTAGTCTCAGCGATAATCTTAAAAGGATGAAAGGGTCTTAGCAAAAGCCTCAACAGACAGAAAATTACTAATTGGAAGATTATTTAAATTGACAGGAGAAAAAGTACAACATTTTAATCTAAGTCAGCTCTCAGCAATATGGACCTAAATGCAGAGCGTGGATGAAGCACTAAAATTTGGCTTGTTTATCTTGAACTTGTTATCTTTTATGGTTGCTGCAAAAATGAGCAAAGCTTACTATTCAAACCTGCACACTTCTTGATCATTCAGTTAGCCAGGCATTCAATACTTTACTTTTTCCACACCTCATATTTCCTTACCAAGGATTCTTCCTCTGTGTTTGTAAAAGCATTTCTATCCAGAAAATTTCTAAAAAAGTCTAGAATTAAGTCTACCCCATACCCTCTATAAATTGATGCATAGCCCCTTGGGAAAAATCATGGCTGCCATTTAAATCCTGCTTGTGGTGGACCTTAAGGGAAGAATCTCCATAGGTTTTACACAGGCCTTTCCTGGAGATGCCGGCTATAGCCCCCACTCGTGCAAAATAGATTTGCGGGGGCTTTTTTCTGCCCGTGCAGTTCTTCAAACCATTATTCTCATTTTATCTACACAGTTTAGCTCCCCAATGTTTGTTCTACTCACCGCTAAATATCAGGGTGTTAGTGAATAAAGAGAAAGAGGTCTTAAAGGCAATCTGCCTCGTTGTGGACTAATTAACAAGAACAATATCTGGAACAATAGCCTAAACACAATTCCAGTGCTCCGCCATATTTTTTACAATGTGATAAATTAAAGGGTGTTATGGTCTCTCCTTGCATAAAGACTTTTTGCGTTGAGCATGAATTGAATAGCGATTCATTGGAATTGTGTGCATTTTGAACCCCCTTTTGTTGTTTGGACAATAGAATTTAAGGTGAAAATCAAGGTAAATAGTATTTAAAGAATTATCATTGTAATGTATTTTTGCCTTTGTAAATACTCAAATATAAAAAAATTAACAACAGTTCTAAATAGCCCATGCAGCCAAACTTGCAAGGGCTTCTTATAGGTTGTGTTGTTTTTTTTTCTGGAGAGACCTGCACACAGTTTGGTAAAATGTGAGCTTACAAATATAGTTATTTTCAGATTTTGTTTTTATCTTGCAACAATGCAATTTTTGCTTTTTCTTTGTCAAGTCTGATACCTGGTTTGTAAAGCAATTACTGACAAAAACACAAGGCCACAAGTTACCTCAAACATTTTTTGAAGACCCACTCTGAACATATTTTTTTGAAAATCTGCAATAACCATAAAATGTTTGTTTTACAGTTATAAATTTAAAACTGAGAGATCCATTTAAGTTCTGGCTAAGTGGCTTTTGTGACTTTTTTTACATAATTTTTTTCTCAGTATTGCTGGCAAGTTTGGAGTAACTGGTGTTCCAACATTAATTCTTTTCTACAATGGTCGTCCAGTTGCTAAGTTCAACAGAACAAGATCGTTACAAGGATTAGAAGATTTCATCAGCCATACAACTGGTATGTCTTAGCAAAATTTCCCATTTATATTTCTCTACTGAACAAGCTACTTTTCATGTATTGAAAATGGTACGTTTATGTCAGACAATTTGCTTGTGTTTATGGCTTTATATGTGGGTGAATTCACTACCAGGAGAAAAGTAAGATTTACTCCCAATCTGATTGATGTACATCAAGCAGAGCTTTTTGGTTTCTGGTTTGGGAGGTCTGGTCTTAGTCCATAGAGCATTGGTTGATACTATGACAGAAAATGATTTTCAGATTTGTGAAAAGAAATAAAAATATTTTGCAAACAAGGCAATTTGGCTTTAAGCAGCCAAATGAAATCTAATAATAAATGTTTACGAATAGCATTATAACAATGATTCTAACAAACCTACCTCAGCCAACTAAAGTCCCAGTACAAGAGAAGTTGTACCTATGCCTGCGCAATTTTAATCATACAAACAATTTTTAGGGTTTTTTTAGAACATGCGCCTCAATGTACAGACTAGGCATCATGTTGACTTGTGCCAAGTCAAGTCTCATTATGGTATAAATGAGAGCTTTCGGGCATCACTGTAAACTTTTTAGTAATGAGTAAAAAGAAGCATTGGATGTGCATTCACTTTTTATCGTTCTGCCATTTAAATGTGTAACCTTGGAACATTCCCATAGAAACATCTGATCCACTGTCTATCTGTTTAGATCTCAGTGAAGTACATCGTGTATGCACTGTTTAGGATGCATGACCCAGCCCCTTTCAAAAGGCTGCATAATGTTCGTCAAAAAAGTTTTCCAAATCTCTTTCACATCAAAATTTCCATCTCATCAGGCTAAGAATTTTTCCAATTTCCTTTCACATCAAAATTTCCATCTCATCAGGCTAAGAATGTTTCCAATTTCCTTTCACATCAAAATTTCCATCTCATCAGGCTAAGAATGTTTCCAATTTCCTTTCACATCAAAATTTCCATTTCATCAGGCTAAGAATGTTTCCAATTTCCTTTCACATCAAAATTTCCATTTCATCAGGCTAAGAATGTTTCCAATTTCCTTTCACATCAAAATTTCCATCTCATCAAGGCTAAGAATGTTTCCAATTTCCTTTCACATCAAAATTTCCATTTCATCAGGCTAAGAATGTTTCAATTTCCTTTCACATCGAAATTTCCATTTCATCAGGCTAAGAATGTTTCCAATTTCCTTTCACATCAAAATTTCCATCTCATCAAGCTAAGAATGTTTCCAATTTCCTTTCACATCAAAATTTCCATTTCATCAGGGTTAGAATGTTTCCAATTTTCTTTCACATCAAAATTTCCAACTCATCAGGCTAAGAATGTTTCCAATTCCCTTTCACATCAAAATTTCCATTTCATCAAGTTAAGAATGTTTCCAATTTCCTTTCACATCAAAATTTCCATCTCATCAAGCTAAGAATGTTTCCAATTTCCTTTCACATCAAAATTTCCATTTCATCAGGCTAAGAATGTTTCCAATTTCCTTTCACATCAAAATTTCCATTTCATCAGGCTAAGAATGTTTCCAATTTCCTTTCACATCAAAATTTCCATTTCATCATCTAAGGCTTCTTTTCACATCAGGCTAAGGATATTTCAAATTCCTTTTTCAAATTTTCATCTTTTCAGGCTAAGAATGTTTCTAATTTCTTTTCACATTGATATTTATTGTATATAGGAGCAAGTAAAAATATTAGTATTTGGGTAAATAATTATTGCTGCAAGCATTTTAAGTATTCTCATTATTTTCATTTCTAGGTTTATCTTCAAATATATCCATGCGTACTGATGACAAAGACTTTGAAGGGCCTCTTCCCACTAAAATTAGATGAGCAAGGTGACATTTATCTTACCTTGTCATTCATTTCAATTGTTGTAATTGCTATTACCAGTTGGTGTTTAACTGAACAAGCCCAGTCCATAATCAAAATGCTTTGTAATAGGTTCAAGTGTTGGGCTTTACATGAGAAAACTGACTAATTTAATCCTGTAATGCTAATAGTAGATGCAGTTATTTATTAAGAAATTGAAAAGTGTATAAATATACCTTTAAAACATGGCTGTTCATAAAATTTCATGGTTATGTTGTAAGTTTAGTGATGGTAACAAAGGTTCACCAAGATTTGTTACATAATTATATGCCTGATGTGCATTTAGATACATTTTCAATCACTTTTTCACTTATCAAACAATATACAATGATACATTTGATAATTTTTTTTAAAAAAGTGAAAGTCATGAGCCACCGTGGCTTCTTTTTCTTTTCTGTCCAATGTTTCAGTTTTTACCCTCATTGCATTCTCCAATATAATTTTTTGCGTTAGACATCTTATTTAGAAAATTTTGATCATTATACCAATCAAAAATTTGATTTATTGAGACTGATGAAAATTTATAACTGGTAAACAATAATGCCATGAAAGATAACGATTCCTTTTGTTCAGTCAAGCATGATTTAAGAAACCATAATCCTTTCTACCCTTTTTGTTCTTTGTTAACAGCCCTAGCTCTAACAAGTTTTTAAGACCATACTAAGTAACTTGGCATTGGGTTATGCTCAAGAGCATTGAATCCAAGTGCTAGTTTTCAAAGCCATGTAATTGTATGGTTTGCTTAAATGTAAAATTTTAATTGTGACATGTAAATTTTTATATTATAAATATCTCCACTTTAAATCTTATTGCTATAATTTCTAAGTTTCGTGTATATGTTTAAATTCATTTTCTCGTTATTATGTAAGAACCAGCCACCTTCACCAGTTTTATTTGAACTTTTGTTTTGGCTACTTGTACCTGGTGGTTAGGCATAATATATAAAGCAGCTGGAATTATACCCTTCGAATATTTTTTATGGCATCCCCCCCTGTTCAATCCATTTCTTGTAAAGCTAGGGGCTTTGCCACCTGGGTTCTAGAGCCATATCAGCGTCTACATGCTTAGAATCAATCTGGCTCAGTATTAATGGTCACTTAAGTTCTTGATCTTTATAGGGTAGCTCTCTCCACTGCTCTGTTTCTTTGGGGTTTTAAGCAATATTATATTAATGCTTAAAGACGCATATGTCTTCTTCTTGTGATAACCGAATCTGCTCAAGATCGACTTTTCGTCTACGTGATTAACATTAATCATGCTAGGATCACTAAAAAATTTCTTTCAACGATATTGAATAAGTAGGAGATCATTTTATAGATATTCTTAGAGTCATCTTTATTAATCAAATTCCTCGAATTAAGTGTACTATGCATTCCACACACTATGCTAGAAAGAATAGCTTTACTAACCAGAGGCACTGTAAAGACTCACTAGAGTGTTAAAATATATGTGTAAGGTTTACAATATATGTATATAAGGGACACTGTGACCTTCTTGTAGCCTTTGGGTACAGAGCTGCTGTTTGTTACTGGGGAGGAGGTGTCAGTTGACTTAAGGTCTCATCTATAGAGCTTTAGTCCGGTGAAAATATTCATTGGTATCATTTCGCTGTTAGGAAGTGTCTGTTGATTATAGTTTCAGATGAAGAGGTACTAGGTGAATACTTTCAAAGGGTTTAACTCGCCTAGTCTGCTTTGACATCATGCTGCATTTGAATGGCTTTATTGTTTTTGTTTTTCGCAATTGTTTGGTGTATAATGGCGTAGCCTTGTAGAAGCTGGTTCCGTAAAGATAAACGAGCCTTCGTTAAAGAATTTCAACGTGGAAGACTGCTGATTGACCCACTTGAAAGGTTTCATGCCCGTCTCCTGCTTTTCCACGTGATAAAGACCAGGAATCTGATTGGTTAGTATAGTATCAATCAGCGATTACCAAGACCAGAATAAGAATTCCTTTAAATTTCAGCATTGATTTCGACTTTTTCTTTGTGACGCCGTTTACGGTCAAACATGGTTTTACTTAAAACTCGAGAATATACGGCATTAACCTGAGCTGCATTTGATAATCACCCGAATAAACCAAAACGTTCTTGATGGGTTTATTTTAACTTGAATGTCTTAATGGGTCTTTATTACTTGGTATCTCATGGTGAATGTTTCTCAATCCATATGTCTGTATGGGTTTGTTTTCAGTCTACCGCTATAGTTTTTCCTAAACACTGAGATCATCGATTTGAGTTCAGTAATTGGATGTTTGTCAATAATTTAGCAGAGAAAGAAAGTTTTATAATTTCTCATGAATGTATTCATCTTTAGGTTTAATCTGAGCCTAACCATGCTAATGAAACTCAAAAGTTCATTACGAATAATTCTGCAACTAGACCCATCTTTAAAATGAATCGCAGAAGGTACATATACCATTTCTCTCCAGTATCATTTGTAATATAGACGAGTAAGGCAAAGTTGTTTGGTGTTAATCTTCATTCTTTCTTGATCAGTTTTTCTCAACAACTAGCTGATCTTCTCTTAGAGTATTTTCCGTACGGCTTTGAACCTCAGGCACTATTAAATCGCTTTTTTCACTTAACCTGTCTCTTCCTCATTGCATATTGTATATCAATGAGAAATAAAAATGTCTTCAAAATGCAGGCTTGTTTGACTGCAAGTCACGTTTCCTATGCCGATCGCTTCCCATTTCTATATAACCGTTACCAAATTTTTGTTGCAGAATGGCTTTCAATGCATCGATTGAACATAGACTGCACTTAGAATTGTTTACCTAAACTTATTTTAAATTTCATGTAACTTTGTACCATTTTTGAGACCAAATTTCATTTCGTTACCCATCTTCTCCGTAACCCATCTTCTCCATCATTTCGGTAACTCATTTCGTTACCCATCTTCTCCTGCGAAGTAGATCTCTGCTCTATTCAGAGGCATTAGTTAATGCTACCATGCAAATTCAAGATAGCTTGTTGATCTTCGCTGAATTTTCACCTGATAATTTTTATCCTCCTTTGCCATTCAAGGATGTTCCATCTACGCGATCTGCCTTTTTGAAAGGAAAGCTTCTAAAATTTAGATTATTGTTGGCGAATAAGTATTTCCTTTTTAGAACATTCTGCTAGCGTAATGCACGGTGAACGAAGATGCTCGAAGATGTTGGGCTTTCTTGTGCGTTTGTGTCTTTCTGATACAGGAGCAACCGTTGATAGATCAGGTATTTTGGGTTCTGGAGAGAGAAAATGGGTGAAAAGAATTGCTCTTCTATCTTCCGTGAAAAGAAGATGCTTTGTTTTCGATTCCTGTCCAATTCAATCTCCATTAATTTTGGTTAAATGTATTTCTATAGCATTGTGACTTTATGCCCTTGTTCATAAAAACGATGAAAATGCTGAAACGTCTGGAAGTGGCTCGAAAATTTACCTTAAAACTGTATGCCTACGCCGGTAATAATGCGCTTTAGTACTAGTTTTGTTGACGAATCCAAGTACTGGAAGCTTAAATCATTTCATTTTCTTCCGTGAACATATTTACTTTGACCTTCAGTGGTGAAAAGCTCAGAAGTGTTTGGCAATCAAATTTGTTATCATATTGAATGTAGTTTCTGGAAGAGTGACCGTAAAAACTCATCATAGTGAAAATTAGATCTCAAAGCTTAATGAGCAAGGAAATGCAATAGATGAAGTTATTAGTATATCGCTTCGCCTAGTCGGTTTCATCATTTAATTAAGTAGTTAAAGCTCGAAGTCGAATGAAGAAGTGCGACAAAAAATTGTATTTGTTTTGTTAGAAGCATGGTTATCAGCTGTATTTGTCTATTATTTTAAATAATTAATAGTTAGTATATAGAAATCATGCAGTTGTCAGACATAACTGCCATGAGTAAGTCTGCGGCCATGCATTATGATTGTCTTATCTGCATTTTAAAATTTGCTTTATCGTTGAGACCCTCTTTGTAGAATTACTGTAAATATATGTCGATATGAAATGATCTCTTCATCTTTACATATAGACCATTCCACAGCAAATTACCAACTAAAAATGGATGAGTAAAGTATTCAGATATTACAATACATTGTGTTTTTCCTAATTTGCTCAAATTAAACTGACCACAAAAACTAGATAAAACCAATCTCTGATGCAACAACCATGCCTGTTACATGCCACTGCATAAGGCAGAAATACTCACAATGCAGGGATAATAAGTGCTAAAACATGGTTATTCTAAGTTGCTTCTCCGAGATACACACTTAATGCGATCATCAGGCTAAAATAAGTAAACTAAGGGACAAAATTTGATTTCATAACGAACATTGGCAGATTTTAAGTTTCCAGATTCTTTTTCAAATTACATTATGCGGAGAGGGTTTCTTGATGCATTAATGAAAAAAATTTATATGCTTGCTCATTTCTGCGTCATATGGTTGGATTTACAATATGTGGGATTTCATGGCACGAATTGGTTTTGGGATTTTGTTGTAGAAGACATTCATGTTCACTAAAAGTTTATTGGGGAAGCTCCTTGTTTTTTACGAATGTTATATAATTATAGATGTGATTACAATATATTCTTAACTCTGTCTTAGACCTACAAGCCTGTGCACGCTGCCAAGACAAATCATAAACACATACCAGCTAGTATGCTTTTTTTGTCCAACATCTACCCCAGGGACCGTGGAAGCAGGGGGCTGAGGGGGCATTAGTCTCCTAAATAATTTTCAAAATGTACTTAAAACCATACAAAAAGTTGCCTTGCTTTTGGTTTTCAGCATGTTCAGCCCCTCAAAACGTTTTGGCCCCCCTCACTCTGTAAGATGCTCTGCGTCCCTTGTCCCCCTCACTCCTCAAGCTCAGTTGGTACATGTGTACTGTTGATAGTAGAGATGTCAATACTAAAATGGGAGCACGCAATGCAGAATCTTATCACTGTCTGTTCTGGGCTTTAGATATGCACAGAAAAAATCATTATGCGTGTGGCGATTTTGATTTTGCAAAAGAATTGTGCCGCCAGTAAATGGATTTTTCCGAGGGGCAATCACTCCAAAAAATATCGTACATCTTTGGTGGAAAACCTATTGTTTTATCTGGAAATCCCCAAAAATCCTTTTGTTTTAGAGAAAATCTCGTACGCTATTTGAAAGAGTGAATTGCCCCTCGGATTTTTCTTGCCCTCTGTGAATTAACCATATTAGCCAGCAAATCCAATGCATACAGTATCAATATTCTTTCTGGTAACATTCTGTATAACAACAGCTTTGGAAAGCATTAACCGTGAGTCCTTTATTCCAACCACATACTAACACATCTGGATCGCGTATTTTGATCACGGGTATCATGATATCGCGGATTCATCTTAATGCTGAACACGTCTTAATTTTTAGACAAGCAAATCTTTGTGCACCATATCGACATTTGTCTGTGTTTTTTATCATATACGGTGATAAAAAAGAATTTCATTTGATAAGGGCTCAAAGCATTGGGAATATTTGGGTGATTGGCTAAATGAGTCTGCCCATCAAAGCCAGCCACATTTAAATAGCTTTGTGACTGAAGGAGGAACGCCATTGCAAAATGCATTATTGAGGCATTTCTTTGTCATTAATAGGAAAACGGAGAAAGGCTTTTTCATTCTCTTTTCTCTCACGAAACTACATTAAATTGTGCTTTATACAATAGTTGTCCAGTGATTCCAATGGTGTTCGTTAACTTCCATTGATTTCCAGAGAACGCACGAAGACTGGATTTTTTTCAGCTAGTTTGTGAGTATGTTTTTCACTTTGAATGGATGAAGAAAACCAAGCCATTCACGCGTGATTTGCCATTCTGTTTACCACGCGCTTTAACGAAAGAAACAGTCTATGCTGATTGTATTAGAAATTTGCGTAACTGTGTGATAAATATGCCGCGTTTGTGCGATTTCTTATTCATTAATCGCATAAAAAACTTACAGCGTTAGGTTCCAGAATAATGCAATTTTCCTAGCTGGGATTGTAGTTTAGGAGTTCATGATTGCCTGTTGCTTTCTTGGAAGGACGTGTTGTCATATATCAGCGCACTGTGCGATGTATAACATGAATAATTATATATTTTAGTTCGTTCCAGTATGGTGGGGTGTTACGAAAGACTCCTTTACAAATATGACATTAATAGGTAAGGCTGCTGCATCAGGCTCTGTTTTTGCATTTCTGTTTTAGACTCACACTACTCTAGTTCAATTTAATCTTCTAATTCTATTTGACAGATTCAATGGCTCGGCGTACTTAAATTTTGCTTTTTTTATCTGTTACAAACAGCAAATTGGACTTAACTGTGTATTTGATTTCTATTACCTACTGTTTATTTGTCTATCATATGCCCAACCAAACCCATTCTCTTTACTTCTCTTTAAAACAGGGTATACATTCATTCATACCTTCCCTTATTCAATGGAATATTTTCACAGTTTTTTCATACTTTTGTTGCTAAAGCTCAACGTAATTAGCTGTTTATGGCATCAATCTCACAGAACACAGCTTCAATTGAGTGAAAAGTTCTAATTGGAGTTCAATTATGGTGTCATCAACATATAAGTCTTACATATGCTTTGTGATGATTCTCATTATTAAAGTGGTTGCCGGCTTCCAAAATTTGATCAAAGTACCACATGATTGCTTTAGTATATGCATGTAACTTGTTAAGTGTATGATAAAGAGAAACTTTTCCCAATGTGAGCAAAATTACTTTTAAGTTGTGTGTAATGACCCTACAAAAACCCAGAAACTTTAATATGCCTCTTGTATGTCTAGACTTATTATGTTTTGTCAGAGACACCTCCAGTACCTTCATATTTCAAGCCGATGAATTTGTCTAAATACATTTCTACGTGGTCTAAATACTTTCTAATTACAACCCAGGGTCAGTCACAGGTTTCTCATTGCCATGTTGACGGTGGAAATAACGAAAGGGAATGGCCGTACTTATATTTGAAATTGTCTTCGTGTGGATGGGACCTTATCAAACGGAATGTAGGCGTCTCCGGTTTTAGCGATAATGTGAAAATCCCTTTTCATTATTATTCATCAACAAGTCAAGAACATTGCACGTCTTATTGATTTGCCTTTCATTTATGAATAGAGGTTTTTGAATGGTGCATTATGCTTTTATCAACATTTTTATCTCCTGTGATGATTTTAGCCATGTAAATTCTTTATGCACACTTAGCCGTATGTTCGCTGACACTGAAAAGAGATAAAACGCACTAAAAAGCTTTTCGTTGTTTCAGTTTCCATTTAATTACAATACCAAACGGCGCGCTTTAATAAATCCTGTAGTCAGTTATGGGAGTTTTCCCTTGTATATGGCTTTTCTATTCTTTTTGTATATTCTTAAAAGATAGTTTAGAATGATGCTCATAGCTTTTATTTAAAAGGATTTTTTGTTGGATTTTGGATTGATCCTGCTTAGCTTAGCCAACAGCAGTTTTGATGCACCAAGCATACCTTGAATGCTCAGGCTAGAAAGACCATAAAGTATATGGGTGATTTATTCACATTTATTTCCCAGTTAACGTGGCACAGCTCTGCCACTGACCTACAGCTGCCCGTAAAAGGATTATGTAATGGACAAAAATGTTTTTCATTTTGAGGTGCCAAAATACAGAAAAGCCTCCCAACCGAATGTAAACAAGCGACAACTTTTCATATGAATTTTGCACTTTTGATTAAAATTGTATTAAGTAATATGTTATCCTTTTAATTTTGTTTTGTAATTTTGTATTAGTTGAAGTTTTATTCTTTGTATTAATTTATTGTAATTTTGTAACTTGGTAACTCCAGTGTCTCTTACAAATCAGCAACGCTAAAGGGCAACCCTCCCTATATATTTAAAATCAAACCAATAGAATCAATTGAATTTGTAACAATTCATGTTTGCTGTTTATAAATGATGTTGTGTTAAACTTGCAGCTACCACATTTACAGTTTTCCTAATGAGCATCAATAGGGCTTGTATGTTGACGACATCATTACTATTTTGACTCAATTGAAACTGTATTTTGCGAAACTTTCATTAAATTGAATAGGAAGATTTATACAGCTGTTAAACTTCCAGTACATTATTTTGTTGCCTAATTGATTACATTTTGTAAAATAATTTTTCGCAGGTGAAGAATAGCAAATTATATTTTGATTCATAATTTGTGTTCTATAGAAACTTACATTAACCTATTAGAAACCAAGAATAGCTCGACTACAAAGTATGTGTTCTAAAGAAAACAATCCTTGTTTTATCAGCTTAAAAACTTCACGAAATTGACTGTTTGCAAGTCCTTTGAAATTTTCTCTGCCTACCCAAAATATGTTTCGAAGGAAGATTCTTTTAAGCTATAACATCGACATCCACTATTCCAAATTTATCATCCCTAAATAATTAATTATTTGCTTGATTTAAGATTTTTCTACACATTGGGAAGCAACAGGCATCAAAGCACCTGACTACTTTTGAGAAGTGATAAAGCATCTCAATATGCCGGTATTTAGAGGGACTGTTTCTCACAGGTATGGGTATTTTGCTCTCACTGTTTCGAAGTCTTCAGCTTAGCGATTTGTTTAACATGGCTTAGAAAGCTCTAGAAATGTTTGCTATTTGCAAAATGTCGACTAAAAAAGTGTAGTATTGTGGTGTGAATTAGATGCACAAACATAAGAGGCGTTTTGATCAAAGTGCCTCTACGAAAATCTACGAAACAAATGAAAACTTTTTTTGTAAATACGAGCAATTTTTGGTTTTAAGAGGAATGTGACCACATTAATGAAGTCACGTATATGATGTTTCTTTATAGAGAGGCTACCATTACTTGATCTATACTGACAAATTTAAGTTTAATAAACACTTTTGGCGATTAAACCTTTATTTTCCTGTATAGTGGAAAACTGATGAATGTCATACTTATCGACTTGTGAAATGAGTTGATTCTGGTTCTGAAATATTTTGAAAATGTCTTCAAAGTTGGATTTAAGTGTGCCTCTTGAATATTTTTAGGTCAGCCAATATTGATGATAAAATAATTGCATTTATAACAATGTCAAAACCGTTTTGTGCTTCCAGCTAACTAAGAGATTAGGTTTTTGTCACTGATATCACTGACCGGGTTAATGACTTGCTTATGTTCCTTAATTAATGAAAACATATGAAACACCTCAGCTTCTACCATATTTAAAAACATTGTTTTGCATGTTGTCTCAGCAAAATTACTTATCACCATTATCAACCAGAATTTATTGTAATACTTGATAATTTAGACTTAGTTATCTTGTCAGGTGGTAAAATAGCCCCTTTTCTGAAATGCAGATATCTTAAGGGGCGAATTAAGATATTGAGACATCAGTTTTTGAGAGATCATGAAGTCCCGTTTTTTAATTGTTTTCATCCCGACTGATGTCTCAATATTTTAAGTTAGTTTTCATAAAGCCAAGCGCCTGGAGAAGCTTTAGTTTCAACGTATAGTAAGTTCAAAATTGTCAAGCATCAGTCAAATTTTTCTGTCCTATCAAGCTGCACTTACTCGAACGCAAATTACGTTTGACATCATCTAAACACCTTACTAATTTGTCATTATAAGCAAGAAAACATTTTCAAAACTATAGCAAATAGCAGTTTTGCGTTTTTTTAAATATACGGTATGAATAAGTAATATTAATCAATAAATGAATAATCACTGAATAGTACTAATTGTTTTCTTTTAAAAAGTAAATGAAATTTTTTCTTTAGAATTAATTTTTTATAAGACTGTCATATTGAAATCCGACCTGTTCCACCTCATTCTGCATGGCATGCAGCTGCATTTCTGCTGGTTTCTTGTTGATCAGAAGTGATGTTTGTCATAGTTTGTTGCTTAAAAAGACAATAGTATAAAGATTTTTCACTTACAGTCGAATCTCTTTAAGTTGTACCCTGGATAGCTCAGGCTGTCACTAAGTCAGACTGACTTTCTTTTTCTATTGGGTCTTTCTACCTTATTCAAGTCAAAGTCATACAACGGACAAGCCGGATGTTCGCCAAGTATGACCGTTTTTATTACCCCTTGACGGTTTGACTTAACGGGATTCGACTGTATATCTCTTTCTTATATCTAAAACACACCTTTGCTCAAAATATTCTCTGCTATCTAATTAAAGAGTGTCGTAAAACTGGTACTACACCCCTTTGTAACAAGCTCGGCGAGCCTGTCTTCACGGGAGATAGCAGGTAAATATGGCAGGGGACGCAAAATTTGTCTCGGACTAGCAGGGGATGGGAAGTTGTGCCGAGGATGGAGCTCAACACTGACTGGGACAAAAATCTCAGCTTTGTCGGGAACATTGGTAACGAACAAATGCTTGAGTCATTCAATTTTTTGAAAATGGACTCCCCGGTTGGGAAATTTTCACCGGCGATGGTTTTTGCCGGGTTTGTCACATAGGGATGTGGTTTTATCTCTGTAAGTCGGTAAAAAGGGGGATCTGAATAGATGACTGGTATGGATTAGACACTGAAGATGTAAGGCAAACAGTTGATGGTATCATAACTTTTCTGCGATTGTTACAAGCAAAAAAGAATTCAGTATAGAGACTGAAGGCATTAGCTTAGAAATTTTTATGTAAATATGCAAACACACATTTTTGGGAAAGAGTGATGAACAGTTTTATTTCTTTCATAAGTTAATTCTCCCCCCTCCCCCCCCCCCTGTAACTTAATGGTTAACCTAGAAAATTATGATAAAAAACTTTTGTATTGATATGATGACGATATTAGTAACGAGGGTAGACGTAGTTTCAACTACTGCATTTTTCATCATCCCCCTTTCATCATCCACCTAGCCTTAATGCTAAAAGCCTTGAACATGTGCAATAGAAAACTAGCAGCTAGAAGCTCAACTGAATGAGATGAGATGCAGCTTATAAAATATGCTTGTTAAGTATCTTCTCCTTTCAGTTTTTCATGATGTTGATCTCGCTATTTGCTTACGTTGTTTACATAATTCAGCAGCCAGCGATAATGTCTTGCTGAGGTACAATGAAACAAAACGGCGGCCTTCTATGTGGTTGCTGATACTTGCTATGACTATAAACATTTTGTTAGTGTAAGAATTTGTTTCTATTCACATTGGTGATCTTTTTTTGTCAAAGCTGATGTCTTCTCAGCCTAAGATTGCCGCCTTAAGTTAGCAAATCGACAACTATTGAAAATGCCGCCCATCGCTAGATGAATTTAGAAGGAGGGTCTGCGAGAAACACAAATTGACTATAAGAGTCTACTTATTGAAGAACTCCTCATGGAAATGATTAAAATCATCTTCTTAGTGTGGCTTACATCTCACCTTGGATAGACAAAATTAATTCCATTACATTTTGTGCAATCTATGCTTGACTGTACTGCTTGACGTTACTGTCACATCAGCATAACTACAATTCCTGCTAAAATTCTCTAAACTCTATCGTCAGTACTCAAGTTCGAATTTTGTCAACCATTCCTTCCCCCACCCCCCTCCCCCCCGAAAACAAATTTGGTTTGCTATCACACGATGAAAGAGATAAGGGAGTACGTTTTTTATTGTGACTTGCATGATATTTGCATAAACTATCAATATTGTTTTTGATAGAAGTGGTTTGGTAGTGTTCAGAACAGATGTGATCAGTATAAAAACTCCACTAAAGCTGATGGGGGTGTCAAGTAATTTTTCTGGTATCACTTTCAACATTAAACGTATTTTTTCAACCGTGGCTGATGCTTCCTCGAATTCATTCCCTTTCAATGTTAATTTATCCCGACACTATCTATAGCACTACTTCACGCCATGTCTTTGGGGGAGGGGTGGGGGTTTCATATTAAAGGTACTTAGGGGTATGCCGCGAGCAATGTTATACTTTTGTGGACTTCTAGTCTAGCTAAGGGAATACTTTTTGCAATTTTTGTCAAGCCAAGGTTTAGCCAAGTGTATCATATTTAGAGTATCGGTCTAGAGAACTGTCTGTGAAAGTAAATCTCTTTCTGACAACATATTTTGTTAATGATAAACTAGTAATTAAAATGAATCGACATTTTACATTCCCGAGTTCAACCAACAATTTTGCGATTATATGCTAACTCGAATGGATTGGAAATGAATCTAAGGGTATTGTTGTTCAATATAAAACTATGCCAAAGAAATCATTCTCTTTGTGGAAATTGGTCTAGCCAAGAATACAATTTTCTTAAAATAAATCTAGCTAACGGTACTATTTTGAATGTTCTCGTGGCAGACCCCTATTTAACATGTAGCCAGAATCCCCCTTGCCAATATCTGAGCTATGTTTAGTTGCTTGTATTGCATCCTCCAAAAACGTACTCATGCTATACCTGTTTGCCTATTAAATTACCTTATTTTAATACCTTTCGTTCATTTCAAATGCAATTTTTTATACAGCCACGAAATTCAAATAATCATGTCAAAAATCAACATAAACTTTATAAAGATGGGTATGTTACTTGATAGGTTTTTTGCAAAAGTTATTTTTAAGGCGGGGCTTCTTCGAGGGGAGAGCTTATTCAAGGAGGGGTGTATCTCAAATTTTGTTACTTTTCTGAAAGGTTAACAAAAAACCATAATAATTTTGTTGAAATCTGACAAAACTTGTGATATGACAAAGCTCGTTTTTGCTTTTTTGTCATCAGCTAAAGATGTAATACTATATAGCTATTGTAGCTGAGTGTGATTTAGAATAAGCTTTGTAGGGAGAAGCTAGTTAGCTGCTAATGCTTCCCGCGAAAAAGGGCTCATGAGGGCTTATTCGAGGGGGGCTAACTTTCGAAAATAAATTTTTTTTAGGTGGGGGCTTGTTTGAGTGGGAGGTTTATACGGAGGTGGCTGGGGGCTAATTCGAGGATTTATGGTATATAACTTCGATTTCTGCAAGAAATCATAATTATTCATCATATGAGCCTCACTGAATTTTTAAGGTGGGGGCTTGTTCGAGTGGAAGGTTTATACGGAGGTGGCTGGGGGGCTAACTCGAGTATTTACGGCATATAACTTCGATTTCTGCAAGAAATCATAATTATTCATGATATGAGCCTCACTGATGTTGAATATATACCACATCATGTCATGCTAAGAATGAGTAAATTAAACAATACAAATTTCAATTTTCCCCGAAAAAATATGAAGCATTCTCTGTAATGATTGTATAATAACATTAAAACAAACATAAACACAAACTTGAACGCAAACATAAACGCCACATAACATAAATAACATAACATAACATAACATAACATAACATACATAACATAACATAACATAACATAACATAACATAACATAACATAACATAACATAACATAACATAACATAAACACGAACATAAACACAAACATAAACGCCAACATAAACGCCAAGAGATGCGTCAATCCTACGAAATAATGAGTACGCATACCCCCGTCAAATCGAAAGCCACATTACGATAATGTTTATGACTCACGTTGGAGTACGCATACCCCCGTCAAATCGAAAGCCACATTACGATAATGTTTATGACTCA